TGAGTTGGCTCAGGGCGAGCAGGACCTGGTGGAGGACCTCAAGTTGGCTAAAAAGGTAAATAAAAACCCTTAGATTTCCCTGAGAAACCGCCTTTCCTCCTGTATTTCTTCTAAAGTGAGTATACTGGTGTGTGTGTGTGTGTGTGTGGTGCAGGCCTACCATGACCCGATGCTGAAGCTGTCAATCATGACGGAGCAGGAGCTGAACCAGATCTTTGGCACTCTGGACTCGCTGATACCCCTGCATGAAGGTAAGAGGCTCCGCTCCATCGCGTGCAACCTGACCTTTGACCTTTGCATTCATCTGACATCTTCACCCGTTGGTCTCACTCCTAAACGAGCACCGTCATCACTGAGACCTCCAAACATCTACACATTATTTTTAACACAGAAACCAGTTGTATGAATATGATCTTCTTATTAACATTTAACTACAAAGTAGTTTTTTGCATTGAATCCTACTGGGACGTTTGCTGAAACTGACTGGCTGGCCCTACCAAAAAAAGAAAAGATGTTGTGATTTGGCGGATGGAATACTGACTTATTCAGTTCCTTTTACAGCTGTTGTGTTCAGACAACATTTAAATCAAAGCAAAACATACTAGTATTTCATAAAGTGCTGTGGAATTGCATGGTATCGGCTCGTTAACCCGTTAAGTTCAAAAACCCATCGGCCTCCCCTCAGACCTGCTGAGTCACCTGCGGGACGCCAGGAAACCCGACGGCTCCACGGAACACGTGGGACGCATCCTGACCGACTGGGTGAGTGTTTCTCCGCGCACTGAACGTTGTGAGGCCCTCGCCGTCTGCCATGCGTGACCCGCCGGTGTTTCCTGTGGGGGCTGCAGCTCCCCTGTCTCTCCTGCTACACCTCGTACTGCAGCAACCAGGTGAAGGCCAAGGCCCTGCTGGACCAGAAGAAGCAGGATCGGCGGGTGCAGGACTTCCTGCAGCGCTGCCTCCAGTCGCCCTTCAGCAGGAAGTTGGACCTGTGGAACTTCTTGGACATCCCCCGCAGCCGGCTGGTGAAATACCCGCTGCTGCTGCGGGAGATCCTGAAGCACACGGCCAGCGAGCACCCGGACCGGCAGCACCTGGACCAGGCGGTGGGTGTTCAGGTTCTGTCCATCTTCTGACCCAAAGGTCATGTTATGAAGGTTCAGAAATAACCGGAAGGAGTGTGGGAAGATGGAGAATAAGCGCACACCAGTATTCGGTCGTGTTTTCATTCGAGGGCTCCCTGGTTTCTGCACACGTTCATCCTCCGTTTGCTCTGCAGATGCTGATGGTTCAGAGCGTGGTGGCGGACATCAACAGGCGGACGGGAGAGTCCGAGTGTCAGTACTACAAAGACCGCCTGCTGTACTCGGAGGACGGACAGAGGGACGAGCTCATCGCCCGGTCCAGGACCCTCAGCTGCCACGGAGAACTGAAGAACAACAGAGGCCTCGTCAGTACATTCCTACAGCCTCGTAACACATTCATCATTTTATTTGACTCGTGTGGTGTATTAAGTCCCACAATCCAAACGTCACACATTGTGGTTTGAAACGGTCATTTCTGGGTCTCGCTCTATTTCCAGAAGCTCCACGTCTTCCTCTTCCAGGACGTCCTCGTCATCACCAGGTCCGCTTCGCTGAACGACCAGCCGGTCGGCTACCAGCTGTGCCGCCGGCCGATCCCCATCCGGCAGCTGGACCTGGAGGACCTATCGGACGGAGAGATGAGAGTGGGCGGGTCCATACGAGGGGCCTTCAGCAACAACGAGCGCAGTCAGTAGACCAACGCAGAGGCCTCTCAGTCTCTCGTCATGAACTTTTCTACAGCCAAAATGTACACATCTGTGAGCTTCAGTTGGAGAAGGATTTTCATCATCACCATGGTAACCTCCCATGTCTCCCCCTCGCAGCGAAGAACTTTTTCCGTGTTTCGGACCGGACGGGCGGCGCCCTGCAGAGCCACTGCTTCCAGGCCAGCGACGCCTTCAACAAGCAGCAGTGGATCAACTGCATCAGACAGGCCAAAGAGGCCGCGGCGCTGACCGCGGACCAGCCCCCGCAGACGGGACGCCGTCCGGAGACGGGCCCGGGGGGACGGCTCGGGCCGCTCGGCGAGACGGGCCCGAGCTTGTGCGCCGTTCTTGGGCTTGAGGGCGAAACGGGGCCGCGGGGGGAGACGGAAACAGGGCCGGGTCCTAATGGAGAGGCCGGAGACGAGGACCTCGGCTCGGGGAGGGGGGGAGACGCCGGAGTGAGCTCGGCGGGTAGGGAGACGGGTTTGGGCGCGCCGATGGAGGGTGAGACGGGGCTGGCGCTCCGTAAGACGGACGGAGGAGGGGGCGCTCTCGGCGGAGCCGCCCACGACGATCCCGCCTCCCCTCTCTCCTCCGCCTCCCCCTGTGCAGAGGAGCGCGAGAGGCAGCTGACGGAGGAGGGGCGGAGCGGCACCGACGAGGTTGTCATGGATACGAGCGAGGTCGTGGACGCCAGGTGCTGATGCTACTCGGGGACTTGATGATGACGTCAACGAGCACATTATTGTAAATGGACCCAATGACTCAAGTTCCGATGATGCAATGAGTGTTTGGTGCGACCCGACTTCACCTCACAGCCCCACCTGGTTCCTCGGGGTGTAAACTTTTCCAGTTGGTCTGAGCCCGGTGTTCATTTATTCATCATGACTGTCACGTATTCATTTAGCTCACGTGTTTTGTGTCTTTGTGTCTTTGTGCGCCATTTGAAGGATCTTCACTATTTAAGAGCAGTCAAAGGGTTCTTTGCTCTCTTGTGATTATCTTAATTTGTTCTGCCTCTCAGAGTGATTTCTAAAAACTTTAATTAACGTCTTAAAATGCGTTGTTGTGTCTGAAAACACTGGAGTAAACTGAGCTGTGCTCCCTGTCCTGATGGATTCTTAAAGTCTCAACAAACGTCTCTGTTTACGTTCGCAGTGGTTTGTATAGCGAGCAAATGTCGATGCACACGTCTCCCAAACATCTCATTTTGAGAAACCTAAATAGTTTTGCATGACTGGAATTCAACACACAGTTCTTGGAGATAGAATACGGCAATTTTAGCATCGCAAAGGCAACAAACAAATTTACAGGAAATTTCTGTTGCAACTTCTGTAGTCGTTGCTCGGAAGCTGCTTCAGTGTTTAGTCAGAGAAGCCTGTTGAGGTATGTACTGTATGTAATGAATGTATATATACTTTATCTGTATATAAATGTAGGAACAAAGCCATGCATGTCTGTTTGTTAAATATGTGCTCGCACATTACAGATGAAGTATGACAATATTGGTCAGATTTTAGGAAATGAGTATGGTCGGGGTCGTTGAGATGCCGGCAGTTGCTCTTTATTCTGTTGATATTTAGTCGAGGTTCGACGAGTGTCTTGAACACCAAAACATCGATGAATTGTTACAAAGGAAGCCGGCGAGTGAACGTTGTCAGCTGTTGTACAGAATATGTTGCCACGTTATAAAGATTAGGCATTCCTTTTTACATTTTAGAGCAAAAGCCTGGTTTTGTTTTGTTCAATAACTGGGTATTGTGAAAGTAATGTGAAATCCTAACTGTTCTCAGAAAGAAGCTCACACATGAAATAGAAACCAACCTCAACAACCGGCACAGGCTGTTTTGAAAAACAAGGAATTATTATTCACTTTCCAGTCTAGAAATATAAAATAAAGTCATAAAAATGTATTAGAAGAAATCATGGCTGTTAAAGCACAAATGAGGGTCGAACAGGATATGAGGGAGGAACTTAAATACTGTCGCATATACCTGTACTCCGCGAACCAAAAAGAGCCATTTTTCCATTTTCTTTTTGACCCTTGACCTCAGGGGCGGCTTTACTTATACCTAATACCTAATAATAGGTTTGTTGTTTGGGAGGTTACCAACCTACTACAAAATTCACTTTGCAAGGTCTGTTTGAAGAAATCAAAGAGTTAGATAGCAGACAAGACATTCAGGCAGCAAACAGGAGGGAATATGTAGAAGAATAAGCGCATGTGACCTCGTATGATTTGTTACCTTGAGCACCGCACGTGCAGACGGATGTTTGAAGGATCATTTCACAGAAAGGTGCTCACAAAGTGTCAACCCGACCCGGAGAAGAGGGCCTGGCATCACTAGACGACCAGAGGGGTTTATGTTTTGGGATGTGATTGGTGAAATGTGGCGTGAGGGGCCGGAATTAAGGTATAAAAGTCAGATATTATGACACTTGAGATGTGTTGTGAACTTTTCCCTGTGCGCACAACAATAAAACGATCCCCGCTGGAACTCCAAAACTACCGAGTTCCAAGAAACAAACTATATGAGGTGTATTCTTAAGCGTTTAGCACACTTCTGTGGGTTCTGTGAGAACACCACGTGGTCTGCCACCATGACATCAGTCCATCATCCCTCAGCACTCTGTATCTACTTACTCTCTAAATCTTCAAGAAAACCCCATAATAAACGGATCGAGGATGACGGTGCTCGCCGTGTCCACCAGGTGGCAGTGGAGCGACACCTAATTTGTCTTGCAGCTGCAGCGGGGAACTTAGTGAAGAAGACCTCCGGCTCCAGGAAGAGAATGGCGCGCGAGCTCCTCGACGTGTGTGGGTTCTTCTCCGCGCGCCGCGCGTTCACGAGATAACGGCGGCGACGACGAGAGACCCCGGTCGCTCTCTCCGTGGGGGTTTCGGTTTGGACAAAAGACGACAATGGACGACGGCCCGGCTCGCGGGGACGCGTCGCGGCCGCCGAGGCGGTCTTCCGCCGCGGAGGTCGGAGGCGCTAACGTTGGCCCGCAGGACCACGGCGACGACCTGTTTGAGGTCCACGCGACCGGGGACGCTCCGGTCGGACCCGACCGGCAGAGCCCCGCCGCCGGGAGGAGGGAGCGAAGCAACTCGGCCACGGAGCTGTACCAGCGGTACATGCCCATGGGGCTGCTGAAGTTCCCCATACCGAGGAAACCCAAGGAGAAAAGAGGTGGGCTGGTCCGGGGAGATCACAACACGGGACACGCAGGCTGCGCTCGACTCGGGGGGGGGGATCGGAGATCCTGACAGTTTCTACTTGAAGGAACTGATTTGATTTGATTTTTACAACCGTTACCCCAACGTCTCCACGTGACGGGTCGGTAACTTAGCAACGTTGACGAAGAAGAGCCACACAAGTATATCAAACAACATATTGTCTCACTGCTCGGATGCAGAGAAACGCATTAACTAACGTACACCTACGTTTTTTTAGACGTCACGTCTATCGTAAATAAAACCGTGCAACGTCATATTTATTGTAATTAACCCAGTTAAAGAACACTGTACACGCTCTGGTGTGTGTTGCGGAAACGTTACTGGCTAAGCGCAGGATGCTAGCTAGCCGTTAGCTCCCTCGCGCTAAATGACGTGCTGCTTGACGTCTTTATTTCAGTTGGCAGCCAACCGTTTGTTTTTATTTGCAACCGACGGTAAATGCGGGTCCAAAGGTTCGATAGCGGCTTTGCGTTTGACGTTAGCCGACCGTAAGACGTGACGTCATTAGCGAAGCGACGCTTTCTCCCTTGTTTACGTTTTTATTGAGATGAGTCTTCAGGCTAAGTGAATAATAACTACACGATGCGACATTTAACTTGCGTGTCGGGATAGTTTAGGGTTGAGATGAAGTTTAGCTGCAAATCTGTACTGTTGTTCAAGGGACTGCAGGCAGGTTAAACCTCTGGGAGACACACCTTTGACCTGAGGTTTGTGTGTCTGTGTACAAACACATTTCCACAGCAGACTGATCAGTGTTTGCAAACAAGACAGACTAAACTAGTATTGTTTTGGAGAACTTTGCGTTAGTTTTCTCTTTGAGGAACCAAATTCCACAAAAAACAATTTTAAACAATTCATCGATCTTTCAGAGTGGAACCAGCGTTCAATGCTCTGTTCTGAAAAATCACCTTACAATGTACTTTTGTCACATTGTAGTTTATTTTCACAAGTGGATAAGCACGTCGACCACCTCTCTCAGGTGGTTTATGCTCCATCTGAACCCTCCTCCGCCTCCTCCTCCTCCACACAGGTTATTTAGTCTCCTGAGAGTTGAGCCCGAATCGAGGCAGGCTAACAGCTGCTGTGGTGGGCTCCCCAGATGCCCACACCTTCTGTTTGGCTGTTATTGAGGCTATGTTGCTTCTCATGCTAGTTGCCTCATTGGTTAAAACGTGGTTATGTCTGACAGATTTAAACAGGGGCATTTTTTATGCCACCAACACCTTGCATTTGTTCTCTTTCCTAACTGGGCGTCCTCTTCATGTCTATCCATGTGCATTTACAAGTATGCTGCTCAGTCCGAATGGTCATCTCTTTTCATTCCAAAGGTATATGCTGAACAACATTTGTCGCACACAAATCTTTATATAGTGACATCCCGACAGAAAGCATGCAGGACCTCGGTCCCATAATACCTTTTGTTGACATCACAAAGGAAAACAGATGTTGATGTAATACACACTTGGGTAAAGCTTCCAAGAACAGTGGAGACCTCTACGGTTATTGAATCATATAGCTGCAATGTTATGGGGTCAACAAACAAATTTTGGTGGGTCCGGGGAACGTACGCACATACTAACGTGTGTCTTTTCTCCCAGCTCTGTTCCAGTTTATCGCCACAGAGTCCAGGGAGTATGACGACATGATGACCATCCTGACGTCCAGCTACATCGACACCAGCTCTGCTGGCTGCTTCATTTACAGCAAACCTCGGCTCGTCCACAGCGAGCTGCTGGAAAAAGAGGTGAGAGAAAAGCTCCATTCCGTATGTGTCATATAGTTTTGGTTGAATTTGGCTAAGTCATCCGTGTCAAGAGCGAGGAGGAAGAGCGTATTGGTTGACATGTCATCTTGTAACCCTCCATTTATTTGTATTTATAAAACAATGTGGTCAACTTTCTAATCAGTGTGTTTGCTGTCAAATAGGGTCTTACAGGGAAAGAGAATCAGCCAAAAATGTGAACTCGGAGCCGCCCAGACAAATCAGTGTCTCGCTACCTAATTAACTTCTGTCATCTAAACTACACCAGGTGTACAGAAGAGTTTGGACACATACGAGTCATGCATCAAGGCTACTCAAATGTTTTCTTCAGAGCCGACGTATATAGTTGGAAGATACTGAAACAGGAGGGGCTTTGTGCACTACCCAGCACCAGTAATTGGCCTTGGATACGACCATTGTGTTCTTTACCCCTAGGCCTTCATCTTTGCCCCACAAGTCACCAAGAAGTCATCTGGACATTTTAAGTGCCGGAATTTTCTGTCAGCTGACCCGACGTGTACTGTTCTTTGTGAGAGGGTACCGGCACTCTGACAGTGGCATTATTGCAGTTTTTCCAACAAAAGCTGAATCTGATCTAGAGGAATGATTTGCCTTCAGAGAAACGGAGATATGCTTTAGATGTTGACTATGGGGCAAACGTGTTTTTGCTGTAACCCACTTTGTTTGTGTGTTTCAGTTTGTGGAGAAAAGGAAGGAGATGAAGGCCGATGGGAGGACGGACAAGGAGCTGGAGCAGAGCTACTGTTTCCTGTTGGCTGATTCTGTTAAGGTGAGATGAGCTGTTCAAAGGAACATGGAGGAGACAAAGACGTCTTAGCTGGACGAGTAACAGCGGGTAGTTTGCACCAGACAACCTCAATGACCTTCCTGGATCAATGAAATATGGTATCAATGCATTTCATTTTGAAATGACCTATCTGCTGGACTTGGGGGCAGTGGAGTTAAAAGCATCATCACCGGTTGTTGTCGTGTCTCAGGACTCAATGTTTTCTCGTAAAGAGAAACTATCATATTGACCAGTCAAAGAACGATATTCCACTTAATTTGTAGTCTAATGTCTCATTTGTCTGTTGTAGCTGCCCTTGCTGTGTGAGAAGGGGCTGTTTACGGGTCAGAGCCGCGTCACAGTGCTGGGAAACCCCGCCAAAGGTTTGTTTTTGACCTTTTCCATCCACATGTTGCTCATTCTGAGCTTTGTTCCTTCCACTGAAAGGAGAATTCCCCGTGATCTTTGTTTTTTCTTTTATGTGTGTTTCTAGGAGTGTACCTGTCCAGGTACTCTGACCTGATCCACACCCCCCCCCTCACTCCTGGGGTCACGGGGGATATCGTCATCTTCAAAGTGATGAAGGTAAATGAGCAGGCTGCTCACATGTGTCACTTTCCCTTTCTCCTGCTTTTCCGTTCACGTGTCGGCGCTTGAGCAGCTTTTGCCTTTTTGTTTTTCCTCCTGTGCATGGTTCGCTCATCTCTTCTCTTCACTACGTCTCTGTAGAGACTAAAAGGACCCTTGTTCTTTAACCCTGTTTTGTATTATTTCAGGGGAAAGTGAAGAGCATTTATGAAAACATGAAGAACCTCCTGGATCCGACGCCTCGCTTCGACAGCCACACTGCCAAGAACGCCAGCAAGGTCACATCGCTTGCCTCCTATCGCGCCTTTGAACTCACACAGGTAAGGACCAAACAAATGTTGATGAATTGCTGTTATTTAAAGTGGAGTTTTCCCTCTAACAAGTACGCTGATTTCCCGTTGTGTATTTCAGCAATACTTCTACGAGTATTCCTTTGACGAGCTGCGGCCGCGGCCTCGTCAGGTCTGCCCGTACGCCGTTGTCTCATTCCAGTTTAAAGGAAAAGACTCCTCACTTCCCTGCAAACCACTGGCCCCCATCAGGTATGGACATCTGGCTAAAGGCAGTAGTTTTACGCTCGGTGGCTAACACCAAAATACCGTGAATAAATGAACACGAAAATATCAAACGTATGAATGCAGATAAGTCGACTGATTTCTTCTATGCTGTCATTATTCAAAATATGTCTTCAACTCTAAAGACCAAATGTTCTTTTGAGTTCAGTTTGGTGGATGTGGATATATATTACAACGGTCTCTTAACTTCAGAAAACTATCAAAGGATGCAGCCAATATATCTTCAGCATTTAGCTTAAAGTCTGGTGTTGACTTTGTTCTGAGAATCCCGCGCATACCTCGGATATCTTTCTTGAAAAGGATCTGGTCAAACGCGTCAAAGTGCCCCTGAGCGAGGCGCCTGCTCCCCGGGCGCCTTCAGGCAGCACACTGTGGGGGGAAGGGTTAAATGCAGAGAATAATTTCCCCACAGGGAATAATGATCTGCTTCTGTCCAAATAAGTCAGCATCTGTGTTTTCAAAATAAGAATTAATAATTTGTTCTACAGGTTCATGTAACGTGCAACGCTCGCTTAGTAACAATAAAGTTCTTCCGTTGAGGTGATGCAATAAATGCTAGTTTGTTGGTTGCAGCTTACACACCTGAGTGGACATGTTCTCTGTGTTTGATGGACAGGTTGAACAGCCAGTCAGCAGAGGGGAGCAAAGGTGAGCGCATTAATCGCACTGCACCTCAAATATAGGACGTAATAGGCACTTTGTTACGCGCTAATGCTGCCGATCCACCGCCTCTCTCCTCCAGAGTGCGCTCAGTTCCCAGTGTGGACCGGGGATTTGGTAAAAGGAGACCGGCTTCTCTTCCAGGTCTCCCTCTGCTCCTTCTCCCCTCCCCTCCTGCCCCACAGACTGTGAGTACTGAACCGTAAAGTTCGGCTGTGTGACCCTGCGACAAATTCCTTCAAGCTGCCAGTCTCACACAACGACCGTACATGCTTTCTTTTGTGTGTGCGTCCTTCAGACCGGAGAAGTTGGAAATCGGTTTGTTGATGAGACTTGAGCAGGCGACCAAACTCCTGCCCGCCGACCTGTTCTGCTACGACCTCTACAGCGGCGGCCACGAAGGTGAAACCCCTCCTAGTGACGGCTGCTTTGAGGACGCATGCGTTTGCACCGAGTTACACACGTTACTTTCTGTTGACATCCAATTCTCTCATACTTCATACAATCAGCATTTCTGAAACGGCATTTACACCATCGATAGGATGGCAAGCATCATGTGTGGGGAAAGCTGAATATACAACGTATACACCGCTGGATGGTTTAATTATTTGCAATTCACACAATCGGATATTCACAATAAGTTTGTTTCGTCGCGTGTGTAGTGGTGCGGAGCGGCCATTGTTGCAGCCTTCTGGAGGTGACGGACAGGAGTCGCTCAGCGTCCAGCGTGACGAGCCTGCTGCAGGAACTGGAGATGAATAGAGTGGTGGGCGTTTCGTTCCTCCCCTGTTGCCTCTCAGCCGGCCTTTCTACAACACTTTATTTCTTTGTACATTTGTTGACATCTTCCCCCATTATTTCCACTAAAGTTAATGTTTGCTAAGCTGTAGTAGAATACGGTGAGATTGTAAGGAGAACCCGAGGAGAGCGGCGTGAAAGGAGGGAATGGTTGTTTTATGTCGTCTCTTCTCTCTTCAGGTTCTGGTGACGCCGCTCTCAGACCGAGGCTTCCTCCTCCTGCTGTCCAGTGTTCAGATGGCCACGCCCTCTGGTATGAGTGCTGGTTAAATGCGTAGAGCAGCATGTTGGTTATTGGAGTAACGGAGAGGCCGATTAACAATGCTTTTGTAGTGTGAAGCTTACCACCAGAACTTGGTGTGACTCATGAAAGCATGTCCTCCAGGAATAGCGCTGATGTTTTTGTGTTTTCAGAGAGGGGGGAGAGCTGGAAGAGGTGCCTTCAGGCTTTGTTCGTCTTCCCGCAGTCTAGACATCTGGCCAAATCCAGTGAGTAGCTCCGGGTCCTCTGAGTGTGTGTGGTGAATAGTATAGGTTTTACAAATCCTGTATCATCCAGGTTTTGATCAACTTTAATTTATCCACTCGGGGGAGGGATGGCAGTTACCAGGGGCGTCGTTAGGCCAGTTTAGGGTGGCTGAAGCCCCCCTAAAATGTTCTTAGAATGATCTGTAGTTGTTAACAAGGTTTTAGGTTTACTTGATATGAGGCAAATGAAAGCGAGTATTGTAGTGGGCTATGTTAAAACTAAGCTAGCTTGCTACTTTGTTAGAAACTGTCCCCAGTTAGCAAGAGTGTGAACTAGCGAATTCGAACTACAAGAAATAACTACCGACATCTCTCTATTCTTTGCATTGATATATCTCTCTCGTATTAATAAAGCCGTATTAATTGCACAAATGCCAACCGTTAAGGTAACGGTCACCTGGTGGTAGCGCGACACGGTGCGCGCGCGTCCTTTCCTCCTAGAATGTTAATCAGTTAATGCTAGTAAACTAAATGTCATAGTGTCCCTCATAACGCTATTGTGCCGGTTTATCATCCAATTCATTGACCAGATGGATATAAGAACATTCTTTAGGAGAGGTGGCAGCTCTGCCCAGTCAGATGAGAGAGAGAATCAGGAGATTGACAGGGCTGAAGGAGCCGGTGTGATGGAGGTTAGTGGTCTACAGGTCTAGAAGGAATTAAGTGGAGTTTTTTTTTTTTTCTTCTACTGTGGTAGAAATGTATAGGCATTTGTTGTCAGGCCTAGGCTACTCCAAGGCATAGCCTAAACTGGATTATTTTTTTATGCCAAGTCATAAAACTGGCTTCTGGTTTTCGATCAGTTAATGTTTTAATGTTTGAACTTATCTTAAAGGGTCATGCAGAAGGAGAGGCTGAGGCAGAAAAGGGAAGCTGCTCAAGATAGAGAGAGGAAGAGACCAAGCAGCGGCAGCAACTAATGATTTAGGTGAAAAAGACACAGGGCCCAGACAGGTTAAGCTGAAGAGTTACCCACAGGACAGCTTTGGTGCTCAGAACAGGTCATTTCACCACAGCTGGTTTGAGAAGCACAGTTGGTTGGAATATTCAGTCAACCACAATGCAGCTTTCTGCTTCCCATGTAGATTCTTTGACAAAAACATCAAACATGATGCTTTGGTCAGTTGTGGTTGCAAGACCTGGAAGAAAGCATTGTTTATCTTTGGCAAGCACGAGATGGCACAGACACATAGGGACAGTGTTGTTGCACGGCAAAGCTACCAGGCAACTAGCCGACCGGGAAACGTTGCACAGATGATAGCATCTGCACATGCAAGTGAGATAGTAGAAAGAAGGAAGTATCTTGGGCAAATTGTTGCAGTCACCTCCATGTTAGGGCGACAGGGACTCCCTTTTCGTGGCAGTGATGAAGGCCAAGACAGCACCAACAGAGGCAACTTTCTTGCTTGCATGGAACTTTTGAAGGAGTTTGATCCTTTCCTTCAAAAATATAACCCTCCCTCAAATGCTACCTATATCTCACCAACATCTCAGAATGAGATGATTGAGTGTTGTGCTCAAGAAGTAAACAGTGTCATTGTATCTGAGATGACAAATGTCCAAAATGTATGCCATTATGGCAGATGAGGCAAGGGATGCACGGTCAGAGCAGCTGGCGGTTTGTGTTGGGTACGTGTCAGAGGGGGCAGTGAAGGAACGTTTTCTAGCACTTACAGAGATCATGTCATGTCAATTGAAAGTGACATTCTAGGGGGACTGAGTCACAGCACACTGATAGACCGATTTGCCACCCTCAAAAACAGAAGGCATTCTTTGATGCTTCCACCCACTAAATAATCATTTTCCTGTGATTCCATTCCACCCCTGTCCCAATTGTCTGAAATCTCCTGTGCATTGGATTCTTTTTTTTCTATCCTGGATCTAGTCCTATAGTGTTTTTTTTCTGTACATTGCAATCCTTTAAAATAAAAGCAGAGAAAATTATTTTCTCTCTTTATTTGAGAAAAGTTCATATTTGTGTTGTCAAATTTCACTATGACCCTGACATTCTGTCATATACTGAATGCAAGCAAAACTACAGAGTAAAATCACACTCTTTCTGATTAAACCAATCTATGAACTGTCTGAAACAATGGATATCCGCGGCCCCAAATGGGCCTTAAAAAAAAATTGCCGCACGCAAACACGCCACCCTCCTTGGGGCTAAGCCCCCCTTTCTTTGAATCCTAGAAACGCCCCTGCCAGTTACCGTAATCTTGAATGGAGACAAACTGAAGCATTCAAGGAAATATTGACATCATCCTTTTTGTCCCTGGTAGAATTAAGGCGCTCGTCCTTGACGCACGACGCCTCTGGGCCGGTGTCGGGCGTCGCCGTGATGCCGCGGCTGAGCCAGCTCATTCCAGCGCTGCATCACGCGCTGGTCAAGGCCCGGGCCAACCCTCCACCCGAGCTGTCCGCTGGTGTGGAGCGCCAGGCACGGGATTACCTCATCGGCATGAACCAAGGCACGGTATGACCGGCTCAAATTCTTGAATACACAAATCTCTCGGGGTCGTCTTGGTTTCCTGAATGATTTTTGTCATCCGGAATTAAAGCACACCTTTCCTCTCCAGGTCCAACAGTACCCTATGGGCGAGTTTGACTCAAAGCTGGATGAGCGAGGAAACCTGTTCCCGACTCCCAAACACCACCAGGTCAACATGGAGGGCTACCTGCGCTCCTACCTGTACAGCCCGGCCCTCTACCAGCTGTCGGTGGCCCGAGCCAAGCAGATGGTGCAGGCGCACTGCGGCCCAGAGGAGCTGCCGGAGGCGACGCTCAGGAAGACCTGCGGGGGGCAGAGGGAGGCGGCGGCGGAGGAGACGATCAGCAGCACTAGAAACAAACCGACCAAACATGAGAAGGTGAGACCGGGGACACGAAGATTTCCCTTCACAGATTTGGAGTCTGCGCGGTGTCGTGTGGATTCGCATTCCCACAGCGAGGGCCGATGTGTTTCCTTGTCACTCAGATGCAGCAGCTGGTGGACCTGGTGTTGACCTGTAAGAGGGACGCAGAGAACGAGGTGAAGAGGGAGGAAGGAGCAGGGGCGAAGGTACCAGGGAGAAAGAGGAAGCTGGAGCAGGTGACGGCAGAGAGGGCGCTGAAGTTCCTGAAGGCATCGCAGGAACCCTCAGGAAGAGTCGGGAAGATTCCCGGTGAGGAGGAGAACCGCTCGTTTTCCCCAATAGGAAGCCAAGCGTTTCCTCCTTAGAGATTCAGCTACTGTCATATTGTGTCTGTTATGTTATCGTTGATTCATTTCCATGAATGCACCAGCATTGTGCGGATCGTCCTGCTGACACTTCTGCTCTGTTATTTCTAGTTGTTGTGATTTCATGGGGGATGCGTTTGCTCACAGACATGTTCACCCTCTTCATTATTCTTCTAGGTGAGGGAAGCCATGCTCCTTACTCTACTGCTTCTCTCACCTCTGTGATTGGCTTGCTGGGTTTGAAGGACCTTGACCTGAGGGAAGATGGATCTGAAGCAGCCGTGAGACTTCATGGTCTGCTAACAGGTGACTGAATGCTGGACTAACTGCTACACTGCCTCCATTCATATTCCTTTCCATTTGTTTTTGCCATATTCCGACTGGTAAGCTTGCATCAGTCGGAAACCAATTTCTTCCCACAAATAGTTTACTACTTTTTACAAAGACGTCAAATTTGTCTTAAAAATCAAAAGAAATATTGTCTGCCTTCGTCTGTCGATTTACTTTTTCCTCTTAATTTGGGGTTTAGAGCCAAAGTCCTTTTTGACGAGCCGTTCAATGACTGTTTTGAGGTCCTTCAGCCCCCGAGGGGATCCGCTTTTAGCAAGCGGGACGACAATGGAACCCTTTGTAATTGGCGCATCTTAGGTTACAGTGTTAATAAAACGCAGCTCGTTGAAAACGAACATCTCTTCACTAACAGACCTCAACCAGGCCGCGAGAGGAACCACCAAGCGGAGCGTTGGTGAGGTGCGAGAGGAGGGGCAGAGGGAATCCTCTCCGTTGGATAGGTTGGCGACAAAGCTGGGTCTGCCCCCCAACTGTGACATTGACCTGAGGAAGCAGCAAGAGCTGGAGGTAACTGATGGTGTTGTTTCCTTTGGCCACTGTTATTGTGGTGTACGATAGGCTCGCGCTGTTAGTCAATCCGTACGGTGGTGATTGGGCCTACAGAGGCAGATAATGAGGCTGTGAGATTTGTAACAAATTGTCTCATTAAAATATAGACTTTTAAAATGTCTTATTACACGTAAGGCTCATAAGTACCAGATCCAGCTGTGAAGTGATTCTTTCATGAAGAGTTTTACACTGTGAGCAGAAGTACAAGAGCTTTAACTGTAGCTAAATACTACAAAACATCACTTTTATGTGCATTTCTTCTCCACCTTCTGTTTAGCTTGAAGAGTTGATTCTCTCCCATTTCAAGAGCTCCGTTCAGATCAGGAGTTCCCCACAGGTTATTAATCTGTGTGGTTCGGTGTGTCCAGGAGCAGACGGCGGGCAGCGTCAGTAGTTTGGAGGGATTCAGTCCTAGCTCCCACAGCGGGGAGATGAATCATCACGGAGGAGCAGGTAGAGAAGGAGGAGGAGGGCTCGAGAGGAGAGCGGGAGCGTACGAAAAGGAAGAGGACCACATCCAGTGGGAGATCCCGTGGGTCCTCATCCCCATCACAGGTCTGCCTGCTCACTCAGGATAAACATCAATTAGTTGTCATTAGTGTCTACCTATTTCTTTAATACATATTTATCAGCAAACAAAGCATTCAGTCAATACCACCCGCTTATATCATCCCATTATAATAGGAAGAAAACAAACTAGGCAGAACAGAAGTAAAGGGGTTAAAGTAAAGGGTGCTGAACGTTGACGTGAACTCTTGTCTGCAGGCGTGTGTTCGCAGAGGTACACCCACAGAGACAGGAACATCCCTCAGGACCCCCGCTTCCAGCACCTCACCACGGCAACGAGCGGCACCACGACAACCAAACCTCGGGGGAGGAGCCCCGCCCGGTCTCCTGAGCGAAGCTCTCCTCCCTCCCCCCTCAAGTTCCCATCCCCTGAGCCCAGCCCCCTGCACTCCCCCTACCAGTGCCCGTCACCTGACCCCAGCCCTCCCCCGTCCCCCTCCCAGTGCCCGTCTCCGGAGACCAGTCTGCCGCCTTCTCCGTCTCCGTGCCCCTCCCCGGAGCCCAGCCCTCCCCCGTCTCCGCGGCCCAGCCTCAGCGCTTCGCCTTCCCGAGGCCAGGCGCTTCCCCTCGGCTGCCCCCCTTTTCCAGCGCGGGGCCAGTCCGCTGAGCCGAATGAGCTTGTCCCGTTTAACGAGGCCCACAGTGGTGCTAACGAGGAGCAGTCCGCCCCCACAGCCTGGGGATTTGCAGGTAACCTCACTTTCTGGGTCTCCACGTTGCAGCTGTTTAAGCTTTAAACTGTAAAGCTTTGACTGCCAGGTCAGCGATATTAGACAGTTATGGACTCATCCTTTACTGCTTTGTTTAAACCATTTAGTCGGTCATTTCAGATGTTCTGGGACACCAGAGCCAGTTTTTGTGGAATGGTTATCCACCGCCGGCACCTTCAGTTTGCCTGAAGTCCTCTCCACCCACAAAGATAATGGTTAATTTTAGGCCTTGAGCACCTGTTGCACTCCACAATGAATAATGCCAGCAGTTAGGACTGTAGTTGTGATCGAGTTTCTTTACTATAGATGATCTATTGTTTTCTCCCTCCTGCAGGATTGCCTAAAGACGTAGAAGAGGAACCTTGGGGGAAAGAAAAGAAGAGCGACGAGCCCTTGGTTTCTGTTTCCATCCAGCCTTCAATTCCTCTGCCTCCAGAAAGGAGGACGAGCCCCTTCCCTCCACCCACTGAGAGAGTGAAGGGAGATGCAGAGAGGGAAACGGTGGGTTTGAGGGGGGTACAAGCAGGCATTTTAGTTCAGGAAAAAGATCCTCCGCTTGTTCAAACACTGCAAACCCGAGTGGAAGAAGAAGAAGAAGAAGAGGAGGAGGAAATGGAAATGCCGCATGTGGTCACTAGTGGGAAGGAGCAAAAGGCCGAACCGAAGGAAGCGGTAGGTGGTGCTTTGTTCTCTCCGTCCGTCTCCTTACCTCCGTCTTGCCTCGACTCTGAGGTGGACAAACAGCTGGGCGACTTCTACTCTGGGATTCGGCTCCTCCTGCAACAGCACAGTGTCCGTTACGGCTGCCCGCCCCCGCCCCCCACCTCAAACACAGAGACTTCTGCATCTCCACACGCACTCCAGCGCACCTTTTCACAGTATGTTACCTTCTACAACCCCTGTCCTCCGGTGGAGGACTACGTTCGCTCGCTGCAGGACGGCATTACCGGCGTGCTTGAGTTTGATAACAGCTCTCTGGCCCACAAGGCCGGCACTAGCGGGACCGATGTTGATTCCGCGCTGGCTAGCAGTGTTAGCCAGTTTCTGTCTAGTATCAGAGCTGGGAAGGATAAAACCGGCAGCGAGGACGGCGGCCTCAGTGGTGAGTCGACAGCTGCCGAGAGTCCGGCTCCCTCCAGAGGAGGCGTAGCCTGGCAGCCACGCACAGTCACCAAACAGGCTCCTGATGCCGGTAACAGGAACCCCCCGACCGCTCACGTCACTTTATCAGTCACTACCTCCAAGTCTGGTTCTGGCTCCAGACCTACCGGTGCTTCCATCCCCTCATCGCCTCGGAACGAGTCCTCACAGTCCGCCTTGAAACCACAACACGGTCGCACTTTGGAGACCGCGGTCGCTCACAGCAGACAAACCCAGGACGCCAGCTCTACCAGCCCTCCACGTTGTCCCCCTGCTGCAGAAGGTAGGACTGAGGTGACGTTTAAAGGTCTCGGCGGGATCTCAAAGTCCTCGACCCAACCGCCCCACCCCCCCGAGCGGGTCTCTGATCCGGCCTCGGAGTCCCTCCACCTGCCCGCCGAAAGCCCCGTCCCTCCGGCCGCCTCCCTGAGCTCCCTGATCAGCCGGCTGCAGCCAGAAGTGTTCAACAACCTGCTGGAGATTTTCAAAGACGTCAAGAGAAACTCCACACAGTTCTACATCCACAGCGGCGAGGCGGGGGACCGGGTCCACGACGAGGTCAAGGTAACATCATTAGCAGCGTACAATAGAAGAGAGCCAACGCTACATTCACACGAACCTACGTTCATATATATCGTTTTAATCAAAAGAAAATGTTGTATCATTTGAGGCTACATTTTATAGCTTATAACTTACGGTCCATACATGATATAATATATGCTTAAATTACGTATATGTTGACTTCTAGCTTGGCTTTGATCGGAAAGATCTTTAAAAATGTAGCTGTTGGACCTTTGGTGATGTGGTGTTATTATCTGTATGTGTGTGCTCATGTGTTGTAGGAATACCTGTTGAAGCAGGGAAACACGGAGCAGAGTCCTGTGGACTTCCTGAACCGAGAGAACTCCTCAAACCGTCTGCTGGTCATCATTAGGAACAAAGACATAGCTGGACAGCTGCACAGGGTACCTCTGAATAATCCGTTCACTCAACTGCCGACTTCACTTGCAGGTCCGCAAAGGGTCACTTTGCCTCGTTTATTTCCCATTTGCTCGCTCACTTAGAGGGTGACCACGGAGCAGAGAGGGCGCACCTGTGAGTGCAGGGTCGATGTTTATGAATCCAGACTGCTCCGGGTCAAAGTGTCCCAGGGCAAGATACCTAAACCCCAACTGCTCCCTGGGTGCCTTCATGGCAGCACACTGCCCCCGGTGTGTGGGAATAGGGTTAAATGGCAGAGAACAATTTCCCCAAGGGGATTAATAAAGGATACTTCATTCTTCATTCCTTTCACTAGCTGTCGCGACTCCACTGATCAACTGTTTGTGTCTCTTGTAGTTTGGTTGATAGTGTGACGGGTAGATGTCACAGGACGGTGGGGATCTGCAACATGTGTGAAAGGACTAATTGTCATAAATGTGCAGAAGCCTCCTGACACCTGTTTTTGTGGACATCAGATCCCGGGTCTGTTGTCTCTGAAGCGCCGCGCCTCTGTTGCGTTTGTGGGAATCAATGACCTGGACGACATCAGGAACAACTGCTGCGACGAGCTTTTCGTCTCCGGAGGTTGCGTCGTTTCGGACGAGTTTGTCCTCAATCCGGACTTCATCACTCGCGGTAAATCAGGGGTCCGATAGCTGATGCCAGTCTTAATAGACAAGTATTTTAATAGAACGTTTTCTTTTGTCGTTTGAAAAGAGCAGACAGGTGCTTCGTAAAGAGGGAATCTACTTCACTGACGTGTTGAGTTGTTGTCCTGCAGATCAACTGGTCGCCCTGCTGGTGGTCCTGGAGCAGCACAGCTCTCCACAGAGCGCCTGGACGTGGAAGGTTCACTGGCAAACCCACAAGAAGTTAAACGAGCAAGCCAGGTACCGATGCTGTGTCCGCACTATATAACGCACGCACACTCTGAATGGATTTACTGCGCAGTTGTGTGCTAGATATACAATATTCCTTTGATTTACAGGCTTATGGTGTGGTGGTGGTCTTTATGCATAGGTCCTGATTTATTTGGACTCTGCTGAATTTTAAGTGGATTTGAGGAAAACATGACTTGAACTTCATGTTTTTCAAGTGGTTATTCCCCTTGTTTTCCTCAATATCGCATTGATTCCAGATTTATTCCTCTGAAAACAGGGGGTGTGATTTTCCTTTTTTGTTTTAATCATACAAATGTGTTACGAGTGTTCAAGGATCTCCCAATGACTCCCGTGTCAGGTTCCGGAGAGATGCAGCCGACCTACTGGAAGTCCTGTCGGCCTATCAGAAGCGGCAGATTGTTGAGCTCCTCCCATATCATCACTGCGACAAAATAAACCATCAGTCACCTCACCTGGAGTGTCTGATGGAGCTCCAGGCCCAACACAAACAGTACCGACACACAGTCTTCCTGACAGGTGTGTACGGTCACCTGAGATTTGAAAACTTTTCACCTGTTGATCTGTGACACTGATGTTCCTACTTTATCCTTTTTTTCTTTTTTTACTCAGTGCATCATTTTGAGATGTTCCCTGGCCACTCTAGAAGCGGCATCATCGTGGCAAGTATTAACGAAATTCTGCACAACTTCACCGGGCTGGTTGGTTACCATGACATCAAGGACAGGCAGCCAATCATAGATGACATGCTGGGCTCCAAAGGTCAGTATGTCAAACATTTCATTTCAACTAGAAAATCAAGGAAATCCAGTTCAAAGGAAGAGCTTGAAGTGGCGTTTGCATCTTATGGATTATACTTCTTGATTGATTGATTGATTTATTACCCTTTATTAAACATGTGTTGATGCCTCAATCTCTAGTTCTGAGTGTTCAGTACCGCATGGTGTTCATTTCGTGAATTATGGTGCATTTAGTGTAATTAGAAGTTAAAGAAAGGGCGGGGCGACACATTGAACCACTGTAATGGCAAAATGAGTGATCCCGCTGTCCATGTTGTCCTGCTCAACGCTCTCTTCTGTCATCAGGTCTTGGGAGGCATCGGACTAGTAGCGCCTCTGTGTCGGGCTTTGAACGCTCTTCCTCTGTCTTCCCAGAACACATTCGTCCCTTCCCCTCCTGCGACCAACCCCAGCATGTTGCCCTGCAGGGCGGCTCCATCCCTCCCGCTCTCCCCCATTGGTCTGACCAGCTGGTCCCAGACGCCTCCTCTAAGGAGGTTCTGCAGCAACATTCAGACACGGACTTTGAGGTTCTCCGACTCGCCATCTCACAGCTGCGGGCTGAGCGTAATGCGCAGTTGCAGCAGCAGTTGGATGCTCGAGCAGAGTCTTACATCAACTCCTTTACAAACCTCCTTCCTAATGTCTGTGGTGGTGGCGGCGGGGGCGGGCGTCACTCCACGCCCCTTTTAGCTCAAGGAGGTCCCACTGAGTCTGAAATGGTCAGTCAAGACAAGAAAGCAGTGTCAGTGACTCTGGAGATGATTCACTCAGCATTGCAGCAGGAACAGGTGGAGGACGAGGCGACGAAGGGCGGCGCATTGACTCAAACCGTGGGACGAAGATGTGGAGGAAGAGCAGAAGGTGGAGGACATGCTGGATATCCCATAGATGGTACTCCAGTAAGAGTAGGAGGAAACAGGGATCCCGGCAATTGTACTTCTTTGTCCAATCAAAGCACAGCTGCAGCAACCAGACCGAGCACCCAGGCAGGCTCCGCCAGCGACGGGATGGAGAAGAAGAATCGACCAGGAGAACCTGTCCTTCCCAAAGCAGCTCAATACGCTGCAGCCTCGCACAGTACCACAGCTGGTCCTGCAGAGGGTCACAGGTCTAACACATTGAGGTTAGTTGATGATTACTGCCCTCCATCTAAAGTTCTGTTTATAGGGTTTCCTGTTTGTATTTACGTAACATTCTGACTGGGTCTGTCATCCTGGGGCTCGGTGGTGTGGTGGTTTGGGCCGTCTCCTCCCAGCGAAACCACCCAGCGGCCTTTCTTTGTGGAGTTAGCATGTTCTCCCAAGGTCTGCGGCAACGAACTCAATTGCAACTGCTTTTGATGCTTTTTTATTTTTAAAAGAAAAGAAATAAGTGATGATCACACACACACACATTCCTGGTGGAAATGCCATGTCAGGCACAAATGGACCTTTCAGAGAAAGAAGTAATTTCCCACAAGTGGAGGATGAAGTGTTTTCACTATTCCCTCTCACCAAGTACGCTGAATGTGGCTGGTTTTGGACTGCTCGGGAGGTGCATTATGAAGCAGCGTGGGTTTGTCCTGTTTAGACGACCCAATACTTGCTGCTGGAGGTAGACTGGTAGGTGTGGAATGGAAGAATCCCCCATCCCTTCACATAAGTTATTTTGAGTGGCCCTCGTGCTTAATTCACCTCCACTTAAGAAATGCCATGTGGGCTCAGACGACATGGCAGCGGCTGTCATTGTGCCTTCTGTTTGGCGCGGCTCAATCAAATGTACATGGAGAGGTGGGGGTTACACAACCGCGCTGCCGACTTGCCGCTTTGAAGGGTCGTCCATCACACCAGTAACAACATCTTCTGGCTGTTCGGGGAAGCAGATGTGGATCTGTTCCCCATAGATATTAGGAAAAACCAACTCCCAACTGTCAGAACCAACTTTCGTTGGTACAAGATACATTTTCCGGATGCTGCCCATCAAAATCAAGCAGAGGAGAAGGAGGAGGTGGAAGAAGAGTCAACGTTTGCTTTGTCAGTTTGTCACGTGCGGCTGAAGTTCTTCTTGTTTCCTTCCTTCAGGGAGACACAGTTGGGCCAAGAACAGCCAATAGGTGGAGAGGGAGCAGCACCTGGCAACAGCACTGCCAGTGGCACCAAGGTAACAGGAAGTATTTGTTGTAACAGACCACCAAAGCCACTGTTAGCCGGTTCTGATGGAATCCGACATCTAGATCCAAAAATCTGACGGAGATTTCAACGTGGACACTTGTTAGGCGCCGAGATCTCGCGCTCATTGGTTTAGTGGCATGTAACCTTTAACAAGCACCCCCAGTGTGGGTGGAGCTCTATAAATGCTTTGCCTCTGGACAAAAAGCTGCGAGCACTTAATGATGCCTTGTTGGAAGCACAAGTTGTCATGGGACCAGGCTCCTAAGCAGTGCCCACGTTGACACCTAAGCATTTTGGTGTCTATCAGAACAAGCGAACTTCTTAACTATTGGTGGCGTCCAAACAGGGACCCCGCTAATAGTTAAGGAGAGTAAACTAGTGGGAAAAATGTGCAACCGCATCTAGAAAGCATTCAAAGAGCTCAGAGTAAATACCTGATAGAGGGAATTGTTTTTGTCCTTCGAAATCCATGTCACAGACTCGTGGAGTTAAAGTGTCCAACCTTCCCAGGCTATTGGGTGAGCTGGCAAATCTTACCATTCTCAACCAACCCCCCCGACCACAAACGAGTAACATCATCACAAATCAATCACTTTCTTACCTGCCTATAGATTTGAAGGAATATTTTCCCAATTGATAACCGACACGAGGGTGTTCGAGAACGTGGCTTGATGAAACGGAATTACTAGCCAGTCTGGATCCACAGGCCCTCAAAGTCGACCCATGTTGGACCCGTAAAGACCCACGTAGATACGTCTCCGTTCCACCTGCCACACAAACAAGGGCGTCCACAAGTTCAATACTTTTGGTCTAAAATAAATAAACGTGCAAATGAGTTCATTTAATCTTAGTCTGCCGAATGTACCACGTTTTAAGGAGATCAACGTGGGCGATGCACAGCGCTCTACTGGCCCTCGCCCTCCTCCGCTGGTACCAGTAGGCTGATATCCAGGATAACACCTGGAAGATTTATCCTCCAAAAGGGAAACATTTTAAATACTACCCATTCAGTTGGGAGCACCTCCTATCGGAGAACTGGCACAAAGGACTCCTCCGCAGGCCTGTTTTACCCCTCTATCCAAAGAGGAATCGCCTAAGTCAGACTCTTACTCAATTCAAACCTGGACGACCAGGTAAGAACTCCATGAGCGGGGAAGTGACCCACGATCTGTACTCTGGAGCTCAGCACAAACACACCCACTCTAAATGAAACCCCCACACACCAGAAGAGCCTGTTCCCAAGCTACCAAACCCCCGCTGGGACACTGATTCTGCTCATGGTTGTCATAAAGGTACACATGTGTTATAAATTATCTCTGGCAGAGGAGTTCTGGCGGTCCTTTTTAGATGTATTCAGACGGGTCTCTCAAATGCAATGGGTTGACACCATACTAGGTTTTTCAACAAGTGTTTATTGTGCTGGGATTTGTCCAACACCTATTTCCATTCCCTTCAACTGGTTGTGACCCATCTGTGTGGTCAGCGGGGCTCTGATTCTTCAGGGTGGACTGTCTTTCCTTACAGAAAAAGGAAAGTAATCCCTTCAAAGGAAAAGTTCCCTTTGGGTTGCGGTCCCTAAATCTCTCTGCGTGGTTGGGCTCAGCGTAGCGAAAGACCAACCTCCTCCATTGCTTCCAAGGCCCCAACTGCTCGTTCCCTCGAGGGGATTTAAGAATACAGAGAGAACACGTCAAAAGGGGAGGGATAGCTCGGCCAAATGGGATGGGCACATCCGGAGTAATGCCACGTATCACGGTTAAACTACTGCGACGCACAGTGGCTTATAAAAAGGTATAACGGGATTGTTTTACACTGATCTAATGTTCTGCCTTAGAACTACCTTTTACTGGAGGGGGGGGCAGATATTGACTCCGCCTCATCATCCGCAAACATTGCACAGACAGAAAGGGACCTTCCACAATTATGTTCCACAGACCCAACCGGACCTGACCAACAACAAGGGTGAGGCAGGCAACCGGGGCAACCGGCTGACTGCTCCGCGACCCTCGGCCAAGAGCTGCACACAGCGGCTGCAGCTGTACAACCGCAAGGGGCGGAAATTCCAGTCAAGATATCTTTGGAATTCCAACGCCTGGAAGGATATTTCCTATGCCAGACCAGGATGGACACCGGACCAGCAGCCTTTTCTCAAGCCTGGCAACCAGTATTTGGAACTCAAGGCCAACAGCACTGTTGTCTTCATCGGCACGGCTCCGCCAAAGGAAAGGGGCCCGAATCAGGTGGCCTGTGGAGTTACCTGTTATAACCACGAGGAAGGGCCTTGGTGCGAGGTCCAGTCGAAGAATGGGACGAGGTTGTGCATCCTTGGTGTCCCACTAACAACCGTCCAGACGTCCTCAGATGATCGCCGGCGCAGGATGCAAGAGAAGAGATGAGACGAGAGGGCAGTTCGCCGTGTGTGAGTGGGGAAGGAAAACGACTGACGAAACCGAAGCGGAGCTTTGCTCTGAAATGAGGAAACTTGACATTCCTTACGTACTTTCAGTTTTTAAACAAAGCATTGTATAAAATTGCTGAGAATTTATTTTTCTTTATTTGAAGCACATATATGATACACCCTCCCCTTCAGCGTGGGTGGAAACCCATCAGCTCTCACCGTATACGAAGAGAAGTAACGGAAGAAAAGAAAAAGACGGACAAAGAAACGGATCCATCACTTGGATCTGTTTCAGTCAGTGAAGAGCAGGCATATTGTTTGTGTTTGTATATTTTGTACCTGCTTTTTATGTTGGTAATTAAACCCAAATAGATCGCGTGGTCTATTGAAAGATGTCTTTGTCTATTTTTGTCTCTACCATCCTCTCATCCAAAGTCCCTTGTATTCCTCCAATATGTTAGCCCTCGCTTTCTCAAGAGAGAAAATACCCTGAACCATCACAATCGGCTAATACGACCCAAATCCTGCTCTGCCCCGTCTACAACAGATCCAGCATCCTCGACATCTTCACCAGCTGAACAACCAGCAGCTTCAGCCGAGTCAGTCGTCCCGGCAACAACTGCCCAACAGCCAGCAGCAGCAAAGGGGCGCCGGCCTCCTGCAGACCCCCCACTCGCCGCAATTCCCCAACCACCCTTCCTTTCAAGGCCCCCTGACTTCCCTCGGAGGTGGACCCCTGGGGCCCGTGTCTCGCTGGCCGGGGGGCCTGGGCCCCACAGGTGCCACGTCTGGGGTCTGGGGCCTCCAACAGGCCGGTCCTCGACTGCTGGGCAGTTACCACAACCCTGCAGGTCAGGGTAACAGAAGGTACAGAGGGGGGGGCAAGTGGAGGAGGCTTTGATGGAATGCAGAGCCGGCTAAACCAAGGAACATTCCTGAGAACATCCCGCCTGGTCGAAACCAGCACAACCGACTGACAGGTGCTAGTTTGCAGGAAGGACGAGTGGCACCAGACTGAAGCGCCGTTACTTTTACCACTTTTGAACCCTGATCCAAACCAGGGTTTACAGCCCGTGCCGCGCTTTCCTGGAAGCTGGACGCTTCATAACTTGGTTCATGAATTTGGTCCCAGAAAGAATGGCGAGGAGGACGGGCCTTTTGCTTTAATTTATTTGTTTGGCATTTGGCCTCGTGTAGAAATGGGGGCTGGAGAATTGAGGCTATGCAACTAGTGTCTAACGGTGGGATTTGAACCTGTGACTAAGCGCTGTCACCACTTTGCATAAAGTCAGAGGAATTGCTTTTTTTTTTTTGTAGAAAAAGAGCAAAGACAGAACCTCCATCCTTTTTAGAGCCTTTGCATCCACTCTAATGGAAGAGGTCGTTCATGGTTCTACCTGCGTTGTTTTCGCTCTCGGGCTGGACCATGAATGTCCGCCTCTGAGATTCTCTTCTCCCTGAATGGAAGGTAAACTGAGCAGCCGTCCCGCTGTTGTCTTTCAACTGAACAAAGAACACTTTTTCCTCTGAATGTTTTGGTTTGTCTGCCTGTGAGCCGTTTGTGTTTAGATGCTGTTGTATGTACAGTAGGAAAGTGATTGTGTGACACTTGTTTTAACTTAAAAAAAAACCAAAAAAAACATTTTCTACCCAATTTTTTGTATTAAAATTCACCTGTGTAAACCAGCAAACTTGTTTCCAGATGTTGTTCTCCTCACATCGATCAGCTGGAGGACGGAGCTCCTCGCACACAGCCGTTCACTCGGCTCATTCAAACAGATTTGGAGGCCAGTTTTGGTATTTTCCAGCACGCTCTGCAGAAGACGTGGATTTTCACTACAAACTCCCAACAGCACCGCCGGCGCTCTCTCCTCACCACGTCTTCTCCCTGCAACGAGCAGAATAACTGGATCAGGGACCCTTTTAACAGTGTGAACATTATTAGTTGACGTACAACAATGTTTCTCATCAGACAACCGAAGATGAATATTAATAGATCTTTTAAATCAATTACACTGCTCAAAAAAATTAAAGGAACCCTTTGAAAACATCAGATCTCAATTTGAAAAATAATGATGTTGGATGTCTACACTGATATGGACAGGTTCATGTCTTAGGAACAGAAAGACACCACAAAAATCCAAGTGAATAAAATGATGTCCAGTCCATTTGGCCATTTCCGTTTGTGCTTGTGGGCGTGTTTGACTACGTCGCGGCTCCTAATGAGACGGTGGATGGTGTCTTGTGGGACGTCCTCCCAGATCTGTCTGAGGGCGTCAGTGAGCTCCTGTAGAGTCTGGAAAGCAACCCGGCGGTGTCTGATGGACCCAAACACAAACAAACTCCTCTGGGACATTATCGGGTTTAGGTCACGTGATCGTGAGGGACTCCTTCATCCTCCGGGTACCGCCTGCATCCTCCCCACATGAGGCCGGGCCACCGCGAAGAACCCAGGACCTTCTGCACCAGCGTACGGTCTGAGTTTAAGGACGGACGTTCTCCAGCTTCCAGACGCATCAAATGTCGTTGCACGGGCGTGCGTGGATCTGGAGAAATGGCCTCATGCGCCGAGCATTGATAACGACTCCAGCTAAAGCCAACGCTAGTGGAGAACCAGGCAAAGCCAGTCCTGTTTTGGGGGTCGTCTCAGTGCACCAGTTTATTCCATCAACACCATCAACAACCCGCTCTGCCGCTGACTGAGCCGATCGTTATCAGAGGAGAGCGATTGATGCAGGTTGTTCTGTTCTCAGATGCACATTTACTCCACAAGATCTCCGGGTGGTCTTCCCCACACACCACCTGGCTCTTGTAGCAGAAATACAGAAGTAAAGAAGGTTCTTCGACATCAAGTTTCCTCCTCTGAGAAAAAGAGTGGACATCCAATTCAGTGGATACATGTCAACACGTGTAGTTGGGCAGTTCGTTGATCTGATATATTCCCCAAAAAATGACGTGTTAAAATAACTTGTTTTGTCTGATCGATTGTCCAAAACCAGTTAAATATTCATACAAATGGCCACGATTCACCTCGATAGAAGTTAATGAAAAGGTATCTGTCCGCATCCTTTTGAATCCTATTAGTTAAACCAAAAACAAAGCAATTCAGTTTGTTTTATTGACTTTCAGTCTGACGGTAAGTTTCCACTCTGCTAGTCCTTTTCCCTTTGGACTTTCCCGAGCACACCATACGTGAGATTTACCCTGGAGGGCCTCGCTGGACAGTAACAAGAACATATTTCTGTTTAGCTTTGCTCAGACGACAGGAGACGTCAGATCTTTGAGATCGGAGGCGTTTTATTTGAATCCAAAATACAGTAAACTATAAGTTCCACCGTCAGGAATAAAGGTTGTCTGGAACACTTCACATTATTTATTTCATTTGCAATAAATTACAGAAAAACTAGAAGCACACAGACACGTGGAGCTCCTCGTCCAGCAGGAAGCTGAAGAAACAAAAAACATTGGATTCATGATTTAATAAATAAGCGCCGTGCTTGTCGGCGGGGACGATGCTTTAAAAAGAAAAAAAGGTACAACTATACCTGATACAGGCTCCTTCTCATGCAAAGTCAATTCAAAACAGAGCTCCGTTTGTCTCATTGTGATCTCGTGAGGTAGAACTGATGGAGCAGATCAGTCGAGTCCTCGTGCTCAACCTGAAACTCACTTTACTGACAAAAAGCCTCTCTGGAGGAACAGTGTCAGGCTGACATGGTTACCATGACGATGTCTGTTCAGCTGCCCGTCAGTCCACGGTTCTAGTAAATAAACCCGGCTCTGCTGGAGGGGCTCGCCGAAACAGAACAACCAACGTGAGATTCATTCTAGTGGATTGGAAAGTTAACATCTGCACAAATAACACACTTTGTGTTCAGTCTGAAGATGCGCAAAGATGAAAAAAATCGTTTTCATTTTTCGGGGGTTAAATTGAACAGTTGAAGGAAAGAGAAATGGGCCAGTGGGTTCAGACTAAAAACATTTGTTTTCTTTCAGTTGAGCCCTCCTTGACAAATCGGTAACACGATATGTAAATACACACATCTACATATGTACACACTTCAGCCTTTCGTGTCAGATGAGTATTACACCTATTTACCGGTTTACCATCTAATTCACTGATTTTTTTTTTTTTTAATAAAAAGGATTTGCACAATTTGCCTAAAAAAACAAAACACAATTGATATTAGCTATAAAAATGGATCACTAGATCTATTTTATTTGCATCTTTTATTTCTGTTCTGCAATGGGATAAAATAAATCCCTTCAGCCTCCGAAAATGAGCCCAAACGAGGATTATGTGTCACACTCCCTGATACGATCGACTGAGGACTCCCTTCATGGTTTGGCACAGTGAACATTCGGTCTCAGAGCTTCTGCTTCTGCTGGACGTTCCTCCACGACGGCCCGCGCGCACACAGCAGGGGTCACAGGTCACTTGCGGTGCTCGTTGCCATGGCGCTTTGATAGAGGATTCAGCTCCGTCTCCAGCTCCCTCTGCTTCTGTAGTAAACCCTGAAAACTCACACACATCATTACACATCTACACTTCCTCCTACCGGAGGCCGGCGTTTGAAAGGTGTGTGTGTGTGTGTGTTACCTGCCGTAGCTGAGCCAGGCCTCTGAGGATCTCCTGCTGTCGGTGTGTGTGTGTTTTACGTGGTGGTTCAGTGTGGAGGCGTCGATGTGAAGGAACAGGAGGAGACACCGAGCTCAGAGGAGCTTCTGACGAGGAGAAGAATGTTTCAGTAATATTTAGCGTCTACCAATCTTTTCCTCGATGGATCGCTGAATCCGTTGAAGGTTTTAGAAAACAATCCTTGTGTGCGTGTTTAACCTGAGCGTGTTGGCGGAGGGGGGGTGTCTGCGGGCTCCAGCGGATCCATGTGGAAGACTTCATCGCTCCGCATGTAAGGAACGAACTCCAGGGGAGGAGGAGGCGAGGAGGAAGGTGCCCGCTGCCGCTGATCTCCGTCTCCGGCTCGGGGAGGAGAGCGCCCCCTGGGGGGGGAGACGTGACACATGACAGGAGCTCAGCGTGGATTCAGCTCCCCGTCAGCGAACGAAACGTAACTCCAGACGGCTCAAAGAATGTAAAAGGAGGTTGGATTTTATTGTCTACCGGTTGTAGTGTGATATGCAACAGGGATCCTCCTCAGACAGTGTGGCTGTTTCTTTTTAAGTCTGCTCACCTTTCAGCGTTGATGGCTGCTAAGACGCTTTGTCCTCTGGAGACATTCTGCACCTGGAATGAGAGAACAGTGATTGACAGTCTGAGGACGCTGAAACAAAAGCATGCAAATCAAAATGATGAACTTCAAGGGGGAGGAAGAGTTTTAGAGGAAATCAAAAAAAAACACTCAAAAAGCAGCTATTGGAGTTCAGTGTGAGGGTCCACAGTCCTACCCTCACAGGGGGGCCGGTCCTGGTCTGGGGGGGGTTGGAGCAGAGACGGGGCTCCTGGTGAGGAGAAGGAGGAGGAGGATTGGGGGGGTCGGTCCGGGACAGACAAGTCCTGTCCTGCAGAGCGAGCAGCTCCGCTTGCCTCCTCTGACGACTCTCCTGTCGGTTCCTCTGTAGAGGGGGGGGGTAACGCTCCGAGGCCGGGACGAACCGGGGGCCGGGCCTGGAAGAGTCAGGTAGAGGTACGGGGGGGGGGGGGGGGTCAGTAAGAACTGACCGAGTTCATTCTTGAAGACATTACAGAGGATGGATTTTTTTTAATTGGGCATTTTAAACTGAATGCTGAATAACGGACTAACTCTGTTAAAATACCTTCTAAATAAGGAAACATGAGCCCAGATCATTAATTTATATTTCAGTCAGTCATCATCTGCACCAGTTATCCTTTTGATGGGGGATGAAGTTAATCAACGAACAAGAATTTAATTATATTTTGGTTTTATAGGTTTGGAATCGACATCCAGGAGGATTGGGTCTGTTGCATTCAGGCGTGATGACATCAGACATACATTTGAGGAATGTGTGTGTTTCTACCTCTGTGTGTTCCACTCCGGCCTCCTCTCATTACCATCTGTCCTGGCAAACACTTCATATGGGTCTCCGTCTCCTCCTCTTCCTCTGCCTCCTCCTCCTCCTCCTCCTCCTCTTCCTCTGCCTCCTCCTCCTCTTGCTGCTGGCAAACAGATGTTCTCTTTGCCTGTTCTCACCACTCGGTTCCTGACGTTTGGAGGAGCAGCAGAGGGAGGAGGAGGTGGTGTCTGGTAATGTGCAGAGACCTCAGGAGTCTGAACTCTCAGCGGTAGAGAGGGGACTGCTTCCACACACACACACACACACACACGTTTAACAATCAAATATTAAAACCTGTTCTGTGACACGAGGCCACAGTTTGTCTCTTTTGTGTCGTCTACATGAGGAGTGTGACCGTTAACAAACATGGTTACCCGTCTGCACGGCGGTGTCTCTGCACGGGGAGGATGAACTGTCGTTGTCCTCCAAGCTGTCGCTCTGCCTGGAAACTGCACACAAACAGTCATTAAAACACGACTGCAGTGATCATGTGGTGCTGCAGAAGCTCTGCTCACCGCTGGTCTCCAGCGTCTTCGGCGGTCTCTCGTTGTCCTCGTCTTCGGTGTCTGGCTGCTGCGCCGGAGCGCTCGACTGCAAACGCACAGAAGTCAGACGATGATACAGCATCAAGTTATGATGTTGTGGATAAAACGAGTGGGCGAACGGCTGAGGCACCTTCTGCCTCAGTGTGTCCAGCGCGAACTGTCTCTCCAGCGCCTCCCTCTCCAGCGCCACCCGCCTCTCTTCCTCCTCCAACTCCTCTCTCCTCCTCGCCTCCTCCCTCTCTCTCTGCACCCGGCGCTCCTCCACCTGGGCCTCGATAGCTCGCTGGTGGGAGACGGGAGAGACGTTCATTGTTCAGGAAGTGATGAAACCTCACTGTACTCTTCCTCCTCCTCCTTCTCCTCCTCCTCCTGCTCCTACCTGCTGCTCCAGCTGCTTTAGCCTCCTCCTGTCTCTCTCTTCTATCTGGGCGGGGTCCAGCAGGGCGGTCATGGACCTCAGATACCTGAAAGAGACCAAACGTGTACTTGACTCAAGTCAAGAATGTGTCCCAGGTTGACTTGAACTACAGACTGAGACCATAAACTCTTTACAACGTTTACTGGGGGAATAAATCAAGTGACAAGTAGAGTCATTTTCTCATCCACTTAAAATACACATTTCTTTCAGAGCTGTTCATGCACTCCTCATCCCCCGATGCCTCCTGCCTCCTGCCTCCTTCCTCCTTCCTCCTCCCCCCTCCTACCTGGCTCTGGTCGGGTGTGCGCTGCTTGTATCCACGCTGGCTCTCCCCACGCTCTCTGCTCCACAGCTGCTGGTGGCCTCCCACACCAGGGACAGGCTGGACGAGGGCTCCCACTCCCCCCGCTCAGAGACGGTGGACGGCGGTGGAGATGACGGGGCTGGAGGTCGTCTCTTCAGAGAGTCAAAGTGTCTCGCCCAGAGCTCGTGGTCCTCCGTCTGCAGAGACACGTTCAAACAATAATGACGCTGGAAGACAGTGAAACATTATGTGTCTCTGCTGTCCCCGTCTCCTTGGTCTGCTTGTACCTGTCTCTGCAGCAGCTTCTCTTGTCTCCTGCGTTGACTCGTCTCCTCCCTCTGCTGGTCCAGCTCCTCCAGCCAGCGTCTCCTCTGCTCCCGTCTCCTCTCGGCACTCTGCTCCTCCTCCATCGGAGTGACCTCCTACAGAGACAACACAGTTTTTGGACACGTAACCGAGGGCAACACTTTAAACTATCAAGATGCTACACAGTTATTCTTCAGCTTAATATGTGTAATCGTGTCATGATGAATATGTTGGAATTCATTTTCCCGTCCAGCTCATCATGTCGGGACACTTCTCCAGGACGTCACAACTTTTGTTTCCGTGTTCATCTGATTCTGTCAGTGGAATCATTTGTTTGTGAAATAAACAAGTTTACATCCTCTAATGTAGTTGTTCCGTCATCTCCGAAACAAATACTTGTGCACGTGAGTAAACTCGCCAATGCAAACGTAGCGTTGTGTGGTTCTGACCGTAACAGCAACAGTTGGCTTTGCCTTCTGTGTTTTACGTGAGCCAACAATTGTTTGTCAATCTCTCTAAACGGTCGACAAAGACACGCAGGCAAACCGGATGTACTGCGCAGTGGGACGAAGGTGTGATTTACCCCGAGTCTCAGGCTGGATCTGATGGCTGCAGGCTGATCTCTGTGGCTGATGGAGCTCTGAACTGAAAACTCAGCCTGGAACACACACAAAGACTGTGAAACGCATGAAACACAAAGCGTTTCCAGTTTTCTGGACATAAGATCTGGTCTTTGTTTTTCATGCAGGGTGCCAGGTTTCACAAACCAAACACAGTGCATCATTGCACGTGTCCCCGTTGTGCTTTACAAACATAGAACACAACAAACAAAACCCACAACACACTTTTTACTTTGCCCAAAGTGATGAAAACAACCCGGGAGCTACGAGGTGAAAAGGCCGGATGGTACCTGCAATCTGCCGGGAGCCGAGCGCTGCTGCTTCAACGCCACCTGCTCATCTATCACACATACACGTAGAAGAAGTCATGGTAGTGATGTTTATTATTTTCATGGCCTGTTTATCTTACACGGTCAATAATTGTAACTAAATACATATCATCATACTTTGAAAATACATTTTTAAGAGCTCAAAGCTCAAATATAGCTTCGTCATGACGTGTCTGGGACAGCGACTGAACAACCCACCAACCCTCAAAACATTCTTACTCGTGTTGCTAAATGAGAGCATGTGACGAGCACTTCAAGTGAAATCCAATGTGTAATAACCAAAAGGGTGACTGATGTTTGTGCAGTTAAAGCAAAACACAGCTAAAATACACCAAAACACATGAATTCTCTGTGGGTTTGTCTGTATAACAGATATAAATATCATAAATAAATATATAAAGACCTAGTTCTCTCCTCCACAGAGCCTTCTTGGCGTCGGCGGCCGCTCTGCTGTCTGAGTGTCGCTCCTCCTGCCAGCTGAACGCACACGCAGACGACCTAAACCACATTGATTCAGTCGTGATTGACAGCGTGACTGTTTAGAGTCGTTGAAGTTGTCCTCTACATTTACTCTTATCAGCGAAATGGACATTTCAGATCTGTTGCTCCTCACCGGTCGTCTTTATCCAGTGATCTTCCGCTCGTCTCAGTTCCTCCACCTCTATCTTCCTCCTTCATCTCTCCTCCATCAATAATTAAGGAGCCGCCTTCTTTTGGGTCTGATTGATTGGCTGCAAAAGCAAAAAGGCAGGAAGTTGAACCCCACATTGAAGGAGGGACGGTCACGTGTCTGACGCCGCTGAGTCTGCTCACCACAACCGGTACCTCGGGTCCTGTGCTCCTCTGGTGGGTGTGGACCAACGCTGGAGGTCTGGACTGAGAGGAGGATCTTCTGTAGCTGCCCATCGGTCAGACACCCCTCGGTGTCCTTCGGCCCTGTGCCCCCGCTGGCCAGCGAGCCCGTTACTCCCTCGCTTCCAGCGGCGGATGTCCCGCCCCTCCGAAGTCGGCCCTTTTTCCCGTCGGCCCTCAGGGAGCCGACAGCGGTGTCGTCTTTGTGCCTGTCGGACTTCGCCTGCAGCGAAAAAACACAAGCACATTAAAAAGGTAAGAGCCGACAAACACGGGCGCAGGATCAAAGGTGAGGAAACGGCACGACGCTCACCTCGGCCACAGCGTGGACGTTGTGTCCTCTGTGCCGCTGCTGAGTCTTTGACGATGTGACAGCGGTGCTCCTCCCCCCGCCTGTGGTGGAGGTGAAGGGGGCAGCAGCACCTCCCGCCTTGCTCTTGGTTTCTCTGTGCCTCCCCGCCTGCTGCTGCCGGCCTGGACGCTCCTCGTCTCCCCTCGCCTCCCCCTCACATAACGGCCGCCTGGAGCTCAGGACGTTGGCCTTTCTGGGCCCGAAGGACAGCTGCTCAGATCGGGTTCGATCAGATGAAACAACCAGTCACATGTATTTTATTTTCATTCCAGCATTATTGTTGGTATTGTTGGAGTATGAAGACACCCAGGTGCTTAAAAAGACTGTAAGGATGATTCCTACCTTTGCTGGATTCTTCTCAACGCCTGCAGAGGAAGAAAGACGTGATAGTAAAGATCTTTGAATATTATATTAAACGCACATCACCAATGGGGGTCTAATAAAAGGTAATGCAAACAGCTGAAGTCTGAGCGTGCACGCTGGCAACAAAGCATGTTTCGTCTTTTACAGTTGGAATGTTTAACAATTATTAAGACAATTATCAATGAGCTGCATGGATTGGAGGTGTGAATGTTTTCATAATTCACTGAAGATTGATAAAAAAAAATAAAAAAGATCCTACGTAATAAAAATGTGCAATTGGCAAAACTAAAATACATTACAGTTCCGGATGACGTGTCACTGTGTGACTAACGCAGTTTAACACAAAACAGCACCAGTCAAAAACGTTGACGAATTGTTACTTCCTGTATGGATTCATTCAACGATTAGTTCAATATCTTTTGATTAACAGAACATAAGGAAAACATAGGAAATGCCAATAAGTGAGTGAGTTAGATATAAGAGGAGAGAGTTCTCACCACGGCTGAGTAAAATCAACTTGGGTTTTCCATTTTCGAGTTCGAATAGCAGGCCGTCTCTGTTCACAAGCACATGGAATGAAATCAATGCAAAGCAAGAAACAGACTGAATTGGAAGAAATCTGTCTGTTTCATTGTCACAGTTTGTTAAACCTTCCTCAGAAAAATGAGACAAACGAATCTAATAAATATCTCAGCAGTAAGCGAGCCACTATGTGGGATGTTCTTCATTTTCATGTCCCATCGTGTCATATTGTACCCTGTTACCCATAGCAACGAGGATCCGCTCCAAGAGTCCTTTATTCATGTTATATTGATAAGCAAATGTGTTACTTAGACATTAGTTACTGTTCCAAACCCTCCTGCAGGGACTGTTTGTACGTGTCTTCAAAGTCAAGGTTTACAATAAATTATTCCATTCCATTCTATTAAGTTTTTTTTTTTTTTACTCTAGTTTAATTTCTCTGTTGTCGTCCAGCGTTACACTCTACGAACAGCAGAGGGGATCAGAGGATTAAATGCGGAACCACGGCCACGATAACGCCTTTATATCTGCAGCGGTGTCGGGTGTTTTTTGAAAGGCGTGAGTTCTTCCGCCAACGATGACGTCGCGCGCAGTTCACTGCGACACATCGGCGCTAAGTCGGTGAGCTAGCCCTGCCAGCTAGCTAGCTAGCTAGCTAGCGTAACCTGGGAAAGACACTCACCCGAGATTCATGCCGACAGAAAGGCGTTTACCGCGGGGGCGTCGGGCTTGCGGACATCCTCGTGTAGACGGAAACAGGTGGTCAATAATTCAGCGTTTAATAAAAGCGTTTGTGACCCGTCTCTCGGTCACACGCCACTTCCTGGTTTTCGGATTGTGTATTTTGGTTGCTGACAACGACAAAGAACGACTTCGCCGATTGGCTTGTTCTTTCTCATTGTAAAATGATCAGCCAATCAAACGGCACTGTTTAGAGTTTTAAATTTGACAACGTTGCGTTTAGGGACACTGGCGATTTATTTCAAAACTGAATATAACGACTAATTACGTAACAACTTAATAATTCTAGTACATCATTAACGACCACGATAACTCACGAATATACTGCATACATAACTTTATTACCATATATCAGAACTATTAAAAATGTGGAAACAGTCAACCACGAAACGATGGCTGCTTTCTAACAGAGGACGGTGAAGGAAACTGCCCGTGTTCGAAAATACCCGAATTGAGAGACATTGTGAAAAAGTGCTTGTGGAACCAAAGCATTTGTTTAGCATTTGAATAAACCTGTCTGGATAAACCGACTTTTGGCACATTGTGGTGGTTTCAACCAGTGTTTGGTGTTTTAATATATTAATAACTTATTATAAGTTATTATCTTTTTATAACATTGCATGTATATTTATGTTGTATTTATATTACTTTTAAAGTTGCATATATTAATGATTTGTGATTATTTTTAAGCAAATGAACATGATTATTTTGAATAGTAAATACATTTTGTGTGAAATATATAAGTATTTAAAAATGGAAAATATATATTGTAATTTCGTTCTTAATCTAATTATTAAAAATAATATAATTTCGAACTCCATTGGTCAATTCAACTATATATCAATATGAAAATACTAGTATATAATATTATCAGATTGCGGTTGACTGGTAATTATTCCTTCTTTAACGGATTCATTTTTTTCCCAGTTTTCATGAGTTTCACTGTCACTGTGAGTGAGTTTTATTTTACTATATTATACGTCAGAGCAGGAGGGGAACTTTGAAGAGGGACTGATCTCTGGTGGGGATGAGTCCGCCTGCACCTTCCCTCATCACCACTGGATGACCAGGACTTCAAGTGGGAGCTGAACATCAGCTCCATCACCAGCGTGTCATCCGCTCTGCAGAGAGTATTTTATTCCTCGTGCACTGTTATCTCGTCGTCCATTGTCGTACTGTCTGCTGTTACGCACATACCGCCAAGTCAAATTCCTTGTTTGACATATTATGGCAATAAATGTTTCCTGAGAAAGCGGAGGAGGACTTTGAAGAGGGGGAGTAAGCGGAGGACGATGGTAGAACCAGCAGCGGCCTGTAGGTGGCGCCAACGCGCCGTGGTCGTGCAAAAGAACCGTGGAAGCCAAACGGGCTGCGTTAGCTCCACTGTAATGACGTTAGCCGCCTGGATGGTTTTTTTTTCCGCCGTTAATGATTTCGGATACCGGGAGCACCGACACCCACGTATCTTTCCGGTTGCCTGAAGCACGGACACCGTGACCCGCGCGAAGTCAGCTCGGTGTCCCCCAGTCGACCCCGAAGGTACGTTTATTGCGACCGCTCCGTGCCGCTAAACCGGAGCGACTGCGTAACGTCAAAACCGCGATATTAGCCGTTTAAGCTAGCGTTAGCATGCGATGCTAGCTTAAACGGCAGCCGTTGTCGAACCAACGTCGTTGTTTTCCACCCGTGTCGCGGCAGCGGGTTGAGAAGAGAGGGGGGGATTATAACGGGATGAAGCGAAGTTTTACGTTCATTCGAAGCCGATTAAAGACGAGTGTAGCGGACTTAGCTAGCGCCTTGTCAGGCTAAGGTCAAGAAGCTGGCCGGTCTGACAGCTAACCGCTAACGGTAACGAACGTGGTACCCGGGGGTCGGTAGACGTGTTCTGGGGGAAGCTCGCCAGTTAACAACCCCGCAGGGAGCCGGTCGACGTCGGAACCCCGGCTGGTATCGAGATTAAGAGGTGGGTTTTAACACGTTCATCGGCTCGACGTTAGCTCTGTGTAAATACACCAGCTAGTCGGGCTCAGGCGGACCGTCCCGGCTAATGTTTTGCGGCAGGTTTAACCAAAGCCGGTCTGTTATCGAACGCTGTGGCGGCTCGATTGCCTTCGTTAGGGGTTAAACCGGGCTGCCGTGTGTTCGCGGCACTGCCTCGTCCTGCAGCTCCACAAAGCCGGTGGAATCAAGCGGTCTCTCCTCTGTCATCCAGCCGGATCGATTGTGAATCTATCAAAGTATTGTGATGACAGGAGGGAAGAAGAAGAAAGCGAGACCGCACAATCACACGATTACTGTCCTAGTTTGGGCCTTTTCTTTTGCTCCAATCCTCCTTGACTTATGTTCATTTAACGTGATCGTTTTTTAATGTTTACATCTTCTTTGGGGTTACAAAAAAATGCAGCACTTAAAGAAAAATCTGTTTTTTTTTTAGGTGTGATCAATATTTGTGGCCCTGGTGCGATGGACCTCGAGTCCAAGCTTTTGGAAGATGTTCTGATGTCAATTGTATTTCCTATTTAAGGGACATACCTGGACCGCTCCTCATCTCTTTATTATCTCAACAAAGTGACGGAGCACAAAGTCCTTTTCCAAACTCTCTTCTCTTCCTCCCCGTCGTGTCTTTTGCACAACGTAAACAAACCTCAGCCAGCAGCTGTAAGATCAGGTGTTGTGTGCTGTTCCCAGGCTGCTAATAGGACACGGACGCCTGACAACCTGTCTGCTTGCTCAAGGAGAGTTTAGACTCGAGTCTGTCATTTTGATGATTCAGCTGTTTCCAGGCAAAGAAACAACATGTGGAGCAAATCCACTCACGACGAGTCGGTCAGATGCAGAACTACAATGACGGTATTTCAATAAATGACCTGCATGTTGGTAATTTCTTTCCGTTCACTATTTAAACATGTCCACGGTTTGTACTGTCGTACCAGTACAATTCAATTGATCCAGTAGAACCGCTTCGTTCCTACTTGTTATCAGCTTTATTATTTCCATCTTGACTGACATACACATACTGTCCTTTGCAGAGATTAGACTTCAGTTTGCATTAATGCTGACAGAGATGTTAAATTAACTGTATGCATATTTCCGAGCCAGTAGATATTTCCCCTAAAAAATACAGACTCAGGAGAAAACGACAATCTACCACCACTAAAGCTTCCACCATGGTTTCACATGTGCCTTGTTGGGATGGAAGTCTTATCAGCTGACCGACATGTGGTGAGTTCAGGTCGCCGCGGTGAGAAAGTGCTGCTGAAGGTTGTTTTGACGGATCGGAGCTCTTGTCTCACTACGATTTGTTGATGGGACGGATTGTTCTTGTGTGTCGCTCAGCAGCTGTCGATGTGTGTCAGGGGACACGGGCACAGCTGCATACGTGTTTTTGTGTTTTCCCCAGTGGTGGTTTGTGACTTTTGGGAACAGATGTGTTCGTGATCCAGAGCGAGAGACGGCTCTCTTTTCCTTCCCCACGTTGCCTCCTTGTGTAAGCTTTGTTTTTGTCATCAGCTCCCCCTCCTTTTCATTTTCTCGTCACCTCCTCCCATCATGATTCGTTTTTCTTTCCTTCACGTCTTACATCCCCTACTCCATGTTCCCCAACTATCTCCTTTCTTTCTCTTTCGTTCATCCCCAGTTCCTTGACAACCTTTTACTTCACTACGTCCTCTTCCTTCTTCCTTCATTACTCCCTTACATCCTTCTGCGCCTCATTTCTTTCCATTTCGGTGTGTGTTGCTGCAGCCCTTATTTAGCATCATGTGTCCTGGTTATGCTACACTTCAGTAGTGCAACCACTCAGCAATAACACACACACACACACACACACACAAGCTGCTGAGTAAAGACATCCTTATGGGAATGACGACGACGACGACGTCCGGCTCTTGCTCCTGACTGGGAGGCACCTCAAACATTGAATTTGTCAGATTAGAAGAGCACGATGTTGGAGCTTAGATTGAGAACACAATCCGCCTCAGATTGAAGGAAAACGACGTCCGTAAGTTGTGTACTATTTTGTTTCATCATAGCCCGAATTCTTTTGGTTAATTGTGTCCTGCGTAAAAAGGTTGAAAGGTTTTCACATTTTGTCATTTCTTGCAGCGTGTCGGTCCTTAGTTTCTGCTTGAAAAGGTACAATAATCTGGTTTTAACTGTACAGACTTCAATGTGCCCACTGAGGTTCTCCGGCGGCAGACCCTTCTGGACCAGGACTTCTCAATTGGGATCCACGTTCACGCCGCGGCTGAAAGTGGCTCTTGGTTTCTCACTTGATCCACGAGGCTGGATCTAATCAGCGTTCACTGTGTAGTCGATTGATGGGGGGAGGACAGATGAGAGGACGTGTCCTGATGATCGCACTCGCTTGTTGTTTCGTCACATCGTCATTCAGTCCCACCGTGTGTTGTTATTGGCTGTTTTTGTTTTCCCGGCGCCGATGTGACCGATGTGTTCGCCATCTACTGGTGGTCGAGCTCAGCAGGAGATTATATAAACATTCTCAGTCCAGAATGTTGCTGTATTAAGTGAGCGGCCGCTCTTGTCTTTATCTGAATCTGTGGTCATCACGGTCCAGTCGCTGTTGCCTCACCTGTGTGTCGATGTTAAGATTATAATCTGATTACCTCGGCGGATTTAAATGCAGGTGGAAAGAACATCTTTGTTGATTGTTCGCACATTGGGTCAACTGTGTGAGATAAGGGACAGGTGAGAGACGCCTCGTACCACCTGCTGGGTTCTGTTTGACAGCAGATTAGTGCCGAAACACTTTGAAATCATTGCGTGATGAGGATGTGAGGAATGAGAAAACTCTGGAGTTTAGACGGTCACAGCTTCTCCTCGTCAGACTTCATGAATAGTTCAATCTTTTTATCCAGTGAATATTAGAAACGTATTAATCAGTCTGAATATGATTAGTTGTTTTGACTCAAAGGTGTAATTTCGGAGCAACTGCGAAGAACTCTGGGTCCGGGACGATACTAAAAGAAATATAAAAAATATAGTCCTCAGATAATGATGCATTCTGAAAATCTTGGTTATTATGGTGGGATTGTTGTTCAATGCATTCTGTGGTCACTGTTCCAAACTTTTGTATACATAAACATGACCCAGATGTGTGTGTGCGCCATTGTTATCCTCTATCGCTCTCGCAGGAAGTCTTCAGGAAGATTCCTTTGGCGTTAATCTGACCAAACACTTGTGATGGAATAACGGCCAAAAAGACTTTCTCCCATGGACTTCCATTTGGTTTAGAGACGTGTTTAACTCAGCGGGTCTTAAGTCGACTTCTACAAACACGAAAAGCCTTCAAATCGCTCCATCCTGAAAGAGCGCGGCTTGGCGGTCAAAGAGAACCTCGGTTCGTTCCTCTATCGGCGCGATGCTGACGGCGGTCCGAGTATCAACATCAGAATTCTACTCGGAAGTCAAACTTTTTTCTTTTTGCCCCCGACGGACTCCGTTGAGCGTCTCTCACTGATGAACGTACTGCAAAGCCCCCGTCACCCTTTAGATTCCCTTCAACTCTTAGACGTCCCGGGAAGTTCCTAATTGGCTCTGTGAGTTAGGAAAGAAGGATTCCCACACACGCACACCGACACGCACACGCACACACACACGGACACACTCGGGGTCAGTCGGTCAGAAATAGCTGCATAATCAGTCGGTTGGTGTTGTCGAGCCGCAGTGAGCCGGCGGCGTTGTGATGGCTGATGATGTAAGATGCGCGCGCTCGGATCCTCTAAGCTGATTGGCCGGGCGCTCCGGCTGTTTATCACTGCGGGCGGGACTCACCTGCCCGCGGCTCCTCCGGTTTCGGAGGACACAGCTGAGGGACGGGCGCCAGCGTCCTCGGCTTTGACGATGCAAGTGAGACGGCCAAGTTCAACTCATTTCAGATTCCCTCACAGCGGGAAGGAGGAGCCAGGAGGAGGACGAGGGTAGTTTGAATAGGAGGCGGGACGTCCTTGACTTTGTCCTCCAGCAGGACACGGGGGACGGTGGAAACACACACCTGTTGTCCGTGTGCCAGGAATCCACTGGAGACGCATATAGACCCACTAACCTAGACGGGACCCCCGTATCCCCGGGTTACCAAACACCAGCCGTACACTTAATACCCCCGGGACAAACCGCTGTGGGACCAGATACCGCTTTCAAATAAATGCTCCCCCGCTCATCACGAGACGTATCGATATTGTACTATACTGAGGTCCAATTATCCAACAAAGACCAAAGTTAATTTGTGTGTTTTAGCCGCCTTGCTCTCAGATTTGTGCTCGTGCAGGCGCGCACGTCTGGATGATTACTCGCAGTTCAGCTCGTAAACGTGGCCTTCACCCAGAACTGTGCATGTGCGACCCCAATGGATATTACCCAATTATTAAAATAAAAATGATGGCGCACATTTAAGAGCTGAACGTCTCCTAAAACAACAATGCTAAGAATAACCAGTAGCGGCGCCAACGGGACATTCAGATCAGGTCTTGTTGTCTTAACATACTGGAATCAGATTGGTAACCGGCGTCGTTGAGCCGCCACAAATTAAAAGATGACTGAAGCATGAAGCATTTCTATTGAATAGTTTTATCAATAAGAATGTAAAGCATTCATTAATAAACTCTTGGCACAATGTGTGTTTATTTAGCTTCACCTCAATGTGTGTGTGTGTGTGTGTGTGTGTGTGTGTGTGTGTGTGTGTGTGTGTGTGTGTGTTGCTGAGTGAAGTGAAGAGAGTCGTGGATCATCGGCGTGATTCCACAGATGTGACCCGATGTTTCCTGTTTGCTCGAACTTTAGAATTCACCGCTCCCGGGAAGCTTTGCGCGTGTGTGTGTGTGTGTGCGTGCGTGTGCATCTGGGCCTCCTGCTTGGATCGTGACCTGAGATCAGACGGCTCGGTGTAGATTTGTCATGGTGGCTCAATGCGTGCGGCGTGTGTGTTTTCTTTTGCGGGTTTTCTTACCTTGGTGACATGTTCACAGTCTCTACCATCTGCTGTATAGAAGTATACAGTATAAATCGTATATAGTTTTCCTTCGGGAAATACATTGCATGTCCCAAAGAGCTGCAGCCAATAATTGGCTTAAATGAAGTGTGACTGTGCCAGAAGAAATCTAATACACGGCTCTTTAACCTTCAGGGGAAAACAAAGTCGTAATATTTGACCGAGGAGAATCGTTTAAAGGCCTCGTAGTAACCACGTTGCTGTATTGTTATCAGGGGGAGATCGACTTCAAAGATGACCTGTGATGACGCCGTGAGATGGAAAAGTTCGATAAAGATCTCTCTGGTTCCCTTTTACTCGGTTGTTTTCTTGAAATGCTCATCGGACGTCGCGCCTCGCTGGAGCCGACACATTGACCACATGACGTCTTCTCACACACACACACACACACACACACACACACACAAGCCCAGATACACACTCTGATACAAGAGCAGGCGGTGACATCATCAATAAGTCTCACGATCCTCCTTTGGTTCCTCCCACTTATCGTCTCATGTCTTCAGGCGATGATGACTCATTTTAAGGTAGCGCCGAGGTGCATTATGGGAGAGGAAGTAGCAGAGAGCTGGCGGAGCGTCTGTGGACCACGCGGTGCTCATCTGGGATGTAAAGTGTATTCCAGGAGGTTTTAAAGGTCCTGGGACAGAGGATGTCGTATACGTGCAGATTGTAAAACCCTCTGAATTAATCGAATTGATCCTGCAGGATTTATATTTTAATTTCTTTAATGCTTGATACTTTCCCCCGGTTTGAGAGACAAAGTGTCTTTTCTTTTTTGAGTTGTATTGTTTGATGAAAAAACGATTGAATTTCAAACCAGAATTCTATATATTATATATATGGTATATTATGACCGGGGGGGGCGGTTACCTCGATGATGTCGGCTCGGGGACTTTCAGGAACAAAGCTGGGTGTGAACAAGCTCTGCAGCATTTCTGTCGACCACGAACCAATCAATAGTTGTGATGTCACTCGATTAGTAGAAGGGGGTGTGGTCACGTGCACAGAGACTGACTCGATGACCAATTAAAATCCATGTGAAGTGGCAAATTGAAGGCAGCTTTAAGGACACAACACGAAACAAAGTGGTTTCTGATTACCAGATTCCCTCGAGAAAGACGCTCGTTTTACTGCAGCGGCGTTCTCCCCCCGAGCCCCCCGGCCCGCCGGAGCTGAACGAGTCTTTGCTGAACAACCTGCATGACGTCATCTGATTTTACGGACGGACGTCCGCATTAAATAAAACTGTTTCATAACCAGTTCAAAGTTCCACAGTAACTTTAATTAAATCAAACTTACCATAGTTTCTCTTCTCTCCACAGGAAGTGGTGACCCCAACTTTCTGACCCCCTGCTCCTCCTACCCTCCCCATCCCTCCCCATCCCTCCCCCCGTCCGACCCACTGTCCTGATTGGGTGGTGGTGCTGCCGGCGGTGGATTGGAGCACTCTGGTTGGAGGCTTTGCGAGGTGGTTTTTCGGTCTGGCGCCGCCTCCCCCCGGGGCCGGCGTGCGCTCCCAGCAGCCCGTGGTGCCCTGCGCCCCCCCCTCCCCGTCACTGCACACCAGAGCCCATGCCCAAGGTAGGACCAGGACCAGGACCAGGAACCACAAGTAGATGTGAACAGAACAAAAGGGAGGACGGTTCTACATCATCCATAGATCAATAATCAAAGACACACATAATATTTGAAGTAGTCGACTTCACACAGCGACTCTCGAGGCCTTTTATTTTGACTGTCTGGTTAAACGCATCAGCTTTCCTGTGCATAGATTGAAGAAATAAAATGGATGAATAAATACTCAACAATTACTTTTTATTACCCATTAAAACCTTGTCTCTCAGGCTCAGATTTGCAATCTTATTTTCTTATTAATAATTATGATATAAAAGAATTAACATTTTCTGTGATGATTGATTTTGAGAGCTTTGTAACCCAAAAGGGAAATTGATTGGGAATCCGGCGTGGCATCAAAACATTTCAAATGATATCCGACCTGAGGCAAATATCTAAAGATATAAAATAAGTGTTCTGACTGTATGGAGGCGGACCTCCTCTTCAACAACTCCTTCTCTCCTCCGCAGGAGGAGGCGCGGTGCGTCCGCCAGGAGCCATGTGCCTCCCTCACACCAACATCATGGACAACAAGTTACAGGGGGTGGGCCAGGGGGGAGGGGCTACACTTCGATCGCGGGCAGGCGGCGTCCCGCTGGAGCCCTTTGTGCACCAGGTGCGTAGCGACGGCGTGCGGCGGTAACGACGCAGCTCCCTGTTGATGACCTGACTGGTGTTGACGTTTTTACACTGTGTGTGTGTGTGTGTGTGTGTGTGTGTGTGTGTGTGTGTGTGTGTGTGTGTGTGTGTGTGTGTGTGTGTATGCGCTCGCAGGTGGGAGGTCACACCAGCATGATGCGCTATGATGACCACACGGTGTGCAAGCCTCTGATCAGCAGAGAGCAGCGCTTCTACGAGTCTCTGCCTCCGGACATGAAGGAGTTCACGCCAGAGTATAAAGGTGAGTCTCTGGATTCCACTTACACGGAACCTTTTACGTCCGGCGCACGTGGCGGCGCTCACGCGTGCGTTTCTATCAAGCTCAATATTTTGCCTACATCCATATTTGTTGGATTTTAGCCTTTTAAAAAAAATCTGTCATTGAAGTGAACAAAGCGGATTGTTTTGACTGAAATTTATGAAATATGAAAAAAGCCGGCGAGGAAGACGGAACTACGGATGTTTATTGGCGATGAAGTGCTTTAGCTGCTCTGCTCTTCATCACACTCTGACAGCCAGCGCTCGCACACACACACACACACACGCCTCTCAGGCTGCAGGTATGGGACCTTTTTATCCTCTTAACAAACTATGTGAGAGAGGAGGACGGATCGCTGGCAGTAGATCGGGTGGTTGGTTTTTGAGATCTGACCAAATGGCACCAAATTTGTGGTGGTGACTCTACATTCCATCACATGTCAGTTGGCTGACGCTTTTATCCAAAGCGACTTACAACAAGTGCATTTCAACCATAAGGAAGGAAGGAAACTCGAAAGAACACAAAAAGACTCAATGACCAATTCAAATCCATGTGAAGTGGCAAACTGAAGGCAGCTTTGAGGACACAACACGGGACTTTAGATTTGTTTTTTCCTGTGAAACAAAGTGGAATCTGATTACCAGATTCCCTCGAGAATGACGCTCGTTTTACTGCAGCGGCGTTCTCCCCCAGCCCGCCGGAGCTGAACGAGTCTTTGCTGAACAACCGAAAGAACACAAAAAGTGCAATTTCATCAAATAAGCTGATTGACAAGTTATAAATAAGAGACACCCTACACATGATCTACAATAATGACATAAAACAATTGGGTGTAAAATATGAGAAACCAAACGGAGGCATCCAACCTACAGCATCCAGCATCCTGTATTCTCAGTTCCCACCAGTTCCTCTGGTGTTGTGGGTCCCAGTACCATGACAACAGTGGTCCATAAAGAGGCTATATTTAGCCCTGGATCCGTGCCCACTACCATTGTCCTGCTGATTAAACAACACAGAGAGGGACAGACAGGCGGACAGACAGACAGGCAGCTGTCTGGGGATGAGTTTCTCAATCTGGGAAGGTTGTTTTTAAGTGGTTAACGATTTCACATGAAAACACTTTTCTCTTTTTTCATTGAACAAACTGTAAAGTTGTACTTGGACAATCAGGGAGGAGGTTGAGTGTCTCGCTCGGCGGGGATGAGATGCTGTTCTGGGTAAATAAAATATAACCAGTTTCTCAATTAAATGAAATCATCAAATCTTGATGGACAGATGGATAAGAAATGACAAGAAAAAAAACAACTTTGAATGTGTGAAGCTCCTTTTGCACCGACACAAAACCACCAGCTAACTGCCTCGTGTGTTTGGACCCGACTGCTGCTTTGCACTGCGGAGCCACCAGAGCGTAATTTTTTACAGCAGCAGGTGTAAAAATAATTCGAGGTTATCCACTCTGCTATTAATAGACATGTTTACACAAGGACCGGTGGCGATTAGACAGGATTGAGACCCGGCCCTGGACCTCCATTACCAGGAGTCTCACGCCTCCCTTTGTCCTTTGGCTCCGTCCCGACAGGCGTGGTGCTGGTGTGTTTCGAGGGCGACTCGGACGGCTACATCAACCTGGTGGCGTACCCCTACGTGGAGAGCAACATGGAGGGGGGGGCGGCGGAGCACGAGGAGCGCGACCCCCCCGAGCGGGAGCAGCCGAGGAGGAAGCACTCGCGGCGCAGCCTCCACCGCTCCTCGTCAGAGCACAAGGAGGAGCGGCCCGACAGGAGGGAGGCGCACGACGCCGAAGCTTCTGATACGTAAGATCGGGAGGGAAATGTTCCCCAGCTATCGAGATGTAGTATTTGAAACAACACAAACCTTTACAACCATTGTAGCAACGGTGTGCTTTCATCTCCATCAACCATCCTCGTCCCTGCAGCCTCGCAGAGCTGAAGAGTCCGAGGATCGACCCGAAGGTCTACTCGGACGTTCCGTTCCAGATGTTGGACTGGAACAGCGGTTTGAGTTCGGAGCAGATCAGCCACAACCCCTGGAGCCTCCGATGCCACAAGCAGCAGCTCAGTCGCATGAGGTCCGAATCCAAGGACCGCAAGCTCTTCAGTATCCTTCCTCAACCAGCCACAACCACTGGCCATAAGCAAAGGGTGCACGGTGCACGTACTATATCTTTTCCCCACTTCTTCTGAATTAAAAACAAAGCTCTGGGTGAAAAAACTAGCAGTATCTAATGCTGTGATTTCTCTGCACATGGGAGGTGTAGCTGTCAGAACGATGGATGTGTGTTTATTTGAGTCTAATTGGCGGTTTTTGGAGAACAGGGTGCTGCGTGTCAATGTCAGGAGGACTGTGGGACCGGGTGGGGGCTTGATGGGGTCGACGGTCGTGTTTTGATCCTCCGCTTCAAAGAGCACAGCTGCTGGGAAAACACCACACGCTTTGTCCTCAACCCGGTCCGTCTGTGTGCAGCCGAGCCTCAACACGGCCGCCACCAGAGAGGCTCCTCTCTTCTCGCGAATCTGCACCCAATTAAACGCCTTTTGTTTTTATGGAGATACATTTCTCACTACAATTTTCATTTTTCCACCCTGTGGACCGTTTACAGGATGTGACTTCACTCGGCTAAACATGGCATCGTCAAACGATTCTCTGTGTACAAACCGGAGAAGATTCGCTCAACAAACACAACATTTTGCTCCTTAACTGCATCGTTTGAACCAGAGTTTCTGTTGCTGGAGAACGTGGTTCACCACTTCTCGTACCCCTGCATCCTGGACCTGAAGATGGGCACCAGGCAGCACGGCGACGACGCCTCCGAGGAGAAGGCAGCCAGGCAGATGAAGAAATGTGAACAGAGCACTTCAGCCTCGCTGGGGGTCAGAGTGTGTGGCATGCAGGTAAGGCCCCCGCCACCATGGCGCCGACAGCCTCATCGAGGACCGACTCGTCCCAACAAGAGGACTTTAACCCCTGACTTCCTGTCCCGATGTCTCCGCAGGTGTACCAGCCCCACACCGGCCACTACCTCTGCAGGAACAAGTACTACGGCCGCGGCCTGTCGAGCGAAGGCTTCCGCCAGGCCCTCCAGCAGTACATGCACAACGGAAAGGGTCTGAGGCGGGACCTCTTCGAGCCGATCCTCAGTAAGCTGCGCAGCCTGAAGTCGGTGCTGGAGCGGCAGGCGTCCTACCGCTTCTACTCGTCTTCGCTGCTCATCATCTACGAGGGGAAGGTGAGCCGGATACACACTCTGGAGGGGCGAGACGTGTCCGTGAAGCAGCTCCCTGGGGTCGCGTGCTCGCCCCGCTCGGGGCCCGTTTGTTCCCCCGGCGAATCGGTCGGATAAGCCGACTGTCTTTTTGTGTTCGTAGCCGTCGCTACAAAAGCGGCGAAAAGAGGTCAATTCCAGATTAGGTTTGTTTACGTTCTACAAGAGCAAGTGCAGCCAAGACGGAATTACCGACCACACTTTTCCTTATGTGACAGTTACAATGATACAAATAAGAATTTACTTTCAATCAAATTATGATCAATCTAACTTTGGGGCCCTCCAACGAATGTTTGCTTCAGGCGAGGTAACGGTGAGGTGACAGACCCGTCTCTGCCGTGGCAACATAAACCATCCTGGAACAAGCTATGAACGCTGACGTATCATCTCTTTTTAAAGTAGATAATGGTAAAACAGTTGCTTATTCACATACTTGTTGTAGTTATTTATATTGTTTATATGTTTCATTGGAAAAGGCTTCCCAGCGCTGAGGCTCTTCCTCCCGATTACACGACTTCTTGAGTCTGTGAGGTTTAATGATGCTGATGTTTTCATTTTAAATCCCGACTGTGACTCCTGTCCGTAGGAACCCGAGGGCCCTTCAGTCCTCAGCTCTGGGCAGCATGCAGCCTCGCATCAGAAGACCCCCGCGGCCCCCGTAGAGCCCCGCCGAGGCCCCGCCCCCCACGCTCCCCCAGCCCCAGGCGCTCCCTGTGAAACGGACATGAGCCAGATCCCGGACCCGGGGCCTCCGCCCTCTCAGGGGCCCGGACTGATGGCTAAGCCCGCCCCCTCCCCTCGACCTCCCCCGCAGGCCCCGCCCTCCAAGTCAGACTGCCACTCCTTCCACTCATCTCTCCCCTCGCCTCATCCACGTCCGGACTCCTCCTCCCCGGCTCCCGGCTCAATTTCCTTTCCGCCGGCTCCTCCTCCTCCTGCTGCTGCACGTCAGCCCCAGCAGCCCCCCATGGTGGACGTGCGTATGATCGACTTCGCCCACTCCACCTTCAAGGGTTTCCGTGGCGACACAGCCGTGCACGACGGACCGGACCGGGGCTACGTGTTCGGACTGGAGAGCCTGGTCCAGATCCTGGAGAGTCTGCAGGGCGACAACTTGCCGTAGCTCCACAGACACACACACACACACACACACACACACACACACACACACACACACACACACACACAAAGCTTGTTGTTAGTTCAGGTTGTACTCGTTTGGCTGTAAATACAGAAGAAGGCTATTCAGGACGTCACCATGGCAACGTGGTTATTCTACAGCCAGGTAGTTACTCTGGCAACATCCAGAAGGTGGAACCAATGTCTGAAACTTGAAGTGAACTTCCGTCTTGTCCTGTATTTGTGAGGACCTGCATTTCAAAGGCACTAACCATTCAAGTCCCCCGTCTCCCCCAAGTGTATTTATCTTGTTTTTACTTCACCTGGATGTTTGAGCTTTTCTCTGCAGAGTGAGTTTCACACTCAAAGGATGTTTTTACATTTGCCTGCTGACGCGTGTGAGTGCGCTCTCTGATCTGAGTTACAGACCTGAATATACGAGCTTGTCGGCTTGTTCAGATGCCATATTTTATCAAAGACAAAAACATTGGGACCAGTAGTAGATTGGATTTTTGAGCATTTTAATGGGGCACTTTTTTCCCTTAGTATTTCCAAAGCAGGCCATTTTAGTCTTAAAACGTGTGTTCAAACTCCGAGTTTAAGCGTGAAGTGAAGCTCAAACATCCTGGTGAAATAACAAGAGAATAAGCAAAAACTCCCATATGAGTGGAAGCAGCGTTTAATCAACTTTGAAGGATGTGACGACCAGCAAAACATGTCGTCACGCTCACGGTCCCCAAACACAAATTTATTCTCTACAAGAAAGAGATCTCACACACACACACACACACACACACACACATCCTGGGAACCGTTGTCTGTTGAGCTTTTGGACACCGGGACAGAGCGTCCTCTCTGAAGGTCCCAGGGGCCTCCCACTGAACACTCGCTCAAGCTCCACCCCCCCCCACCTCCTCCTCCTCCTCTAACGAAAACCAAACCCGGACAGGTGAACATGACTCTTGGAGCGTTACCTTGGCAACGCGCTCAGAAACACATCCAAGCATCTGTTAAAGCAATAGACGGTGACCTTTTTCTGTTTTTCGGCAGGTCAGAGGTCGTCTCCGCCCACACGGAGAACGCCTATAAAGTGCAACGTAGAAGTAGGCTCTGAGGAGGAGATGTAGATGAATTACCGACACAACGCTGTGTGTCCTTTTTTAGGGGCTTATTTCAAAAACGTTAGTAGTCGATGTCCTGTTAAAGCATCCTCTGGGTTATTGTGTAAAGCTCAAGTGTCCAGAATCTGGTCCTCTGATATTTTTTATTATTGTCAACAAATCCCATATAAAAAAGAGAGCTCAATCCAATACTGTAAACAAGTAATATCTGTGTATCCAGAGCCTGATATGTCTTCTTCCTCTGTGCCATAGAGCTCCATCAGTGTCCAGAAATATTAAAAACACAGCAATATGTTGCCTTGGGTGACATGGTCCGTCATTACTAACACACACACTGTAGTAACACACACACACACACACACACACACACACACACACACACACACACACACAGTCCTGCTGCCACAAATACTCACCAGAGCATATTCTTGAACAAATGCACTATTTCCTCCTGTTTGATTAAAACTACAGTGACCCGCTGCTTTATGGAAACTATTAAGACTTTTAGAGGCCAGATTCAATTTTATTTTTATATACCAAATTATTTTAGGGTTGTTTTCTTTGATCTGATTTCTTTGCCTTCAGACTATTTGGGGACATTGTGGTTCGTGTTCGGCGACATTGTGGCGTAAAACCTCGGCTGTCATGACGCCCCAGATGATTTAGTCTTGACTTTGGAAAAAAAACATTGACAAATGAATCTGGACTTTCTCTTAGTAGCTTCTTCAGGAGACTGAGTAGCTCAATTCTGTGGGATTGGGGTTGCAATTCCCTTTTTTTCTTTTTGTCTATTTATTTTTGACGTTAAAAAGCTCCATAACCGCTTATATTTACTACTCCCTGTTACTGCTTTTTTAAACGACGTAAACGACGTTTTTTAAAGAGTAACATTTTAATTCCTGCACGATGCACGATGGAGCGTGCGTGGGTGTGTGATCCATTTTAAATGAACTGCTGCAGATGTCGTAGGAACAAAAGGGGTTTGAGGCACGGAGACAGGAAGTCAGTTTTTGGTCTTTTCATGGGATTTGATGACAAGAAGAAAGAAATATAGATTGATCTTTAAGTTAGGGCTGTGTGATATGGTTGAGGATATTTAATAAGATGAATATTTTTCTTACATATATATATCCATCCATCCATCCATCCATCCATCGTCAAACCGCTTATCCTGCACACAGGGTCGCGGGGGGGCTGGAGTCCATCCCAGCCAACTTCGGGCGATAGACAGGGTACATCCTGGACTGGTCGCCAGCCAATCGCAGGGCAACAGTACATATATATATATAAATATAAATATAATATATGTGTGATTAATTCACAATATGCCAAACTGCAAAATTATACAAAATAAGAATGAACGTTCACTGCATTGAACTGTTTGTTTGAGGCAAATTATTATTTAAAAAACAATCATTCATTTGGATAACATCCTTTTTATATACATGATATTTCATCGTAAATATTAAATTATTGTCCGGCCTCAAAGGTGCACCAAGGACAACAACACGGTTCATGGTCCTGTAACTGTCAACCGAATTAGTCCGAAATCATTTGAAGATGTCACCACTTTGTCTCATCTGATTGGTCCTGATGGGAGGAGTGTTGGCCAATAACATTCGTCCATTTATGCTTCTTCAACGAGTTCCGGAGGCCGCGCTGTGACGCAGCAGCGCCCCCTGCTGCACAGCACCGGCAGGTCCACCACAGGAGCTGGAATAAGAGAGGGAATATGAATATTTTATTTTTTGGTTTATCAAGGTGATAATTTATTTTTTTATTGTACCTTTATCCGTGTGTGTGGATAAATGTTTTGTCTTATTGAAGGCCCCCCTTCGCCCCCTCACCCAAATGTGTAAAATGTAAAGAAATTCTGAGACACTGTGTGAGATGTTAGGATAAATACACAGTATTATTTGAGCTAACTCAAACCTGTTTTAATTAACTGCTGACCGGTATTCAGTTAAATGCCGACTCGGGAGACAAAAACAGATTGTCTTTCAGGAAGAAAACTGTTGCAGTAAATCCAGACTTCAGTGAGCTCAGCGAGCCCCACTTCTGCCTGCCGTGGAGTTGTTCTGAATGTGTGTGTGTGTGTGTGTGTGTGTGTGTGTGTGTGTGTGTGTGTGTGTGTGTGTGTGAGAGAGCAAGCAGGTAGCCACCATCTTTAATCTGGTTTGTTTAACTTCACATTTTTAAGGAGTTGGTAAAAACTGCATGCACATTAATGTCCTCCTGTTTTTGGTCAGCTTCCACCACAGCGTCAAACATTCTTGTTACAGTCATCACATGGTCTAAAGCAGCGACTGTCTACGTGTCCCCTCAGATTGTGATACATCATCATGGATATTAGCCTCAATGATTGATCAGTTATTTTAGCAGCATTTTCTGCATCTGACATCACTCCGACTGTTTGTTAGAACAGTGAAAGTAAATGAGATTAAATCTTTCCAGAAGCTCTGGGGCTCTTGTTGTCATTTCTTATGTCAACAGACGCGTCCAGCTCTGCCACGACAGGTGAATCCCGCTGAAGAAGCAGCAGCCTGAAGGTCATGAGACACTGTCAGTTCTCATCAATCGCTTTGATTATCATATAAAACATCAGCAGCATCTGCCCTCATGGACACATATTTAAAGGAATACATCCAGACCGTAAAAAAAAAAAATGTTTAGCCACTTGGAGAGCAGAAGAAGCCAGCTCACACAACATTGACATATAACCACATTTTAAATCAATATGTTCTTGATGTGAAAGATTGTTGGCTTTAGGGGGATTAATTGGCAGAAAGGGCATACGGTGTTCATTACTAAGTAAACAACATAATCCATTGGCTGTTTATAGGAAGTATAATATGAGGTGATAAGTATCTTATAAGGCATAAGGGGCGTGTTTTCGTGATGTCATAATGAGCCGCTAATATCAACCTTTATATCTATGATATCAACCACATGAGCGGTTCTTCTTCAGGAGGTCGCCCACGTCGCTACGGTGGCCCGCAGCGGACAAACCAAACTCCTAATTGAGAACCGTTAGTTCTCTAAAAAGAGCTTTGTGATCACTTTTACGCTTCAATCAGCTACCGAGCAACGAGGTCATTAATTTGCAGTCCAGTTTATGTCCACCTGATGAATGTAAGTCTGAATATGGCTCTCGCAGCTGTTTTTCGGTACAAATCAACTCTAGAGGGGCATATTGGTCCCTTGCTAATTCCGATTATTATAAGGCTAGTAGCAATATAATGGAGTCTCTCTGTTATATCCCACTGGTTAGCTAAATTCCACCCCCTCTACTTTGGCATGAAGCTAAGACAGAAACCATTATCGCTTTCAGCTCTGTTGCTGTTAGCACCGTTAGCACCGTTAGCTAAGAGCGTTGACTTCAGCCGTCCATGTTGAGAGCCGTGTGGAGGCAATGCTCTTGGTCTCAGTCTTTCAAAGGAAGCATTTGTTTTTCATTTTATCAAAATGAATCAAGCAACAGAATTCTCTTATTATTCCAACATAACATGATTTATAGAGTACAACCTACCCACTGCCCACTCGTAAGCTGATTTGTGTCTTTTAAGCGTGTAAAGAACTGGATACAATGACCAGTTCTTTCCTATAAAGTGGTTCTGTGGTGCACAAAGCAAATAAAGTTTGACCTCAGAGTCCAAATCATATTCTGACACTTTAAACATGATGAATGACTCAGACACATCTATTGGAAAGACAACCGCTTGCTGTATGCTAACAACCCCCAGCAGTGACATGAATGTGATATACGTCTAGAGACAAAGTGTAAATATTTGATGAACTTTAAGGGTTTTGAAAAGACAACATCAATATTTCTTTGTTCATCAGACAATCAGGAATTGTGTCGGTTCAGAGGCTCAGTATTCACTCTTAATTTATATTAAATTAAACCAGTAATGAATTGACTTCATACAATATGGAAATTCCTGTCTGAACCTTTATTTGACACATTATGTCCAACTGTTAAATTCACCTTATTCCTAATGACAAGACTCTGACATTTTGTGTTAATCCTTTTATATATTTTTAGTCTACAAAGTGGAGCTTTTTTCCTGATGGTGGCGCTAGAGGAACATCTTTTGGGAGACAAGAATATTCAAATTTGACAGTACAGATCTCCTGGTATTGGCAAAACATTTCAATTTATTTTATTTTGTATAGCCCAAAATGTCAAATTACAAATTTGCCTCAGACGGCTTTACGGTCTGTACACTTGCCACATCCTCTGTCCCGAAAAGCCCGGGATGGACAGACTTCAATGGATGTCATGTGTACAGATGAAAACATCAACTCTAAATCAGATTATAAACTGGCATGCTCACATTAGTAGAATCCTCAAAAAGGCAGCTGGGTAATAAATAATCCATTCTTTACTTGCAGTACAACCACATTGGGATAAAGTTAACATAAAATAACGTATTGCACATTTGTGTGAACGTATCAATAAGTACAAATGATTCAATCTGACAATCTTAAACAAATGTGCAACTATTTCTGTTGTTCTGGGCATCCCTCTTTTATTGTTATTTTCTATTCTTTTATGGAAATAAGACCGTTAATTCTTGGTTCACAGTGGTTTTATCCTCCCAATCGCTATTTTAGTTGTATTTATGTATTATCCAAATATAGGCTACACAATCACAGACATTAAGATCACACGCTGTCTTTCTCAAAGGGAAATGCAAACTTTTAATTGGTATTTTAACTAATAATAATCTCTTAATGGCCTCCTCCTGCATCACCTGCGGACGCCGCCCTGCCGGCCGTAGAGGTCGTACTCCCGGTACATGACGTAATCCTTCAGTCGCCCTGGCAACGGCACGAAGCTCATGAAGACAGGGGATCGTAGACGGAGGCGACCGAGACAACGACGGATCCGCAGACGACAGAGATGCTGCAGGGGGCGAGCGTTTTCTGGGGAGGAGGAGGAGGAGGAAACGTTGACCACCGAATGTGTGTATGTCTACGAGGGAGGAGTGGGGGGGTAATAAAATATGATTTAATTCAACCTTGCAGCCTGCAGATGTCGGGCCACTGCCGCTGTTCCATCACGGCCGCCTTCAGCTTGGAGCACAGGGGCACGTGGTCCAGGTAGTCCAGCATGACGCGGACCAGCTGACCAGAGAGGTCCTTCAGCCAGCGGACGGTGATCACCTCGCAGAACTGCACTGACGGAGGTTCAACAGGACACTTTTCAGTGTGAATGAGCCGCACAACACGCAGGTCAATCCACACCCTCCGTCACGCATGCTGATATGACTGAATGATTCAAAGTATTACAACTACAGGATTAATACGTCATGCAGCTCAATACATGCAGGGAATTGGCATGGATTTATTTACATTTCTATCTGAACTGCGTTGAAAAAAGTAATTGTTTCCAGAGGATGAATCTGAATAACTTTGGAGATCTTTTAGTGACATCGGCAGAGCCATTGACATTTTATGGACAGTTAGGGAAACAGGAAGTGGTATTGTTTTTCTTTTTCTTCATTTTAGTTTCATTTCAGCTAACGAGCTCCAGCATGTGGCCCCTCCCCCCTCTGATGACCTGTGCTCGTTACCATTGTGTCTTTGATCACAGAGTTGCTCCATCCCTCGTAGTCTTCAGGGACGTGGGAGCCGTTGCCGTAGGGACAGTCGAAACAGCGCTCCACATCGTAACCATAGTTACACAGCATCCTGAGGACCACCTGACACACACACACAGGCCGGATTCAACACCGCAACCAAAATGAGACAACTGTACTCAGGGAAAGTAAAAGCAACAGTTCACCTCGTCTTTGAGAGCGTACTGCAGCGCCGATGGGAAGTGCGTCGTGTTTATTCTGCAGTAATAGTTGACGTTGGCTCCAAACCTCAGCAACAGGTTGATCAGCTCGTAGTTGCCCACACGCAGTGAGATCTTAAAGACACAGTCCCTGGATCAGCTGCAGGTCATCATGGACAAACAACAGCGTATCCAAGCCGCCAAGAATCGATTAGCGAATAACAGGCTAAGGATTTCCCGCCTGCGTCCAGTCTTTATGCTAAGCTAAGCTAACCACATTCTGACTTCAGCTGGACCAGCTCTGAACTTCACACATACATGAGATCGATCTCCTCATCGCACTCACAGAAAGTCTTTGTATATTGTGTTTATATCTCGCAGGTACCTGCAGACATTTGATGGGGTCCTGGTTGGCCATGGCTCCGGCCTCCAGCAGCAGTTTGGCCGACGGGACGTCGTTATTTAAGACTGCGAAGAAGAGCGCCGACTTCCTTTCGTCGTCATAGCTCCGCTGGACCCAGGGATGGAGCATGTAGTTGGGGTCATAACCTGCGTCCAGCAAGGCCTGATGGGAGTTGTGGAGGAGGGACTATTAAGCTGTTGTGTGCTTAACAGACAGTATAGAGCACTAAGTCCAACATAATAGATGAAACAGTAGTTAAGTAAATGTAATATCCCCCCCTCACACACACACCTTGATGCAGTCCGGGTGTCCTCCTGCAGCAGCAGAGTGCAGAGGACTTATTCCGCTGTCCTCAACTTCGGCCTTAGAAGTGACGGGAATCAGCAGCTTTAGAGCTCTGAGACACACACACACACACACACACACACACACACACACACACACGATGAGGATGTTGTTCCTCACAGAATGAATGACTCGTGAAACTAGCTTTAAGTCAACATGTACTGCAGGTGTCCCCGGTGGGCCACGCGGTGGAGCGGCAGGTGTCCCGTCTGTTTCGCCACGTTGGCGTCGGCGCCAAAATCCAGCAGCAGACCGACGACCTCTGGATCTCCTGAGGAAGACGCCTCGTACAAGATGGAGGCCTCGTCCTGCGCCTGGGACAGGACGTCTGCTCCTGCAGGACGAACAAGAGGTGACTTCTGACTAAATATAGAAACAAACAAACTGCACAAACTAAATACTATTATATTATTTTGATGTAAAGGGGAATCTGAAGACATTTTTCTTTTTTTTAAAGGGAAAAATGTCCATCTGAACGTTTTTCATGTTAACGTAAGTAAGTAGGTAACGCAGCGGAGACCCCCGGCTCTCACACCTCTCCTCAGCAGCGTCTCCACCACTTCACGGCGTCCCGCCTGAGCCGCCAGCGCCAGCGGCGTGAGGCCGTCGCGGCTCCGAGGGTCCGTCAGCGCTCCGGCCTCCAGCAGCAGGCTCACCAGCTCCGTCTTACCCAGCCGCGCGGCCTCGTGGAGGGGGCCGCGCCCGCGGCCGCCCCCCCGGTTCACGCCGGAGCCCCGCTGGAGCAGCAGCTTCGTCAGGTCAGCTCGGCCCGAGCGGATCGCTGGAGAGGAAGACGTCCAACGCGACGACATTAGAGCTGATGACGAGGAGCTACATGTTATTTGTATGTTTATTTTGCAAACAAACGTAAACTACAGAGGTTATAAACTACTAGTATCACCAATTTCATCAAGTTGAATGGCAACTATTCTGATCATTCTTATTTCATTAATAGAAAAAATTATCTGCACATTAATTCATAATTAAAATTAAAATGAGCTCCAGCTGTAACAGTAAAATAATTGACATAAACTGTCTGCAGCTCCTCTCGGTGGTGCGTCAGTATCTAATGTAACAGCATTTATTTATTTTAACCAGGGAGTCCTGAGTGAAGGAACGTGTGCTTTGGGAGAAGACCTACCCAGGAGCAGCGGCGTGTCCTGGTCCTGGTCTTCGCTGTCCGCCTCGGCGCCGCGTTGAAGGAGGAACGAGGCGTTCTCCATCAGACCTCCTTCTACCGCCAGGTGCAGAGGAGTCTGACCACGGCGAGTGCGACTCTCCAGGGAGCCGCAGCCCGAGCCTGGGGGACACGACGGCGTTGGAGCTCCCGTCTCGTGCGGCGGTGTGGTGGCGCACGAGACGGGCAGAGTACGAACCTTTGAGCGTGAGCTCCAGGACGGTCTGGTTGGTCTGAGCCGCCGCTTCGTGGAGAGGAGTCCAGCCCCGGCCGTCCGCCCGGGAAAACTCCTCCCTGCGTCGGAGGAGGAGATCCTTCAAGAGCTTCTCGTCACCTGGAGGGTCACGAGTCCCTTTTTAGATTTTATTTAAGAATAACCAACACAGAAGAAATGAATATGGTTTAATTTTTTATTAATAAAATAAAGAAAAAATATGGGTCACATCCAAGGGGGAATGCCATTGGGAAACAAAGCAAAAAAGAATAGGAAAGATGTTTTCTATTTGTTGTTTCAGATTTTACTTCAGGAAAACAGAACGAGTGTCTCCGAAAGCCAAAGTTTAAGCTTCAATCACAGGATGGAGAACATTTGACAGAAGCCATCAGAAACTAGAAAAGGAATCCATTGAAACACTATGAAACGTGCCATGAAAATGATCTACAGATCTCTCAATGTGCGGTTTGATTTGTGTTCTTTTAGAGTAGACTCACCTTGTCTTATGGCGCTGAAGGTCGGGCTGCTGTCTGCACTCTCCGGCCCGCAGCTGTGAGCCAACGAGAAGATCCATCAACACAAACTAACAGAGTTCTGTGGAGCTCATCAGGAAAAGTTTTACCTGGTGGGAAGAATATTGGTTCAAAAAGGCAACTGACTGACATGTGAGACGGACATTTCAGATCAAACAAGTATTTCACCACTGGAAAGTTGTTCCCTTCATTAAAGTAGGATGTTTAAATTACTGGTATACAACCAGAGAATAAGGGCTGTGGTTATTCCCTTTAGGGTGAAAGGTGGAAAACCTACAACACCCAGAATGCACTGGGCTCGTTGCAGCCGCTGAGTGGACAAAAGCTCTATTCAAAATCACATTACAAAATAACGTTAAAGAAAGAAATGTGTCTAAAGTAGATCAAAAAGGATAAATAAAAATAAAAAACATTCCTGTTTTAAGTAACTAATTTGAGGTTGAATGGAAAAGTTTTACAAACGGTTGACATTCAGGCAGAAAACATTCACTAGACGTAATATTGTTAAACTTGAGGAAACAGGACAGTGAAGGAATGGGGGGGAAATGTTCATGACCTTGGTTTCTGAGCCTCCTTCTGTTTGTTGCTCTCGAGAAGACTCTGTTCAATCATGTACTGAGTCGCCGGGTCCTCGTCTTCATCCTCTTCGCCCTCCTGAAGCCCAAATCGCTCAGACTCCATGAACACGGCCGTCCTCTTCAAAACTGCTTATTTAGCTTTTAAATGAATGCACATCGGTACAAGTTCTTCTGCACCGAACTGGCAAAAGACGCTTGTGAGTTAAAGATATGATTCAGTCCCTCGAGCACCTAGTGTACTATATTTAATGATCAGGCATACTCGTTCAGTCACACCATTATCTGGACGCAGCGTTTTACCTTGTTTTTCGATCCTTCTTCAAGTCCTTGCAGCTTATAAGAGTCTGTTCTTGTTGTGGAGGGAGGGGGGGGGGCGGCAGAGGGGTCTCTGACCCGTCACTGAAACCAGAGCTTCATACGTCCGCGAGGGTTCAGAATGAATCCATGGTCCAGTGTTTTAACAGTAGAGACAGTCACGCTCCAGATATTCATTGGGATTTGAGGAATGTCAAAGTGTTGATATTCTGCTGGCAAAGATAATGAGTTTGTTCCACGTTTCAGCTGTTTGGCTGCAGCACGCTGGCTGAGAGGAGAAAGACGATCTGATACCACCAACTATATTTACCTCCTGAGGAGTCTATGAAGTGAAGTGATCAGCAGATAGTCAGGGTGACACTTCAGGGCCGGACAACTGAGTGAATCGGATTCATAGACAACTACTCAGAAATATTCAGTTGTGTTTTTTTTTATAAAATTACCTTTAAAGTATACCAAGAAGTCTTAAAACTACCTTCTGAAAGACTGCTACACAAAAGAAAAAAATCCCAGTGGGGGCCGAGGCTCTCTGATCGAAGGTTTGATCCCCAGCTCGTCCACACGTGTGAAAGGGTCTTTGTTGCAATTTGTATTAATGTGCACGTGAGGAAAGTTGTAAAATGCTTTCAATGAAGTTACACTCCTTTTAAATAAAAGACAAATTTGTTTTCAGGAAAGACGTCAAACGAGTTTCAGCCTTCAGGGCGGTTTGACAGGATTCTTTTGTCATCCCAGACAAAGTAAAACAACCCATTTTTAGGAAAGTCACACAAAACCTCAGCCTGATAGATTACAGACCTACAAACAATCCGTCACACGATTGGGTGCCTGTAAATTGAAGCTTCCATACATTTTCATGCTTTGTTAAGTGTTCTAAAAGCATTGTTCGTAGGTGACCGATAATGAAAGAACAACCCGAGACAAACTGACCGTAATTGAAAATGTGTTTATTTAATTCTCTGTCTGAGCCGTCTATGACCTTGGTCTCTCCTTCTTGCCTTTGTACAGAGCCAGCAGGGACACGTTGGCCACCTTAACCACCTTAAAACGAACTCCGGGAATATCACCAACGGCGTGACCTTTACGCCCGAATCCTGCCACCAGAACCTCATCGTTCTCCTGCAGGGGACGGAGAAGGAGGGCGGTTAGTAAAATACACAATATGTAGATTAGCTGAAGGCGGAATTAAATAAGCACACACGTCACTTTCACTCAGCTGAGGTTTTCTGCTCCAGATTCTGCACAAATGCTTGTCCTGTTGTTGCTATCTGAGGATATATACAGGGCAGGAATTTACCTCGATGAAGTTGAGGCAACCGTCGTTGGGGACGAAGGCGGTGATCTTCTTGCCGTTCTTGATGAGCTGAACTCTCACACACTTCCTGATGGCAGAGTTGGGCTGCTTAGCCTCAACGCCACTGGAGACGGGGAAGAAATGCTCTTTAACTTGTGAGAAACATTGGGTAAAAATATGTATGCAATACAATTATCAACTATGTAGCTGTGGCTCCAGTAGCAGCGAAGGAGGGAAAGACGGACGTTTTACTCGTCCTACATTGTCGACTGAGAAAAAAATCCACAGAAATTTCAAACCTCGACTGACATTTTGAATGAACCTTTTTGATACTTTTGACTTGGTGTGGCAAACATGTAAAATGACGTTGTTGTCCATGTCATCGGCTACCTCTCGATTCTAAGGTATTTACAGCCCTGCGAGTACTCACACTTTCTCAAGGACGATGCCCTTGGCGTGGGAAGCTCCTCCGAAGGGGTTGGCCTTCAGGGCTGTGCCCAGATGGGCCTTCTTGTACTGTTTATCGTGCCATTTCTGCTCACGACGGTGATTTCGGAGCTTTCTGGCTGTGCGCAGACCACGGCACTTTCCTGGGAGACAAAGAACAACGAGAAACAATGTTAGCGCCAATGCAACCATGTAGGATTTATGATGATGGCTTCATACATTCAATTGGATTAAAATTCCAAGAACTATGATGTCTGACTCTTAACCGTTTCCACGCTTGAATTAGAACACAATTAAGGCAAGTTAGCTGTAATTAAAACAGGTCCTTTCCTTTCTTGGGACTCTGGCGTCAGTACAGATGCTTTTAAACACAAAGAAATGATCAGATGAGTGATGTGTGTGTTACAAATACAGCATTAGCGTCGCTTGAAAACGTCTCTAATTAGTGCCAGATCAAGTCAAACGCCTCGAATGTGATATTTACTGTGCATCGGCATCGGCGGGAAGTTTAATGCAGTTGACTTTGCGTTTTTGCGATTGAGCGAACATTAACAAAAACACAATCGCACTATTTTCTCTGCCACAATTGATCGACACATGAACGAAGCCTTTCGCCATCAGCTAAGAACGTCGTTAGCATGAGGCTAACCTGTTTAAAGAGTTATACGTAATCATTTAGGATAATACGTTACTATCTTATTTCGTGGTTTAACCAACGCACCAAAGTTTATAGCACCAACAATGTATGTTACAAACAGGACGTATGCTATGCTAACCATGCTAACTCGCAGCTCAGATGCGTTATGGCCGCTCCACGTTGCGGGAAGAGAGAACCGTAAAACGGTCCGTTTTTTATTCATCCTATGAATTTATTCCACCACAAATACCTCGGAAGGAGTTTATAAGAGATTCAAATTCGATATAGGCGTAAAAAATCCCAGCAGGGAACAGAGTAATTGGACATTTGGAGTAAAGTCAAAGCCGTACCCATGATTGCAGATGCGAGCCTGGGAAGGAAAGGAAGGTCCCAAGATGCACCGCGGCAATGTCTAGTGTGAGGACCCTGACGGGAGTGGCTGCAGGGGATGCCTGACCTAAATTATCACTCAAGGTGAAGAATACGTACCATCATATATTCTCTCTTATGCATCCATGGGTAAAACAATTTATTGTATCCTTTATTTTTCAAACGGAACAAATCATTTAAATGCTTTTGTTACTACACTGTGGTATATGAGGACTTCAATACATGTCCAAACGTTTCAGCTTTGTTTGCTTTTTCGTCTTGCTTGAATTTAGATTTGTAGGTTATTTAACATTTTATAGGTTAATTACTTGGTTATTGTAGATTCAAAATCTGTTGTTTGAAAGTTGTTGTCTATTTGAGAGATGAAATAATCCGAAGATATATTGGTGTTCAGTTTATATAGCTACTGAACAATATTTAAATAGATGTCCTCACACAAAGCACGATGTAGACTCTTAGGAAGTAATATTAGTTCATATCAGCATAAAAATCTACCAAAAATAAACAAAACCTCATCATTATACTGAGTAGCTCGTTTCAGACATGTGTTACGTGATAATGTGTTCATGACTTATAATTCACTTAGCTGTTTAAGGGGGAGCTGTATGAATTACTTTATGTAGTCCTTGGTTGACTGTCATACAGGTGCATTAGACTAAAATGTACAATATTTACGCTTAAAAGGCTGCTACGGTACGAGTAATTAATCGTTAATCACAGCGCTTAGTAGATATAAATAGTTATATTTCACCATCGGTCAAGTCTTGTTTCCCTGCAGCACAGAATTACCTTTTCAACCGCAGGAATATTCAGGCCAGCAGTCTTTCCCTTTATTCTCAATCATTGGATGACCCACAAACTGCTGAGATGAACTGTATCTTGTCTGAGCTCCGTCCTGATTGGCGGATTCATCCGTCTGTCTCAGGGGAGGGTGGGCTTAAAGACGGTGGTGCTGGTTAAAGTAGATTACCAGGGGGAGAGACGGGGGGAGAGTGTGTGCTGGCATCCCACTCTGGTTACCACAGCGATGGCTTCACGGTGCTGCATCCTCCTCCTCTTCCTCTCTCTCCTTCTCCTCCATCTCGGACCGTCCTCATGCCTCGACCGGCCGGTTGCCGACAGGTCAGTGAAGCGGCGCAGAAACAGAGCAGGAGATTGTGTTTTACCTTGATGCTTGTTGATGGTGACGCTCTAATCTTTGAGTCACGGATGCGGTCGGCTCAAAGCTTACTGAATGCTTTGCCCCTGTGAGCCCATTAGGAGTTTCATTCCTTCTATTTCCTTCAAGCTGCATTTGTATTCGGTTATTTGGGGACAGAAGAGCGATATGAAAACCCTCCAATCTGACATTTTATGAAGAGATTATGGCAAACAATTACTTTCTCATCCAGCAGACGTGATCATTCCGCTGGAGTTTTCTCCCTGATGAATCTAAATATCCACTCTCTGTTTTAGTTCTGTTTTTTGCTATCTGTTAACTCCGTCTTGAATTGAAGTACCCTAAACTGCTAAATTGTGTCCACGGTGTAACCTCTACCTCTGTCTGTCTGCTGTTTGGCTGAGAGCAGGAGGGTAAACTAAACTATAAACATGGCTTCAAATAACTTTCATGCAGGTGTTTGTGTTCTCTGTAAATTTAAATAACTGTGGCGGTGTTAAAGTTACTTTCTAATAAAGTGATTTTAACTCATTTACCAAAACCATGACTTTGTAGCAGAAAGCAAGAATCTTACAAACGTTGGACCTGAAATGAATCCGTATGTTTCAGGCTTTTGCAGAATTGTTCAGTTCACACTTTGTTTGAGGGGAACACAGATGAGTGTCTTTGTCTGCTGGATGTGCATGAAGGTGTCGGTTTGCCATTTATTATAGTGGGCCGCTGCAGATTGTAAAAGGAGAGAGAAACTGCAAAATCTCCCTTTGGCCAAAAGCCACCGCATCCTTTATTTGTGTGTGTGTGTGTGTGTGTGTGATTACATAATCCGTGCAATCCCACAATCCACCGTCCCGCTCTGAGTAAACAGGAGCTAAACCTTTTTTTTGGCTGCGAGTGAGTCGGCGGGATTTGTCTTCTTTATCTGCCTCTTGTTGTGAACAAAGCACGTTTCTGCTTCCACTGAGAGGCAGAACCGGCTCGCTCACATCCCAATGTTTGATCGGGCTACATTATTATCAAGAAAGCTCTTATCTTGTCTTGGTACACAAACTACGGTGACAAAAAGGACACCGAAAGTATTATTTGGGTTTAAATGTGTTGTGTGTGGTGATGTTGACCTGCTGCAGCAGATACTTTTTGTTGTAAAACATAACACCAACCAAATTACCCTTTTAAAGAAGCCAAAAATCCAAATTAAGTGCGTATCCATAGCAACGGAGCGCAGCATTTTTTCCATACATGTTGGCATAATATTTATCAGCAGTTTTAAAATGGATGTTAATAATATAGGTCAGTAAACTGATAATAAATCTCAGCACGTTCTACTTTTCGAGTGTGTCTCTGTAATCCGAGTGAGAGCAGGGCCTCTCGCCGACATCGCTGTTCCAGGATAAATAAATATTCTGGTATTTTAACCACTAATCCACCAGGTAGATAACTGGGTCACTCGACCAACAAGATGCATTCTGGGTAGTCAAAACCTCACAGGTCCGTCTGGTGATCATCCTCCCTCCTTTGTTCCCAAACTGCATGATTTATTAGGGTGGTTTTACATGTTGCTGTCAAATTAATTCTAGTTAAAATATTAGTAAAAACAGAATAAATAAAGATTACAACATTTATATTCAAACGATTGTCACACACACCATCAGAACCAACATTTTGTGCCGGATACGATCGTATTTAAATATGAGAATCAAGCAATTAAAACAGGACGCTGGGTTGAATTAAACATGAGAAAAGTAAACTAAATAATAAACATTATTTTATGCTGCTTTTGTTCACAGTGCTGCTGTCTCTCCACAGCGTGGTGAGTATCATTTATCAATATCCTTTCAGTAATGTAACACAGTTGAGTCCTAAACAATAAATAAAGCAGAAATTTGCCCAACTGCTAAATGACCCTTAGAAACAACTACAGAGGCCTAAACAAAAGAAAGTGTAACAGCGGGAAATCAGCAGGGGAGCAGAAAAAAATAGATCCTGTCTGGTCTCCAAAAAGATGAAAGAAAGAATAAATCCAAAGACTGATGAATATAAATGGCTACTTTAACTGCTGTCGTCAGGGGCGACCTGGTGTCTCCAAAGCATCAACTTTTCAGTAAACTACGAACAAAAGTATTTGTGTTTTGACCACAAATATGAATAAATACATGTACACACATACATGTATTTAGAGATGTTCCGTTGCCCACGAGGCTTTGAAGTGATGCTGTAGGTGGATCCATTTGTGGAATGACATCATTCACCCTGTCATTGTCCCTGCAGGTGAAGGGACGGCACATGCTGATGGAGGGAAATGGGCGGAGGAGCAAACGTTGAGACAACTGCAGGTAAACTCAGAGGACAGCGTCTCTCTCAAGTAGAAGTATTGGTACTTTGTCTCTCAACACTGTCAGAGAGGACAGTGTCAGTCAGCGTCTCGTGAAATGTCCTTTTCAGAAACACACTGTAGGACAAGCTGATTTTAAGGTATTCCTTCTCTTCCTCTGTCCTCACGTCCCCACCTTCAGTCGCCAGATGTGTCCCAGAGGAAGCTACTTCAGACGTCGGGAGTCGCGGTTCCCTTCCCCCCCCTAAAGGTGACGCCGTACCAGCTACACGCAGAGACATTACCAGACTATATACGCAGTCAACACAGGTGTTGTCCTGTGACTCTGTCGTCCCTCCGTCCCCCAGGTGTTGTCCTGTGACTCTGTCGTCCCTCCGTCCCCCAGGTGTTGTCCTGTGACTCTGTCGTCTCTCCGTCCCCCAGGTGTTGTCCTGTGACACTGTTGTCTCTCCGTCCCCCAGGTGTTGTCCTGTGACTCTGTCGTCTCTCCGTCCCCCAGGTGTTGTCCTGTGACACTGTCGTCTCTCCGTCCCCCAGGTGTTGTCCTGTGACACTGTCGTCTCTCCGTCCCCCAGGTGTTGTCCTGTGACACTGTCGTCTCTCCGTCCCCCAGGTGTTGTCCTGTGACACTGTCGTCTCTCCGTCCCCCAGGTGTTGTCCTGTGACACTGTTGTCTCTCCGTCCCCCAGGTGTTGTACTGTGACACTGTTGTCTCTCCGTCCCCCAGGTGTTGTCCTGTGACTCTGTTGTCTCTCCGTCCCCCAGGTGTTGTCCTGTGACACTGTTGTCTCTCCGTCCCCCAGGTGTTGTCCTGTGACTCTGTCGTCTCTCCGTCCCCCAGGTGTTGTCTGACGGGAAGCCGTGCGTCCTGTTCCAGGCCAGGAAGCTGTCTCTCCGCTATGAGAAGCAGAAGCAGCTGGACCTGACGGAGAGAACCTTCTCTCCTCAGAAACCTGTGGACACCAGCCAGTCTGTCTGCAGCCGGGACAAGTCCACGTACGTGCACCTGTCTGTCTGATACGCACACACACACATATATACACATATACACACACACACACACACACACACACACACACACACACACACACACACACACACACACACACCTGTAAAAGAGTCAGAAAAACATGTTCCTGTACTTTAAATATTCAAATGCCCAACAGAAAGATAATAGTCCAGTTCAGGATGAGTGAATATAAAAACTCCAGTAAATAGGCCCAAAGGGACGTCAGCTGGTACTTATGTCCTTCAAAGAAGGACAAGAACACAACCTCATCACTGCTGCTTCTGTCTGTCTGTCTGTCTGTCTGTCTGTCTGTCTGTCTGTCTGTCTTCACCAGGCTGATCATGAGGTTTGGAGACGTGGAGGATTTGAGAGCCCTGTCAATCAGGTCAGTCATACCGTCTGCACTTAACGCCACGTTAAAGACAGTTCTTCTTAATGTCCACGTGCAAAGGTGCCCGATAGGAACCTTTTAAACAAACAAATGTTTACGTCAAGTGTTTGACTTTCATCTTCGTAGACCTACATTGTGTGCATTTGTGTTCTCCAGCTCTTCTTCATTGTTGGCTCACTGTTGCGTTTCTTAGTGCATCTCCACCTCCTGTAGGTCAATGGAACAATACGACACCATTGGCACAAAGAAAAAAGGGGATGGCACTCATCACCAATCTGCTCACAGCGCTCCTGGAGTTCAAAACCCCGTTGAGACCTCTGAATGCCTCCTGTTGTTGTCAGGCTGCGGCTGTCCAACACGTTCTACGAGTCCTCGGGTCAGTGGTGGTTCTCGGTGGACAGCGTGTCTCTGCGCTACAACACCTCAGAGGAGGCCGTGTTCAACGCCAGCGACGTGTACGCCCCCGCCTCCTCCTCCTACCACTGCCTGCACGTCAGCAGCCTGCAGCGCTACAGCGCCCTGCTGCTGCCCAGCAGCGAGCCCGCCCGCCGCTGGACCGTCACCTTCACCAACTTTCAGGTACCCGTCCCGGTTAGAGACAGATGTTTCCATCTGAAGTTAATGAAGTAAGCGAAACGGCTTTAAAGAGAGCGAATGTTGGATTAGATTCAGATGTATTCGATTCATTCCACTGTATTCTGACGATCAACTTCTGGACCGTCACACTATTTATCGTCTTGATGATCTCGAATACGTCCCTGTTCCCTCTTCAGATTCAGGCGTTCAACGTCACCGCCGGTAAGTTTTCCCCCGCGAGCGTCTGCGCCACCTTCATGACGCCGGCCATCCTGATGGGCCTGGTCACTTCCCTCATCCTGCTGCTGGTCCTGGCCTACGCCCTGCACATGGTGGTGCACCTGAAACACATCGAGCATGAGGACGAACACAAGGCCGACGTCTACTACCCCCAGAGCCCCCAACAGCCCGAACACTGCTGTGTGGAAAACGGAGCGGAGAAGAACGTGCTGTAGAGCAGCCAGGAGCGCAATGGAGAGAGAGAAAGAGACACAGCTGATTGGATGCTGTCAACTGACATCAAACCTCTCGTGGGATTATACAGTTTAACCTCAGGAGTAGATTTTTTTTAAATACATGTATATTTCTAGTGTTTTTTTTTAAATATCCTATTAGTGAAATTATGCATTTGTCTCAATAACACATTTTATAAAATATATAAATAAAAATGCACGTTTCTTTTGTTCTATTTCCATCTATATTTGTATCGCGTAAATTTGGTACACTCACTCTGACAATGAGGTACAAGCAAAAAAACTCCCACTGCACTAAACACAAAACAAAAGGTTAGTTTGTAACATGCACTCCAATGTCTATCTGCTCTCTCAAAATATAGAGCTAAGAAGGACAGTGTCTTCTGACGACGTCCAACACCGACGAAAGGAGAACACACTCGCAGCCAGAATACAATAGAAACAGCCTAATCAATTCTGTCATTTTGTGTAAAAAGTGAAAAGTTTACTCGTCACATACACATGTGAGTATTTAATATACAACTAGAATAGGAATATAAACCATTAAAGATATATATATATATATATATATATATACATATACACACATACTTATAAATGTATTTAATATTTGTTACATGGATTCGTTTCGGTCTCCGTATTACATTATATCAACTCTGACTGGTGTAATTCTCACGACGTCCTCTTGATACGTGAAGAAGCGTGTTTGACGCTTCCGGCAGGTGGCGGTACTGCGCACCTAAACTAATCAACCGACAACACCAAAGAAGAAGACGTTTCACAGAAGAAGAAGCCTTTACTGTTCACGGACTGTTCGCCGTTAACGGACCGACTTTTGTGAATGTAAAAAAAATATCACACGTTATTTAAAGCGGATGTTTGTTTCTGTATTTTGTGTAGTTTTAGAATTAAGTCGCTCGAGGGTTAATTAATCTCTCTACTTTGCCCTTTTCCTCTTCAGGTTAGCTTTGCTGATTAGCATGTTGGCTAACAGGTGTAGTTAGCTGACTGGCGCAGTCCCCCAATCAGGGGACGCGGCCGTCATTGACGTCGTCGGCACAGTCAAGCGGCTGGAGCTCCCGTGGGTTTTCGCCGTAAAGCGTCCTCCTCCTGCCGCCGGGAGGGCTTCATGTTCAACCGCCTCCCCGCTGCCCTCGCTCTGCTCCGCCCCGGCCGCCTCCTGCTCGCCTCCTCGCCGCGGTCCCTGACCGGAGCCCGCCGCCCCCTCGGCGCGATGGAGCCCGCGGCGGTGAGGTGTCTCCCCGGGGAGCCCAAACTCACCATCTCCTTCCGCCTGGACGGCAGCAACAAGCACATGCTGCGGGACCAGGACGAGGCGCTGGGGAAGGTCCTGGCCCGCATCACCAACGGCATCGCCAAGAGCCAGAAGGCGAAGAAGTCTAAGAAGAACAGCAAGGGGCCGCCGCGCCAGAGCCCGGAGCCCGCCGCGGTGAAGCTGTACTACGAGGGGCAAGAGGTGTCCGACGCGGTGCCGAACTCGGAGGCGTGGCGGGACGGAGCCGTGCTGCAGGTGGGAGACGTTAAATACGCAATACGGAGGAACGCCCCCACGTTCACCGCCGCGGAGCTCCCGGTGTCCCTGCTGGCCGAGTTCCCGGTTTGTCCCAATCTGGAGGTAGAGTTTGGAAACCTGCAGGACTGCGAGTTCATCTGGTTCCGAGAAACCTCCCCTAACGCAAGGTAATTTACACTGGAAGAGTTCTGTAATATCCGTGTTCACGTCTCTGATTGACATATAAACAAACATTACATGCAGAAGTAGATGATCATCCATCACACAGAGACACGACTCAGTGCTTTGGTTGTGGGCTGCAGCAGAATACAGCTGATCGAGTTGTTTCTCTTTGTCGCAGCCCTGAAGCTGCCGGAGAACCTCCACGCGGGGACGGCGGTTGGACGGAGGTCGGCCGCGGGAGAGTCCACGTGCCTTCGAACCAGGACGTCGGCCACCGTCTCAAACTGCTCTGCATCCCCAAAGACGGTGCGCGGGCCGGCTCGACCGAGGAGCTGGTCTCAGCGGGGGCCGTGGAGGCCGGACCGGGCGTGTGCACGTTCGACAACCGGCACGCCTACACCGCCAAAGAGGCGGAGTGGCCGGCGGTGCGGGTGGTGACGTACAACATCCTGGCCGACGTCTACGCTCAGACGGAACTCTCCAAGACGGTGCTGTACCCTTACTGCGCCCCCTACGCCCTGCAGCTGGACTACCGGCAGAACCTGATCAAGAAGGAGCTGGCTGGCTACAAGGCGGACATCCTCTGTCTGCAGGAGGTCGACAAGGGTAATTAGGACAAATGTGTCTCCGTGTTGTCTGTGAGGAGGATGTGCACGGCTGCTCTCCTGACTTCCTTCATGTCGTCTGTAGGCGTGTTTTCGGACTGTCTGACTCCAGCTCTGGACGCCTTCGGTCTGGACGGTGTTTTTCGGATCAAGGAGAAGCAGCATGAAGGACTGGCGATGTTCTACCGCAGGTCAGGTCCGCCAGCATTCAGCATCTGAAGATGTTACTGCAGCCAAACGGGCCCGTCGGTCACTCATTTAACACGTTTTGAGTGCCAGTGGAACAAAGAAACCTCAATACTACTTTATAAAACTATAACTCGCGTACTGAACAAAATGATCCCATCTCTCGTTGCTTTCACAGCCCAAGAGATAATGTAACCAAAGTATTTATATCAAACATTTTTAAAATCAGGAAAATATATCATTTTTACTTTATTACTTTTTAGGTCAAAGTTCCAGCTGCTGAGCCGTCATGACATCGTGCTGAGGGAGGCTCTGACCTCTGACCCCATCCATTCTGCGCTGCTGGAGAGGGTTTCTGCTAACAGCGCTTTGAAGGGCAAGATACTGCAGAGGGCCACCGTCCTGCAGGTACTTTTTCTGACATTTTATTGAGCTATTAAGTTCATACAAAAAAAGAATAGACGGAATAATCAATAACGACAACAACAATCAAGATTTAAGCAAACAAAAGTGTTAAAAAGAACTTTCATAAATTGAACACTCCACGAAAAGGATCCAAGACAAAAACAAGGAATTCTCACATTGGCTTCACTTGTCAGACCTGGAGGTTATTCCCTGGATTTACTACTCAGGAGACACTTTATTTGGCTGTGAATTTTCGCTGTGACGCGTGTGGTTCCCGACTTGTTTCTCTGCAGGTCAGTGTGCTCGAGGACCTGAAGAAAGCAGGCAGGAAGGTCTGCGTGGCCAACACTCATCTGTACTGGCACCCAAAAGGTAGAGGGACTCCGAGCAGGGGGAAGACTTTCACTTTTCTAAGCAAAAAGACACATTTCTAAATGACTGGATTAATCTCTTTGTGAAGGAGGGAATGTTCGTTTGGTCCAGATGGGCGTGGCTCTGCAACACCTGAGTCATGTGATCAACGAGCACGCACCTGGAGCCCCCCTGGTCTTTTGCGGGGACTTTAACTCCTCCCCTAACTCGGGTAACCCAAAGTAGCACCAAGCCGCCCCCCACGCTTGTCTTCACTTTGCTTTCGTTATCGTCATTTAAATATCCTCATACGCTCTGAGCCTTAAAGCGTTGTTAGATTCGTTGTTCCTCCTCCCGTCCGCAGGTGTGTTCCAGCTGCTCAGTGAGACTGCGATTCCTCTGCAACACGCAGACTGGAGGAGCTCCGGTCCGGAGGAGTCCATCAGCATGGAGCTGCTCTCTGCTTTCCCCCCCTTGCTGAGCGCCTGCGGCCAGCCGGCCTACACAAACTACGTGGGAGGATTTCACGGCTGCCTGGACTACATCTTCATCCAGCCGGACAGCATGCAGGTACCGGCGCTGGTGTTCAGGTTGTCATCAATGGGCCTCTGGTGCACCATGGCTGTTGCATGTGAGATTTATTTGGTTAATTTATTTCTTAAAGCAACAAACAAATCCTGATTGTTGCTGCATCACCTACTCTGCTGAAGAAAAACAATGGTCCAATACCTGCCTAATAACGTATAAGCAGGTATTGTGCTATATGTGTATGCACATATAGCACTTGTGGTTTAATATGCATCTTCATGTTTGACATGGAAACATGAAACCTTCAGTGCACATATTTTGTCCCCCAGTTAAACCTTTCTACTAAACTATATTTGCATACTAATAGATTAATGTCACTGAAACGAGAAGCTGAAATGGTGTATCTATAAATGTGTGTGTGTGTGTGTGTACGCGCAGGTGGAGCAGGTGATTCCTCTGCCCAGCCACCAGGAGGTCACCACCTACGAGGCTCTGCCCAGCGTCGCTCATCCCTCCGACCACATCGCTCTGATCTGTGACCTGCGCTGGAACCCCTGACCTTTTAACTTTTTTTTTTAACTTCAACCTACCTGGACAAAAAAACGGGTCACGAGTTGCTCCTTCTAATACATCCTGAACTTTCTTTAAATTTGAAATGAAGTGTCAACCTTAAAAGACCGGCACATTAAGTGGGGATCCATAAAAGATATTTTAAATTACAACATGTCATTGACTGTTGTGATGAAGTCCGTATTGTATATTTACAGGACAATAATGACAGAATTTTAATCACTGATATTCAGTGTTGGGGTTGTTAATGGAGAAAGTGATGCATTGTTACAAGTTATTATTTCTGTGGGACTCTCCAGTCCAAGCAGTGCATCATTTAAGGTTAATACTTATTATTAATCCCAGTTCATATTAACCAACAGCGTTTATTTGACTCCTGTTGGTTCTTCCTCATTCTCCACAACAGATATTTAAACGCCATTTAGTTCACATAGACTTTTATTTTCTCAAATACCCAACGACATGATTAATAAATACATATTAAGATTTTACCAAAGGTATTTATTGTTCTTATTATTTGGCCAAGCAATTGGTTCTTTACGTCTTGAATAAATTGATAAAGTTTGAGTCTACATCGTAAATACGATTCTGTTTTATTTCTAATAATAACCGCAGCATTGGACACGGTGATAATGATCACGGAAGGTGCTTTCACTTCTGTTTGGGTCCTTTCAAACGCAGCTTCCACGTTCCGGTTGTAGAATTAAAAAATGTTATCAAGTTTAAGTTAATAAAGATTTTATGTGGAACCTGTTCACTAACTGAAAAGTAAAGTAAGTTGGACTCATTTGTGATTTGTCAACTTTGAAAAGAGGACAAAGGTCCCAAAGGAGGTAAACAAGCTGTCAAATGTCAACCCGGTGCTTCGAATGCGATGAATCTGTCTACCGGCGCCACGCTGTTTTTCTCTGATTGGCCAGAGGTTGTGAAGAGGCGGGGCCGGAGTGTTTGGGACAAACCATTGGGTCGTAGCTTTAGGGGACGCGGAGAAACCGCTGAATTAGGATTCTGGAATAAGTGGTAGAGCCATCCATGGTGACTTATCTTTTTACGTTAGGAAATGGTAAAATAAAAACCAAAGCGGTCTATCCTTAGATTTGTATTGTACAGGAAGATTTGCAATCGGTTAAAGCCCCCCCCCCGCCATCGTATAAGTGACAGTGCCGAGCGGCAAAACGTCAAGTTTGCCAGAGTCAGCTCGACTGACAGGAAACCAGGGGATTTGGCTTTTAAAGAAAAGCTTTGTTTCTTTTCCCCATTTTCATCTGTGTAAATATGATTTTGAACGAAATGAGAAATTGCTGGATTTTCGTGTTTGCCTTTTTTGTAAATTGTGGACCAACTTCTGGATGTTTTGTCCAAGCATGAATAGAAACAGTTACCACATGTATTTAAATTAGTGAGTTCAAGAGTCAAGACGATCCAAACCGCGTGCTTTTATTCTGGAGAGCTTTAACCGGATCTCCAACGTGTCCCGTTTTCTTACTTGATGCTGACCCGCTCGACAGGAAGTGAAAGAAGGAATCCGGATTTGAACGATCTTACGTGTCATTCCCACAGTTTCAGTCATTCACAAATCACCTGGAGACTTTTGCTGAAAGAGAATCCCGTAAGTATTGTTTCAGCCTCCTTATTAACTTGCACACAGCAGGAGGACAGCGGCTGGCTGCTAACTAGCTGTTGTTAAAAGCTTATGATCCGGTAGATGAGTTAATGTTAGCTGAACTAAGCTAACAAGGTTTAGCCACAATCTCAGTAAATTAACTTGAAACATGAGCACAGTTAATACTTCGTCTCTTGGCTCTTACGTTTCACACCACTTAATTTAACTTCTAGAATAGTTACGTTTGCTGCTTTAATCCGCGTGTGTGTTTTATCTCCCCTCGTTGTTTTGTTGACATACTGCAAATACAAGGAGGTGAGAGAGACTTTAGGTGTGAACGAATTAAGAGCTTGTGATGTGGTTTCTCTGTCAAACCTCAACCACAGTCTACACTTATTTTATGTTTTATTTTACTGTTCATGTATCCTCTTTGGGGTTTGAAAGCATCGACATTCAATGACAACTTCAGTTCTAATAAACCGGGATGAACATTTTGTATTACTGATTAATTATATTATAAGGTTCATCATTGTTAAAATTATAATTCATATCTGAAGTGTTTTATCAGAAAAAATGAATGTCAGACTGACCAAAAATGCAGACAGTTGAAATCTAGCCGGACAAGTTTTACAACTTTCCAAATCTCTCTCGACGGAAACAAAAAGGCAATCTGACCAGTTTTCAGATAATCTCACCAGCGCCTCGCTTCGGCCCGAATATGAACTTTCTCTCTAGTTCTGATTGTTTACAGATCAGAGGCAAACCCCCAATATTCAACCAGAAAAACATACACAATTCATATATTATTATATGAACACTAACCGCTCACCATGAATCAATAATACATTTGAGTCACAGAGCAGAGCGTCATCTTTATCCATTCATGGAAAACAAACGGTTCAACAGACCATAAGGCTGTTTTTAAAGATCTTTAAATTCTCTTCAAACCATCAGGGAGGAAAAACAAGTGTTCAACGTGTCTAATGCAACGTTAACATGTTATCTTTTGTATGAAAATATAACGTAGGCAGCCTCACGCTCGCTGTCCCGTTGTCACTGCGACTCTCTTCTCTCATCTCCAGGATCGTTGTGGTCGCCCTGGTAACGGTCGCTAACGCCACAAGGATGAAGGCTCTGATCCTCGTCGGGGGTTACGGGACCCGGCTGCGGCCGCTCACGCTGAGCGTCCCCAAACCGTTGGTGGAGTTCTGCAACAAACCCATCCTGCTGCACCAGGTGGAGGCCCTGGTGAAGGTACGTGAGCTTGATCCCCTCGGGAGATTTTAAAATCCAACAAAGCAACTTTACTGCTGAGGTTTAATGTATTCATTCCCCCCCCCCTCCCTTCAGGCCGGGGTGGACCATGTGATCCTGGCGGTGAGCTACATGTCGGATCTGCTGGAGCGAGAGATGAGAGTCCAGGAGGAGAGAGTACGTAGCACAATTCGCTCTGACGTCAGAGGCCGATTCACACGATTCCCCCAAAACACTTAATGACACTTGTGTCATGTAGCTTTTGTTGGCTCTGACGTTTGACCCACGCTGCCCCCACATTCCATGGACTCCCAACAGCTAATCCGTGCTGCTTTTATCTTGTGAAAGTGACTATTAGATAACTGGTGACATCACCCTAAAACAATCTAATCTCTCCCTCCCCGCCTTTTATTTTGAAGCCCAGAGGAAGTTGTAATGTTACCATGCACACATCTTTACTTACTTTGCTTTTTTTGCCTTTTGCTATAAAATATTGTCTCATAGAATAGAGCCGACTAAACGTATTTCATCAACCAAATTAACATTAAATCAAAGTCTCCCATGATTTGTAGTTTACTGCTGCAACAATTTGTCAATTAGTTTGTTAGTGATTTGGATTCTTATTAACAGTCGGTTTATGAACAGTGTTCTGACGTTTCCTGAATGTTTCCCTGTTTTCTCTTCAGCTTGGGATTCGTATCTCTCTGTCTCACGAGAAGGAGCCTCTGGGAACCGGTGAGTTTCTCCTCAACACAACAAAGTCCATCTAAAAGTATCCAGGGATTAAACTAGCGAGAGTCTGGAAGATCTTATATTACAAGGATGTAGTAGGCAAACATTTGATGTAATGAGTTACTAGAAGATAAACGTGTTTGTGTGCGTGTGTGTGTGTGTGTGTGTGTGCGTGTGTGCGTGTGTGTGTGTGTGCGCGCAGCGGGCCCTCTGGCGTTGGCTCGAGAGCTGCTGAACGTCGACAACGAGCCGTTCTTCGTCCTCAACTCGGACGTCATCTGCGATTTTCCGTTCAAAGATCTGCTGCAGTTTCACCACAACCACGGCAAAGAGGGGACCATCGTGGTGAGCCTTTAGAGGAGGCTACTCTAGTTGTGTGTAATGTTTTACTACCACCTGGAGGGTTATTGCTGGATCCTGACCTTTTCTGGGAATTAAAAGAGAAAACATTTAGATTTATTGAATAAATAACTATTAACTTTTTTTCTTGGATTATTATTTTTTATTTTAATTGTGCTTTGGTTCTGAATATTATTATAAAATAAAGTTTGACTGCCCGTTAACAACCAACGCATCTGTGTGTGAAGGTGACGCGGGTGGAGGAGCCCTCGAAGTACGGCGTGGTGGTGTTCGAGGCCGACAGCGGCAGGATTCAGCGCTTCGTCGAGAAACCGCAGGTCTTCGTCTCCAACAAGATCAACGCCGGCATTTACATCTTCAATCCCAGCATGCTCAGCAGGATCCAGGTGACACACACACACCTTCTCTGAGCTGTAAGAGGTAAATGTGTAAGAATACCTTGGTGTTGATACGCTGTTTTTTGTGTGTGTGTATTCGCAGCTGAGACCAACATCCATAGAGAAGGAGATCTTTCCTGTCATGGCAGAGCAGGGACAGCTGTACACCATGGAGCTACAAGGCACGAATACCACCACACACACATCACACACTTCATTCATGGCTGCAACCAACAACTGTGACTATAAAAAGTCTGTAGAGTCTTTGTCAGAGTGACCGCTGTAAATAAACACAACGGTGATGTGATGAATGCTTGAGTGAGGCGTTTACCTTTGTGCTGCTCTGGTCTCACAGCTCACAGCTCCTCCAGACGTAAGTGTTTGGGCTTTTCTTCACTCGCGTGGTTCCGGAGGGGAAACGTTTAGTAGAGAAGCACCGAGGCCCGAAAAAAAAAATTTAAGATATTGAAGATATCTATCTACCTGCAAGCTGGACTCGGTGCATCTCTAGATCCTCGTCCCTCTCTGAGCAAACAGAGACCGTGGAGACATTTAGCAGCCCCCCCCCCCCTCCCTCCAGTACGGTTCACATAAAGCTTTTGTAGCGTTGTTAGAGCTTACGCTTCAGCCTCCCCGTTGCGGAGCACAACACAGCTCCTGCTTATGGGTTATTTGTTTCCATGGTAACCAACTGTGTCTCTCTGTCCATCTGCAGGATTCTGGATGGACATCGGTCAGCCCAAAGACTTCCTGACCGGGATGTGCATGTACCTCCAGTCGCTGCGACAGCAGGCCCCCGAGAGGCTGCACACAGGGCCCGGTTTCCTAGGCAACGTTCTGGTGGTGAGTGCTGACCCCCCCGCCACCCTCCCTGGTGGCGCCCTACATGTCATGAGAACTGTTCCCGCTGATAATACCCCCCTCTTTTCCCCCCTCTGTCCTCGCTTCCCCTCTGCAGGACCCGACGGCGCAGATCGGGGAGAACTGCACCATCGGCCCCAACGTCACCATCGGAGCCGGCGTGGTGGTGGAGGACGGCGTGAGGATAAAACGCTGCACGGTGCTGAAGGGCGCGCGGGTCCGATCCCACTCCTGGCTGGAGAGCTGCATCGTGGGCTGGAGCTCCTCTGTGGGCCAGTGGGTGAGTCGAGAGCCCGCAGGGCGACGCATGAAGGTCGGGCCCGTCAGAGTTGTCCGGTCTTCAAAGAATGACAGCCACTTTTTAACTACAACAAAACGTTATTTACATGGGTCCAGATACTGGTTTGTTAGATTCCCAGGATTAAACGTTTCATTTGTTTGATTTTGACCAACATTTTGGTCCCGATGTGATTCATCCATTGCTGAAAAGTTCTGAAAAGTAAAACTAATGTCTTAAAGCGTGCATTCTCTCTGCTGACCAGCAGGGGGAGACTCCACTTGTCTCATTCTGATGTTCATTTAGGCAATCGTTGTAAAGCGGGTTATGCTTTAGGGCGGTGCTGCCTTGTGATTGACAGCTTCACCCCCATCTTCCACAAGAAAACAAAACCAACTCAATGCTTCGGGACAACGGGTGTTGTCATGACAACCGGGTCCACTTATACCGGCTGTGGTCCTTCAGACTAATGCCCTGGAAATGTTTTTGTTGTATTTTTTTCCACAGTCCTTTCTATCTTGCTGTCGTGTGTGATGCTGATTATCGGGTCGTTGTGGGTCCTCAGGTCCGCATGGAGAACGTGACGGTGCTCGGCGAGGATGTGATCGTGAACGACGAGCTCTACCTGAACGGCGCCAACGTCTTGCCTCACAAGTCCATCAACGAGTCGGTCCCGGAGCCACGCATCATCATGTAGCCGCGAAGAGAAAAGGCCTTTTCATATACGGACCCGACTGAATACCCAAACTGTGCCAGAAGGGAGGGAGAACAAAAAATAATCAGAAAAAGGCCTTTTCTTTTAAAAAAAAAAATTCATTTGGACATGTTTTTAGCCCTGCTCAGCTGCATCATCCATCACAGAGAAACAAAGAGTGAGCCCGGTCCAGTCGACCACCGCCGGCCTTATTAAGGGAAAAACGTGTACAACAGAGACTCATAATTATTGAGTAAGATCATTTTGAACTACTGTAGAGCACCAGGACGTTCTCTCGCTTCTCGCCACATAAGAAGATTCATAAAAGGCGCCGGGTGTTGACGCTGAGAGCCAGGTCAGCCCGCGGCGTTGGTGACGTGCATTCTGGGAGACTTTCTCAACGAGCACATTTACCTTTGAAGCTGACCAGTCACGTGTAATGATCAGATGGTGGTGGGACTAACGGGAAGCGGGCGATGCTGTCATGATGCGCTCTGCATTCACATTTCATGGATGGAATCCTGAGATATCGGACTGCTACTAAATGTTACAGCTGGTTACCGGTTGAAGTTTAATTAATTAATGGATAATACAACATCTGACACTTCATCACGTGATTTATTTTCATTAACGCTTCCAGCAGACGCGGACGTAATGACATCATGAATGTAATGTGATCGCTTTCTGTACGTAGACATTGATTAGCGATTAGCAGGTGTCTCGTTGCCTCTCTGGACTTCACAGAATGCAGCCTTTTTGATTAACTATTGCAGTTTATCAAGTCTATTTACAGATATTTCACACGCTGCTTCTTTAAGAGTATCGCAGAACAAATCTGTCTAATCGTTCAACCGATGAATAAACACTAACATGCTGATATTTAGATTTAGCTTGTTAGCATGCTAACATACTTCCGCTGTTGATCTTAGTGTTTTTCCACGTCGCCCGTTACAAGTTGTGCTGGAGGGTTTTTTCGGGGGGGGGGGGGATTTATCTCAAGGTCAAGAATGAACTTTCAGTCATTTATAAATCTACAACCTCCATTTTCGGCTGGATCTTGTAATTTAGATTGATTTAATTTACTCCATCGTGCACTTGGATGAAAAGTCATCAGGATTAAACTTTTCCGAATGCAATGTCATGGCGGTCCGGCCCGATGGTTACAGAGCAGATTTCCCTCCTTGCACTGAATGGAATGGAAAAAATGAAGCTTCTCGACTTGTGTGAAAAATAAGACATTTTACCGCTCAACAGTAATCGTAGTAAAATGAATCTTTCTGAACCTCGTCACTGAGGGCGTCCTCGTTTTATTTGCCTCAGCAGCTCAGATGTGTGACTTGGTGACGTCACTTGAAACTGACCTCCGATGGCAGCGGTGCCGCCTTCTTATGCGGTTGTTGATAAACGGTATTTGGAACATGTTAAGACTCTGTGTTTGAATGAAGTAAATCCTTGTAATGGCACCTTTTTGAAAGAGAATAATACGATCTACTGAACACGTCGTCTTGAAGTGTCTTTTTCCTTCGTCGTTCACATTAGGATCCGTTTACCGGTTCTGATCACATCAGAACTGTGAAAACTGTTGTGTGACGTGACTCTCTAGGTCATCTTCGACAAAAACACGTCACTCCGCCTGTTGTTCTGGTGGCGAATTGCTCTGCAACACACGCAATTGTGTTGCAAAAAACACACGAAATTTGGAAGATTGTTCTTTATCAACACTGTCACATCTGGTAAAGATTCATTGACCTTTTGCGGTATGTTTGGATTTGACTCATTAATACACTGCCTAGTTGGGGTTCTGGGTTAAAAGTGTAATGTTTGTTCTCATATATTATCAGAACTGTTTTTTGTTAAATGCCTTTGAAGCCTGTTTGATGTGTTGAAGAAATCCAGAGAGAAGAAGATACATTTTGTCATATACAAGCATATACAATATATTATATTATATAGTTATATTTAAGGCAGTGGCTTCACTTTTGCCTCCTCTTAAAAGCTCCCCCGGGTATCGGCTCAATTAGTCCCTGTTTTCGCTGCTTTGATTGACCCTGAGAGTCCTGTCTGACTCCACTTAGAAGGATCTTCTTGGGCTCGGCTCTTAATCCCGGTTGGCTCTTCCTGGCTCTGCACGGCTCTGCTTGGATCACTTTATTCCTCTTTTAGACCTGCCGGGCTCTGTGAGGTCCCATCGGCCCAGCTGGCTTTGTTCGACCTCTACGGAGGGCCTGGCTGTGTGGGACACCGCTCTGGTTGGCCCGCTTTGGCCCCGCTCAAATCTGTGGTCCACACTCTTCTGAGCTTCCCCCGAAAAGCTGCAGAAGGAGAGGAGGTGGAGGAATCCCTGACGTTCCCATTGGCCAATGCCCCTTCTCAGCCTCACTGCGATTGGCTGGCTGAGCGCGAGCAGGGAATCCCTCGGGACTCTCGGTCTTTGTCCTGGGTTAAGAACACAAACAGCCCAGTCAGGCCTCGGTGCACCAGGTAGCGTCCGATCTGCTGAGGACAAGGACTGAATTCACAGCCTGCTCTGCTGCAGAAAGACATCTGTGCAGCGGCCGTTTGTTTCTTTTAAAAGAAACTCAAATGTGCCTAATTATTGCCAGCCTGCTTCAACATGGTCCACAGCTGGAACAGAGGAGGGACCCAATATTTAGCAGAGCAGAAAGAGGAACTTTGAAGGTTTGATCAAAATTAAGAGGTGAAGCTGCTGAGTTCAGGTCGCAGCGAGCCGGCAACAGGACAGAACAGAACTACAGCTGAGAAGAGAAGAGTGCACGGCTGAGCAAGAGAAAGGTGAGTTATTGCTGGAATTCTCATGGAGAAAGAAAATAGTTGAAATGGAGAATTCAAGTTGGAAAGAGTCAAATGACTTTGCAGTGAGAGTTGAAAGGGGCCGGCTGATGTTTCTGTGCAGGAGGGAGGTGATCGGCTGGATCGCCGTGCTGAGCGGCGGCCCGGAGCGCCTGTGGGCGGGGAGAGAGGAAGTGCGGTCGACAGAAGAGAGGAATTCAAGCCCCATTGTTCTGGACCGGCAGCGGCACAGCGGCGAGCCGAGGAGCCGGACAACATGGACCTGAGCTCGGCCATGGAGAAGGTAGGACGGAGACCTTTACGTCTGCTCTGCTCACATGCGTCTCAAACACTTCCAGATTAACAACGGCAACGAGGAGGTCAAAGGTCAGAGGATCAGTCAGTCTGGTGTGATCTTCATCGCCTGTTGATGGAAGTTTGGAGAAGCTAATTTCTCTTTAAAGACGAATCCTCTCACTTTAATAGAAAATACCTTGTTAGCGCATAAGGCAGTAAATAAATATGAGGGACGAGTGAACTGTTTGCAGTGTTCTGCATTCTTAATCCCGTCTGCTACTCTGATTGGTGGATTGTTTTTTTTATTTGTGGAAAGGGGCATCAGTGAGTTTGAACCAGAGCTCCTCACAGATCCCTGCTGTCAATCATCCGCCGGTCGCCTCATTCTGGGGCCGATCGGACGGATCAGTGTCACCTGTCGGGGGTTTGATCCCCCGACCAAACCCTTCTTTATATGCAAGAGCTGGAAAAACTGCCATCACCAGGCTGAAAATAACCTCTAACACACACACACACACACACACACAAAACACACAAATAGAGTCTCTTGATTGTTGGGAGTTTTCTCAGTTACCAAAATACAAAACTGCTCTCAGACAAAGAAAACAATGAACACAATTGCAACAATTATTTTTCAATCATTACTTTCTCGATTAAACTATGAATTATTTTGTCTATTAAGGGCCAGAGAAAAATCCGTAACAAATTTCCCGTCACAGTTTCTCGAGAGCCAAAAGCGATGTCATCAAAATGTTTGACCAACAGCCCAAATTATTAAAAGAATAATATTGAATTCACTCAAGACTGAAAAAAAGAAGCAAAACCTCAGGAACAAAAAGTTCAGCTGGGAAATGTTTGAATTTCCCTTCCTTTAAAAATTATGAAAAGTCTAATAATTCATTATCCATAATAGTTCCATATAAATGTTATGATTTGTGAATTGTATGAATACACTATGGGCATAAAAGGGAACGTTTGATTTATTTTGAAAGTGTCTTGTTTGATGTGTCGTGTAACGCTTTTCAATAGCGATCGAATTCCTAGATTAGCTTTAAATGGGGAACAACAGGAAATATCCAGGATGCCGTGGGACTATCGGACGTTTAAGAAGCTCTTTGACCTCCTGCTTCTTATCTATCTGTGATTTCCTGCAGTTTAACCGTCACATAGCCGACATGTTTAGAATTACTCAGCCAGGCTCATGCCTCATGCCTTATCTGACTCCCTAAATATAGACACAAGGCAAAATGATGCATTTCCAGTGTGGCTCGTATGTTTCATTTGGCAGCTGTTTTTATTCAAGTATCGGTTGTTAAGGTGACTCCATCCGTCCCGGGGACGTGAAAGATGAGCCGATGAATCAGGAATCAGGAAGTCTATGAATACCATTATACCTTTTTATAAATGTTATTGTTCCAGCCTGTGTGTTCCTGTACTTTTATTATTTCCTATTTTCACTCAGTAAAGACATGAACCCCCCCCCAAAAAAAAATATATATATATATATATATATATATAAACAAAATACAAATTAAGATGTTTCACTAATAGAGGTTGTTGATTGTAACTTGGTTACCTGGGTCATCATCGCAGCAGGATGAGTGACAGGTTCGTTTCTTGCGTGTTTGAGTGCCGTCTATGTTGTACACATACAATACAAGTTGAATCACACCGTGAAACACACCGTCAATCACACGTTGAATCACACCGTGAAACACACCGTCAATCACACGTTGAATCACACCGTGAAACACACCTGCAATCACACTGTGAAACACACCGTCAATCACACCGTGAAACACACCGTCGATCACACGTTGAAACACACCGTCAATCACACCGTGAAACACACCGTCAATCACACAGTGAAACACACCGTCAATCACACGTTGAAACACACCTGCAATCACACCGTGAAACACACCGTCAATCACACGTTGAAACACACCGTCGATCACACGTTGAAACACACCGTCAATCACACCGTGAAACACACCGTCAATCACACCGTGAAACACACCGTCTATCACACGTTGTAACACACCCGTCAATTCACACCGTGAAACACACCGTCAATCACACCGTGAAACACACCGTCAATCACACGTTGAATCACACCGTCAATCACAAGTTGAATCACACCGTGAAACACACCGGTGCCAAATTGGACTCTTTCTTTTCTGCAGAAAGTATAAAATCCCAAAGCACTCAAACCTGAGGCAAAAGGTGTCGAGCTCATCACCAACACCAGATGGTTAGTGGAATGTTTTTGTAGCATTGCCGGAGGTGTCGGCGCAGTGATGTCGTAATGCACACACACACACTCCTGCAGACAGTGTATTCCAGACGGATGTAATGAGGTCTTGTTCTCCCTCAGCTGTTTCTGTCGCTGTGACCTTTTCAGCGCGTGTGGATCATCGGCCTCTCACGCACACTCACTCTCTCTCCTCGCGCCTCTCAACACACTCATCTGCGTCCGATTCTCCGAGGTGTTCCGAGGTGTTCGGATGGAGGGAAGTCTCAGAGGAATGTGTGCACGTTCCACGGGCCGGCAGCGCCGACTCTTGACATATGTACATATATATGCACAGAGAGTGTGTACCACTTGTATGAATGTCCCCCCGAGGGGAGATGAGCTGGTTAATACCTGCTGACGGATGGACAGTCTGTCAGCAGCAGGTTGTTTCACCACAACAGTCGTCAGGTTTCCTGACAAAGGCTTTAAAAAGCATTCCATCATTCTAAGGTATTATGAGAGCACACACACACACACACACACACACACGGACAATCGTCATCGGTAAATAGAGTTTGCTCGGTTGTCTTCATCTGAGAGATGCGTTTGAAAGCTCAGGGAAAACATATATTTAATTATATATTTCATAACGTTTGTTAACGGTCAGAAACTGACATCGTTCCCATCTGTTCGTTGTGACAAACACTAACGCAAGAGGAGGATTGTGGGTATTCTTTTTCTTTTATGATACAAAAGGGAAGGAAGCGTGAGGCACAGCGAGGACAGGAAGTGAGACAAAGAAGAGGAGCTTTAAACATGGGAGGAGGAGGACTAGGTGGTAGAGGAGGAGGAGGACGAGGTGGTGGAGGAGGAGGAGGTGGTGAATATACAGGCTGATAAGAATTTGTCAGAACTGAGATGATGTCACTGGGTGGGCCGATGACATCATCCGCCCTGCACGTATGTGTGTGTGTGTGTGTGTGTGTGTGTGTGTGTGGTTCACTCCCTTCTCTTCCCTCCACACTCACTGAGAAATGTACAAAAACAACAACTCATCCGACACTTAGCTATTGCTAGTTACGCTGATATCATTACAGCTCATAAAGTTTGGTGGCTGAGTATAATTGGCCTTTGGTTTGGGGCATCTGATTGTAATTATCCATGCGGTAAAGAATACGTGTTCCCTCTTCGCCAAGAGCATAGTTGGCGGAACAATGAGGAGAGAGAAAAATAAAAATAAAACTTTAAGACAGCGAGGTGAAGGTCCATTCCTCGAGGATTCATGCAAACAATTTATACGTGACAGAGAGAACTATTTGGGATTTAATACGCCAGGATTCTGCCAAACTTTATGAATGTGCTTCAGTCGATTAATTCCCTGTAGCTGCGTGTAGCTATTTTGGGCGGATCTTTGTTAAATGGACAACAGTTTTTGAGTGAAAACAGTTGTTTTACTTACTTCAATGTGAAAACTAAACTATTCTCAACGTTTCGAGCTGCAGATGTCTTCAGATACAGAGGAATCCGCTCTCTTCATTTTGACCAAATGTTCCATGTTTTAACTTACTTGAGTGTTTTTTAGAAACGTTTTTTCCAAATTCTAAATGTTTTTCTATTTTGGGAACTTGCTGTTTTGGGCCTCTGCTCTGTGCAGATCTCCCAGCCAGTCAGTCACCCGTCCCTATAAACAATGAGAAGGAACTCATCGTTATGTTCTCGCTGTGTTCTCGTCTCCTCTCAGGTGTCCGTGGAGCCGAGTGCAGGAGGTGCAGCGGCGTGTCGCATATGTGAGGAGCGCTGCTCTGGATTCCAGCCGCATTCCTGGAGGTACAAACCTTTTCTATCACATTGTTATTTCTCCCTGCCCGTAAAAAACCCAAAGGAATGAAGGTCCTGGTGCTTTCGGTCCTCCTCCCTCCCTCCTCTCAAACGTTCTCGGCTTTTAAAGGAACTTGTAAGCGTGATGGTGGGGGGCGGTTTGCATATTTTGAGGAGTCCGTTGTCAAACAGCAGAGCGCGGAATTTGGTTGTTTTTGCGTCAGAAAGGTCACTTTTCCACCGACTGTTGGACGGTGACGCACCACTGTCGACTTTAACGATCCTCTGTATTACAGACGTGATGGATGATTGAGTTCTACCGAGTGGGCGAAAGCTTCCCAAAGCCCAGACAGACCTTTCTGAGAAGCCACAGGTTTATTTTGAAAGGACGATGCATATAATGAGTCGGTTATTGAAAACTAACACCACGGGGGGGGATCACCGACTCAACGGCAACAGAGAAAACGTGGTAGAACAGCGTAGTTTCAGGTCTAGTCATAGTCATGTCACACCTGAACCCAACCCAGTCTGCGTTGGGTTCCACGCCGAGCTCGTCGTGGACCAACGCGGCACAAAAAGCCCCACAAACCATCACAATCTCCCCCACTCGTGCAGGAAAGCGTGCGTCTCCTGCGGCTGCAGCGCGGCCGACCACCCCGCGGGGGGGGACGTGGAGGACGACCAGCGCATGGGACGCCTGCTCGCGGACTCGCCCTGCGGCCATTTGACGGCGAAGGTCAAAGGAGGCGGCGGCCTGCGCGTCTACAAGAGGAACCGCATGATCGTGACCAACCCGGTGGTGTCGCGCAAAGACCCGACCTTCAACACCACCACGTACGAGTGGGCGCCGGCCGGCGCGGCCCAGACGCTGGTGAGGACGCGTGTGGCGTGACGGAGGTTTGGTGGTCGGCCTGCGGCTTGTGAAGAATTATCAGATCTGTTTTTTGTGTACAGATAAAACTTGCAGGGAATTGTGAAGATGTTGTTTGCATTCACGAGGAAATAATGATCCGGCCAATCAGCGACTGGCACCAGTTTGGAACTCGACTCTTTGTTTGTTGGCTCACAAACAAAGAGTCACTGTGATGTTTGAGCTCTCGGTGAATCCCTGAAATACGATGCAGCTGTGGATTAGACTTTCAACCACGGGAAAATGAATTGCGTTCCCGTCTTCAAGGCTCAGCAGTGGGATTCACCACTTTATCCATCATTTCATTTCAGTTTAGTTTCTGCAGCCCCCCCCCTGCGTGTCTCCACCTCCTGGTTCCCATTAAAAACACGCAGAGGTTTCAGGTTCCCCAACCTATAATCAGCAGGGTGACAGTGATTAGCGAGCGCCGCGCTGCGCCGGGAGACATTTCTGTGGTCAAACTTGTGCAGACGGATCCAGATCCAGCACTGGAGATCCGCCTCGAAAGAAATGCTGATGCAGCTCCGCTATGTTTATTTTGTTAATCCAGGGGTCTAAACTGCTGCCCTCATTTATCTTTCTTGTAGTTGGTGCAGGTTTACACGCGTAGAACTGATGTCGAAAACACCAAACAGATGAATCTGCTGCCTGATGAATACAAAATTAAAGTTAATTCAGTTGGTTAACATCCCAACAAAAGCATTATTGTAAAAAGAGGAGGCTCCAAGTAAAATGCCCCCCGATTCCCCCTCAGGCCATGCAGTACATGGAGCTCGTGCCGCAGGCACAGCGTCCCGTCTCCGGGACGGGTGGAGCGCTGGAGCGACGGCGGCAACTCTTCGGTCAGCTTCCTGCCTACGATCAGGACCCCATGAAGTGCCAGAGCCTGGCGAGCGAGGAGGAGGTACGGTGCCCCGCCAGGTCCAAACACGATTCATTCACTTAGAGCTTCGCAGAACCTTCTGCTTGTGTTGATTATGGCGGCCCCTGTGGGACGAAGGTGGTAGTGCTCACGAATAACCATTTGCTCAAGTCCGCCCCGGATCTCTCGCCTCCTGCAGATTTCCTCCATGCTGCTGTTTGTGAAGAGCTACAAACAGGAGGTGCTGGGAGTCGGGGAGGTGGCCTTCCCCGGGGAGGGCCGGGCTCTGAGCGAAGCGGCCTCTCAGAGGACGGCCAAGGACGCCAAGGACGGCGGCGACAGGAGGGATGCTCCCAGGCAGCAGGACTCCTCCTCCGCTGCTGGTTCCACTAACGGAACCGACGACGGGACCGGACATGTGAGCAAAAAAAGTTGTCTGACATGTGGTTTGCATCTTTAAATCCACATTGCATTGAATCACAATGCATTGATCCAAAGTGGAATAAAGTATCCAGAGTATGATGATCCCGTAGAAGTAGGTTCATTTGGTTTAGTCGCTCACTTTCTTAATCCGTCCTCAAGCGGTGCACCGGTTGCCACGGTGAGGTCGCCAAGGAGACCCCGGCTGTTTACGCTGAGCGTGCAGGTTACCACGGCGCCCTGTGGCATCCCGCCTGCTTCGTGTGCTCCGAGTGCGGCCAGGCTCTGGTGGACCTGGTCTACTTCTGGTCCGCTCACAAGCTGTTCTGCGGGCGCCACTTCTGCCAGACCGTGTGGCCGCGGTGCTCCGGCTGCGACGAGGTGAGACGACTTCCTGCAGACGCGACGAATGTACCGTTACTCCGCCATGTTCATTCATCACTCTTTGATTATCTCCCCCCCCCCTCAGCTGATCTTCTGTCAGTCCTTCCACACGGCGAAGGATGGACGCACTTGGCATCATCAACACTACTGCTGCTGGCGGTGTGGGCGGAGCCTGGATACGCCCTGTCAGCACTGAGGCGGGGCTAAAAAAAAAACCGCACATACGACATCGTGTGTCGTGAAGTAAAGAAATAAGTGTAGCTTTTAATCTTTGGACGTGTGTGCAGTGATGGAGTCGACGATGCCGTCGGGGTCTCCTGGTTCTCCTGGTCCTCGGCGTCGTCGCCTCCTTCATCTTCTGGCCTTCGACCCTCCTTAAGGCAGAGTAAACACACAAAATAGAAAATAGGAAATAAACATTATACCAAACAAATGGGGCTGAAAGTTTAATGCTGATGCAACATTTACTACTTAGAACATGATAACCAAGAAGTCCAGTTGCTATTTGGATGTTCATGATACTAAAGACATCTAGTGGACGTTGTTGAAGTATTTGAAGACTTACTGGTGTTTGAGGTACTTAAGCAAATGTTACCTTGACAGAAGAGTGTGTAAAGTACTTTAACAAACATTGGGTAGATGTAGCAGCTCAGATTCAACCAGCAGACAGTTTAGTAAATGAAAGTAAATTGAGCAATAAAACAATTTTAGAAAAGTTCAAAGTTGGTTGCAGTACTTTTTACCTTCTTGGAGCGTTGCATGTTTATTTTTTTGAGGATTTTATTTCCTCTGCTGCCTCCGAAGTTTCAAAGTTCCTGTTTCTGACTTTGGAAAGAGCAGTTAAAGAAACGCAGGTTCCACTTACTGTCTACTAGCGTTTGGTTGTTTCATCTCCATTTTGAAAAAAAAACACACAACATCTGCTGAGCTCATGACTAAACTTCCAACCGCAATATTTAGATTATATTTATTTCACCGGATTTATTTCATCCTACATAATGTAACTAGCAGTTTATCATCTTTTTGGATAATCTAAGATCTGTGGATCTATGAAGGCTGGAAAAGGCATAATAATGATCTATAATGAATAGTAGGACTATGCTGGATTTTGATTTTTTATTTTGAACTAGACTAAATTTTGACTCTCGGCCTCAATTATTTTTTCGATTGATTGCTGCTAGAAGGCGCTAATTGTTGAGTGTGAAGTTTAAGCTTAAAATATAGTGTGACGAGATCAGCTGAAATATTCAGCAAACAGACAATACTGTTCATCGGCGTAAAATACATCGCACATGGCAAACGCATATCTCATAAAGATTGTGGTTTGGGTTCAGATAAATATGGATTGTTAGTTTGTGTTGACTTTGGCGCCCCCCTGCGACCCCCCCCCCCCCTCTCCGGTTTCTGGTGTAATAACAGATACATAACTCCCGGATAACAACACGGATCCAGTCAAAGACTCGGGGGGTTTTTGTCGGTAATCGCGGACACAGATGTGATTTGAAGCTCTGAATGTGACCATTTAGATTTATTTTATTACACTGTGGGACAAAACACAAAACAGATTACTGGATTCCACAGTGAACAGTGACCGATATAAATCAAAATGTACGGTTTAAATTCATAAGTGATGATGTTAAAAATATGTTTCTGCTTCTCATGTTTTGACAGCTGATAGAATAAAAGTCACTTCTGGTTAAACTCCATCTCGTCTCATCTTTTTGGAGAAAATGTTTAATCTGCAAATGCATATTTTCACTAGCTTGTGTTGAACCCGTTTATCACATCATTGTGTGTGTGTGTGTGTGTGTGGGGGGGGTAGTTGTTCTCTGCCAGTGTTCCTTTACAATTGCGTCAGACAGCTGTCTGCCCGACACGCCATGAAAAATTCCCCCAAAAGGGTATTTTTAGTCTCAAACTGGAATACTTTATTTATTATTATTTGTAATACTTTATTTGTATAGCAGCCGGTGTTATCGGGTCGGGGTCTCAATGGATCTGTCAGACTCCCTCATCACTTCCTCTCATTTCCTCTGTTGTCCTTCATTAGCTTCATAGGGTCATCAGAGGAGAGGAGAGAGGGACAAGTTCAAACCATGACACAGTTTTAAGGCGTGAAGACTTTAGTCAATGGCTCACTTGCTGTGAACAAACCCTTCCTGATGTAACGCCGTGCGCTGTTGTGGCCAGAGGGGTGAACTTACGTTCTGGAGTGTCACGAGTGACGCGAGGCCTGCTGAGTTCATCGCAGATACACCAATCCAAAAGTCACAGTGACCCCACAGGAAATCTTAAAAAGCCATCAGGGTTTATCCTCTGGGGAACATGAAGTAGTTTAACATGAAAATGTTAGACTCCACCTCCACTAGAAGACTAACAAATTGTAGCACTTAAATTGTACTTATAACGCCACTCATCTATAGCAGATTGTAAATTGGCTTATTTGAGGAAATTGCACTTTCTTGCTTCTTGTTCTTCTGAGTTGCGATGTAATGAAAATGAAATAAAAGCACCAAAGATTGTAGACACACAGCAACAAAACGAGGCTTTAGTCTCTGTTCTAGATTTAAATGCTGATTGATAACATTCCTGCATCTTATGTATTTCTCACTCAGAAAACTCTAAATCATTCTTTTATAACATGTATCTTGGTTTCGTAATACATGGCACTGACAGGCCACCAGATGTCGGCAACGTGATGGAGAATGTCAAAGAGTAGATGATTCGTGTGAGGAGGCCCAGCTCCTAGTGGGCACTTCTCCCTCTTTTAAGCATTTGAAAAGCTTTGTAGCATATTCTGTTTATTTAAATCACTCAATCGAACAGCAGAGGTAAAAGGCGTTGTCGTCAGCGCGGGAAACCCGTTCTGCGTTGGCACGTGGACGCGCAGCTTCCGGTCGGCCCGCCGTCCGCGCGCCGCTCTCCCGCTGTGAGTGCAGATGAAGGGCTGTTGTGTAATGCGGGTGAAAGAGGAGGAGGAGGAGGAGGAGGAGGAGGAGGAGGAGGAGACTGAATGGAGCACAGATTGCAGAGACACACAGGAAGAGGAGTCCGACAGGTACAGTCTGTTTTTCTCCGTGCAGGTCGTTATAAGCCGTTATAGTGAAACCATGTGTTCTTCTCTTCACCGGGTTCACGCGTCTCACATGTTGTGTTTTCATCCCGCAGTTGATTTAACTTCTCCTCTTGCACCTTCAGTGAAAAACAGATTTATTTGTGCATTAATGAGTAAGTAAGAGGCAACCAGCGTGGAAGTTCTGTTTTCGGCTACTTTACTTTTACACGACTGACCACTCGATTTAGACACTGATGGTTTTATGTAACTTAAAAAAAAAAAAAAGTACAAAACAAGGGCAACTCAAGGTCCACTTTCTCTCTTTTTGGGACTTTAATGTTTACATTGTATTCATCAACAATTTGGAAGAAGTGAAGTACTTTAAATATAAATAAGTATAATATATACAACAAAATATCATTTCAAACACAGGACTTTCACCCTGGAGAACACTGTCCATGTTCCTCGTAAATCCCTCGTAAATGATGGGTCAAAGTAAATTATGTTTATATATATATATAATTTTATTTTTTCTTAAACCAAGCCGAGTTGTGTGATGTAGACTTCTGCTCAATGTGCTGCGAATGATTCCTTAATAAGTGTGACATTTATTTTTAATTATTTGACAGTTCAAATAGAAATGCTTTGTGATACACAAACAGTTTTCTCTCAGCTATATAAGAACAAATGTGTGAAAAATGTGATTTAAAACAGCACCTAACTGGCCTCATTAGCTGTTGTTATTCTGGAGGAACACATTAACGTTACATAAGTGATTAATTAATTTATTTTTGAATATTCGATCCAGATCCTGTGAGGAGTCACTTACTGGACTCTTAGCATCCCGCCGGTGCCATGTGTCGGTAGCAGGGGAGGCTGATGGGACGTTGGGTCGGCATCGACTATTCAGCAAATGACAACGTCTGTCTTTGTTTTATTTTGAAGGGCCCGTGCAGAGATGGAGCTGATAGTGCTGTCAGGGGGTATTTTGGTTCTTCCGGTCTTCGTCTTCATCGCCTCCTTTCTGTTCTGGCCTGGATCTCTCCTTAAGGCCTACAACTGGTAAACACATAAATGAAAATGTTCGCTCTGACTTCACCAGTTGTAACAGACATTAGTGATCCATCTACTTCCTGTTCCTCTAAATGGAACAATCTACTGTTGCTGGCATTTTGTTTTGTTTTTGAAATGTCCTTATAGTTATTTCCTGTTGGGCAACCTGTTTGAGTCTGTTTTTATTATAATATATAGATGTACTTTTAATAAAGTAACTGTCTATTATAGTTAATAGATACTGATAGATACTATTAGTATCTATTAACTATCTATCCTTAACTTCCAAAGATAGCCATAAGTTCTAATCTTAAAAGAAATGGAAATGTTGTACTTTGTTCATGGAATCAACCATTGATAGAACATTTAAAAACTGACGTAACTGTGACCTCCCACGATACCCTTTTGTTCGTAACTTACGATTGTGACCTTTCACCCAAATGTCTAATAAGTAGAAATGATGATCTAAGCAGAGGGACAGATCTCCCCGCCAACACATTTGCTGTTGTAAACATATTTTCATCAGCATTATATATTTTCAATTCTTAAACTGATATTAATATAATATATAATAATCATTTACAGCTTCTTAACCTTTTCGTAACGTCACTGCTTCAGAAACGGGCTTTTATTGTGAAGGAGTGGGGCCTCTAGTGTGACCTGGCCTACTGGACTTTATTCTTAACTGTAAAAAACAAACCTGCATGTTATCTGCAGGAAAGGACTCTCTCTCTCTCTCTCTCTCTCTCTCTCGCACACGCGCACACACACACACACACACACACACACACGGACACACAGAGTGCTGCGTCACAGTCATGTAATGGTGGTTTATGATATGCGTAAAATGTCAAGCTAGAAACCACTGAAATGTTGCATGAAATAAGATTGACAGAGATTGAGCTCTTGTTGTGGCTGCACTAGTTCATTAAATGGTTCGTCATTATGAAGCTCAGGTCAACGTTCATTGATGCACTTGGTTCTTCCTTACATCTCAGAATCGGTGGGACGAACATGTCACAGTAGTGCTGTGGTGACCCTCGATCCCACGCTGCTTATCTCCTCCGCAGGTTCTGGCGTCAGAGGCTCGGGCTGCTGGTCCGCTACTCGCACTGCGGAAACTACCGCTTCTGTTACAGCAGCCGCGGGACGCCGCGGGACGCCACGCCGACGCTGCTGCTGCTGCACGGCTTCTCCGCCTCCAAGGACATGTGGCTGCCCGTCGTCAATGTAACGCATTCACCTCATTCGCTCCCTCGACCACCAGGAACTACTGTTGTGTGTGTGTGTGTGGTTCGACTGGTTTGTTACAGTGAGTCTCTGGTTTGTGTATTTTTTATCCCTCCAGCACCTCCCCAGAGACCTGCACGTGGTGTGTGTGGACATGCCGGGACACGAGGGGACGAGTCGCACCGGCGCCGAGGACTACAGCATTCAGGGTCAGGTGACCCGTGTCCACCAGGTGTGTGTGTGTGTGTGTGTGTTAAATGCATCACACTGGGGGGCTCTGTGTATTTCTATGAAGTTGCTCATTGGTGCATGAGGCCAAAAAAAAGTGAGACTTTCACACACGTCAACCTGCATCTCCCACGTCTCTGGCCTCATGGAGCAAGTGCGCTGTCGTTTGGTTTTGACCCCCCCCCCCCCGGCCTCTTCTAGCCTGCGTATGGGCGGAGAAATGAAAACATGATTTGAAGTAAAGGATAAGCATGCAGTTCTTGTGGAAAGTTGAACGACCTCAAAACGAATTGAGATCAGGACGTCTCGCACTAAACGTGAATCACAAAGGAAGAAGACGCCGGGGCCTCCCGGCATCATGGGGCCGGCCGCTTCATCACAATTTCATGGTTCCCTGTTGTTTAAAGCCACACGTTGTCCTCGGTTAAAACTCCTGACCGCCTCTGACATACGCGGCCTCGCTCTCTCCCTCTCCCTCCCTCTCTCTCTCTCTCTCTCTCTCTCTCTCTCTCTCTCTCTCTCTCTCTCTTAGTTCGTGCAGAGCATCGGTCTGGACAAAAGACCCTTCCACCTGGTGGGCACGTCGATGGGCGGGAACGTGGCTGGCGTCTACGCCGCCCGCTACCCGGCTCAGCTCTCCGGCGTCACCCTGATGTGTCCGGCAGGTAAAGCCGCGTGATGTCACCGATGGCTCCGTGGCCTCCCTGCAGGTGTTCAAACCTGAGACCTCATGCTGCTCCTCCTCCTCCTCCTCCAGGTCTCGTTTATCCGACGGAAACAGAGTTCATCCGGCGTCTGAGGGAGCTGGAGAACACTCCGCAGGTGGAGTCCATCCCTCTGATCCCCTCCACTCCTCAGGAGCTGGATGACATGTTGAAGCTCTGCTGCTACACCCCCCCCAAACTCCACCGACAGGTAAAGAGCTCCTTCATTCCAGATTCACACCCGTTTTAAAGGGAAAGTTTTATATTTTCCCTCCGTCCCGTCGTCCATTAATCAATCTGCTTTCTCTGAGGTGATGCCTCCAAAAATACACCAAAATGAGTTGTATTGATTAAGAGCACCGAATAGGAGAAATGCTTATTGGTGTTATTGGGTTGTAGCCTACTGTCCCCTCAAGGCTTTCTCAACAGCATATCAAATCATCAGTGCAACGACTGTGTACCAGTTCCACACAACTTCCTGTGGACGTGTGTGTGTGTGTGTGTGTGTGTGTGTGTGTGTGTGTGTGTTTGCCAGGTCATGCAGGGTCTCCTCGACAACAGGATCCCTAACAATGAATTCTACAAAGAAGGTCAGTCGGTCCACCGAGTAGAAGCGGTTGTGATGAATGTATTTTTTAAACAAAAACTGTTTGCATCGTCACATTTTTTAATATATATATATTTTAAAAGTCAAATATCTTTTTTTCCTGTTCTTCTTTATCTCTCCAAGGCAGCAAAATGTACAATATTCAGAGCTTGAATAAAGCAGCCAATAGCTAATATCCATGTAAAGCTAAATCGGAGTATTGTGTAGTTATCTTCGCCTCGCTTTGTTGTCGCTTTGTGTGCCGTGCGTCGTGCTTTTAGCGCACCTGAGTTTGTGTTACAACACAACGTCGCAGCGTAGCACCAACCCGCCGGTTCCCTCTCCGCTCGACGTCGTTGGTTTTGTCAGCACTTTTGCTGTAGTTTGCGCTGTTAGCGCTATTAGCGCTGTTAGCTGATGCGTCGCCACGTTGAGAGCCATCAAGAGGCAATGCTTGTGAAAGGCTCCTTTCATTTATTGTGTGTGTGTGTGTGTGTGTGTGTTGTTCAGTGTTCATGGAGCTCGTCGGTGAAAAGTCTCGTCACCTGCTGCAGGACAACCTGCATCTGATCACATCGCCCGTGCAGGTCGTCTGGGGGACGGAGGATCAGGTACAGAAGAATCACAGTCATGCAGGTGTAACATTTACACGCTGCAGCTTTTAAACGCCCGTCCACTAAAGGCTGTGACGAACCCGTCGGCTCTCTCAGGTGTTGGACGTCTCGGGGGCGGCGGTGCTGGAGGCGCGGCTGCCAAACTGCCAGGTGACGCTGCTGGAAAAGTGTGGCCACTCCGTGTCGTTGGAGCGGCCCAGGAAAACCGCCAACCTGATCATGGACTTCATGTCTGCGCAGGAAGTCGGCTGTGAAAACTCCAAGAAACTTTCCTGAAGGAAGAAAACGTACAACCGTGTTATTTGTGATGATGATGCTGTTTTATAGTTGGATAAAAATGTTTTTAACATCTGTGAACATCAGATGAATGCCCAAAAGCGGGACGGACAGTCGATTACACCTGAAATCTTTGGACATGGCAGCAAGAAAGGAGGCTGTAGTTCAGTATGTTGAATGAAAAACCAGGAATTACAATAGTTATTGATAAGCAGTTGAAAAGAAACATGATTTTTTGAGGTTTAAAACAGTAAGGTGTTTTTAAATAGTTGTGTCGTTCTGTGTAACATGATAAATGGTTTATTAGGATATAGTTTCAATTTATTTGTTTTTGTGAAATTATGGAACTTGGAGCAGAGACTCAGTTCAGAAAATCTTTACCGCCGGAAAAACCCCAGAAAGGTAAATTTTCTTTATCTATGAAATGGAATAAAGAAAAAACAAATGTTCCCACCTCATCTTTAAAGAATATTGTGTTTTGTGTTATTTAATTATCTGAGAAGTTATATTTTATATCGCTCATAACTCATCTGAATTTTTCTCCTTCTGATAGAAATAGAAATATCTTTCAAAATGTCAAATTACCGGTCACGTTTTGGTTTGACTCATGTTGTTGACAGAAACGGTCTTGATTTAATTTTTATTTAATTTCATACACCTCTAATTATTTATATATATTTTTTGACTTGTCTCAGTCTATTTATCTCTAGCTGTCTTCGTGCCGGTGACCTAAAATTCCCTTTATCGTCCCTTACCGTCGTCTGTGATTATTGGGTTTCCAACGTTTGGACAGAGTGATCCATCTTCTTTTATTCCACAACCTCTTTGGCGCATATGATGTCGTTACTGCGCATGCGCTGATTCTGGTCAAGGGTGCATGGAGCTCACTGCACGCAGTTGTTTCTCAACGTAAACGTAATTTAGTTGGTGAGTTAATTTAATGCTCTGAAACGTCTAACATGTTTTTTTTGGAATAGTTGGTCGATGATAAATGACCGTTCGCTTACGGTTACTTGTCGTTAGTTGCCAGTGTAGCAGCTAGCTAGGGGCTAGCTTAGCTAATGTCAGCTAGCTCGGCTAACGTTGGTGTTTGACGTCACGGTAGCGAGTTTTAAGAGTTTATATTAACAGTCAATGTTGTGGATTAACACGATGAATGCATCAACGTGATGTAACAAAGCGTTGCAGCAGGTTATCGTGTTATATAAAAAAGATATATATATATGTGTATTTTTTTTAATATTATAAATACATGAAGCATTTTTAAAGAGGTTGTTAGAGGCTGTAAATCATTATCTCATAAATATTTTTAACTCAAATCTTTTTTCAAAACAAGCTCAGCGGGTCATTATAGCCTTTAGAGAATATTACTCAAACAGAAGGAAACTGCATTTGTTGTGGAATGTGTGGAATGCGGATGCACGTTTATTGACACGTGATGCAGGACGTGAGCACGGGCCGGACCCTCCCGCATGATGTCCCTTTAACCTTCCGTGTTTTTGTTTTCTTTGGTCTGAGGTCAGCTGATCAATCCGCTGTGTTTGCGGCCTGAGTCTCGGATGCTTTGACGGAATGAGCGGCGCCGACACGGAGAAGGAACCTGCGGCTTACCGACGGGTCGTGTTGAAGAACGCCTCGCCGTACCACTACATGAAGGTCCGCCTGTAAGTCACCGCCAACCGGGTCATCCATGGCCACTCGTCGTATACGCAGAGGTGTATGTTGATGTGCTTGTGCCTTTTCTCTTCAGCGTTTTGGAGGATGAGTCCACCAAACTGAGTGCAGTCGAGCTGAAGCAGTTCATCGTCACCGGTCTGAACAGCCTTTATGGAGAGGTGAGGTCATTAACGTGTCGGCGGTTCGATTCCGGTGGTGGGATGTGCTGTTACTCGGTGATGACCTTGTGTCACGTCCGGCTAGTTCGGTACTTAATCTCAGATTTTCACTATTACCATTTTTTTATCAAATTGATGAATAAAAAAATATTTTTAGTAATATCTTTAACACGTCTTCAAGTTGTTTTGATATTTGTATTTGTACAGTGATGGAAGTAATACTATTTGTATTGCTCGACATTACAAAAAAGTACATTACTGTGTGTACTTGGTTTCATTCCACCGTCTATACGCACATTTGTGTTCCAGGCGGGAGCGGCGCTGACCTTTGACCTGTTGAAGTACGATGAAGACACCCTCACTGCTCTTCTGCGTGTTTACAGCAGGTGAGTTCAGCGGACGAGAAGAAAAGTTCATTCTGAGATGTTTTTTTTCTTTTTCAAACACAATTTGTGTCCTCAGGGGTTTGGTGAAGCTGTGGAGCTCTCTGACTCTGCTGGGCTTCTACCAGAAACGGGCCTGTGCCTTCAGGGTGCTGCAGGTCAGCCGACCCTTTTATGTTGTGCGTGTTGCGTGTGAGCCGCAGAGAGAAAGTTAAAGTCATTATTATCTGCTCATCACTCAAACCAAACAATAATAGTTGTATTAAGAGAATATTTCCTCACCAAAATGTCCTTTTTGTAAATTGTCATCGGAAATGTTTGCCTGCAGACCTCGCGCTCTCTCTCTCTCTCAGATCATGACACCCGTTTCTCCTCCGCTTCAGGTGTCTCCGTTCCTTCTTGCGCTGACTGGAAACAGTCGAGAGCTGCACCTGGACTGAAGGAGGAGCAGCGTCGTTCTTCAGGATGACTTCCCTGTGGCGCATCGTCCTCAACAAACCGCGGCTGCGCCTCTCTCGCCCTCCGTCCTGCCGGCCGCTCCACGTGGGCCAGCGAGCCTCCCTCACCAAAGCGTTCTCCGCCCGCGACGTGCAGCTGTTCGCCGAGCTGACGGGCGACAACAACCCCGTCCACCTGGACCCGGCCTACGCCAGCACCACCTCTTTCGAGGCGCCCATCGTCCACGGCGTCCTCATCAACGGCCTGATCTCGGCCGTGCTCGGCACCAGGATGCCCGGCCGCGGCTGCGTCTTCCTCTACCAGGAGATCCGCTTCCCGGCGCCGCTCTACATCGGCGAGGAGGTGCTGGCCGAAGCGGAGGTCCGCAAGATCAAGATGGCGTTCGCCTTCATTGCGGTGACCTGCTCCGTCAGGGACAAGGTGGTGATGGAGGGGGAGGTGATGGTGATGATGCCCGATGAGCAGAAGAAGAAGGAGTGATTTCAAGATGGCCGCTGCAGCAGACAACCGTGACACTTTGTGTCACTCAAAATAATCTGTTATTGATGACATGTGACTGAAACAGAAACGTCTAACACAAAGACTCTCAGATTATTTATTTAGATGTTTCATTCATCATTTCTGCTTTGTACTTTCTTTAATGTGTTGAATAAAACATTTTTGATTTAGTAAATCCATTCACATCTTCTCAGTCTTAAACTCAGCACCTTCATATGGATGCTGTCAGACCCTGATATCCGATGATGGGGAAGTGTCATCAGTTTACAATCGTTATTTTATTTTTAATATCCCTCTCCTGGCAGCACCTTGAAATGAATATCCCTTCAAACTTGGCACATGGTCCACATTCCCTCACGGTTAAACTTGGTAGTGAAAAGATCGGTTTGACCTCACTAATAAAGCCTTTTGACATAACTCAAGAAAAAAAAAAAGATAGGCAGCAATTCTAATTTTTCAGTCCCTGTTTCACTAAACAAAGTCCATACCAAAACCACTGGTTCATTATCAGCAACCTTCTTTAATTATCCACCTTCATTCCTGACAGAGATATATATATATATATATATATATATATATGTATATATACATATATATATATGTATATATATATATATGTATATATATATATGTATATATACATATATATATATATATATATATATGTATATGTATATATACGTATATATATATATACGTATATATATATATATGTATATATACATATATATATATATATATATATACATATATATATATATATATACGTATATATATATATATATATATATGTATATATACATACATATATATGTATATATATATACATATATATGTATATATATATATATATATATATGTATATATATATGTGCATATTTCATCTTCAATGTTTAACCACTGGCATGGACATGAAGCATCACATGATTATTAAGAGATGGTGTTCTTTTAATATTGTGCCACCCGCTATCAATCCCATGTACACCGTCAAGGGTGCCCTAAAATCTTGTGGCATTAACTCTCAACGATCTTAATAACCATTTCCCAGAATGTTTGATTGTAAATGTTTTACAGGTTGGTAATCATCCGCCCAAATTGTCCCCGTCGTTGCTACCGTTTAACCAGTAGGTTTTTCATTTTAATTTTTTTTTAAATGTATTTAATGTTTTGCGTCAAGTGAGGAAGACCATGAACTGTAGTCGAAAGCTTTTTGTTTTATTTTTCTGTGTTCCTCGTTTTCTTTCTTTTTAAAAATATTTCACTGGTCTGATTCATCACTTGCTCCTCCACACCAGCAGGGGCGTGGTAGCACCTTCGGTACCTGGTCCCTACCAGCAGGGGCGCTGTAGCCCCTTCAGTACCTTGTCCGTACCAGCAGGGGAGCTATTTCGCCGTCCGTACCTGGTCCCTACCAGCAGGGGCGCTGTTTCGCCGTCAGTACCTGGTCCCTACCAGCAGGGGCGCTGTTTCGCCGTCCGTACCCGGTCCCTACCAGCAGGGGGCGCTGCAGCGCATTTACTATCTGATCCGCGGCATCCTGGTTACAGTAAAGCTAAGCTAACAGCCGAGCGGGTTAGTTCGCTTCTCCAGCGGGCTGTTGGTGTTCCTCCTCTTCGGTTCAGCGGGGCTCCGCCTCGGCGTGTTGCCCGGCGGTCTCCGCGAGAGAGACGGACGGACCCTTGAGATCGGACTCCCGCCTGTCGGTCCTCCGGTGATGTCTTTCCGGGAGAAGCCGTCCCCCGGCCGGCTGCTGTTGGACGACACCGTACCCCTGACGGCGGTGATCGAAGCCAGCCAGAACCTCCAGTCCCACACGGTGAGTTCTTACTGGCGGCGGACTTTAACGACCCGGTGCCGTTTAACGTAAAACTGTTTTTCGCTCACGTTACGAAATACCGCGTTAAGTTTTATTTTTCTTAAGGGGGCGTTTGGGGCTATCGCTGCGTCACCGTTTCCATTATCGGACCGGTGTAGGAGCTTCATTCTGGCTGGTTTTCTTGTGAATGTTTCGTTAACCACAAACCGCCTCTTTGCTTTAGTCCCATCGCGTCGCTCCAGTCTCATCTGAGGCATCGGCCTCGCACCGTGTCTCTATTATCGGACAGATAGGCAGCTGACTGCGGCTCTCACTAGCTGGCCGTCACCGATTAAGCAATTTCCTGGAAGCCGTTTTGCGAAAAGGAAACTGCCGGTTTTAAGGGAATCCATAGATAAAGAGTATCGTCGTCTGGAATCTTTGACGGGCTTTTGGCACATTTCCGTCACCGTAACACAATACGCATTGTTATTATTATTTGCTCCCATTGACAGCTCTCTGCTAAACTGTGAGATTTAAATAAAACGTTTTCTTTTTTTCTGTACGTCATATACGCCGAAGTGAAGATCTAATGGAAACCTCTGTTTGTGTACAAACATCTCGTCACAAATCGTACGCGTCGTCTGAAATTCACAGAAACATGGAAGTGTTTGGATTTCCTATCGGGGTTTGGCGTGGCCTCCTCTGAGCGTTTGTGTCAGCGATGATCGGGGAAAGCTTGTGTTCAGCATCCATTTGCACTTAAACGTGCACTTTGATCTGGTGCGGGAGGAAATGACGTGTAAGCAACGTGACCGCAGGCGGTCAGATTACGCTCCCGGAATAATAAAGAGGGACATGTGTTGTCTGTCCGATAATGGACGCATACGCAGTGGGTTTGTTGACAGTCCGACTGGGATCAGCTGAGCTAGCCTGTTGGCATGCTAATGTTATCAGACCATCGTTGGTGGTGGTGCACATTTAAAACAGAACCATTACCTCGTAGGGAAGCATAATACTGACTGATATCAAACAGATTTATGTATTTACACTTTTCCCTATTGGTAGATTTTGTGGTAGAACTCATCATGATTTTCATAACATAAGGCCGGAAATTGGCTGTAATGGCTTTTTAAAAGTTGTGACTGAATGCAGTCGAAACACTAAATGAAATGAAAGCGGCTCGGCGTGGATCACCGATCTACTCCATGTGGTCGCTGCGGATGCCGATCGGCCAGGTGCTGCATCCTGCATGTGGTGTGATGCGTTTACCTTTTCACGGCTTCGACTAGCACAGGAACCATTGCAGATCAAAGGTCAGCAGCTTTACGACTCGGGCAGGAGTGGAGAGCTGTGAGTCTATTTGTCCTGCACCTTTTTTTTAACGACAAGGCAATTCATAAAGACGGGAGGAACTGAACAGTGACGGCTTCTTCTTAGTGCACAGAACACAACGGAGGCTGCGTGTCATGAATGATAGAGGCCTTTGGAATTGGTATCTTTTTTTACATAAGAAAAGACTGACAAAGTGAAGTGATGTCACATCTGTTTACTGCCCAGGGTCCACTCAGCTCACCTTTGAATGAATGTGAGATTACAGCAGAAAGCAGTCGGCCTGCAGGAATTAGACCGTTTGGGGTCTGAGCGGATTAGATTTCCCCATAAAATTGTTATTTAATTTACAATGTTGTTTTCTATATAATCATGAACTCAGTCACTCATAGCTTGTGACTGTATAGCTTTTCATTTAATTGCATTATTTGTGGAATATTAAAACTTCAAAAAAACTTTAAAGAAATATATATATACAAAAAAATATAATATATATGAATATACATAATTTATATACTTTTTTCCTCCTCTAAAGTACCCTTTTTTTGTCTCGTTTCAGTTGGAAATGTAAATGTTGTCTCATTGTTGCGTCGTAGTTCCCATCATTTATTAATGTATGTTTAAAGTTTCTTAAGAAAAGCAGCATATTAATGTTCTGATGGCGGTGTCCTCTCTCGTCTCGCAGGAGTACATCGTCCGAGTCCAGAGGGGCGTGTCTTCAGAGAACAGCTGGCAGGTAAATGCACCAATTGCCTCCTCCGTTAATATTCGATCACAGCAGGTAGAGACGGCTCAGTAACGTGTGTGTGTGTGTGTGTGTGTGTTTTCAGGTGATCCGGCGCTACAGTGACTTTGATGTCCTCAACAGCAGCCTGATGGTGAGTTTCGTTGAGACGGTTTCCGTGGACGTTTTAGGATCCTTGGTGACTGACAGGAACTCAAGCTGCTGCTGAAGGGAGAGAAATAAGGTGGAGAAGGAGCTGTCAGGGGTCGTCGTACCGCCTGCTTCATAAGGCCTGCAGCAGCACTGTTTAAGTGAACAGTTTCTGCTGCCGTTGATCTCTTGCTGTCAGAGGCCAGTTGGATGTCATGTGACTGATAAGCTGTTGGCCTCGTCGTCGCTTTTAAGGCCTCCGCTAGTAAATGTTAAAAGCAAGCGCTGTGACAGATGAGCTGCAGATGGTTGTCAGTAAAAGGAGAGGCAGGCTCAATGGTTTCGCACACACGTCTCCGGACTTAAAGATTGTAGGTTGGACATTTTGTTACTGAGAAGCAACAAAAGAGCGCCGCAGGAATCCACGAACCCCGGAACCGAGTCGTGTCTATGGTTATGTGGCTGAAATGAGTTCTCTGATAAACCCAATAAAGATCTAAAAGATCTTCACTTTTTGTCTTGAACAAAGTTGTCGGTAACAGCTGCTCTGCATTGTGAAGCTTGAAATGTTTGATAATAGGACGATGTCGCGGACATTTAAAAGATCAAACTCGTGCTTCTCCAAAAAAACTTATTTTTCTACAATAAACCAAACCCAGCACGACGCTGCAGGTCGGCCGTTCATTTTAATATGTAAAAATGTTTTTTACATATTAAACTAACAGGGTATTTCACATAATAATCATTTGATCTTTAGAATAGGTTATATTGATCTTTGCTAAATGCTAAATCTATAATCAATGGAAGCGTCCTGGAGGGGATCTGACTTCTTGTCAGATTGTTGTTACTCGTCTTCTGCTCAGGTCAAATCATTCCTGGATAACAGGAAGTTAGCAGCTTTTCCGCTGAGGTTTCGCCTGCTCATTTCCTTTTGGGAGGTCTCCCCCCGACCCCAACCCCGACCTTCAGTCAGCTTGTTTGTCCGTCTCTCTGGGACAACGTGACTGAATATGAAGGAAAGGACGTTTAGTGCATCTGCTGCATCGCTCTCTCGCTCTCTCTGCAGGTTTGCGGCATCAGTCTCCCGCTTCCTCCCAAGAAGCTGATAGGAAACATGGACAGGGAGTTCATAGCGGAGAGGCAGAGAGGTCTGCAGGCCTTTCTGGACTCAATTACCCAGCATCCCTTGCTTTCCAGCTCCCTGATGGTCAAGAAGTTCCTCGACCCAAACAACTACTCCGCCAACTACACAGGTGTGTTCCTTTGTGCTTATTGCCTTGAATCCGCAGCATCTCTCTGTGTCTTTCTGTTACTTTGTACGCTGATGGTCTGTTGTCCCTGCGTGTGCGTCAGAGATCGCCCTGCAGCAGGTCTCCATGTTCTTCAGGTCCGACCTAAAGTGGGAGGTCCTGGAGCCTCTCAAAGACAACGGTAGGACCTTTCTGTTTGAGCGCTAATGCTAACCGCTAGCACAACATGCCGCTGCTTGCTTCAGCGTCGCTGTACCCGAATGCACATTAAGGCCCCGACAATATATTTCTTTTGTGTTGGATTATTATTGGCTGAATAACAAATATGCTTTTTCTTTTTTTAAGGCTGGCGGATCAGGAAGAAATATTTTCTGATCAAAAACAAAGAGCAGCCCAAGGAGAGGTATCTGCTGAGCTGGGTGGGTTCATAGAAATTCATTTTATATCAACAGGGTGAGAAAAATGTCCGAGGAGTGCAGAGTGCATTGAGTCAGAAACGTAATACGAGTTGTTTTTTAACGACAACACATGGAAATATTTCATGACAACAAATTCTGCACTCGTACTTCTCCTTGAAGAAAGGAAAGACGGCCGGTGTTCCTCTTTCACTTCCTTCTGTTTCCAGGAATGTCTCTGAGGGATTTCCCACGCTGGAGAATAAATTTAGCTTCACTTGGATTCAATTAAACGTAATTCACTGACGCCAAAGTGTTCTCCAGTCACAAAAAAAGGAATGTGGGCGAAGAAAAAGTCTCTGATTTGTATTTCTGCTCCGCTGACTGAAGCGTGTAGAGGGAATGTTTTTATTCTTAACTTGTTGTTCATCTCTGGAATTTCATTTTAACAATCGAAGAGGTCGATTCTAATGAAAAGCATTCGAGGTTAAAGCCACAAAGTGAATCTGTGAATATTTTCAATTTAAAGGTTCCATCACTTAAACAACATTTGTACAACTCTGGTTTACAGAAGCACGTCTGTAGAGAAGATTACAGTTCTCAGAATAACAACGTGTGTGTGTGTTTTGTAGGTCGACCTGGGTCCAGATAAATTCCTGTCCGACAAAGACCTGCAGTCAGCAATGAAGCTGCTAACCAGCCTGTCTGTACGTGTGTGTGTGTGTGTGTGTGTGTGTGTGTGTGCGCGCGTAACTGACACCAACTCGCACAGAAACTCAACATTTGTTCAAACATGAAACCAGAATCTGACTTTTTAGCATCTGTTTGAACATTTTAAACGTTACATACGGAATATGCAGCAAATTGCACGTTTTTCATACGAGAATAATAGAAGACACACAGACTGAAATCTTTCATTCTAGCTGGTTTTAAAGTGTAAATAATGAAACTCCTCCCCAGACTCCATACGTCTGTCCGCTGTTGTTCTCCAGCACCAGCGAGTCTTCGGCTCTGCTCATCCGGCCGTTCAGTGAGAGGGGCTCTCTGAGGGACCACATCTGTAAGGTACACTGTGTGTGTGTCTGTGTGTGTGTGGTTGTCGTTGTTTGGTGGAACAACAGAAGTTTCAGTGGAAAGCGACTGTCTCCTGCAGGTGAAACCCAGAGAGAGTTACCTCAAGAAGTACTGCAACCCCAAGAAGAGCCAAGGCCTCCAGCTGCAGGACGTCAAACTGTACGGCCGCCAGATCCTGGAGGTAAGTACACACTCACACACACGCACACACACGCACACACACACACACACACACACACACAATGTCTCCTGTTACATGAACCGTCTCTGTGTGTGTGTGTGTGTGTGCGTGTGTGTGTGCGTGCAGGGCCTGAAGCTTCTCCACGACGGCGGCGTGTTCTTCGGTCACCTTCACGCCTCCAACGTCATCGTGGACGACGGCGTGTGCCGACTGGCCGACGTGGAGAACGGCGTGCTGGGAGTCCCCTCGGCGCTGCGCCCGGCCTTCACTCAGCTCCGCAAGATCAACGTACGTGAGGACGGACGCGCGGGAGACGCTTGTCCGTAGACACGTTTTGTTACTCAAAGTCCGATTTCTAAAAGTGTCACTCGTTTAATCTGCAGACGACGGAGAGCATCGACGTCTTCTGCTTCGGACGTTTGCTCTACGAGATGGTGTACGGTCGGCCGCCGGACGCCGTCCCCGTCGATCAATACCCCGATGACCCCGACGCCGCTGTGGGTCAGTTCTGACCTCTAGGCCTGAAATGTCAAGTTGACTTAAAAGTTCCCAGTTGATTTATTGTGTGTGTGTGTGTGTGTGTGTGCGTGTGCAGTGTCCGTGCTGCAGTCCATTTTGTCCACAGAAGCCTGTAAGAGCGGGATGCCGAGCGTGTCGCAGCTCATCCGGACGCCGTGAGTTCCCCTGACTCCGCCCCCCTCCGCTGCGTTTTAACGGATTGAATGTTAGGAATCTACCGCGCGACGCACGAATAATAAGTCTGAAAATGTTTTTTGTGCTTCGCAGGCTGTTCGGCGACGTTCAGCTCCAGCACTCGGAGAAGCTCCAGATCAAGGTGAGCGCCTCCTCAATCGCTCATCGCGATGAACGACCGAGTAGAAGCGTCAGACGCGTGAGCCTCCGTCCTCTCCTGCAGGTTCCCAGCAGGCTGCGAGAGGCGCTGCGGACGGCCAAGGAGAGTCTGGAGAGGAGGCTGCAGGAGGAGCAGAGGATGGTGAGGTCCTTCCTTCGTCTCCTCAAGGCTCCATCAACAAATATCTGGTGTTTTAAATCGGTGACCTGCTGGACCGGGGGGGCAAAGGTCAACCCTGGCAGCGTAAAATACTGTGGGAGAACCTCACGGTTTCATTTCCCACGACCTTCTCATGCTGCAAACACATCGATCGAAGGAAGGTGAAGCAATTTGCCCAAAGTGGACGACAAAAAAATGCTGGTTGAACGTGAGGTTTTTGTCATAAGTGAATAAATAAGAAACGTATTCGGGGATATTCACCACTTCATCAACGTATTTGCTGAAATAGAATAGGAAAGAAAGATTTTTGTCACATTATTTGTGACCTAAAGACATTTATTGAATGTGTTCTTGTGTCCTGATGAACTTTCATGTGACAGCAATGTTATCTTATGTACTGATTTTAATACATAACCTGAATTGATTCTGCAGGAATCTCCTTTTCTTCCGTTTCTGTCTTTGTTAGTTGAGTTGAGGGATTTGTGATGTATTTTGTTGCCGTTTGTAAGGAGCATTGTGTTTGACTGCAGATCCACCAGCACAGGAGGCTGACCAGAGCTCAGTCCCACCACGGCTCCGAGGGGGAGAGGAAGAAGAGGAAGAGCCTGGCGAGGAAGGTAGGCGACCGCGGACGCCGGAGCCTGGAGAACCTGTGTGGCTCCGACGCATTAGATGCACGCGGCCCACGGGAAGTGCACAGAAACCTAAAGTCGTGTTTCCGTCTGCAGAAGTCCAGACAGTCGGCTTACGAGAACGAAGAAGACGTCTCCGTGAGAAACAACAACAACTCCGGTGGGTCACGTCCAAGTTAAACTGGAGCCTCTCTGGTCCTCACGAGCCGACATGAGCTGTTGGTCTGTGTTGTTCTGAACAGCTGAGACCTTCATCTTTGTTTCATTAGATATTATAACTAATAGAAGACGAAAATACCTTTTTTGTGTTTTTATTCAGTAATGTTTACAAGTCGTCTTCTTCACGCAGGTTCTGTGAAGCCACCTTTTAATCTTTTTTTCTGTTTCTCCGTCCGTCTTCAGGTTCCGGAGCCAGTTCACCTCCCACATGCCCCTCCTCCCCCACCCCCCCGTCCACCACAGGTAGGCCCTGTCTGTCTGTCTGTCTCCCCCGGTGGGCGTTCTGGTGTCTGAGGTCTCATCTGGACTACGGCATCGTAACCGTCGGCCCGGAACTCTGTTTTCATCTGAGACGTCTGTCCCTCTGTCCCTCTGTCCCTCCTCTCTCGCCATGCGATGACCTGTTTCACTTTTCTAGCAGGCTGGATGGAAACACGGCTGTTTTTATACAAGTAATATTTGGGTGATGTTTCTGACGCTAAATCCCATGAAAATGAGTTTAATTAACGTGTGTTTTCTCTCTCAGCCTCCTGCTGAAGATGTGAATCTGTCAAAAAGCTCATTACTTCATAATATCGTTTGTGTTTAAAAAAAAGTCTCAGCCGCCGTTACTCATTTTTGGGGACTATTTTCAGCGGCGGATGAATATGCGACTCGCTGCTCACTGAGTGGTGGAATCTAACAAAGTACATTTACTCACTTTGGAGTTTGTTAAAAACAGAATATTCCCAAACGTTCACAACATGTTGTGACAAACGTTCCTTTTCCGTACGTCTGTGTCCTCTTCTCGTTGCCTCGTCTCCTTATTTCCTCTCCTTCTGTTCTTGCCACATCGTCTCTTCCTCTCCTGTTTGTCCTGGAGACACTGTGTAACTGCTGATTGGTGCACTGAACAGATAACTCTCGTCTCCCTGTCTCTCTCTTCCCTGTGCCGTCTCCACCGTAGAGCATGCTCCGTTCTGACCGTGTCGTTGGGTAATGTAAACCATTAATAATGTCCATGATGATGATGAAGTGTTTTTTTTAGGCTGTCGTGCACCCTGATTTCCCAGCAATCTCCGGCTCAGAGATCTGCCGCCTCCTTTAGGGAAGAATGCGTGGACTTAAAATGGATTGAGCGCGATCACGAGCCTCGTGTGCACGTAGGACACGTTGAGATAAGAGCTTCCTGTGGACCAACGCGATGGACTCCGAGCGGATGTCCAGGGTCCCGTGTTGCAACTTGTGCTTCAATGAAAAGGACCTTTTTATTAAGACTTTGCCAATATGGCGTAACGCGTTATCCAACTGATACTGATGTTCACATCTGAGGATTGAAAAGAAGAAGAAGAAAAAGAAAAATTCCGTACTTGCACACCTGTCAAACACCGATAACACGTACAAATATGTGTATTCTGATTACTTCTCACGTGCAACTAACAAGATATTTGGTTAAGACACGTAAATTAAAACATGAAGGAAAAAATCCAACCGCGAGGCGCTGATTCTAGTTCAGATTCTAGGCCCAGTTCCACGTCCCTTCTCAACTTGAATAAAGTGACTTTGCAGGAGACGACGCCAGAAGCCTAAAAGTGGAAATCCGTCTTGTTAGAATCAGCCAGCATCGACGAGTCTGTTTGCCTGGAGGAGGGTGCACGCACATCTTAAATAAAAACCCCACAATCTGCAATGATCTCCAAACCTGGGGCCGTTCTCATTGGAGGTTGTGATCCGGTCAGCTGCAGCACGGCCGTCTGTTTTGTTTTGTCTGCACGCGTGTCGCGGTTTTCCTTCAGGGACACACCGAGCTGACGGCGCTTTTATCCGACGCTTTTACCTAAAGAACGCCGGTTTTGTTTCCCTCCCGCTCGTATGAAGCTGCTCTGCAAACCCTTCAGAAAATCCTTTCACGGGTTTGTTTGATATTCAGATAAAACTTTTTCCATTGTGAAAGAACCAGAAGCACATTTTTAATTTTCACCAGCACCAATTTTGAATTATTTACATCTGGTCCCGGCCCGTATTCATCAAATCAGTCCGAAAGTGAGGGATCATTTAATTAATAAAATAATGAATCTGTGAAACGTGGACACCGCTGTGCTCCGGTGGACACATCTGAAGACGGATGTCCCTCTGGAAGCACAACCGTGGACCTGACTGAAGAGTCATCTGAATATTATAATTTTAGAAAAGTCCACCAGGCTGCCAAATGTAATGAAAGTGCGTTTGTTGCACAGCCCTCCTGGAGATAATCGGTCTGCCCTGCATTGAGTGAAACAATCATAAAGTCCTTCAAATCCATCCTCAGAAGATGTGTGAAGAAATCCTCTTCATCCGGCCAACGGTCGTCTGCAGGCGACGGGTTTTTCCAGGTGTGGTTACCAAATGACGGATGTGCTTTCATCACGTTGCAGATGTTGAAACGCGTGTAGTTGAACAGGAGGCGGAGTCTCTGCTTCACCCTGCATGTGAGCGCTCGCCGTGCGTCGCTCCCCTCGGCGCGACGTCGCCGGCTTTTATTGCGTTAGGAGATTAACAAGAGAAACGCAGCAGCTCGCGGTTCAATTCACCATCAGTTCCCCCCGGCGAGCGAAGGCACCCTGACAGGTGGGGAGGGACAGACACAACTACAAGTCCCAGAAGCCACTGCTGTAAGGATCGGAGCCATAGGTGGGACCGGATGATTCTAGAAGGCTTTTAATAAAATATAACATCTATTTAGGTATTTATTCTCGCAGCCGCTTGGCTCCGTATTCCTAGAACCCTCTTAGTGAGTCGGGTGGAGCTGATGGTGGATCGAGTTCAGCCCGGTTTTTCTGGTGTTTTCTCACACCTTTTTCTTCTCTCCTCATCCAGAAGCCCTGACTGCTCCTCCTCCTCCTCCTCCTCCCCCCCTTCCTGCCACGCTGGACTCGTCCTCCCGTCCTCCTCCTCTCACCTCCTCTGACGCAGCGGGTGGAGGTCGCAGCGCCTTGCTGAGCTCCATCCAGGCCTTCAGCAAGGGCAAACTGAAGAGGGCTGCAGCAGCCCCCGCCATGTGACCCCGCCCCCCGCCGCCACCCGTCTTCCACCAGGAAACCGTCACCACGGCGACGCGGGCCGACCCGCCGGTACCGCAGCGCGGGACGGGACCGGTCCGCCTCGTCGCTCCCTGAGATGTGAAAAAGAATCACTAACAAAAAAATTCCAAGTTACCCTTTTTACTTTTTATTGCTATTTCTGCTTTTTGCTGCTTTTAACTTTTTAAGATCTGCAGTTGTGAACGGGAGAGGAGAGTCTCTTTGTCACAGGGAGACGACTCCCGGCTGGTTCATTTATTCTCTTTGACCTGCAGCCGCCCGAAGAAGTCAGGTCAACGCGTCGGACTCGAGATAAAGACTAATGGGCTGAAGGTTCATTTTAAGCAAATTTAGCAAATTCCAGATGGAAATGTTGTGATAAAATGTTGCTTTGCTGTTTGTTTCGTTTGGTCTGAACCAGAAGGGTCAATTTAATTCAGCCGCATTGTGAGTCGTGAGCTCGTCAGTTGAACTTGGTGGAGCGGACGGACGCGGATCCGCTCACATGTTCCCGTTCAGGAACGTCTAACGAATGTCCCCGTGGGCGCGATGCGTCCCGCTCGGCCCGTTGATGATTCATTCTGAACGACACTTTGTGCGTGAAGGACCGCAAGAGGAGCGTCTCCACCCACCTGCTGCTTTTGATCGCATTCAACTCGTGCATGAAAAGTGAAATGAAGAAGCCGGATGAAAAGTAGAAATGTTGGCGTCTAAATGGAAAACATAAATAACGGCCGTGACTAAAACCTTCACCAAAGAGACTAAATGAGCTCGATGTGTGCAGAGCGCTGAGGAGGTTAAAACCTTCGCATTAAGGCACGAATGTCACATTTACATTTTGTTCCCACGTATATTTGCATTTTTCTTTTGCCGTGTTCTGGAACTGGGTTAATATTTGTACCAAAGCGGTGTGTTAACGCTCACCGGCCGGTCTCTGCACGCGGGGTCAAACCCGCACTTTGTCGGTGTGGCGGTCTGTGGGACGCAGGCGCCGGTCGGACGTCCGTTCCGGTCACTGCGGTTCGGTTACCGCGGCGACGGGCCGCTCGGCTCTGATTGGGTTTGGGGTGTAAAATTAATTTGAAACACGTGATGTTTTTTTTTGTTTTTTTTGCTGCTTTGTTCCACAGTGATTTCTCGTTGTTCCACTTATTTGACCCGTGATGCTGCTTTTGTAACTTTTTGTTTCGGCCCATTAACTGCTGTTCACTTTCCAAGTCACCGGAATCATGTTTTGATGATTTTCTCCTTTTGTAGCCGACCGTTAATTTCTCTGAAAATGTACTGTAGAGAAAATCCATCAGTCACCTTTATTTTGACTTAATTAATTCATAGTTGTGTGCTGTTTTAAAGTTGCGTGCAGGGATTCTGGGTTCGAGTCATAAAGTTCTCCGCTTTCGTAAACTCACTCTTTTCAGACCAGGACGCTTTGACCCCGAGGGGGCGTTGTGGTGTAACCGGTTTAAGGCCTTAAATAATCTAGCGTTTGTTCATGACTCGTAACATGCATTGATGAAAACGCACACTTCACAATGTTGAGTCCTTTTAAAATATCTGTGATGAAGAGGAAGCCGGGCCTATAAGCAAGAGAAACACACCGTTGCACCTGATTCCAGCCTGGTATTCGATTTATTTGTGCCAACTGGACTTGATGGTTTAATTTTAGAAGAGCTTGACTCTGATCAGATGAAACGTGTCCAAACCTACAACGGCATGATTTAAAGTCCATGAGTGGATCTCTGTTCAGCTTCACGCAGTTTGCTTGGTGACAGCTCGGTCGAGGGTTCATTTCAGACCATAATTGTGTCATTTTTTTTTTTTTTTTTTTAAATAGCCTTTTTTTCCATTCTGATGTATTTTAGTGTCTATTGTCATAGAGCTGAAATGATTTGTATTTTATAGTGCTTGGTGCCTACGGAGAAAACGAATGTTTTTTTGTGATAATATTGTATGTGATAATCTCATCCATAGATGATCTGTATGAAATAACAGGATGTTATTGGCATCGCACTCTGGCCTGAATAAGCAGCTATTGTGATTGAGTTTTTTTTTTTTTACTTAGCTGTGTCCAGTCTTTGTGCTAAGCTAAGTGGCTTCTGGCTGTGTAGCTTCTTATCTTCATGGCTTGACGCAAAGCAGCGTGTTTCTCCCAGAATGTGCAGGCGTGAAGTGTTGCGGCTCGGTGGGTCGCTGCCACATGAAGATTCACTACAATCAAAGTTCAAGCACAGGGCGCCTTTTGCTCTGTGAGGAAATGCTCATTTTTAGTTTTTTGTCCTTCAGTGCGATCTGGTCCGGTGGTCTTTGTCTCTTGTCTCTGAAGGCTCATTCAATCGCGTCGGTGTGTTTCTCTGCAGCACTTTACCACCGAGCGATGCAGGACAAGTCCAGTTAAAGTCAGTCACAGCTGGATTAGTAAATTGTTATAATGAATAAAAATACTCTTAAATCTGCGGGTCTTTTACTGTCGGCTCACACGAGTTGCATCGAATGTTTGGTCCCTTCAGATTTAATGCAGCTGCGAAACCTCTATGCGCATGTAAAAAAGAAATGCAAACATGGCGAGCCGGCTGTGATGTAATAACCATCAACCGAATGAACATTTGATTAAAATGGTTCAGGAAAATCAACATATGTGTTTATTTGATGGTGAATTTTTGTTCTTTTTTGATGAACTATTTTCAAGGATTCATCGAATCACTCAGCAAAGAACGGAGAGGTTCTCTGATCAGGTGTCCAGGAGAAGGGGAGGAATGTCAACTACGATGTACTAATTACCTCTCAGGCCACTCGATCTACTTCCATACAAACTACAGTGTGAATGTGGGGATTAGTATTATTACCAATTAAGATATGTGTACATAAAAAAAACATTAAGATCTTATTAAATAGTTGTTTATTTTAATGTTGACGGCATGATTCTAGGACTATTAGGTGATTAAATACTGTTGTACTTTGATAATATGCAGGTCGTGAGGCGCGTCTGCCCCACGGACACAATCCATGTTACTGGGAGGCTGAAGGTTTCCTGCATGAGGAAAGAACGTGAAAACATTGTGCCACCAGAAAAAAACTAATGAAATATACAAAATGAAAGACTATGAACAAGTTAGTTATTTACAGACAAACATGTAGTGTAACGATACCGGTGGTACAATAAAATCTTCAGTAAGTGTCCAGATGAACTGTTTACAAGTGATGATCAACGATCCAACACAAAGTGTTACAAGTAGTTGAACGAGAAATGAATGCATGCAGACCGCTAAGAATTAGAATCCTTACAAATATATCTAATTTATATAAATATTTTAATAATTTATAAGTATAAATTATCGAAACATTTACCATCTCTTGTTATCGCCGTTGCCCCCCCTTCGATGAAAGGGGTTCCGTTCCTCTGCTTGTTACTTATTTTTTGTCTTGTATTAATTGGTTGTGTCCTGTGACTGAAACAAAATGGTCAATTTTTTGTAATTTTGTCATTGACTGTATTCTAGTCATTTTTAATCCTGCATCTTTCATACGTAATGACAGAAAGGTGTCCTTGGATTCTTTTTTACGCTCTTGGTGTTCCTCCCGCCTCCATCTCATCTGAATCGTTGTGATTGGCTCTTTCTTTATGACAGCTTCCGCTTCACTTCCGAACTGCATCTCTGATTGGTTGAAACGTCCTGACCTACGTATAGTCCCCGCCTTCTCTCTGCCAGAGGACAGGTTGAACATGGCTGCCTCCGTAAGATGCTTTCTCCGCTCAGGAAAGGTATGACATTATTCGTAAACGTTTACTCCGAGTTAAATCGACTATTAGTGATATTAATGGTGTCTCTCCGTCTTCTCTGCAGAATGCTGTTTCCACTCTGGGGCAGCGGGGATTTCATAAGAGTGCTCCGGCTTCTGCGCAGGTCAGTGCTAGCAGCTAAGTTAGCATGTTAGCTGTAGCTACTGCTAACAGTCTCTTGGTTTTATGTCGTTTTATTGACATTATTTAGATAACAGTTGTTATTGTCAGGGGTTTCAGAGTCGGACAAAGTTTCACCTCCTCCTTTATGGTCTCACTGTTGAACGTAAACGAGCAAAGATGTCACATCATCATCTGTATCTCAGCTGCCTTTCTGCCCTTGTGCTGCTGTGACATCCGACTTGGTTTAATTATCTTTAATTAACAGTATTTAAATCCTAGTTACTCTTTTATTAACATTACGATTTGGAAAGTTTTAAAGGTGTATTCAGTACGGTTGTAACTTCACATTTTTGGAGTCTGTCGTTTGTGGTGTTGTTGAATTGTAATGACGTTTTCCAAATTAAACACACTGCAAAATATAAACAAACGAACACAATATTAAGACATTGATGCCAGCCGATGCTTACAAAGCTGTGCAGTCAAAGCCCCAAATGATCCAGTTCACAACAATATAAAACAGAAATTATGAGCAAATCCAAACGGAAAAAGGGATCTTTTCATGCAATAACAATCATTATATTACTAAATCTGTCGTTAGCAGAGAGCCCTCTATTTATTCGGTAGAAAGTTAACTTGAATAACTGAACATAATCATGAGTCTGTAGGCCGCACTAACAGGATGGGTTGATTCTGTCTTTACCGCCGGTGCTGACCGCTGTGCCGGTTGCTAGATGATGGTCCGGGACGCCTTGAACCAGGCCATGGACGAGGAGCTGGAGAGGGACGAGCGGGTGTTCCTGTTGGGCGAGGAGGTGGCTCAGTACGACGGGGCCTACAAGGTGAGGGGCCGCTTGGTAGAAGAACGCGGGCGAGGTTTATGGTGTTTTTTGAGAACATCATCGCATTGTGATGAGACGGTAACTCGCCTGTTGTAAATTGTGTCGCCTGTTGTGGTCACTCAAATATAGTGACGGCCTGGATTTAGGGGGGAAAAGTGGGATAAACAAACTTTAAAGTTGTGTTTTTCTCTCAGTGTCTGTCTTTGGACATTTGGGCTGAGCCTGTTCGCTCAACGCTGTAGCGTTTTTTGAAAAATCTCCATAATAACAGTGTTCATCCAGTCGAAAGCTTATATTGATATAAATAAAAACATTGGTGCAAAAAACACGTCGGAGAGTCAATCCCGTGTCTGTGCAGGTGAGCAGGGGTCTGTGGAAGAAGTACGGAGACAAACGCATCATCGACACTCCGATCACCGAGGTGAGACTCTCGAGCCTCCGCTTGCCTTCTCTGTTAAAGTGAATCCGCTTCGGGATCCAAACAGCCGGTTAACGTCTCTTCCCCCTCTCTGGTGCAGATGGGCTTCACCGGCATCGCAGTGGGAGCCGCCATGGTGAGTCTCTTTCCGTCCCCATGGTAACACATCAACAAAACACACGTGAATCTGTAGCAGTGAAATAGCATTCGCACACTGGCTAAATTATCCCGCCACATGCCGGCTGCTCATCAGCTCTCTCACTACGATGGCTCAGCCCTCGAGAGCAATCTGGGTTCGATATCTCGCCCGGTATTGATGCGGGACAAGGTGGGTCAGGAAGCCTCTGGGGTAGAATCGATGGCGCCTCAGTGGTCTACCTTTTCTTTTTGTTTGAACCCCCAGCAGCTCTCGCTCATATTAAACGTTTTGTCCCCTGCAGGCCGGCCTGAGACCCATCTGCGAGTTCATGACCTTTAACTTCTCCATGCAAGCCATCGACCAGGTCATCAACTCCGCCGCTAAGACCTGCTACATGTCGGCCGGCCGGCAGTCGGTGCCCATCGTCTTCAGAGGACCCAACGGAGCGTCGGCGGGCGTCGCCGCGCAGCACTCGCAGTGCTTCGCCGCGTGGTGCGTTCACTTTCACGCGGAACTGTTATTATTCCTGTTACTTTGCTCTTAAAGTTCTTTTTATAACCGCTTCATTAGAACACATTTTTGTGCTTTTAATAATACAAGTTGACAGCTGAGTCAACACAAGCAGTCAATTAGAAAACGCAGGGAAAGGTGAGTCGTGCCGGTTTCAGTGTGAGTTCCTTCTGTCTGCAGGTACGCTCACTGTCCAGGTCTGAAGGTTGTGAGTCCCTGGAGCGCAGAAGATGCTAAAGGTCTCCTGAAATCAGCCATCAGAGACGACAACCCCGGTGAGACGACCAATCTCAGCGTGACGCTTTGATGCCGCTCGGTTCGCTGAACTCGTCCCACCCGGCTGCCGAGCAGCGTGGGATGTGGTGCGATTTTAGTGCGTCACAAGAAGTCAGTTTACAACCAGCTATAATCGTGTGTGTGTGTGTGTGTGTGTGTTGCAGTGGTGTTCCTGGAGAACGAGCTGATGTACGGCGTTCCCTTCGAGATGTCTGAAGAGTCGCAGTCCAAAGACTTCACGATTCCCATCGGCAAGGCCAAGGTCGAGAGGCAAGGTGAGTCTGTGCGACCGCGATGTGACGAAAACGATGACGGCACCCTGAAAGCAATGAAACCTGCGTCACCCGGCGGTTTAAACGGGAAGAAGATGGTCTCCTCTTCGCTGGGTGGCTTAGCTGCAGAAAATGCCTCGGAGGAAAAGCATAGGGGAATTATTTCTGACAGTAAAGCATGAGTATGCGAGACAGCCATCGATCGATCAATTATCCTCTGGTTGTCGAGGTTGATTCCGTTAACGGTCACGTGACAGGAGCTTTTAACCTTTACCCTTTTAACTTTCATAAATCAGATCCTACAAGGAGCAACGGTTCCATTTGTTGATGAAACACAAAATAGAGCATGAACGGAGATCTTTGATGGTACGACTGCTTCTCTCTCTCCTCCTCCTGCGTTTCAGGGACTCACGTCACGGTGGTCACTCACTCTCGGTACGTCAGTCACTGCCTCGACGCCGCCGCCGTCCTCGCCAAGGAGGGGATCGAGTGCGAGGTAGAGGAAGGAACGCGCCTGTTGCAATCCCACGCGGATGACTTAAGACGACTGAACGGCCTGTTAACGACTTCCTGTCTGTGTGTCAGGTGATCAACCTGCGCACCATCCGTCCTTTGGACGTGGAGACCATCGAGGCCAGCGTGATGAAGACCAGCCACCTGGTGACGGTGGAGGGCGGCTGGCCTCAGTTCGGTGTCGGAGCGGAGATCTGCGCCATGGTCATGGAAGGTGAGAGCGGCGTTAAACCGACGCTCCTTTTGGGACGCGGGAATACGGGGCATTCAGGGTCCGAGGAGAGTTAAAGCTTCTCTTTTTCATCATTGCGACGCAACTGAACTATCGACGCCTTTGTTCATTCAAATCAGCATTTGTTAAAAACAGGAAAACAATGTTCATATCTAAAAATAAGTGCGTTAAATTATTCTGGTATTTATTTGGTACACAAATCCAATTTAAATTTTTATAATAATTGATTATACTTCTACTGAAGTACAACGCTTGACCTCCTGTGTGTTTTTCAGGTCCGGCCTTCAACTTCCTGGACGCTCCGGCCACCAGGGTGACGGGCGTCGACATCCCGATGCCGTACGCTAAGATCCTGGAGGACAACAGCCTGCCGCAGATCAAAGACATCATCGCCTCCATCAAGAAGACCCTCAACGTCTGAAACGCACAGATCCTCTTTGTTTTGCTCACACAGGTGGTGGAAGCATTGTGCGGTAAAACATATGAACCATGTGTAAATACAGCCAAACGCTTCCTCTAAAAAAAGAAACTCCCGATTGTAACGTTTTTTTGCCAGATGTTGGTCAATGAAGCGCACAGCTGTGTATCTGCCCCCAGAGCGGGGGGCACGCAGGGTTCCGTGGAGTCACTTCCTCTATTAGTCCCAAAGACGGGGGAACTCTGTGTGTGACGCTCTGGCTGCTTTAGCACCTTCCCCTCCCCTTCAAAATAAAAGTAAAACCGTATTCTGTAGGCTTTTTTTCTGTTTCTGGAGACGTTTGGTAACAACAAAACTCCTGAGTTTGTTCCTGCATGTTCTTGAATTTAGACTTGCAGGATGATTAAAATGTGTTTTTAATTCCCAGCAGTTTTGTTGTTAATAAACCCCTGTATATTTCTAACCACCAAAACATACTGTAATGGGTGAATGAAGTCCTCGTCTCTGAGGAGGAGCGAGGCGGCTGGAGGTGCATCGCGGTGGGGGAATATTTATTGTAGCTGCAGCAGCTGTTTTTGTTGTTGTACGTTACTGTTACAGAAATAAAAACCTTTCACTGCTTCACGCTGCTTGGTTCTTATTCTAGTACTGTTCTCTGGTTATTTAACTTTTCCAGACAAAATTAAGCCATGAATGAAATCTTTTTTTTTCCAAATACCAGGATCAGGAACTGGAACTACATGGATTTTGTAGTAAATAAAAGTCTGGATTTATTTTAAAAGCAAACATGAAAGAAAGGAGGCAGGTAAAGCCGTAAACGTTTTTTATTAACTTTTACAGAACAATCTGCATCGGACTCGTCTGTCCTCAACCAAAAACATTTAAAAAACATTTACTGCAGAAACTTTAAGATTAAAGAACTTTATTACAGTGTCTCCTGGTTTAATATCTAACAAGAAAAGTATCCACAGTTTTACAATAAATGGAATTATTTAGTGAAGACCAAATAACAGGATTGTGAAGCACTTCTATTTTAATAATGGAAAGAACGTTGTAATCTGGTAGTAACGACGCTGCGCTCCATGAACCTGGAGACGTCTGTTTGGGATCGTTCAACTTTCCTGGAGACAAATATTTGGCTTTTTTTCCCCCCTCGTACTTTGACGAACAATTCCCCCTAAAGGCGTCGTATTTGTGGTAGGATCAAATCATCACTGACAATCTGGCCAGAATTACGTTTTTATCTTGAATGAAATTGTTCATGTTCACTCTTTTTTTATATACTTGCGGAAAACGTGGGATTAATTTTAGTTTCTCATGCGTAGTTCTGCCAGAAACTTCTCCAGGAGCGGAAGACTAAACATCAGTTCTTCTCTAGTAAATCATTCAAATAATAATTCATTTCAGAAGCTGCTGCCATCATATGCGGAAGGTGGAAGAAAAGAGGAAGTTTGCGGATTTTGCGATTCAACCAACATGAGACACTCGTCTATCCGGGTCAAAGCGATGCCGACCAATCAGCTGTGAGCGTCGTCTCAGTGGCACAAGTTTGTGTTTCAGAGGCTTTTCTGGAAACAAATGAACTCACGTCTGCCTCAAACTGAAGCTTTTTTTTTAATTTAAATGACAAAATATAAATTGAAAGCAAAGTAAAAAGTGAAGAAAGGACGTGAGGCCCGTTGGGTCGATGCGGTCTTACGGAGCCGAGAGGTCGGATCGACCGACTGCTGAGGTCCTCCTGAGAAGGCCGAGCCTCACCACCACCACTTCTTCTTTTGCGCGCACGGTTCAACCTCCTCCACCTCCCCTCGCTCCTTCACCTTCCGTTTCCCTCTCTCCTTCCTCTTCTTCCCCCTCTTCTCCATCTCTGACTTTTCCTCCACTGCTTGAACCTCCTCTGCCTCCTCCTGCATTCCGTCCTGCACTTCTTCCTCTTCCACCTCCTGCATATCATCCTCGTCTTCTGCCTCCTCCCCCTCCTCTTCTTCTTCTTCTTCTCCTTCCCCCTCCTGTTCTTCCTCCTCCTCTTCTTCTTCTTCTTCCTCCTCGATATTGCCTTCATTCACACCAATCATCTGTTCGTCTTTAATCTGCTCGAATCTAATCACCATCTTTTGTCCGTTCAGTGTTTGCTGTTGGGAGAAAATCAAAGTTGGAACTACTTATTACTCAAATCTTAATGCTTTTCTATTTTGCACTGGCGTAAGTGTAAGATCATGTATACATTTGTTCTCTATACTTGTTCTTAAGCAAACTCCGGCACAACTATTTTTTTTCTTGCACACACATAAAAACCACGTCTGATACTCACGGGGTTCTTGTTGTTTCGGAGCTTGTGCAGCAGCAACCTGACGGTGTCTCTGTTCTGACACAGCCCCATGGTGTTGAGGATGTCCAGGGCGGAGCCGGAGCAGCCCTGCAGGCGGAGCTCTGCCCCCAGAGCGGCCTGCAGGAAGTTGTTCTTCCAGATGTTCCTGGTGAAGAGCGGGAGGGAGAGCGCCAACACGGACCGGCGCGTCAGAAGCGTCTCGGCCATCTCCTCCGACATCTGGCTGCCACACAAACAAACGGACGCTCATCATCGCCGGCACACACACGTGGTTACACTCAAACCCAGAGGATGCCCCGCAGAACTCAGACTTACTGGCTGCTCTTGAAAAGCGCGTTCATGTCGGGGAACAGCGAGGTGAGGCAGGCGGTCACGAGGGGAGCTTTGTCCTGGGCCCAGCTCAGGCAGCGCCGCCAGGGGAAGGACGACAGCGGGTTCATGCTCGACACCTTCTGGTGGAAGGGACTGTCCGCCTCTCGGGTCAACGCCTTCATCTGCACCGCAGGCCGGCGGAACACAGCACGCCACGATTACACAACAGGTTAAAGAGAAGCACCCGCTCTGTGCCCGGAGATATGATTGACCCTTCAACCAGGAGGAGCTTCTGTCCTCACCTCCTCTTTCAACTGTTTGCTCCAGAACTCCATCATGGGCTTCCGGGCGCCTTTAGCGGACCACAGCATTTTGAAAGCGGCCTTGTAGCAGGACTTGCTGACCAGCATCGCTGCTTTGCTCTTCTTTCCCATCCGGATGGCTTTCGTCTTCTTCTTCTTGTCTTTCCCCTCCGACTGCAGGGACCAACGTCGAAACATGTCAAAACCGTCGTATCGCCGTTAGACGAGACGCGGTGGATAAAAACACCGTTATCGGTGTGTCGTCTGTGCCGCTCACCTGTTTCGCCGGTTTCAGCCACAGAGACCGCTTCCCGCTCTGTTTGCGTTTGCACTTGCTCCTGATGACCTGGGCGCAGGTCTCGCACAGGAAGGACTTGTCCTGCGCCGCGCTGTCCGGGAAGACCCACTGCACCGTCTGCGGGTTGGTGAAGGTGAACACCGCCCTGCGGTTGAAGCTGCGGCCCTGCCGCTCGAACGCGCCCTTGCAGGCGGAGCAGGCGCTGTCCTCCGGCTGCCTGTGACGCCGGGGGCCGGCGCGTCTTGCGGGGGTCTTGCGGGTGTCCACGGGCGGCCCCACGTCGTTTCCTCCGCCGGGGAAGTCCACCTCCGCGCCCACGGCCGGTTCGGAGAGCTCCGCCGGGAGCGCGGGCTGCTCGGGCGCGACGTGAGCGGATTCAGCCGCCGCCGGTGAGCTTTCCCGCGGGGTGACTCCGCCGTCGGTAGCCGGGGTGACGGAGGGGGACGTCGCCTCGGTGGAGTTACTGGCCGCGGCGTGGGCATAGTCGTGCTCCGCCGGGGGGACGGTTTCTTCAACCGCCCCCAGGTTGGTGTCGGTGTCCTCACTCGTCATGGCAAACAAGAGCCTTCGTTTTTCAGTCAACAGTCGAAATACGCAGAGAGAAAAACTCTGGCAGCGGACATCGCTGTCTGACTAACGGGCTAACGGGCTCAAGCTAACAGCCAACAGCCCGCCAGAATACTCATGAATAAATAGCACTTCCCGCTAGATCTTTGGGGGTAAAACTTAACGCTTTACGCCGAAAGTTAAGTGAAGTTTGTTGGGCAATGTGACGCAAATGAGGCGGAATAAAGACCGTTTTCGTAGTAACGACTCCAGAGCAGATGGGAAAACACAGCTGTGACCCAACCGGATGCGGCCACCAATAAACAAGGTAGTTTCCGTGTTGATGGCAGGCGACGGGCTGCTGGCGCCCCCGGTGGCGGGAATATGTATTACATGTCTCCCGTTTAGTGAAAGGACCGGTGCACAGTGTCTTCAGCAGCGAAAATATTTAAGAGAAATAGCTAACCATTTTTTTCGTGGCTATGTCTGAAATAGCTGTTAGACCTTCATGTTCGGCCATCTATATTTTTGTTCAATACAATTATTATTTTCCAATATAAACGAAAACAGTCGGTATCCAACCAGTGCAGATAGATAATCCCAAACACTCCACCATATACGCTGTGTAAACCCGATTATTGAAGACTTCATGAATGGTTACGGCAAGTCACAAAACATGTATTTATTGTTGATTTGTGCAGTCTCCGTGGACGGAAGGATTTGTATTTCTAAGCACCAGATTATTGGCCAGAAATGTACTTAATGAAAGAAGTCAGCCCATATCAGTGTGTTTATTATAGTTTTTAGTAATTATTGATCCATTACTGTGTCCAATCCTTTAATATGATCAATTGATTTGCATTTTGTATTAATAATCAAGGACATTTAAATGGTATTTAAGTACGGCACTTGAATACATGTGCATTAATATATTCCAGCATTGGCCCTATAATATATGCTCATCATTCATAATCATACCTGTGGCTGTATATTGACAACAACGACTCCTATTTCCCTATCACTTATTTTGAAAGGCCCGCCGGAAGTCTCCTAGTTTTCGATGGATGCGACACAGAACTATAACGGACGGAATGCAAACATTTTGTTTAATTTAGCTAGTTAGGATTTTGTCACTGCGATGGAGCAGTTACCGGTAAGATTGCACAACCTTCTGTTTGGTCCGGTGTGAGGGTGTGACGTCTTCTTTAACAGGCATCATGCTAACTAGCATGCGAGCTAACTGACGTTGCACGGCAGCCAGCGTTGACACAGCAAGTGCCCAGTAACAATATTTACCAAAACATCACTTAAAAACACCAGATTTAAATAATCGGACACAGAAGCAGCTGAATACCATCGAAATATATGTATGCACTTGTTAAGAGCAAAAGTAAAATTCTCCTCATTACGCAGCGTTATATTAATTTGAATCACTATTATGATTTTATTACTATTATTGTGTTGCCTCTGGTAAAGTGGATATAATGTGAACTGCGTATCTAACATTACTTCAGAGTAGCTTATTCGATTGTAATAATATGGTTTATTCGTTTATCATAAACCCAGCAATATTTGGGCTGCGTTTTTGGTTTGGATAATTCCTAAATTGTAGCATACTCTTGAGAAGCACCTTTAAAGCTTGTTTGATGAAAACATCTCCCTGCTGGAAACAATGTGGATGAAAGCAGTGAAACTGATGCAAAAGTTGCAGGCTAGAAAATCCAAATAATGTCTGTATTTTATAGCTGCAGAGTAAGAAGAAGGGCGACCTCTTTAGGCTACTTGGCTAACAGCGCAAGGCCACATTAGATGCTACCGACCTACAAACGATGAGGTCAGTTACCGTCCAAATAATTCTACATATGCTTATCCAATTACATTATACCAGCTTTTGTCAAAAAAATCTAAATTTTATATTTCAATGTGCTCCATTTGGAAAAAACGAACAGGCTGCGTTATGTGTGATGTCATCTCTTCAGTTTTTCTTCACCCTCGTTGGACTCCAGCCAAGCTCAAATCCACAGATGTGCACTCCGCATTGAGAGGCCGTCTGCGTTTTCTCTTCACTTCTCTTCCTGCTTTGTCCAGATGGGGGAGCTGGTGACTCTGAATGTGGGCGGCTGTGTGTACAGCACGTCTCTGTCCACGCTGCTGCGCTACCCTGACTCCATGCTGGGAGCCATGATCGGAGGAGACCTCCCCACGGCCAGGGACGCTCACGGAAACTACTTCATCGACCGCGACGGCCCGCTGTTCCGGTGAGCGGCCAGCTGATCAAACGGATTCACCCTTTTGCATAATTTCCATGACATCATCAGGTAGAGCCAGACACGTTTCGCTTCTAAAAGCCAGGGGTTAGGTGTCTTGCTCAGGGACACCTCGACATGGGGCAACCGGGACTCGAACCACCAACCTTGCGGTTCCCTGCACCGCGACGATCCCTCATCAACCTTTCCATTCATTCCGGCTGTTTCCTATCTGCTCTTACGGTTGCTGTCATCCGTCCCCTTCTCAAGAAGCCCACTCTGGACCCGGAGGTTCTAGCCAACCAAAGACCTACCTCCAACCTGGCCTTCCTGTCCAATGTGCTAGGTAGTTGCTTTCAACTTCAGAACCACCTCAAGCACAACAACTTTTTTGAAAAATTTCAGTCAGGATTTTGTTCACCTCACAGCACGGAAACCACTTTGCTCAGGATGACGAATAGGGCTGCAACTAACGATTATTTTGATAATCGATTAATCGGTCGATTATTTCTTCGATTAATCGATGAATCTGATTTTTTTTTAAACGGCATTAAAAAGCTTTAATTTCCAACCCTTTATTCTAAAACAGAACCTCAAATTCGTCAGAACTAGTTCTCTATACTACACTCACAAATACACCCTCATGTTCACTTGAAGCATATTCATTAAATTATTACCATCATTGAAGTGCAAGTTATGTAAATGCATACAGCTAAAAAACAACCAAGCGCTATGAGATGAATTTAAAATGGCATTTGTAAATAAATGCATTAGAGGCTTCTTAGTTGATTTAATGGATCACCATGTGTCTCCCTTTACCGGCATAACATCAACTACCGTCAACTACCCACAGTATATGCGCAAGCGCACTGGACTACCATATATGACAGCATTAAAAAGTACAACACACACAAATATATTTGTCAACAATAACCGATATGGGACAAAGCACAAAATATCAGACAACACATTGGAAAATGAATGGTCCAAAAGAGGCGAGTAAATAAAAACGTGTCTTAGTCTTGCTAACTGCTTTACTGCTGTTATTAGATCGATTCGTTGTTGCAGTCCTAGTGACGAATGACCTGCTGATGCTGGGTCACCCTCACTTCTCATCCTCCTGGACCCGACTGCTGCATTTGATACAGTGAATCAAACTATCCTGCTACAGTGCCTCCACACCACCATTGGACTTCTTCACATTCTGCACTCAAGTGGTTTCAGTCCTACCTTTCTGGCAGATCTGAAAATGTATCACTGGGAAGATGCAAGCGCAGACTGCTCCCTGTCTCCTTGTGGTGTTCGGCAAGGGTCGGCCCTTCGCCCCATCCTCTTTATCACCTACATGCTCCCCCTCGGCCGTGTCATCAGCAAAGATGGAATGTTCTTTCACTGTTATGCTGACGACACACAGTTCTACATTAAGACTGTCCAGAGCCCCTCTACAGCCATGTTATGTCTCACCGCCTGTCTTGGGGAGATAAAGGCATGGATGAGCAACAACTTTCTCCAGGTAAACCGCTCCAAAACCGAAGCCCTTCTTGTTGGCGCTCCACACGAGGTTCAGTCATCCTCCATTGTCCATCTCACCTTTGACAGTCAGGTTACACCCCTCTCCTCCACAGTTACCAATCTGGGAGTTAGGTTTGCCCCTCACCTGACTTTTAATGACCAACTCTTCTACCTTCTATCATCTCAAAAACATCTCCAATCTCCGCCCCACTTTGACAGATGCAGAGAAGCTTGTCCATGCCTTTATCTCCTCAAACAGGACTACTGTAATTCACTTTTAACTGGAATCACTGGCAAGAATATCCTGAAACTACAATACATCCAAAACAGCTCAGCCAGGATCCTGATGAGAGTCTGGAAATATGAACACATAACACCCATCCTACACTGGCTCTCTGTCTCCTTCGGGTCTCATTCCGTTCTACTACTCACTCATAAATGCACAAAATGGGACATGCACCTCCCTATCTGCAAGAGTCACTGACTCCCCAAACCTCAACCCGCGCCCTCAGATCTGCAAGCAGCTCGCTATTTGTAAATCGCTACCGTGTCCACAATTATTACTCCTCAGCGTCATTTTGGGCTGTCTTGGTCCTGAAAATCAGACTTTGAGTCCAACTGACTATACTGTTGGCCAGAGATCCCCGGGAGTCAGAGAAAGTCCAACTATTGCTCCATAGGGTCCAATACAAATCAGGTGACATATTTCTAAAAAAAAACAAGGTACACGTTTTGTAAACTGCCATCAGAGCCGTATTTATGACCACAGAGATATATACATCGCATAGTAGTGTTCGTCAGAGTCTTGTCTCTTTCAAATCTCATAATTTCTTTATTTGATTTATAGTTTCCTGGCTAATTTAACTTTGAGGTGTGGATTCTGTGTAAATCGCTGTCTCTCTCTGCCCTTTGAGCAGCTGGTTAATGATCGCATTGTGCGCCGTTACCACGGTCACGCAGACACGCACTGCAGTCTCTCCGTCTGTGACTCACAGCTGTTCGTATTAGCTAATTAGTGCAGTCGGGTCTTACAGAGGACATTTCGGAACCTCCTTTGCACCCCCTTCCAGAGATAGCCGCCCCCCCCCCCTCAACCCCCTATCTGACCCTGCATGCTCCCCCACTCACAGATGTCCTCCCCTCCCCGAGCCATGTTATCCAAATCCCCCCCTTCCTGCTCTCTCCCTTTTGAACTCTGCCCCCCCCCATCCATCAACCCCTCCTCTTTCCATCGAAACACCTTGCAGAATTCCTTACAGAATCCTCAGCTCAGTCGTGACTCATCCTGCCTCCTTTTCTGCTGCTTCAGCTACATCCTCAACTTCCTGCGGACGGCTGAGCTGACGTTGCCATGCGACTTCAAGGAGGCCAAGCTGCTCAGGAAGGAGGCCGACTTCTATCAGATTGAGCCCCTGATTCAGTGTCTAGGAGACCCCAAACCCCTGCTGCCCTACCCCACTGATAGCTACGAGGAGGTGGTGGAGCTGTCCAGCACCAGGAAGCTGTCCAAGTACTCCAATCCCGTCGCAGTCATCATCACCCAGCTCACTATCACCACCAAGGTCTGTGTAAATATGTGAGGAGATCTCATGGCACAAGGGCTCAGAGTCGGAAGCAATCAAGTTCATTGTTTGCCCAAGTAGTGAACCCGAGCAGACCCCAAAGTCCAAGTGGGTTCCCTGATCAGAACACCGTCTTCTATGTTTTCTCCGCCTATGCTCCACCTTTATTTTTTATAGTCTTCCTTTGTTTCCCTGTTTCCCCAAAGTAAGTAATACTTTGTGGTGTCGTTCAAGTTTTACTTCCTAATGGTGTCATTAAAAGTCGCAGACTCCTCAGCTAAGTTCAGGCATGTTTCCTGACCCCCTTTTTACAGATTCCACAGAGCCCAAGTTACACGAGTCGTATGAGATCATTGTGGACGAGGTCACAAATCAATTAAATAAGTTGTATTTTTTTTTAGCTTTTTCCCAACTAAAGTACAACAATCACCTTTTTACTAATGACAACATAGTTACAAATAATATTCCATTTATGCCAATAAATAAATCTCTTAAATGTTACGCACTGTTCCTTTTAGCATAGGCATCGACTTGAATGGTCAAGGTCAGGTGGAGATCCTGTTTTTCGCATAGGGAAAGTCATGTGACTCTTCCTTTCTTTTTTGTAGGTGCCTGCAGTGTTGGAGTCCATTTCCAGCAGTTTCACAAAGTGGAATAAACACATGATGGACACTAGAGACTTGCAGGGGTCCTTCACCTTCGGACCATGTGACCACCAACAGGAAGTCAGCCTGCGCGTCCATCTGCTGGACTTCATCTCCAAAGCTGTTTGTGTTTTTTTATCTCCTAACGTGCATGTGTACAAATAATGGATATTAATGAGACTAAGACTCAGTTCTGCCTCTGTGTATTTTTTTCCAGGGATTCACGATACGCAACACACGTGTGCACCACATGAGCGAGCGGGCCAATGAGAACACGGTGGAACATCACTGGACGTTCTGCCGACGGACTCACAGAGCCGACGAGTGACAGATGAAGAGACGGAGGCTTATTCCTGGTGGAGGTTCTTGTGTTTATATTTTCAGATGCATTTTTTAATCAAAGGGAGGTTATTTTTGGGATCGAGAGGTTTTTATCCTCAGAAAAACTTTTGTACGGTTAACCAATAAGCCACGTGTGTTTTTATCAACTATCAGATATAGCGGCAATGTTCTGTTAAAATAACGTGCACCTTATCTATTTACGTTTATATGTATACAGAATTGTATGTATGTATGTGCGTGCGTGTATATACAGTACCAGTAAATACTGTATGTATACATGTATAGACATATGAATGTATACATGTATGTACGTACAGATGTATTTACAGTCAGTTGTACGGAAGCTACATACTGTATATCTGGCCTATCAGCAATATCACAAATCTGTTGTACATCAATTGTTAGAAAATATTATAATTTTCAAATAAAACAATCTGGAACGTTATTATGTCTGGTCTTTTTTTTGTATCCGCCCTCAGTTCTCCTTTAGTCCCCCGTTCTCCCACCAGTTGAAGCAATCATGTATTCAAAGGTCTGAAGCAGAAATCAAGCTGATGAGATTAGCTGGTGGTTTTGAAGTTAAGTTCTAATGTTTGTATGATGTGAGTCCTTTTTTTAATCATAATCAAGTATTGATTATTTGTATGAGTAAAGGGTTTTTAAGTGGTAAGTGAAGCCATTTATTTGGTCATTTTTGCTAAAATTGGATTTTTGTAAAATGAACACTTATCAGTGTGTGTGAAGGAACTTTTAGAGAATTAAGAAATATTTTGGAGTCTTAAGACTGGGAAAAATATACAATTAATGTATTGGATAGTGTGGTCATCAAAAGCCATTGAATTAAGACAATTTGGGATAGTGAAAAACAAGCCATCTCACTCGGGTCTCTGCGTGCCGTCTTTATGCTAGATAGGAAATTACCTCCAAGCAAAGCCCTTCGATAGCCACATAGAGCAGAATGGCGTCTGAGATTGAGGATAATGTTGAGGAGGAACTTGAGTCACCCTCCTCTGACGAGCATGATAACCTTGGCGTTGACCCTCCTGTTCTCTCGATGACCAGATGACTCTGTTCTTGCTTGTTCTCCAAAAGTCTACGCGTTAACCAAGCTTACATAGGGTTGCTTATTTTGGCAGCAATGTCTGAAATCAAAACAGCAAATCAACAACACGCCTTTGAAAAATTTCCAATGCTCTTCTCTGCTCTTCTGTCGTAGAGCAGAGACGGGATGTTTCGGCCACGTGTCCCCAGCGACGTCTCTCTCTTTACAACCCAGGCCCTCGCGTGAACTTCAAGTGAATGTCTGGTTGCGTGTCATGTGCGCAGCCAGAACAAATTGGTCAGGAAAATGATTGCAGCATGTAATGCAAAGTCCAGCTATGCCTCTAATACGCAGCTGTACACCTGGACCTCTGAGAATGTGAGCTTGCTCAAGTCGCCAGTGATTCATGCACGTTCATGCACGGGTCGCTGCGGTCATCCAAAGTGCCCGCTGCCCATCAGACCCTCAAAGAAATAATATACTCCCACGCTGCTGGCACAGCTTTGGGTGCAATTTAGGGGTTCAGTATTTTGCCAAAAGAGAAAAAGGCACTTTGACTGGAGAAGCCAGGGATTGTGCTGCCGAGCAGAACGGCCACAAGCCAAATATGGTCACTTTAGTTTCCTGGTTGCAAAAACACAAGATGCCAAGATTGAGGCTTCAAAACCCCAAACCAATGGATGACATTGTCTTTCTAGACAGTTTGATGGTGTATTTCTTTTAGCACTCATAGCAACATTTTTATTTCATGATGTCAATTAGTCGGCCGACTCCATCTCAGAATTGTTTTTTAAAAATGTGATGGTGTGACAAGTGCATATAAATTGTACTTAAACTACCACAGTGGTGTCAGTTACCATTTACTTCGCCACAGATAGATCATCGGTGGGAGGGTGGGTTTTTTTTAGTCACAAACACGGTACAAGCCACGCCCATTTATGACGTCACACTCGACTTTGGCCTTGCGGTCGAGGGTGTGCACGCGTCTGCACTCCACGTCATTGCTGTGAAATAAAAAAAAAAACTTTAGTTTTTTTTTTTTTTTTCTTACACTATGTTTTTAACGCAACAATATTTTAGCGTTACTTTGCGTAACGCATTCCCGCCCACACACCCCCAACGTCCCAGTCCCCCTCGACGGGGTGATCAGGGCCCGCCCCCCTCTCCTCTCTCTCCGGCTGCCTCCGCCTCTTCTTCCCTGGTCTCTCCTCCACACCGCTGTTGTTGCCGCCATTTTACCGTGGAGCGTCGCCGCAGCGGGGACCGGAGGATGCCGAGACAGCGCCGTTAAAAGGTAACGCCGCGTCTCGTCCCCCCCCCCCCACTGCCGTCGGTAACCTCCGCGGTCCCGACGCATCACACGGATGTGTTGCTGGGGAGGGCGGCGGGGGAGCTGGCGGGCCCGGTCCTCCCGGAGGGGGCTGAGGGAGCCCTCACAACTCGCAGCTGCCGAGACAGAGGAGGGATCGCCGGGAGAGTGTTCGGCGGAGCGAGGCTTGTCAGCAGTTCACAAGTCCGTGACAGAAAAATGGTGGCGTCTTTATCAACCCGCCGAAAGTTTGTCGTTGAGCTTCTACGCGGCGGCAGCGTGAATAAGCAGTTATAGTTCGGGCAGCTGTGCGATATAACGTTACAATAGACTCTTATTGCCAGTTCGTAAAGGGGGCGCTCGAGAGCTGCGGAAGCACGCAGACCTGCGCACGTTTTTGTTGCTAGCTTGAGGCTCACTGGCTAATGAGATTTGTTTGTTTGTTGGCGTTTTTGAACCAATAGAAAAAGTAGTGTCACCATTCCTGGTTTCTTTGTTCTTGTCAATGGAGTTAAGACTGTGTGTTTGGTTTGTCGCGTAGAAAGTAATTGTCGTGGTTAGCAACTAGCCTGCAGGCTAGCTAGGAGAAGTATTGTAAATTTCCTGGCCGTGGTAATAATGCAGAATTATTTTTATCTTAATCGTTAATACAAGGATCCTGTGGAAAATACGCACAGTACGGTGTCATGCGACTCATCGGCTTTCTGACAAAGGATACGCCTCTGAAAGCAAGGGACTACATTACTACATCAAGATTTTCGACCCAATTTTTGGTATGCTACACATCTCAGTCTCACAAGGAGCCCGTTTACAAGATTTAAGCCAATTAAATGCTAAATCATTGTCAGATGAAACCTGGACTACAACTGGTTTCTGGTACCTAAATCCTGTTTTTGCTGTTTCTACCAGTGTTGCGTGTCTCCGTATCTCACGCTGTACCCTGTTTTTTTAAAAACCGGGGGTGGGGGGGCGTGTCCTTTGTGTTGCAGCCGTATGTGATTGGCTGCACCTTCAAACGTAACTCCTCCCTGGTTGGTCATTGTGACATTCTTCTCTGCCTCCAGGCGTTTTCTGACCATCTCTCCTGGCTTCATCTGATGGCCGAATCTGAAATCGCCCACTGACCTGACATATCACTTAATATAACATTACATTCAACGATTACACCTTTGGTCTAGAGCAGGGGTGTCAAACATCCGTCCCAGACGGGGGAAGGGGGGTTCAGCGCGGCCCGCCGGATGACTTTGCTAAGTGTAAAAACAACAGTAGCTGCTATTCCTAAAATGTCCACTGGGGGGTCGCACTCTGAGTGTGCGCATGCATTGGCTACAGCGTTACTCCAGGTGTCGTCCCCCCCCCCCCCCCTCCTTCACAATAAGATGTCCTGCTTCAACACCTCTCAATAGCGCAATAAAAGCTCTTTCATCGTCGCCCAAGCAGCGACCGACCGTTGGGAGTCTTACTACTTTCTCTCATCAAAGCAGGACATGTAATTCCCCCTGAAAAGGTCTCGGAGAAAAAATTCTTCCCTCGCACTGGAATTCTGCGCCGATAGTTACCTAGGGGAAATACTGACTGGGCTATGACTTTTTACTAATAAGTTAACTCCGAACGAGATAATTACATATTGGTCATCGACTAAATAAACAGTAAAACGTGAAAATTGGATCTGAACTGGGTTCATTTGTTTCCTTAAATGTGCCACAATTGACGAGCTGATTTGTGAACTGTTTTTTAAAAAGTTATTAGTGCTCGGCGGTATGCTGTGATTAATTGTTAGGAAATTAAAGAAGCTATGACTCCATCTGTGCCAGTCAGCGTTGAACAATTTATTTTCGACTGCCTGCCGAAGAGTGTCAACTGTTGTTACGGTTATGCAGCGTGTGACAGTATGTTTAAAATTAAAAAAAAAAATCATACCGGATGGAGATTTGAATCCGGTGTACTGGTTGAGCCTCTATAGCGCCCAGCGATGCAAATAATTTGGCTGAGTAGATTCCATGAAAAGTCAATGCACAGACTGGGGCTGGGCGGTATACCGATTTAAGCAGTATGCCGGTTCAAACGGTGTATATACCCAGCGGCCCGAGCTACTTGTCTTACGCCTGTTGAGATTGAGTCATGCTCATAACACTCTTTAACGGGGTAAAACCGCTTGAACAACATATAACACTAATAATTGTATATTTATAAAAATTACCCCACGAAACTGCATCCTGGGTAAAGCTCACAACAAGAAGTAACTTGCACAAAAGCGATACAGGATGAACAACAAGAGACCAGAGATGCACCAACACAACTTGTGTCCATGAGAGGAGCTGTGTCTGTTTGGACGTTTTCGCAGGGGCAAGAGCCCCTTGCGTGTCCTTTGCGTGTACCTTGCGTGCCTTTTCACACCTCCTTGCGTGCGTCGACCCATTTTTCTAGACTTGCGTCAAAAGCTTGGCAAGCCTCTCGCAGCCCGCAAGGCCGCGTTTGGTCTGCTAACTACATCCTTTCCGAAGTCTCACATTTCCGGTTTCATAGCACAATACCGCCATTGTTAAAACGAAGATTTTTACGAGACAATCAGATTGAACTCGCGTAAATATGACCACTTGTACAAGCCGTCATTGGCGGACTATAAGGACGCGCGGATGGCCTCTGATTCATGGAGGGAAATCCCCACAAACGTCAGTTTGCCGGTCCAGGGGAACAAATTTGTGGAGGAAAATACGATACAAATGTGTCCGCGATGAAAAGCAGCAGTGTCGATGCACGGGGCAATAAAGTCTATGATACATAAATAAATAAACCCAACGACACACACACACAAAGACGTGACTCTCTTGGACAAAAAAACGTTACTCCACCTGTTCTGGAGGTGAATTGCTCTGCAACACACGCAAGACTTTTAGAACCATGAATTGAAACGAGTGCGTCGAAACGACGGTGCGTAAAGACGCAGAAGCATGCGCCAGACTTAAGTAGGAGCAGAAAACGATTGATTGCAAAGTCTGTCGAGCCTCTGGTGGCAACACCAGCAGCCACAGCAAGCTAACTAGCTAACTTGCCGGCCAGTTACGAGCAAGTTGGCCAGCGAGCGGCGAATAGCTGTTCGGGTAGCCGGCGGTCCTTTTCGGGGTCAATCAATGTGTTTATTTGAAAAAGCTATAAGTCACATACCGAGATACCGCCAGAAGCTTTCTAGATACCAGGATATGGATTTTTGGCCGTACCGCACCGCCCTAGTATCATAGCCATATTGTTTATGATTATAGATTGCGTGTCTCCTGCCAGGCTCCCAACAGCACTGTCAATAGAGCTCATTACCCTTCGAGTGCCACATTTAATGACAGGGTTTCAGTAAGATATTGATAACTCACCTGACAAATAGCTTCTTATGATCTGACCCGAACCCACCTGGCCAGTGGGTCGTCTCTGTATTTGATGTGACGATTTCGAAATATAATTCTATAAATAGTCTATAACCCTAAACCTACTAATATGATTAGTGTAGCCTAATCTTTATCTGCAATTGTACAGAGACAACCACGAACCCTCCTCTATAGATATGCAACAAGACAAAGCTGTGCAACATTCAAATGAGTTGTCCTTGATTGAGTTCATTCAGTGCATGTTTTTTGCAGCGCAGAAACCACAGGAGCCCACTAATGGCAGCCTGTGTGTTTTTGTGTGTGTGTGGGGAGGGGTCTCTTTATGTGTTGGTGCTGCTTTGATTGATGGGCCAATGTTGCAGATAGCAGAGCAGCCAGAGGTCTTCTTGGCCTGCTCTGAACTCCTAAATGATTGTGTGTGTGTCTGTGTGTGAGGTAGAAAATGACCATCAGACTGATTCTGCATTCCTGTAGGTTCTGACTCTGAGCTTACAAGTGTTTGTTTGTCTCAGGGCTGTGCGGTATACCGGCTCAACAGGTATATTGGTTTAAAATGTTATTACAGTATGAATCTTTCACATACCGTCGTTCCGCTGCATAGCGTAACAACCGTTGTCGCTCTTCGGCAGGCAGCAAAATGTATTGATCACCGCTCGCTGCTCACACGCAGTGGTCGGAGCTACACACCAGGAGAGCTTTCCAGGTCTTTTGAACCCCAAATTTCTAAAACTGGAGTATTCCAGGACAAGAACAGCAACTTCAGTTTAACACCCGGAAGTTGGAGGTTACACAAGACATGGAATGGAGAATGGAGACCAAATTGAGTTGTGACAATATAGTGCTCCTCCCATTTCTGTGATTTAGTTAACCAAATGCTTTGTATATCCCCGGCAGGACTAGAGACATGGCTGAGGCGGCGCGAGGTCCCGTGGTTGGCCGGCCTTTGGCATTTGCCAATGAAGAGCTGGCGGTACACTCCTGGTCCAGGATCTCGTCAGCGGGACACAGTGTCCTCCTAGATGCCCTGAAGATCCTCAGCCCGATGTCCCGCGACCTCTCGAGCAGTGAGGAGCTTGTCGTCTTCTTGAAGGAGCTGGGCGAGGAGGGGCACAAGCCCACCGTGTTGCGTAGTAGAGATGTGTACGGCTATCGCTCCTGCACTACCCTACCGCTGACCGTAGACATGTTGAAACCACCAAACAGGAACGTCAGACCCACCGCCAAGAGGAGGGGGAAGAAGCCTCTGGCCAAGAAGAGAGAGGTGCATCCATCATGGAACGCCTCTGAGAAGAGGGACCCCAAAATTCAAGGGGTCCGGCCTCCAGAGCTGCTGGTGGATCATCGTGCCATCATCTGCAGCAGGACACACAGTCGGACTGTAGAGGTGTCGCAGGCGCTGGAGGTGCGACCGTGTCTCAGACTAACCAACATCGAGGGCCTGTCTGGCTTCCATACGGCCAGACTCCAGATCCACACTTCCTGGGACTCACCATCCGAGGCACCCTCTGTTGCCTTTTCACAGCAACAGCACCCACCAACGCTTTCAGGAATACCTTCGCAGCCTTCTCAGAATTGCGGTGGAGCGCCCACCAAAGCCGTGGCTCTCTTCAGCCAGAAGAGCCCGTCCTGCCCCATCAGATTGGACGGCGCCCTAATCGGAGATTCGGCACCGGTCTTCTACGCAAACGGACGGGCGTTCCCAGAGACTAACACAGGGCTCACCAGCAACGGCTGGAGGAGCAACGGCGTCCACCGGGACGGTCGGGGCCACAAGGAACCGAACATCCCGACCCGCCAGAGAAATGGCTGGAAGGACAAAAACTGCCTTAGGTGGAAAGTGGTGAAAGTGGACGGCTCTCGCTCTGTGGCAGAGGCCCGCAGAAAAGCGCAGAAGATTTTGCAGGTCAACCTGTCTCCAGTGATTCAGATCCAACCTCTCAACTATGTGCTGAGAGACTTCCGATACCAGAACAAGTGACGATAAACCCCGCAAGCCACTACCGTCGTTTCAGTTAACAGATGTTGGTGTTTTACATCCATTAGTTCCTGGCCGAGCCTCAGAGGTCAAAGCAGACGTCGTACGAGGGTCGATGTGAACTCTGCTGTGTGTTGGAGGTAGAGGAGTCCGAGTCCGTCCGTGGAAGTTCTGGTTCCCTGACGGGGTTTGGGGGGCAGAAAAGGCATTTGAAAGTCAGATGGGGCTTTTCTCAGCAGGCTGGGAAATGACTTTCGGCCGAATGCTGCACACGCTCACGGTCGGCTTTAGTTTACATTCAACACTTCAACCAACCATCATTCTGCCTTGAGTTGCCCGCCTGCTTGCCCGTGTTGCGGATGTAGTTTAGGATCCACTGTGACCGTTGGGTTCAAGGGGAATCTCCTGCCCTTCAACAAGGGACGGTTGTTTAAGAAGATGAGTATTGGTAACTCATTTGAAGTATGCCGCTGTTTTGTGGAAAAGTATTTTCAACTTGTGGCGCTTGCAAACAGTCTTGTCGGTCTGCATCTCCCCAAATTCCACTGCAACGAAGGATAAAATGTGGTGGTGCGACAGGATGATCCCACCGGACAAACAAAATGGTGGACGAGCAACTTTCCACAGTCTTCACACGAGCAGATGTGGTTGGCTGGTCCCGTCTAAACAAATGAAATGGAAATGAAAGAGAAAATTGTTTAGTTTGTCTTCCTTATTTTGTTGTATTTCCACTGGAAATCGAGGAGGCTGTTGGCACAAGCAGGGAATCAAACCCGTGGCCCATACGGACGTAGATCCTCAGATGATCGGTTTGTTCTTCACAAAGTGTTCCTTTGGTTTCGTTCATCCACACATGGAAAAGGAGGCTTGTGGAATATTTCCAACTGCTGGCGGGTACAGAAGGGGATATTTCGAATATTTAGACCAGACATTCATCTTCAAATAACAAAAAATAGTGAGAACAATGAGGTACCAGAATTCTTACTTCAGTCTTTAGAGGTTTTGTCATTGTTAAACTCGCTATCTGAATAATATATTTAAAAACCTACAACTAATTTCAGTGTTTGCTCTCCGAATTATAGCTTTTTACAGTCCATCCGCCTCCGTAGTTTCATTTTTACACTCCGGGTACAAAGGAAACCCTTAGTCGGTCTAATGCTGCTCAGGATTGACTTTAGTCCGATAAATTACTCCATAAGCAGCATGTTTTGGAGACATGATGTAAGACGTTGATTTCAAAAGTTTTTGTTCCCCTGAGCTGCAGGAATGTTTTGCTTTGACGAGTTGAATCTGACACCGCAGCGTCAGAAAGTCGGATCGTCGAGTCGACGGCAGGATTTGCACTTTGAGAGCGTGACAGTGCGTCATGGTCGCCCGTTTCCTCAACACGACGTCATTAATGTTCTTGTTTCTTGCATCACTTAGGAGATATGTGAAATGATATCAAAAGCATTTGGTTTGACTTCCATTGAGCCCACACTGGTTTTTGCAACAGGTGCTAGCTTTGGTGCTGAATTTGACGACTGGCGCGACGATGTCGTTGTGTTTCCGTTTTTCTTGTTCATATGAGAGCGCTTAGGAGCCGTGACCTCACCGGACTTTACCTTCTGAGGGACTGATGGGACGGTTTGGGGTCGGGGGGGGGGGGGGTGGGCATGTTATCTGTGGGGAACTCGTGGGAAATCTTCCGAAGTTTTGTTTGTGATGTTGATCCACATGGCACGAGATAAACGTTTGGTTTGATCTCAAGCGGTGCTCTAACACGAAATCAAAGTCTCTCTTCGGTCACGCGGTAGCACGTGATGCAGCTTCTGTTGCTCTAACGACCAGTCAATGTGAATGAAAAGTCTGGAAAAACACAGTAGGGGAACCTTTTTAGTTTTTCTCGCCGATCAAACGTGATTCGTTAACCTCAAAATCTATCAGTCAAATGTAAAAGAAAAAACAATTTAAATCAGGTCAGTAAATGACAACGCTGGTAAATAAATAAAAGTGGAGTCTGTTTCATGTTTTGACCACTTGGGAGAAAGAATAAACCAAGTCTGGAAATTTGAGCGTTTTCTTTTGTTTCAGACTTCTCTGTAAATTCTTTGGTTTCTGGGAGATGGTTGGTTTCCTTGCTCTTCTCCCGCCGCCGTCTGTGTACGCGGTCACGTTCATGTCCACTGCGATTCCCTTTTCTAAATCTATCTGTTAGTCTCGTTTGTGCAGCACTTGTATATTGTATTTCCTACATGATCTTTGAAAACTTTTTGTTCAATAAAACAGATCTGAAAATAATTGTTCTTTTTCTACTTTTGAGTTTAGTTTCATTTCATATTTGATGTTTTTAATGTTCTCAGACGGCCGAACCACAAAGCAAAACCTTCACCATCTCACTGGTGTTGGAGGCAGGGCACCGGATATCAAAGATGAAATAGGTGACATTTCATTTCGGGGGGTGGATGACACGTTGAGCGGTGCGAGATGCTCAGCCGGCTGGTTTCTGACCTTTTGGCTCACAGGCGTTTCAATTGATTCTAATGAGAGCTGCAGTACGAAAATGTCAAACATCCATTCAAAGCGTCTTCTTTGTAAATCCTTGTGTGCAGTCTCTTGTCTCTTAAAGTCTTTAAACAACTATACAAACGTGTGTCAACGTTTTCTGTTACGTTTCTGAATTAAATAGGTTTTAGTGTAGTTTAGTAGTCAAAGCAAATGTATCAAATAAAAAAAATCAATGTATACGATGTCACAGAAAAGTGACAGTCAAGAAAAATTCCATTAAAAAAAATATATTACTGCACGTTATACAGGTCCACAAAAGTTACAATATTGTACATCATGAAGAAGTTATAGTATATTAAAAAGTCCTGATTGTTGGCCCCGCCCCTTTTAGTCGCCATCTTTCCCAGTTCAGCGGCATGTTCCAAGTTAGCATCAGGGGAATCTGTAGTTTTTTACTTTTCTTTTAGTACATTTCTTTTGATTTTACAACTTAACAAGAAAATGCAAAGCCGAGAGACAAAAAAAGGTGTCAAAGGAAGACAAATTTCTAAATAAATACTCCGTTAAACCATAATACCGAGCGCTTTGTCATCCTAAAATCTTGGTCCATTGGATCCAACGCTTGGACATTTGGAAACCGCCTCCCCAACGTCTGTATTAAACCTGGAACGAAAAGTCATAAATCCATCAGAACCGTCAACACGGGGCTCTGCTCGCTGCCCGATGCAAACCAGGTAAACATTTACCTGCAGGAAGACTGAGGGTGGCAGGGAGGCCTGAGTCATGCGTGACTCATAACGCGTCACGCTGGTGTTTTCTGTGACCTCAGTCCTCAGGGATGTTTGTGAGACGACCTTGGTTGAGATCATCTGTGGTCTCAACGCAGCCAATAAAACTGTCACTCTGAACGCTCTGTTCAGGAGAACCGCAAAAAGCCCCAGATTCACGTTCAAATTGTGTCAAATAATGTCCAAGTAAATTCAATAAATTAATTAAAGCGTCTGATTTAGAGACGAGTCGGTTGCAGTTGTCTCGGCCGGTTTAAATCTTACCTGATTGGCTCGTCGCCGTTGCTCCGGACGCTTGGCGACGGTATCGGTCAGTGTCCCGAGGGCTGCAGGCTTTCTGTTGTTTGACCGATGACCCCACGGCGGGGTCAACTCGACCCCACTCACAACTCCCCCAACAGCTTTTGCAACGCCGTTGACCTTTTCCCACGACAGCAGCGTATCCAGGAACTTACAACTAACTCGAGACAGGATGACGCCCAGCAGGCTTTGGGTGAGGCCAGATAATGATTAGTAATCAATAAGCTGCATTCTTCGTTGTGTGGAAGAAACAAAACAGTACAATACTTCAGTAACGGAGAGAAAATGAAGGTGAAACACATTTTACATGCTTGAGGAAACTTACTGCCACGTGTCCCGGTTTGCGATAACTGTAATGAATCAATGCAAACAACACGTCTCCAAACGGACATCTCGTGTGTTTTATATCTGTTCCTGCTTTAGACCCTCACCGCTTTAAACAAGGTCTCATTCGTCCTCCCGACAATGCATTACTCTCACAGTCTCAATATTGATCCCAGCAACACAAGGTGCTCGTTTGTGACGAAACCACGGACTGCGGCAGAGGAACTAAATTTAGCCTCCCGGTTCCTCTGATCAGAAGCGAGGGGAAGTTCCTCTGGAGGCTCCTGGTCTCCTGAGGCATTGCCTCCTTTTTAAAGGCCCTGTTTGGTCGCCGTGGGTCTCCGCCGCGTCACCGTCGCACCAGACTGTCGGTTCATCGGTGCGTCGCTCGCTCACTAATGACGGGTGTGATGGATTCTCAGGGGAGTGGAAATAAAACCCGGTCCCGTTGTCACGTGAACCGTTGTCATCCGTATTTTGTGGTGAATGAACCAAATTTGCAAAACCCGTGTCAGACGAGCGAGGACCTTGTTTTCTGTTACCAGAGGGGAATCGGCACGCTTGCTGCCAACTGGCTAGCTAGCTGGCATGTTAAGTCCGCCATGCTTTAATGCTTCGCTGGTCACGGACGGAACCGGTGACCACGCGGGGCCGACGTTTCCTTTGAGGTGAACATCGCTACCTAGAACTCCCGCTCAAACGCACCCGTCCGCACAAGTTGAAGAAAGGTTCAACGTGATGCAGATGTCCTGGAGACCGAAAGGCTCGTTTTCAATCAATCATAAAACCAAACATGGTTTTTTTATATTTGCAACCGCTGCATCGGCGGGTTTCCAATGACAAAAAAGCCAACTTTGCGGGCGCCAGTATTCCGGCATCGTTAGAGAATACCTACGATAAGAGGCCAACTCTTTTGTGTGTGTGTGTGTGTGTGTGTGTGTGAACGTGGACAATGAGCTCATCGGTTTCCTCTCCACAGAAACCAGCTGCCGCTTTCATCTCTTCACTCCAGCGATCGGCTGGTTTCATCAGGCAGGATGTTCGGCTGTGAACCAAGGACGGTTTTAAATGAGGTCTTTCTTTCTTTCAGCCAGTCAGCCTGCAGCTCGACTGAGGTCAGGGTCTCCGATCTTCAACCCCCCACCCCCCCTCATACCCCTTCATTTCTTCCCCCCACGCCGTCGAAACCCTCTCCAAGCTGCCGCTCGGCTCTTTGTGTGCTGGGGGGCGTTGTGTGTGTGTGTGTGTGTGTGTGTGTGTGGGGGGGGCGAGAAGCAGCCGGAACACAGTAACCTCCACGGCTGCTCGGTCTCCATTTTGGAAAAAGGGTTGAGCGTAATCTCAACGCGGCTCCAGTGACTTTCTGCTGAACCTCGTGGAGCTCAGAGGGACGAGGTCGGGTGTATTTTTGTGCGTCTTGAATGTCGCCAGCGGAGAAGGGAAAGCTATTTTTAAAGTGAAGGTCTACAGAGACCAAAAAAAAAAAAAAATGGTTCAATTTTTTCTTTTTCTCAGTGCGAGGAGCCAAAGCTCGACGCGGCAGAATAACAACAGTCTTCTTCTCTACTTCCTGCCAGGAAATACGAGCAGAGAAGAAACAAACTGGCTGCTTCCATCATGAACAACACGGCTGCTTCCACACAAAAACACACATCTCTCTCAAAAATTAGTATCACGTCCTGGTAGCAAAAAGTGAAGAAGCCAACAAGGAGCCAAAGATAAATGACTCAATACTTCCTGTACAACGTTAGCAGCACGGTTGAGCTTGGTGGAGGTTGGTTGTGTCCAGATGAGGAGGCCGCAGGTCGTTGTAGACTTTCTTAGGTTTGATAGAGCTGGAAGAATTACCGTGAAACGTCGACTCGACTTCTGTTGTTCTGCTCAAGGTCAACGGTGACCTTCAAAGTAGCTCCGCCGGCAGTTTTATTTCGGCGTAATTCCGCCGTTCAGTTTGGGGATTGGCGGTGTCATCGCGTTACAACACCCCTGTTCCTGTTTTCATGCCCGTCACTACCTGCCCTCCACTGTTGCGCAACACATCTAATGCCCCCCCCCCATCGGGTATATGCGAGTTTAAAGCTGTGAGCAATGCTTTTCTTCACATGCACTGATGGTCAGTACATCTGGAGGATTTTAATGACATATTTGTGCGTCATACCATACTATGCCTTTATATTAATGTTTAACGGCATTCTTATTTAGAGCTTTAGAGCTCATTGTCGAGCAGGAACATTGAAGTTCATCACTAAAGAAAGCTGAAACACAGCTAATCAAAAACTTTCACATTGACAGAAACATTAGATTCAAATCGTGCGGATTAAAAAAGGAAATAAAGGGTCCGAGTTCATTTATCTGACTTTTATTTCTTATGTCTATACAGATGATCTGAGAAAAGCTGAACCACATTAAAGCCAACAGGTTATTGTAGTATGTAAACAGACGGCTCCAGCTGTGCTGGTTCTACTCGTCCAGGTCCAGAATCTTTGGAGGTTCTTCAGGTTCTGCTGGTTCTACTGGTTCCAGCCCCTGACCGGCCTCCTGGGCGAAGGAGAAGAGAGTTGTGTTACAAAGTTTACCTGTCGCTCAGGCCTCGCGGTCACCGATCAAACACGAGCACACGTTTCTGTTAGATATCTATAAAATGTGACCGCTGAGTTCAAATTATAAACCGCTTCAGTCTCTGTTGAACCAGCTGGACTTTATTTCCGAACCGAATCCATCTGCTCAGCCCGCTGGTTTGTTGCGGCGGGGTCGGGCTTTGGTGTAGCGATCGGTGCACTCACCCCAAACGGCTCGCTGAAGGCTCTGGAGCCGCTGTACAGAGGGTTGGGGATGGAGACCAACGTTGGCTTCTTGCTGCCGCCCGGCGAGCCGTCCTCGTCCTCGTCCTGTCACAGAGGAGACGAACAAATCAGACTCGGTGGTCAAACATCTCGCAGTGTTCGTCCATTGAGCTCTTAAGGACTTTTTCTGCAAAGGCCATTTGGAGAAGTTGGCCGCAGAAGAAGTTAAGACTTTAACAAACGAGCTAAGAACAGAGATTCCGATGCCGTTTTTCCCTAATCAGAGTAGCAGATCAAAGAAACCAGATGCTGCATGTTGGTCGTAGGTCCTCACACTGACACACGCAACGTTGGTGTGTCCATTTGGACATAATCTCCTTTCTGTTACGCCCCCAAAAGTTAATAGTAACCATTAAGTTACTATGAATCTTAATTTGTTGGGTGTTGAAGCTGAAACTCTTGTGCGTGTTTGTGCGTCTCACCCTAAAGTAGTGGAAGCGGAAGGCGTCCGTCTTGTGTTTGAAGACGTAGTAGCCGAGGGCGGCCAATATGCACGCCAGCAGCACCGACACCAAGATGGCCGACACTGTGCCGCTGGAGTGGGCGTGGGCTCGTGATGCATGATGAGGGATCTGGAGATGACGAGTATGAGAAACGCACACAAGAATAAGTACGTATGCAGGAACATCACGGTAAACCTTTGAACCCCAAAGCGCGAGCTTTTATCCGTCCAGATCTTATTGCCATAGCAACAGCCGCACATGGAGACGTGATCCTTTTTGTTTTTATGACTTTTTTTAATGACAAACTGCACTCTTGACATTTTTATGGCGCGCCGTATGAATTTCTTCATGTTGCCATGGAGACGTGACTGCTTCTATTTCCCCAGCGAAGGATGAAAATTCCACCATTTAAAATGAATAATTAATGTGAACAATCCGGTGTGGAGAAACGAAACCGTTCCCCGCGATGACTGACTGGCAGCCATTTTGTTTTTCCTGAGGAAGAAGAAGGTGTTTTTACGTGAAGCTTCAGATCCGAAGCTCAAATAACATGACACATTATAAGATGGCCTTTAAATAACATAGTGATGCTTTTATGACCTTTTTATGGCATGACGTTTTTCAACGTGCCATAACATGACTCATAGTACTGTACAGTCTGACATACTGTACAAGGACATATTTTTTTACATTCCGTACTATGATCTTTTATGACAGTAAGATGTTTTCCTCAAAGCACCGAATTGACCCACGACTGTAAAGTATCTTGCAGGTCACAGTACACTAGTATACCAGAGAAATGTTAATGAAAAAATATTGCTACAGCGTGTCCAATAATGTCCTTTAAGCGTTGACAGGAAAAAGTCTGTGTAGCATCTTAAATATCTTTTTAATCAAATGGCCGAATAGAGAAGACAAACGTATTGCTGGAGGTTTAGAGAAAACTGTAAAATTGACTGTCCACAGGGTCAGTGAGGACGTTTGAAGGAGTAAAATAATTGTTAGCGAAAGGCTTTAGATTAATCCCCTGTGATCTCGTCTTCATCATCTTCTCGTGTCCCACATGGAGAATATTGATTGGTTTGTGATTTTTATCTCAAACTCCACTGATTCAATCTTCGCTTCCTGAAAACTCTGCCAATAAACCAAAAACGGAGCCATCTGTTCCGTGCCCCCAGCTGTAACCGTTGCCTAGCAACAACCGACTGACCCCTTCCTGGTTGAGGGGGGCGGCGCCCCTGCAGAATGGAGCGGGGGCGGTTGCCGTGGCGGTTGGTTGCCGTGGCGCCCCCAGCGGCTGAACTCTGAACAGAATTCGGGTTTTCCGACTTTCTTAGAATTCAATTCATTTTGTTTTGTCAATTTACTTTCAAGGAGGAAGCTTTTGCATTAAACTACACATTTGTCTGTAACATTCCTCTCTTCATGATTCAATTCCTGTCATTTCATTTGTGCTACAAACTGTGACACATATGCTACGCTAACTTAGCATGTACATCACTTGTGTTGGCTGTGGGTTCGCAGGGTTCGACACACATTAGATGCTATAAATGACGGAGGTGTAACAGTTCATGGGACAGATAACAAATCAACTAGTGTTACGTGTTTTTGATGAATTGTCTCGCTTGTGCCTTTTTAGGTTATTTTTAGCACTACAGTTCCCACAATGCTTGTGTGTGTGCAAACCAGAAATGTGTCGTCCTCATCTGTGAGCTTTTTATATTAATGGATAAAAATAAAATCAATGCTGCTTAATGTCAGACGACGCGATGGTTCAGAAGTCAGCGGCTGTGGGTTGAACCATGTTGGCTCACCGGCGGGGGAGGCGCTGTCAGCGGGGCCTCGATGACGTGGATGATCCCGTTCACAGCAGGAATGTCCCACTCCAGCAGCATCTGGCGGTTCACCATCTTGATGCTCTGATCGTTACAAGGAAGAAGCGGATCGATGAACATGCGACGGTGGTTCCGCGTTTGGATCGGTGCACCTGAGAAGCGCGTGCGCGTGTTCCTGACCTCGTTGTTGCCGTGGGTAACAGTCAGGTTGAACCCGAGCCTGGAGACGATGACTTCCTGGTGTCTCAGCTCCTTGAATGGTCGAACGCTGTGATTGTTTGAGATGTGATACTCAAGATCTCTACCAGACAGAGTCTGAGACACACACACACACACACGCACACACACACACACACACACACACACACACACACGCACACGCACACACGCATGCACACACACACACACACAGATTAGATTTTCAAAATTGCTCCATTAGTTGGAACCTTCTGATCTCATTATTTAATTAATGAATTAGTTAAGGAAAAAAACTTAATTAGGTACTTTAATAGAAAGGTTAAAGAACGCGTGGTTGTGGATCTTTACAATTTCTTTCCAAATTTCCCAAATCTACGGTCCTTTACTTTAGAATGTCAAATTTGAAAAATACAAAAAAAAAAGAAAAAACGGTAACAAGGCACAACATTTAAAAAGCATTAGTTTAGATGAACAAGATGTTTTTCCCCGTCAGTTACGTTGCCTACGATTGAAAAACAGAAAATATAATTTGTTGTTGTGCAGGACCAGCGAGCTATCCAGCCACGTCATTTAAAGTCCTACATTATGATGTACAGTACCAGTTTAAAAGGGTTGGACACATTTTCTCATTGAGCTAAATGATAAAATGTGTCCAAAGCAATATAAACTCAACACATGTGTCTCATATTTGAACATTGATCTTCTCCCTCTTTGTGGCCTTTTATCGCGGATCTTACGGGGACCCTCTGCCTTGGGGTATTTTCTAACATTAGGCGGACCAGTTGTACCAGATGCGTCTGTGTTTGCCTGTTAGTACGAATGTAAATGTGTGAGCACATTGTTGGTGTGGTTGTGATCAGGGGTCCTGATGTCTCATCTATGAAGAGTTTATCTGCACTTGTTCTCCAGGCTCCGTCATCTAAGCACATTACACTGCAGTGAAGGAACAACCTTTGGAAAATATCTCATTGAAATATACAGTATATATAATATATGCACGAAGACACTATAATGTGTTTTGTTTGTTTGAGGTTAAATATTCTCAAAGTGCTTCGGGCACATCTCTGTTTGAAAGGTCGGGTTTCATGGAGGCGAGTGTGTTTACAAAGAGTTGAGTCATAATTCCTCAACCTTCTTTGTCGCTTTCGGGTCAATGTCAGAAATGACTTTGCAGCATTTTCTCTTAATTATACCCGTTTTTTATCCTGCCGTAATTGTTTATTTGTTGATCATCAAGTTAAGTAACATAAAATATTCTGGCAATGTAGCCAGTCGACAGGAGATGCAGTAACCAAAACGCGCTCTTAGTGATTAGGAAGCAATTATCCAAGGTCACCTGGTTCGGACCGAAGCCGGCGTTGTGAGGAACAAACAGCGTGACCTCGGACTTCCTGTGAGACATAAAGTCGACCAGCTGTTTTCCTTCTGAGGACCAGCCGCTGTAGTCCAGCAAACACTACAAAGAGAAAGAGAAGGAACATTTAGAACTCATGCGCGATGCTTATTATTTGATGTTATTACTTTGAAAATGGTCAGACGTACACGGCCCAACACAGCTTTTATTCATGGGGGACACGCCATGCGTCAGTAACAGACAACTGGACCTTCATTTCAACCCAGAAACAAGGAGCCGGTGTGATAAATACTACACGACCCGGGGAGGTTCCTCTCATAGTTTTGTATCTCTGGAGCTTTCTCCCACGTGGGACCTTGAGCTGAATCCTCCCTCTGACTTTGAGTTTAGTCCACGTGGATCCTCCCTATCAGCTGAGAGGCGCCGGACTCTATGAACGTGCTACCCGGAAGTCCTCCAGCGCTTCGTTATCTCGTGTGATCTAAAAGGTTATTAAAAGAGTTTGTGTGTCCTTCGCATTGCTGGAGTGGAGCTCCTCACATCTACTCAGCAGGTGCTGCTAACGGACACATGGCTGGTTTCACTCATTCACGTGTTGTTTAGAAACGAACGACCATCGACTCCAGAGAAAAGCGTCTAGCTTTCATCTGAAGATAAGTATTGATGCAATTTTAACAGCCCACACTAGTGGAATCAAAAGCAAAGACACGGCATTAATCAATTAATGATCGTTTTTTGAGAACCAACCTTGTAAAAGATGGAGAAGTTGCTGTAGGACGCGAGGACGCTGGTCAGCACGCCGTTACAGAAATCTCCGTTTCCAATGTAACCGGCGGGACACACGCAGGAAACATCTGCACACAGACACACACACACACGCGGTCTTTAGATCTGCGGTCCCACCCCGAATGTGTTATTTGTCTTCTTTTTCTCTTAATCAAAACCCGTTACCTTTGAGCCGGTAGCAGTAGGCGTCGTACTTGCTGCTCTGGTCCACGGGTTCTTTGTAGATCACCAGGCCCACGTGGTTGTCGCCGCACCTGACGGAGGGGAAGCGGATCGGGTACCCCACCTTCCCGGCCTCCATCCAGCCGGCCACGCACAGATGCATCCCCAGCTGTCACAGCGGGGGGGGGGGGAGGTGGTCAGATCCGTCGGTCTGGACGGCGAATACGCCGGCGAGGTGTACTGCTCGGCCTGTCGTCTCCATGGTAACGCCTCCGGTGGGCGGGCTTACCTGCTGTGCGTCTCCCAGCTGTTTGAAGGTGGCCAGCGCGGCGCCCTCGGCCCGGCAGGCGGCGTCGGCCTGACTGAAGTTCATCTTGTACTTGCCGTCTGGAGAGCGCAGGTGGAAGACTCCTGCCGTGTTGGCTGAACCAGAATAACCACGTCAGCTTTTCACACGTATCACATTTCATCTCCACAAAAACACGACTAAAATAAATTGAAAACGGATTGAAAGAAAGAAAATGTAGATTTTTGATCAGCTGTTAGCTGAGCTTAACAAGGGTAACGTCTGCGCTTTGAGTGACTAGTTTAGTAATAATCTTTAGAGGGATCGTTTGTTTTAAAGGAGGGTAGGATGAGGTGTGCTAATCTGTAGTGGAACGTGATGGACTAACCACCATGAAGAAATGTTTCATCTGTTAAAGTGTTATATTTAGAATACATAGTGTTCGGTAGGATGTAAAGACGGGGGTCAGGTGATAATCCTCCGGTCTGTAGCTCAGTATCGTTTCTTCAGGTTCCGCCTGTGAGTTTTTCCGTGCCGGCCATAAACGCCGGACCTGTCGCTTAACTTCCATTAGTGACACGGAGGCCATGTGAACTGGTTGAGTGCTTTAATAATTCATCATCAGCCTCTTTAACAAAAGGTCACATCCTGTAGGCAGTAGGTACCATAGACTAGAGATACAACCTTACATTAAAACACCCCTTTAACGAGCTCTGGGCTACCGGCTGCATTCCAGATGATTCCGTTGTCGACGCTTGTCTACCGGTCAAAGGAAAATTATTCAAAGCTAAAACTAGAAATCAATGTTCCCCACAGCATCGCCACGGTAACACTATCAAAGGTCAACTGCAGTAGAATCAACGCGACACACATGACAACAGCCGCTGGTTCCGCCCAGATGTGTTGCCGTGGTAATGGCCGTTGTAATAGAAGTCAGCAAAGATGCGTTACCGTGGTAATGCAGGTCCTTGCAGTCGGCCGCGGGGTCGCAGCCTCCGTTGTCTTCCAGGCAGCGGTCAACGGGGGGCACCACCTTCTCCAGACACTGGACTCCATTTCCCAAGTACCCCGGCAGGCACTCGCACCGACGCTCGTTCTGGAGGCAAAATTTCATTTATAAACGCCACAGTTACAGGGAAAAATTATATAGTTGGATTAAAGATTGTCAGCAGGATGCTGATTTGAATATACGGTTTCTCATTGTTTATAAGAAGACGCTTTTACTAATCCAAAGATGCGTCAACTAAAGAAACGGGTACGACCGACCCATGCCTGTATTTGCTCGATGAAAATTCTTTATTTCTTTAAAAATAAACTGAGCAGAGGACACATTTTGATGCCTTCTGAGTCTACCTTGTCCTGCTGTCTCACAAAATACACAAGTGTGTATTGAGTTTATCAAGTGTGTATCTTTCTTTTCTAACCTGTGCACTGAATCTCAGTAAAAAAACACAAAATGTCTCAATCCTGAAGTTAAACACAGCGATGAAAAAAAACGAGACGTTCGGAATAAATCCTTTTACTCACTGGACCAGTAAACTTGCAGGAGGCAAAATCACTGCAGCCGCCGTTCTGCTCCTCAATACACCTGAAATACAAACAAAGAGGCCGACTTCATGTGAAATCTACTTTAATAAAGAACCCCCACCACAAAAAGAAAACAGCTACTTAATTAGAGAAAATGGCCGGTCGCGCCCACCTGTTGATGGGCTCGCAGGAGTATCCGTCTCCTCTGTAACCACGGCGACAGGTGCAGTTGACGAGCAGCCCCGTCTGGTTGCAGTCTGCGTTCTGGTGACAGCCGCCGTTGTATTCGGAGCAGAGGTCTGGAGCTGGAAACGTGACGGTAACATTAATAACAACGTGACATCGCGTTGCTCCCTCCGGATTCACCGGATTTCGTAATAAAGTGGGAAAAGTCTTACAAGAACTCTTTAAAGCTTAACTGAAAAGACCTTTTGACATTTTAGTTTGATCCCTTTTGTTTCACCACATTGAATTCATCATTACAACAATAATAATTGTAAGTGATTATCTGATTATCTTTGGTTTGATTGAACCAGCATCGCCGCGCTGAGCGTCCTATGTGACACTCACGTGGCTCTGGGTCGCAGAAGGTGCCGTTCCCCTGGAAGCCGGGTTTGCACCGACAACCGGAGCCCGGCACACAGTCGGCCTGAGCGTGGCACCGCCGGCACTCCTCCGGGATCGAGCCTGGACAGACGGACGGACGGGTGACGACTCACGGAACAGCGCCTGCCTCATAAGTTAAGCGCTGCGGAGGGACGGCTCACCTATGTCGATCTGGCAGCGCTCCCCCCCCCAGCCCGGCGCACACACACACTTTCCAGAACCCTCCATGCCTCCGTCACACCTCCCCATCTGCCCGCACTCACAGGCTGAAAGAGATTTAAAAACCATCTCAGGAAGAAGCTTTGAAGGTACGTCGGCGGTTCCAGCAGCAGCAGCAGCAGTCTGTGCAACTCAAAAGGTGGAAACATGAAACATAAAAGGAGGGCGGTCGACTGCAACTCCAATCACGGAGCTTATAATTCCTCCTGTGGGCTGAAACCTAAAAATTCAGCGGTTTTAGTCAGTTCACTTTCTCCTTCTGGATCAGTCTGGGATTCATTTAGTAACCATGGCGACTGCAACCATAATACATCTATTTTAAAATTTGCCTCAGCTTCCCTCCACGCGTCAACATCTCAAAACCCAAACAGAAGGTGTTCCGAGTGCAGACAGCGGGCAGGTGTGACCTCAGCTTGAAGCACATCCAGCTGTGTGATGGTGAGCGTTGCCATGGCGACAGACCGCGGGAGAGCTGACAGCGGCTAGACTGTCTGCTGACCGGAATTTATTCAAGTCAGGTTGCTTGTTGGTTTGAGGCGGGTCGTCTTATAGCCGGGGGGCAATTTATCAAGAGGGGGGTGGAGTATCACAGTCGGCAGTCACAGGAAGACGGGAATTAGAGAATAAGTCACGGTTGATGAATTCTACTTGGCGCTACGGATCATCCGTTTGCCTGCCGCGGTGTTCATCGTCGTGCTTCTGCACCTGTCCTCTTCACAAGGGAATGGCATCGCTGCAAAATCAAAAAGTACCAATAATTCTACAATTATAGTAGTGAATCTGTCAGAATCTCCGCTACCAAGCGTGGTTTTATATTGTGTGATAAAAAGGAGTCCGACTCTTTGTTTCAGCGGGTCTACCTGTAGGAGACCACCCTACCTGTGCAGTTGGGTCCGTAGTGCCTGAGGGAGCACAGGTTGCAGGCTTTGCCCACGAAGCCCTCGTGGCACAGACAGCGACCCGAACCCTTCATTCCGTCGTCGCAGACACCATGGTCACCGCATGGGGCCTCCAGGCCACCTGGACACACTGGAACAAAAGGGAGAAGAGGCGGAGTCAAGTGAGAAAAAACCAAAAGAGACGCTGACGTCTTGATTTGTTAAACACGGGCGTAACCAGAGATGCAATGTGACCCCCAGAGGATGAAGTCTAGGTATGACCGGCCCTTTGTGGTGCCCTTGAGACCTCTTGGCATTAGAAGCTCCACAAAGGGTCAGGCCTTAAGAATGAACACCGGAGAAGCAAGAGGACACACGATTTGTGTGGATCAGATCATCCCCACCTTGACAGTCTCGACCGTAGTGGTTCTTACAGCACTTCTGGACCCAGGAAGAAAACTGACATGTTTTCTTACAGCCCATCATTCTGGTATGATCATTGATGAGGTACCAAGGTGGGTAGCGGCGCCCAAACGAGGAGAACCTGTTATAACAAAGCTCCGTCTTTCCCTGAATGAAAGCAGGATTTACATGAATCTCTGTGCATGGTAAAAAAGCTGCCAATGCCGAGGTTTCTCTTCCACGTCTTACCGTGTCCAGGTGTCTGAAGGGACAGGCCGGGGGGAAGGGGCAGCGTCCACAGCGACCCTGAGACGTTTTAAGACACAAAGCTTCAGTCCAGCGCTCAAGACAAGGGATATCTCCTGATCTCCACGGACTACTTTTGAGCCAGTAACAGTCTTTATTTCATTACGCTGGTGGTTCTGTTCTCCGGGCTGTCGCAGAACGCTCCCAGGCCCGGTGGTTCCAGGAGCTGGTCGATGCCGTAGGCCACGCCCTCCTTGAAGTTCATGTAGCGCTCCACCACCTTGGCTGCGTTGTCGTTAATCAATACAGCCCCCTGAACACACACACACACACACACACACACACACACAGATTGTTCTGTGGTCATTTGATTGGTATAAAAGAAGAATGTTGCTAGCTGTTATTGTTAACAGCTGTTTACCATATAATATTAAATGTAACATGATATAATATAGTGTATCTCGGATAATGTTATATAATAATAATAGTAACATAGTATAGTATATTATCAAGCCACCTGTGTGAGATCCTTTGCTAATACGGAGGCACATCACCTCCAAACCGTACACTGATCCTTCAGAAAGGCAAACAATGGCGTATTGTGTAACCTAGCAACCGCACAGCATCTCCTGCGCCGAGTTACAGTATCGGTCATAATCACGTCATCGTTCCCCTCCAGCCTCTCTGAACTGTGCGCTTGGCAGGTGTCTCACCACCAGGGTCCGGTCACAGCTGTACTTGATGGTGGATCCGTGCATGCTGCGCAGCTTTGAGATTTTGTCCGGCTGACCGATACCCAGCACCTAAACACACACATGGGAAACCATGAGGCCCTGACATACGACCCCTTCAAGCATTAGTATGTTGTAATGACACAATAAAACAGTACTATTAGTAGTGGCTATTAGTGAATTCCTCCTCCTCCTCCTCCTCCTCGTCCTACCCTGGAGTTGCGTATGATGTGAGCCTTCACCAGCGAGGCAACCTGCTCCTGGTGGTCGGGGCTGGAGAGCCAGTGCTTCCTTGCAGCCGGCAGCGAGTCGAGGGCCTCGTCCGTGGGCCAGAACATGGTGAGGGGCTGATGGATGGACATCTGCAGCACGGGAATCAACCCCACGTCCTGCACAAAGAGTCAAGACTTCACTGAGCAGCACGAGAGTTTCTCCACGCAGTCAATTAGCAAGACGTTTTAGAGACGATTACTTTTAACGCAGAACGTGAACATCATGTGGTTGATTTTTGAGTTTTCACCCCACAAATAAAGACGTCTCACACACAGTTATCAACACAATCGCATCGCAGTGCACACCAGATCCACTCGTTTTGTTCTTACCTTTCACAATAAAAGAGCCTATAAAACACTACATCACTGTTGACCAGAAGGAACTCAAACTTAGTCAGAATATTACGCCAACAGGGAGCTCAATAGAATCGCTTACTGAAAATGTACTTTAAAAAATACTGCAAGGCGCCTTCTGGTTAAATGGATCCCGATCGATGGTGCTTTGCTTGTGCAAATGTATTTGTGTGTATCATATTTGTCAAATTGACAAAAGGCTTTAAAGGGTATTTGAGCCCTTGCAGATAAAATAATTTTACCTGCACGAGTTGGTAGAAGCGGCTGTAGCCATAAAACGCAGCTGCTGACGTATAGTTCATCTAAGCAGAGGAAGAGAGAGAGAGAGAGAGAGACGTCACACCGTCTGTCTCCAGCACCGATTGATCATCGATCGCTTCTCCACGTGCGGAGAACTGAAGTCACCGAGTCAGCCGGCAGCCTGGGTTTGTCCTGCAGCCTGTAGGGCGTCAGCAGCGCGTCCAAGTGGTGAATGACGCCGTTAGAAGTGACGTAATCACTCCTCACGATCCTCGTCCCGTTGTTGACCCAGACCGAACCCTGCAGGAGAGAGAGAGAGAGACAGGTGTGGGGCGAGAGACAGGTGGCGTTATGTAGAAATATGTATAATGATGTAGACAGGTTTTGATGCAAATCATCTTAAATACTTTCCTGAGTAGATCTACAAATTGAATATGCATGTGTGTGTGTGTGTGTGTGTGTGTGTGTGTGTTACCTCCCGCAGGCTGAAGTGCAGTGTGTGTCCTGACGTAGCGACAGCGACTTTGGTGGTTTTGAGGTCACTCAAGGTCAAAGTCTCACAGGAAAGGATGTGGTAACGAACCAGTTCAGAGAGACGACCGGATTGGTCCCATTCCTCAAACTAAAAAACACACACACACGTCAAGAGGCACGTCTTCCCGACTCACACACTAAGATGTACGTAACTATTCAAGTATTGAATTAGCTTGTGAATAACAGATTTTCAAAGGAAGACAGTTGATAATAAGATAAACTAAACTCAAGAGAAGTTCAAATCATTCAACATACAGAGAAGTTCCTGTTTGTTTCCTCCAGCGGGATGAAGGCCGTGAACGGTCCGTCGCCATAAAGAACACGAGAGTTGGATTTCTGGGAAACACAAAGAAAACAAAGTGAACTTATGCGCTGAAGGCCGCACAGGGGACGCTCACTGCTCAACAAATGATTTTAATTCAACTTACACCTTTGACTAAACTTAAAACCCAGCAAGTGACTTTAAATAGTTTCAACGTGACTCACCGACACCATTTGACGGAAGAAGGAATTCTCTGGTTGGCGGAACACCTCCTGTTGGAGGAGGCAGACAGACAGACAGACAGACTTCCCGTGAGGAGGAGGGGGAGGGGGGGGGGGGTTTGGGGGGAGACGACAGCGGGGGTCAGAGGTCAGCGCTCATGTGACTCACGTTGTTGGTGGTTCCCCGGCAGTCAAAGCCGTCGCCCACGTGGCCTCGGAGGCAGCTGCAGTTCCTCTGGCCGTGACCCAGGTACTCGCAGCGAGCGTAAAGGCTGCAGCCGCCGTTTTTCTGCGCGCACAAAAAGGTGGATCTTTAGCCGCTGGAAAAGGAGGTGAGGCTCAAAGGTTCCTCGCTAGCCGCGGCGGACCGGAGACGTACTCTGTGGCAGGGGTTGACGGGGTAACAGAACCTCCCCGAGCCTTGAAAGCCCGTCTGACAATTGCAGGCCGTCTGGAGGCGACAACAGAACAACAGAGAAGACAGACGGTCAACAAAAGAGTCAGTTACAAACTCCATCTGGGTCAACAAGTAAACGTTTCTCCTTAGCACATAGCTTCCAGGGGGAGGGCGGTACTGATAGTTCAACGCCTCGGCGCTGACCCATTACGCGCCATGGAGAGAGCAGCACGCCGTTGCCTCACCGTGTTGGGGCCCGTTCGGATGCAGTCGGCTGACTCGTGGCAGCCTCCATTTTGAACCAGACATCCGTCGATCTCTGCACAGTCGGAAAATACATTTTATATATATATACATATTAATACTTTCCCAGGTCTTGGTAAGATGTCAGGAGGTTACGCCGAGGGGTCAGGGGTCAGGACTACCTTTCCAGGCAGACGACCCCGTCTCCAGTGTACCCCTCTCCACACGTACAGGTCCTCTCCCCTGCCGAGACCTTCAGGCAAACGGCAAATTCTGAACATCCGCCGTTGGACCTGCTGCACAAATCCAGCTCTGAGAGACACACGGAGAGAGACGGCAGCAGAGTTTATATTTGTACAGGTGCGTGTGTGTGTGTGTGTGTGTGTGTGTGTGTGTGTGTGTTTACCAGTGCAGTAAGTTCCGTTGCCTTCGTATCCAGCCACACACACACAGGCAGCGGCTGTACCCTTCGGTCCCGTTACACAGCTGAGCACAAGTATTGGATTATTTATTCATTTCACCCGTTATTGTTTTAAGTCCTCAAACTAAATGTTCAACCGTTCTGGAGAGTCAAAGCTTCCAGACAGCCAGGTGTATTCTGGGTAAAATGATTCAGATCTTTCTCTCTCACACACACACAAACGCACACGCACACAAATACACACACACACAAATACAGCTTCAGACAGAACAAAAGGAGGACTTACTTGCCGTTCTCGTCACATCCGCCTCCACAGGCGTCGTCCTTGATCTCTGAGACACAAAGATTTGAAGTGATGGCAGGTTAGATAGTTTGGTTACATTTTGACTGTGTGTGTGTGTGTGTGTGAGTGTGTGTGTGTGTGTCTTACCGATAGAGCAGGAAGATCCTCTCCAACCTTTGTAACACACACACCTGCCACTTCCTGCCAGGCCGTCCTCACACTTCCCGTGGTCACACGCACACTCTGCGACACACGCACACACGTTAAAACCTTTGAGTTTAATTTCTAAAATTACCCCCCCAAAGATGATTATCAGTGTTGCTGGTTTGTACGCTTACGAGTTTGTGTGTGTGTGTGTGTGTGTGTGTGTGTGTGTGTTAGCATCTCTAGCGAATGTTCAGACAGGAGGAATATCCTCTTATCGGTAATTTCTCGTATCGATCGCTCAGCATTTCCTCGTCATCGTTTGTCAATCCCTCGAGTCGGCTTTTCAAATCAGCTGTTTTTTTTCTATCCAATGAGCACGAGGAAACAATGACATCATCGGCCTGTCATCTCTCTGCCTTCATTAGGTTCATGCTGCCGGAAACGCGTCCCTCCACCTCCCCACCTCCGCCCGTCTCCATCCGCTACATCAACTTATTCTTCTAGCAGCCAACACCGCCAGCAGATCTCGCTGCTTCTCCAAGCATCGATTACCAATCTCCCTGCGCCAAAAGACCCTGAATACTTTATCATCTTAATAATGAACACGTATCTTCCTGTATCCGACTGGCTGCATCACTTGAAGCCAGTTTGTTTCCGGCTGAATCGTTTAGTTTTTGCGTGTGATTTCAATGAATACTTTTGAGTGTGTGCATGTTCCTCACTGGAGGAGCAGGTGGCTCCGTATCGTCCTGGCTCACAGTCCTCGCACGCCGTGCCGTGGAAACCCTCAAAGCAGCGGCACTCCCCGTTGCCAAGGTTACCGTCCTGACACTCCCCGTGATTGGAGCACCAGCTGCCGATGCCTCCCGGGCATTTGAAGCACTCGTGGCCGTAGTAACCGGGGCAACAGGAGTGATCCTGCAGGAGAGACATCGGTATAAATACTATTATTATCATCATCATCATCATCTTCATCATTATTAAGCCCTTTTTCAGGACTTCATCTGTCGGTTTAAGTGATGTTTCTTCAGTCATTGTGGCATTAATTAAGATTCATGCGACCATGATGAAAAGAGGCACAATTCCGAGGTGTTTGTCAGCTGGTCCGCAGAGGGAACGCTACCAACGAAGAAGAGGACACTAGCGCACTGATGGCTGCCGCGTCTCCTTCTGAGTTTTGATCTGTTGAATTAGTTTAATGTAATAAAAACATAACACTAAACTATACACTATGTATTGAAGTTCCTTCAGAGGGTTGTATAATTATCGCTCATTGTATCGTAACACAGTGGTGGCGTTTCTTAGCATTTGCTGTCATTGGAGTTATATTAAGCTATAGCTATAAGCGCCACGAACAAACCTTGGTTAACCGAAGACATTTGATGACACAGCCCGGCACCGACACCCTGCGGGATCCGACCCGCTTCCTGTATTTACAGTTGGATTTCATGTTGTCCGGAAACTGCTTTTTGATCTGCAGCAGAAGACACATGAAACACACACAAAGCGACAACACCATTCTGACTCTATGTCGTCTTGTTTATTGGGACCTGCTCATAAACACATGGCTTCCAGCTGCACAGGTGTTCATGTTATTGTCCCCCCCCCCGTTCATAGATTTCTTACTGGTTTGTAGTTAAAAAGGCACCGAGGTGGTCCCTCGCAGGCTGCGCATCTTCCCTGGAGAACAAACAGGGAATAAGAATAAAATGTGTGGACAAATAAACTACTTTGTATGTCAGTAGGTGAATAATGCTTCAAATGTAAGCAAACTATATATAATAATAGTAATATATACATATATAGATATTATGTGGCAGACGTCAGACTCAGAGATCCTTTGCATCGATCGCTCCTCCACGGCTTCCTCTTGCTAACAGGTGGCACTGTGGTGCAAATCCTGCATCACAGCAATTATGATCGAATGACTTGAGGAAATCAAACTGATCTTGCATCGGTCTGATGCGATCATATAAAAACGGCATGAACGGCATTTCTTATAATCTATTCCAACAACAAAGAGAGATTCATCTTTGAGGAAGCTACTGAGAGGACGGACTGCAGCGGCTACGTGCGCTAATAAAACCCACTTTAGATGTTTTTCTCTCTGGTCCTTGATGCTCGACGTCCTCGGCTATGTTGTGTAATGCAATATCATATTTGGCCCGGTGTGGATTTCTGCCCAACACGGTGCAGAGTCAAATTGCCAGCTAGAGGAATCATTACACCCCCCCCATCAACCCTCCCTCCATCCTTACCTGGACCTGCAGGTTGACCTCCTGGCTGCATCGGTTGCGGTGGATCATCAGGACCTGCGGCAGCACGAGGATGACGCCGCGCTGCGTCTCCGTCACGCCGCCATCGAGGGGAACTTCGTTCACCGCCGTCTGGAGGACGAGAAGCAAATCAGCATCTTTTTGTTCCCCTGATTGATTTCCTTCTTTGCGGGCAGCTCAGTCTCTAGTTTCTGACGTAGCTGACGGAGGGAACTCTACTCAGTGGAGCCTCCATCAGAGAACCGACTGACCACAATCACTGTTTTTTCAAACAAAACACGGAGCGTGTAAGTAATCATATTCAATTCGCGGTTCTACTGAGGAATCTCGTTTGATAAACAACAATAGGTTGATCATTTCTCTGCGTTTTGGATTTTTCGTAGAGAACATCTGAGACGTGTGACTGAACTGGGTGAGCGGAAGTGCGTTCCTGGCGTGCGCCGCTGTGGTTACCTGGTTGTTGTGGTTCAAGTGGAACTGGACCTGGTAATCGGCGCCCAGCAGCGTGCTCTTCAGCGCGCCGTCCGACAGGTGGTCGGGGAAGAGCAGCTCGTTGAGAATCACGTGGTACTTGAACACATCGGCGTCCTGGACGAACGGAAGAGGAGCGTTTAGGGACAATCAAGAAGTTGCGAAGGGAGGACGGCGTGCTTCAAGACGACCACCGAGATCATTTTCAAACCAATCAAGACCAAAATCATAGTCAGACGATGTTTTCCGCCTCTGCACCTCAACACACTAATACAATAACAGTCAGAGACACCGAAATCTGGGATCCATACAGTACAATCTGTTTCCTAGGGATTAACGACGAATGTATGAACTGATTTAATTTACACATTAATGGGGTATTATATTCTCTGATGTCTCTGACTGACCAATCAAACCTTCTGTGTGAGTAAATAAGAACGAGGACGTCCTGAGCGTGCACGACGTGACTCGTGCCGTAGCGTCCTTTCTGCCGTTGGGTCGGCTCGTATCACCTGGACCTACCAGGAGGGAGGAGTTAGTGGTGCTGAGGTGCTGCCTGATGGCCTCGTCTGTTGGCAGCAGGAGCGTGAAATCCAACCCGCTGAGATCAGCTGACAGATTGTACATCTGTGAACACACACACACACACACACAGAATCACTATTAGAAAGCACTAATAGGGTTGAATTTAGACAGAGGAACAGAGGGGCAGATATCCTACCAGAGCGTGCTTTGCAAACAGAGTGAAGGTGGAGGAGTTGAGGAAGGCCATCAGGGTGGGGGGCTCGGGGGGGAGGTCTGAGCGGGATGGAGCCAGAATCTGATCCCACCCGAAACGAATAAACGACAGTCAGGGTTGCAGTTCATCGGCACCAAAGATACAAAATGAACCCTCAAAAGCGCCTGTGGAGCTTCGCGTCGCGTTCAAGGTCTCATTTAATTATCTGATGAAATTCCTTCACACTTAGAAATGAGGAAAAGCTTTGAGGACGACGCCGTCGTTCAGCTCGACGCACCGGTTTGCCGAGTGCACCGGGTCTGGGCTCCTTCCATGAGGACTCTTACCTGGTCGACGGCGTGGATGTAGCCATTGATCGCAGGCAGGTTGGGTTTTTGGATGGACGAGTTTCCAATGCGGACCACCTGAAACAACACACAGTCTGTTCCTGTTCATGGTTCGTTTCTCGGTTTGTACGTTGAGAGCAATAAAAGAACCCTAGTCAAACCCCCCCAGTTCTGATAATTGTAGCTCAAATAAAGACCATTATGACCCATTTAACCCACAAAACATGGGACATATTGTTCTACCTTTGGTTCTTTACCGTATCGTATTGGTATAAATAATAATGGTTGATAAACATTTCCTTCTCTGAGGGAAACCCTGGTGTGTTTAACGAGGCCTGACAACATACTCGCTGTGATGTTTGAGGCCGCGTTGCAGACGCGTGAAATGAGTGTCTGCACCAGGAGCTGAGCTTCACGCCTGCAATGTGATGCTAATACAATAAGCATTTAATGCTGCAATGTGTGAATAACTTGTACACTGTCAGCACTATATGAGGAGCTGCTTAGCCCTCAGTCCAGAGAACCAAGAAGCACAAGCAGGAATCTCCCCAAAAGAAGAAAAAACCAGGATCCTCCCAGATGTAAATCCACCGTCTGTAACGTTCCCGACATTCTTACCCCGCTGCTGTTGCTGACCTCCCAGGAGGTCGAGGGGTCCAGGGTGGCCAGCTTGCGGCCCGCCATTGAGACCAGGTCTTCCACGGAGTAGATCCCCGGCAGGATGTGGGCTCTGCAGCAGAGGGGAAACTAGTTTCACCGAACACAAACTCAGATCTCCATCTTCAGGGTCTTCTTGAGGAGACTGACCGCAGGAAGTGAGGCAGGTGGTGTCTGCCGGTCCAGAACTTGTCCGGAGCTGAAGTCATGTTCCTCACAGCTTTATTGGACGGGACAAACACCGTGATGTTCCCACTCAGGTCAGCAGAGAGGTGACTGTACATCTGACAGCACACACACACACACACACACACACACAGATAAAACATGAATCATCTTTGTGTCATATCGGCTAATTTAAATCGCTTTATTAATGTAGTTTGATCTTTCACACACCTGAGTGAGTCGGTAGAACAAGAACAGGTTGATGTTCATGTCCAGCTCCTGCAGAGATTACATTTTTTCAGGCGTTTGACGAAGGACAGTTTGGAAACGGGGGACAGGGAGAGATGTTTATCGCATGGAACACAAACAGCTCCAAAGGACACGCACCTGCAGGATCGACCCGAAGCAGATGGTCCCGTCTCCGGCAAAGCCGTCGGGACAGGTGCAGGTGTGAGTCCCGCCCCCTTCAGAGGGCTGACACTTTGCCTGAGCGTGCAGCAGAAAGGGACCATGGGAAATGCAATTACACCGATCAATCCTCCCGTTTCATGAATGAGTTTACACTCATGAGCCAAGTGAACGTGGATGAAGAACTCGTGTGTCTGCATGCAGTCATGTCACGTGTCCTACGTGTGTGTGTGTGTTTACCATGTCATGGCAGCCTCCGTTCTTCTTCATGCACGGGTTAACGAGGTCACACACAACACCGTCACCCATGTAGCCCGTCTTACAGACGCACTCACTCTGCAAACACACGGGCAGAAAGACACACACATAAACAGCGCTTACACAATATGTACAGCCCGACTAACTAGTAACTAATTAATAGACAACAGGAGATGATGACAGTAGCAGATCATATAGACGTGCATCCCAAACAGGGAAATAACAAAAGGAAAAAGTCCTCCATCATTTCATTGGCTGTTTGACTGACGATCAACGATCGCCGGGGCTTATTGTCCGTCATCGACCGCCGTGAACCGACCTGTCCGGGTCCGATGTGGTTGCAGTCGGCGTTGGGGCTGCAGCCCCCCCTCCCCTCCAGCTGACAGTTGTTGAGCTCCACGCACACTCTGCCGTCGCCGGTCCAGCCCTCCATGCACACGCACGAGGCGTTACCGGGAGCCACGTACACGCACTCCGCCTGCAGAGGACGTGACAAACCATCAGATCATCTTTTTTTCTTTCCGCTGAAGGGGATTCAGCTCGACTGTTTTGGACCGCAGGAGCTTTCCTTTTCTTTTGCTCAAAGTTGCTAAAGTTGCAAAGAAATGAAATCTATTTGGTAAATATGAACGTAATAATGTACTACAGAAAAACACAGATTTATCTCTTTGTATGAAGTTAAACCAACTTAAAATCCTATTCATGATTGAATAGATTGAACACTTTGCTGTTGGGATATTCAAGGGTGTGTATCAGATTATTTTGCAGTCAATGGGAAATAATTGACACACACGCACACACACACACGCACACACACAAGCAGTAAGTCTCACGTTGAGGTGGCAGCCTCCGCGGCCGCTCTTCAGGCAGGGGTTGATGGCAGAACAGGAGTGACCGTCACCGTCGTATCCATCTCTGCACAAACACCTGGTGCGACGCACACAAACACACACTTTGAAAAACAAACGGCGCCGACAATTTCTTGCTGTTCAGACCGACATCAGTGCCGTCATGGCATGACTGACGTGTCTCCAGCAACTGGCTTAGAAATGAAAAACTGCCCGCGGAGTAGAAATCAACAGCGGTAAAACTGGCGTGAACATGATCCCAACTAATACGAGCGGCGTTGGACGCGGTCGACCCTGCCGGGTTGTCGTGGCGACGGTGGGGCCTCACGTGGTCTGCAGCCCGCTGTGCGTGCAGTACGCGTGCACGTGGCAGTGCGCCTCCAGTCCGTCAGAGTTGCACGGCGTCGCCGCCTTGTCACAGTTTTCTCCGGAGAACCCTTCCGCACAGGATCCTCTCCGACACACGCCGCCGCTGCCTGGACGGTTGTCACACACGCCGTGCATGCAGCGACACACTGAAGACGCACGCACACACAAACACACACACACACACACACATTATGTGGAAAAGGTCCTCGGTCACAGAAGCGGGTCAAGGTCACAACAACGTGCTGCACCAACGCAATCACTCCACAGTTACGGCGTCCGTTGCTCGCCGGGGGGCGGAGGAGATGTTACCTTCATCACATTTTTCTCCATGCTGGGATGGATCCACACAGATGTGGCAGGCGAACCCCGTGACCCCCTTTTAACAGCTGCACGAGCCTTCCCCTTCCATCCCGTCAAAACACTGCGTTTGGTGGGAGGAAAGGGGTTGTGGAGGGGGGGGGGGGGGTGTATGAATAAAAAGCCATGAGTTGACAAACGCTGCGGGGACACAACACGTGAACGTGGCTCACCGTTCCTTTGTCGTAGCAGGGATGCTGGAATCCTCCGATACACGGCTTACAGTCCGGACCATAGAAACCTTCACAGCACTGTGGTACCTGCACCCCCCCCCCACACACACACACAGACACACACACACTTCATGACTTCATGTAAGACAGCGGCGAGCTTTAAACTCTGATATATATCCCTGAAATCTGTTCCTCCCTGGGTGAAAGCTTTTGCACGTCAGTAAACCAGAACAATTGAGAACAGAAGTCATCTTTAACCCCGTGAACATCTTCTCGTTAGAAGGCGACGCGACTGAGTCTCACCCTTTTGGTTGCGTTGCAAAATTTGGCGCAGCCTCGACTGAGCGTGGGCCTGAGGGGAGACGTGACGTAATCACAGCCGACCTGATGTCTGTCCTGGAGACACACAGATTCAACGCCATGACAAAGAGGACACGTCTGAAACAAGCGAAAGGATTTCGCCGAAATATGGATTCAGAGCGAATGCAGGGAATTAGAATTCTTGGCCTCAACAGTGTTTTTCCTGGAGAACAACCTACATTCCCATACAGAAAAATAGCATATTAGACTTGATTAGGTTAGTGTCACATTGCCTCTCTCCACATATTTGCTATTTTTAGTAAATAACACATGAAATCCCCCACAGGATGCAAGTGTTGATGATGTTTTACCATTTCAGTGGTGCCGTCTGGACATTTGGTGTCATAGAGGTAACTGCACTGAACACACGGACCCTGAAAACAAACCGCGGGGACGAAGAAGTTAATGAAAGCTGCTCGGTTGGACTTCATGGCGGCCTCCTGTCTCTGTTCTCCGCCCCGCTCTGCTCACCACGATGACTTCGCTGTTGATGACGTCACAGCGGTGGGGCAGGATGGGGAGGATGGAGGGCGGGTACAGAAGCCCGTCAATCATGTGGATGATCCCGTTGGACGCCACGATGTTGGTGCTCGCCAGACGGACGCCCTTTTCACCCAGTAGGATCTCACCCTGGAGAAAGAAGGCAGGGGGGACGGGGGTGGAGGTGTCTTTTCTTTATATAAACTGCTAATGTCCACTGTAAATAAGACAAGTCACAGAATGAGAAACGCTGTCCAACATCAGAGACACTTACGTCATTGGACACGCTGATGGAGACAATCTGATTGGCCATCGTCTGGATCTGCGGGAGAGCAGCTAACTCGTCGACCGTCAGCTACAGACAGATTCCAAAACCATCATCAACAACTTCATTTCCCCTCAGAGAGGTGTCGTAATCAGCAGACGAAGAGCATTTATTGTACGTCTTCTTCACAAGCAAAGTAAAGCAAGCATGTAGAACCGATGGCTCGGTGGAGGGTCGAGGGGTCGTCTTACCACAGCATGGGAGAAAACGTGGTGTCTCAGAAGCTCCTGAAGTTTATATTTGGCCTTGAAAAAGAGAAGAATATCATAAAGAATCCCTTATTATCCTGCATTAGCATGATGATAAGGCGTAACAACGGGGAGCTGGGGTGGTACTCGGTGTGAGATCTGGTTTGAGAAAAATACATAGTTGACTTTGTTGATAAAACCTGCATGTTACCTCCAATAATATCAAATCAAATCAAATCAACAGATGAAAACTGTTAACTGAACCTACTTCGTGCAGCATGTACAAGATGCTGCCGTCTCTGGATTTGTCCACAGCCTCGTTGGTGGGGACGAACACCGTCAGGGGACCGGGACCTCGGAAGGGGGGCGGCGACCCGCAGTTCTGCCACATACACACACACACACACACACACACACACACACACACACACACACACACACACACACACACACACACACACACACACACATTGTCCAATTAGAATCAAAGGATTAAGCGTCAATTACTGGAAGTGAGGAGATTTTTCTGTCTCTTATTGAGACGTCTGCCATTGCTTTTGTGCGCTGGCGTTTGGAAGCCTAAAGGTGGCGGTTGGTGTTTTGGTAATCTTTGATTTCGGTGGCCGGCATCTTCTCTTTGTTGCAGTGGCGGTGATCACATCTAGACTGCGGGACACAGTGACCTGTCAATCACAAGAGCCCCGCCCTTACGCAGCCCTCACCAAATGCTCTATTTGACTGTAGGGGGACAACAATTTACTAAACGAACATCGTTCATCGTCCTAAATCCAGACACCCGTGTGATGTAATTGGCCTGAAGAAAATACTCACATCCACCAGCGACAGGAAGCGGTTGTATTTCGGATCCTTGGTCAGAATCTCTCTGATCGTCTTATCAGCAAACTGGACACAAGAAGCAGAGCGAATGGGCGAAATTCATTTTGAATGACTTCAGCAAAAATGCTCCAGTGTAAGAATGATATGTGGTACTTTGTTCATTTCTTTCAGGGAGTTTTCCCGTTGGTGGTCACAGTTGAACTCACCTGTTCGTCTCGAGTAGACCTGTCAGAGAGGGTGGTTGTGATTGGCCGGTCGATGACGTGGATGATCCCATTGGCCGCTGGCAGGTCTTCCTGGATGACGGTGTACGGCCTGCTGGGGTTATCCATCAGGATGAACCTCTAGGCGGAGCAGACAGAGACGCAGTCGCGGCTTATGCGCTCAAAGATGCACGAATACAGAAGGCAGAAATGACTTTGACCCCTCGTCAATCACCGGATTTCTTAAACTTTATGGAAACAAAAGTTTACATAAGTTTACAGATGTTTACATAAAATGTGCCTACAGGGAACGTTTCACTGAAGAAAGGAAACATCTCGAAACATCTCGATAGTTTATATATATATATATATATATATATATATATATATATATATATATATATATATATGTAGTCTGTACTGTGTATAAAACAACGCAAAACAAAAAAAAACTCAAACACATGATCTCCCATCAGTCGACTTTATCGCCACACATCCTCCGTTTCTAATGAAATTCATTTTCCTTCGCCTCAAGGTTCAAGGTCACATGACTTGCAACAAGCTCCGCCCTCTCTGACGCAACACAGACCAAAAGGAAACACACAGTCAAGACGAGGCAGAGACGGACAACTACGTTCACTGACAACTACTGTGAAACGACCAGCGACTGCTGCAGCAGAGAAGACTGGAATTACTGGACTGAACACTTTAACCTGCTGCCGATTTCACACAGTGAACCGGGCGAGTCACGACTCAAAGCGAAAGCAACTCTCCACCCGGACCGACTTCACTTCCTGCTTGCTGCGTTTGGGGCTTCAGTCAAGGACAAAATGTCTTCCAGGTTGGACGAGGATCTCTGCTGTCCTGTGTGCTATGAAATCTATACAGATCCGGTTGTTCTGTCGTGCAGCCACAGCTTCTGCAGAGACTGTGTGAAGAACTGGTGGAGGGGGAAACAAATGCACGAGTGTCCATGCTGTAAGAGAAGATCCTCGAGGAGTGATCCACCTCGTAACTTGGCCTTGAAGAACCTGTGTGAGGCCTTTTTACTGAAGAGAGATCAGGGAGCTCCAGAGTCTCTCTGCAGTCTGCACTCTGAGAAGCTCAGACTCTTCTGCCTGGACCATCAGGAGCCAGTCTGTGTCGTCTGCAGAGAGTCAAGGAGACACACCGACCACAGATTCAAACCCATCGATGAGGCTGCTGAGGATCTCAAAGGGAAGCTCCAGAAAGGCCTCAAGCCTTTACAGCAGAAACTGAAGCTCTTTGAAGAAGTAAAAAGAAACTGTGATCAAACAGCAGCACACATGAAGGTCCAGGCCCGACACACAGAGAGGAACATTAAGGACCAGTTCAAGAAGCTTCACCAGTTTCTAGAGAAGGAAGAGGAGGCCAGGATCTCTGCTCTGAGGGATGAAGAGGAGCAGAAGAGTCAGATGATGGAGGAGAAGATGGAGGCTCTGAGCAGAGAGATAGCAGCTCTTTCAGCCACAGTCAGAGCCACAGAGGAGCAGCTGAGAGCTGAAGACATCTCCTTCCTGAACCACTACAAGGCTGCAGTGGAAAGAGTCCAGCAGCAACCCCTGCTGGAGGACCCACAGGTGCCACCAGGTGCTCTGATAGACCAGGCCAAACACCTGGGCAACCTGACCTACAACATCTGGATCAAGATGAAGAAGATGGTCTCCTACAGTCCTGTGGTTCTGGACCCAAACACTGCCGACCCAGGACTCGTCCTGTCTGAAGATCTGACCAGTGTGACATCTGGAAAAGCACAGCCGCTTCCTAAAAACCCGGAGAGGTCCAGATTCTCCTGCTCCGTTCTGGCCTCAGAAGGCTTCAGCTCGGGGACTCACAGCTGGGACGTTGCGGTCGGGAACAACGAGGACTGGGAGCTGGGCGTGTTGGGGGACAACATCCAGACGGGCGGATGCCTACACTCCGGACTGTGGAGAATTTTGTTTTCCGACAGCAAATTGACAGCGCTCTCCACTTCGGATCAAGAGAAAGATCTGCCGGCGAAGCAGAAGCTCCAGAAGGTCAGAGTTCATCTGAACTTTGAGGAAGGAAAACTTTCATTCTCTGATCTTGATGCTGACGCAGAGATACACACATTCAAACACACCTTCAGGGGCACGTTGTTCCCGTACATTTACACTGAGAACTCCCTCCCACTGAAGGTTCTACCAGTGGAGATCTCTGTGACTTCAGGAAATGCAAAGTAAGAGGTTATGAGTTTAAAACTGTGATTTACTGCAGTGAGACAGAAAGAATATGTACGTATCGACTGCAGACTGAGCTAGTACTACATAGTACATAGCGTGATAAATACTATGATGATGACAGTAGTACAATGGGAAGGTGCCATGTTTCGTATGACTGACGTCTTATGAGTCAGAAGTACATCTCTAGACTAAATAATTGATCAATAATCTATAATGCAAATAGGAAGTATTTATGGTAATGGGAAAGTGGAGGGCTGGATATTGCTTTTGGAAACCAATATCAAAATAACAGGGGTTTTTTCAGTACAGTAAAAATGAATTTATCATGTGTACTTTTGTGCTGACACTGCAAAATGATGGGATTTGTAATTTCTCGCTCTAAATGATTTGGACGCACGCATTTGATTCTTTATTATTATTGTTGCATTAACGAGACGAACATTTAGGAGTGAAATTAAAGCCGAGAGACTTATTGTTTATTATGCTGAATCATCTGCAACAGGATGTTGGAAGTTATCAGTTATCAATATATAGTACGACGTAATGACGGAAGGGGGTTTTAAATTGTGTGTGTTATGTCAAGAAAATCAATGAAACAAAAATATCTAGAGACCAAGTAGAAACCTGAATAATAAGATCTGTTTTTTCACTATATTAGGATTGTGGGACCAATACAAATTAAATTAATGGACATGCTTGTGATCAAACATCTAGACATCTTTAAGGAGTTTTCCATCACCAGGACTACAGAATTTGTTCCATCCAACGTTACAGTTTGGCTGCTGCGACTTTCAAACTTCAACATTAAAACTACTGTTTTAACATTTTAAGACGCTGGAAAAATAAATGTCTCTTCGAGTCACATCAGTTCATCAGAACTAAAACAATTTCAAATAGTGATATAGCATCTGTGAGTGAAAACCCGTTCCAGAGGCGGCGTTACCTTGTTGCCTTTGCTCCTCCACTTGGCTCCTCCGACCAGGTTTACGTCTCGTCCCTCCAGATCGCTGAAGAGGTGCTGACCCAGGATCAGGTGGTTTTTACACATCTGCTCGTCATTGACGCCCTGTGGAACCAGCGGAGGTCAGAAAGCGTGATCGTCCTCCTCTACCAGCGCTCTTCTCAAAGAAAATGTGAAAATGTTTGAATGGCCCCCCACACTCAGAGGGGTCTTCATCACGGGGACGAAGGCGGTGAAGGGCCCCATGTGGCTCAGCAGCAGCGAACAGCCTTTCTCTGGAAAAACACAAAACAGACTATTAGAAAAAGGGAAATTGTTGTGACGAGCATATTAATTCTTGTGTTTTGGCCTCACTGTTGTGTGAGTGCACATTTGAACAAATTCAAATCGGATGAACAGGAGAAAATATGTACATAATATTAAATAAAACATTACTTTTATAGAAGCTGCAAATATTTGTACGCCGATCCCTCTTGCTAACCAATTGATTAACATCTGAATCTTATCTTTTTACTTTGTTTGCTTTTTCAGTTAAAGTAAAGTCTAATCAATAAGTCGAGTGCTCAACGGGTCTTTCTTTTCGTTGTAATATTCCTGTGAAAACAGCTTCTACAGACGACTGCGACACCATTTCGGGGGATCCAGAAGGGTCACAGGTGAACTCTCTTGCACACCTGTGGCGCTCGGTGAACGCGTGTTTATTTTACCGAACATGGCGACGGATCCGGTCAGACTTTCTCTCTGGCTTCCACTCCTGTCCAGCTCTATCAGGCGCTCCATCAGGTTGCCGTAGCAACGGTGTCCGTCACCAATCTGGCCCGCCTCACACACACACCTTGAGAGGGGGGGGGGGGGGAGGGGGTTAACTGATGACACCGCAGCACATTCACAGCAAACTGTTGATTGAGTGAAGCGGCGACGTGTCCGCTTCTCCCCTCGAGGAGGCCGAGGACACAGGAAGGTTTCCGGGGGACGGACCTGTGCTGCCCGTCCGCCTCAGTGTGACACACGGCTGTGGCGTCGCAGGTGTCCGCTGAGCAGGCGGAGACCAGCTCGCAGCCGAAGGCGGCGCTGCCCCCTACGGGGGACATGCCAAACATGCACCGGCACTGGGACTGGCGGGGGACAGACAGAGGGACGGACACAGTTTCAGCGTTTAGCTGCGGTTTGGCTTCTGGACGTGACGATGCCTCGTGGGTATTTGTCCTGACGCCACGTTCTGGTTGCGGGACGCGTCTCTAACCTCGTTGGGTCCTTTGAAGACACAGACGGTTGAGTTGACGGGACACCCTCCGTTGTTCTCGGAGCAAGGGTTTCTGGGTACGCAGACCCTGCCGTCGCCCAGGTAGTCCGGCTTGCAGGCGCAGGTGACCCTTGACCCCTGTGAGGAGCACTGGGCATTTACGTCGCAATCCCTCGCTGCGCAAATACCTGATGAGGAAAAACAAAGATCCCACTCGGTCCAGAGGAGACTGGGCGATTTCTTTTTACTCCCACGACCACAAACCCCCTTGTTCATTAAAGTAAAAATAAGAGTTGCATTTTGGCTTCTGGTCCGGTTCTAGTGGGACGAGAAGCAGAGACACATTTGTCCTGGGACAAAGTTTGGTTTCAGGTGCTTTTACGACTTTGAGAAATCCACCTGAAACAACACTGGCACATTAAACTAAACATCCGGGAACCAATGAACCAGAAGTTGTGCTTTTACTTGCGCATTTGCCGGCGGCCGTCCTCCTGTAGCCGGGCAAACATTCGCAGCCGGCGGCGTCTGCGTCTCCTCTGCAGTACGAGTTCGGGCTGCAGCTGCTGCACCTGGTGCTCACTGCCAACCACAGCGCACACAGCAGGGTCATCACAAGTCCACACTTCTAGCGCCCCGTCCCGCTTAAACAGAGCGCGATGCTTGATTTCACATTGTTGAAACGCCCACTCAGTGGAGAACCTGCAGCGATAAGGCGAAGTTCGACCTGGCTGATGTTACTTCATCTCGTTGGGTCTCACCTTGGTCACAGCGCGTCCCGCTGTAGGGCGGCTGACACAAACACTGTCCATCGCCTTCTGGGCCGTTACTGCACACACCGTGTGCACAGTCACACACTGTGACACACACACACACACACACACAAACACAGTGTGTTTCAAACAACTGTTGGACATTTTTGCATTTTTGCAACAATTTGAAGATGTGTTTTTTTTTAGAGTCGACCTTTATCGCACTTTTCTCCAAATCTGTTGTGATCTCGACACTCCTGACAGGCGAAGCCGGAGAAGCCGTCCTGCGGAGGGAGGGACAAATACCACCGAGACGTCAACGACGCCAAAACTTCCCCAATGTGCTAAAAACACGCCCGAGGCGCAGAGCGACCGGCTGATTAACGTTATCGTTCTTTGAATGAAGGAGGAGACTCGAAGACAGACTGACGTCACAGACGCAGGTCCCGTTGCCGACGTCTCCGTCCACACAGGTTCCATGGAAGCTGCAGGGCTTCCCCGACCAGCTGGGACAGGCTGCAGACAGACAGACGGATCAACAGTGAGACAGGCAGTCAGACAGGCTGCAGATCGACGGACGGATCAACAGTGAGACAGGCAGTCAGACAGGCTGTGGACAGACAGACGGATCAACAGTGAGACAGGCAGTCAGACCGGCTGCAGATAGACAGACGGATCAACAGTGAGACAGGCAGTCAGACAGGCTGCAGATCGACGGACGGATCAACAGTGAGACAGGCAGTCAGACAGGCTGTGGACAGACAGACGGATCAACAGTGAGACAGGCAGTCAGACAGGCTGCAGACAGACAGATGGATCAACAGTGAGACAGGCAGTCAGACAGGCTGCGGACAGACAGACGGATCAACAGTGAGACAGACAGACGGATCAACAGTGAGACAGGTAGTCAGACAGGCTGCGGACAGACAGACAGATCAACAGTGAGACAGACAGACAGATCAACAGTCAGACAGGCAGTCACACAGGCTGCAGACACAGACGGATCAACAGTGAGACAGGCAGTCAGACAGGTAAATTATCACTGTGAGTCATTGGATTGTTTACTTCAGTTTCTCTGATGCTCAAAAATCTCCAAAACGTAATTTTATCTCACGTTTGTCACAGTGTAGATTTGAATAAGTTTGGATTATGTGGTAATAAGAACATTAACAATAATGTGAAATGTAAGCACTTGCATTGACTAACGTAAAGTAGTCGTTAAACCAATTGAAAACAACCCCAAAACGCTAATGCTAATTAGCTAATAGCTAAAACGCTACTAATGATCTGATGACTCTGCATGAGAATAATGACTTAAGTTAAATTGCGTGAACGTTAGCTTCATGTGTCAACTCTTAATTGAGAACACGTGCAAAGGATAGTTTATTGTAAACATCAGGGCATTTAACATGAACATAATTCACACACATTTATCTGAAACAGAAAATCCTTGATTTAAAACTAGTAACACTGACGTTATAGAACCTGCTTCAGTTAAACAAGCTAACGTTAACCGGTCACTAACACGCTAACCCTCTCTAAGTAGAAATAAGCTCTTTATCTTTTACTTATTGTCGGAACTCACAACTGAAAATGCAAACACAATATAAAGCTGTCGTTCATTTGAATTTTTTACCTGTGACAGAAAATAGGAGATGTGCTAATGGCGATACACAATTTAAATAACTGACCAACCAATCACAACTACAGGAAAACTGAGCAGTGACGCCTCTTGTTAAGTCTTTTCTTTTTTAAATATAACGCTTTAATTTTCTTTTTTTTGTGAAACTTAAATAAATTGGATTAAAAAAAAATTGATGTTGATATTTTCAAAGGTGTTCCTCTGGATATTTAAAAGAGTATTATCTTTCTTATTTATTTGTCACTCACAAAAAAACTATTTTCATTTAATTTAGATAGCGATAATGTCCAAAAAGACAAAAAAGTATATAATCATTTTGAGGTTTTAACCTCAAAAGAAGAAATTATATATACATTAATTTTCTGTAAGTCAACACTATTCAAAAGTTAAAATTCCAAATTTGCTACATTATTTTCTACTAACAAATAACATATATATATAAATATTCAGGATTATTACCATAAATGTAGGGCTGTGTAATTATACATGTTATATAGTAATCTGTGTGTGTGTGCGTCTTACAGAGACAAAGAGGTCCCCAGTGCTGTGGGCAGCATTGTGGCTTCATGAACCCCTTCGTACAGACGTGCTGACATCCATCCAACACCACCTCCCTGCCGCCGATCTCCACCACGTAACTGCAGCACACACAGAACATGAGATGAAGCTTCATACTACTACTACTACTACCACTACTAGTACTACCACTACTAGTACCACTACAAACCATTTACTGAGCTAAAGTCTGTGTGTGGATAGTGTGGAACAATCCTGCGCTGCTCTGAAGGCCTGCAGGTAGGCAGTCTCTGCTCCTACCTGCAGTCTACTCGTACCTGTAGTCAATTTGTACCTGCACTCTACTCGTACCTGTAGTCGACCCGTACCTGTATTCTACTCGTACCTGCAGTCGACTCGTACCTGTATTCTACTCGTACCTGCAGTCGACTCGTACCTGTATTCTGCTGGTACCTGTAGTCTACTCGTACCTGTATTCTACTCGTACCTGTATTCTACTCGTACCTGTATTCTGCTCGTACCTGTATTCTACTCGTACCTGCAGTCGACTCGTACCTGTAGTCTACTCGTACCTGTATTCTACTCGTACCTGTAGCCTACTCGTACCTGCACTCTGCCCGTACCTGTAGTCTACTCGTACCTGTATTCTACTCGTACCTGTAGCCTACTCGTACCTGCACTCTACCCGTACCTGCAGTCGACTCGTACCTGCACTCTACCCGTACCTGCACTCTGCTCGTACCTGTAGTCGACTCGTCCCTGTATTCTACTCGTACCTGTAGTCTACTCGTACCTGTATTCTACTCGTACCTGTATTCTGCCCGTACCTGCAGTTGACTCGTACCTGCACTCTACCCGTACCTGCAGTCGACTCGTACCTGCACTCTGCTCGTACCTGCATTCTACTCGTACCTGCACTCTGCTCGTACCTGTAGTCGACTCGTCCCTGTATTCTACTCGTACCTGCAGTCGACTCGTACCTGCACTCTGCTCGTTCTACCCAGCTCGCGGTTGGTGCTTACCTGCAGTTGGCGGTGCCCGCGCTGCGGAAGCCGGGGGGGCACCTGTTGATGGCGGCACAAGAAGAGCAGGAGGTGTGAACGTCCAACCTGTCTGAGATGTCACACCGACCAGGAGGAGTCTGAGGGGGCAGAGGAGCTTTCATCACTCATACGATCCCGTACAAGTCCCTTTCCCACGGACGACTGAGGGAAATCTGTTGTTATTGTGTCCCAGGGGACACACGTCCACCTGGAAAATGTTTTCAAGAAAAGCCAAAGCAGTAGAAGACAAGTCATTGTATCTGTGGTTTACATCATACTGAGGAGTTAGTCATATTTTATTGGTCAAATGTTTGGCACGTTAACTTTAAACCTGCAAAGGAACCAGGTACTACACTACAAATTAGTCCCCTATCTTTAGGGTACAAGAATAATTTGATGGAGCTTTCCAAAGAGGCATTATTATTCTGGGGTCTTGAAGACTTCAAACAGAAGGTCACTCCTAAAATGTTCCCTCCATCCACAACTTTTCATTCATTCCCTGATCAAAAACAACGTTGATTTCTGTACAAACATGCAAAGCTATCGGAGGAGAAGTAGAGCGTCTCGCTGTGACAGGAGGCGGGTTACCTGTTCTTGCTGTGAGGTTTGCAGGCAGAGCAGCAGCAGCAGCAGCAGCATGGCTCAAAGTGTCACATCCAAAGGGGGGTAATGGGGAGTTATGGGGGGATGAATCCACCAACCCGGCGTCTTCCTCACTTAGTAAAAAGAGAAAATCAGTGGAAAAAAGTAGAGAATGTCTTTCAGGCTGCGCCGGTTGTTCCCATCGGTGTTCTCCTCCGAGTCCAAACGCTCTAACACGACATGCTGCGGCGCTATCTACAGGAAAAACACACAACACACAACATCCTCGGTGCAGGAAAAACAAAACTATCACACACAACAATAGAACGCTGTCAAAAATAAAAGAAACGGACTGAAAGTCACCTGCTGTTAAAAAGAAGCACTGGGAACATGAAGAAGGATCCAGGCGGGTTGTGATTATCAGCAGACAGGCGTTCTCAGTTCTGAAGGCAACATGAACTTCTGTTCAGTAACGAGCGAGCAAACGGCAGCGAGTGAACGCTCGGCTGCGTCCGGCGAGGCGGAGAGGCTGGAAGGACTGCTGCCGTCACGTCTTTCCTCTCTAAGAGAACAAAAAAAAGAAAAGGACAACAACAGAAAGTGGCAAAGTGGGAACCTCCCAGCAGAGGTCATCTCCTCCCAGTACTTTTGGCAGGATTAGTACGCGTAGGAGCAGCAGTTGCAGTACTCGCAGTAGTAACAGCAGTATTCTCCAACCTGTATCATGCTATAGCCCCCCTGGGGGGGGGAGAAGTACTCAGATCTTTCAAAATACCACCTTCTAAAAATGTCCTTTCAAATGTAAAAGCCAAACGTACTTAAATGATCAAAAGTGAAGTACTCACGTAAAATCGCCCATTTATAATACATGTGAAACCTTTTTATTGTTGCAAGATGTTAATTAGATGTCCAAACAAGATTACAGGGAGCTGCATATTGTTATAACATGACATTGGAAGAGATGTTTGTAATTCAACTGAAGTGGATTTACTCGAGCTATTCGGCCTTTCTGAGAGAGAGAGAGAGAGAGAGAGATTGTGAGAAATCTCCTCTCTTCCTGACAGGAAGTTTTGGGCGGATTTCCTCTCCTGCTCGTCCCAGCGGAGCGCTTTGGGGCGGATTTTACTCGTCAGCTGACACAGAGCGAGAAGGAACACGCGTAAAAAGCTGAGTTTCTTTTCCTGTCCGAAATCCACTTGTTTTAAGAACCCGATGACAGACGCAGCAAGGTGAATCTGACCCGTGCGAGGGTCAAAGGTCAAACAGAACAATGGCAGGAAGCTGGCGGACAATACACCGGTGCGGTTTGCTGAGGTTTACTGCCTGGCTCACTTGCAGGGAGATTTTAAACAGCAGCGTTTGCGGTTCACATTATAGACGCTATTCAAGTTATTTTATTTCCATCTCATTTTGTCATTTAATTATGAAAATTAAGACCATTTTCATTAAGACAATATTTAAAAGTGAGTGTGACATTTTTGGAATTTCACAGAAATTCACTCTTCAAACCTACAAGACGACGTCTTCTAGTTCTACTCAGAACTGCAACTGTTGCTGCTGCAGATCAACCACAAGCATTACAGGTTTATGTTGACAGTATTCTATGTTTACCTGTTTACTTGTTTAGTCATTTGCAGCCCTGTGTACTTGCATCCTGGTCGTGTTGTCCTTGGGGATTGTAGTGTCTCTAAAGCAGCTGATAGGTTGAGATAACGTGGGCCTGTGCGTGCGAGGGTAACGCGCTCCGTCATTCACACTGATAACACACACACACACACACACACACCGATAGCGTCCACATACGTCCTTTTGACTTGTGCCACGTGGTCACATGTCCGTGATGCCATGAGACCCACTGCTTAAATACAAGACAAGTGGGTTGAAACATGCGAAGGACACCCGAGATATCGGTTATCTTTGAGATAATGGCAGTAACACAAACACACACACACACACACACACACACACACACTGCTGACTCATGTAAAAAGAAAGAAAACATGAATCGAGGGGTAAGGATGGAAGGAGAGAGAGGGGGGCCGGTGGCAAAGGTCGTGGACGTCTCTGGGCCCGCGTCCCCGTCCAGACCTCGGGGACGGCCTCCGCTCAGCACTCTGAACCGGAAGCACAGACGAGGAAACAACAAGAACAGAGGAAGCGAGAAAGGATTTACCATCGTCCCTCTGGTGAGTCTCTGCTCCGACTGCTCATCAAAGGAATTTAACGCTGGACAACCGGAGAAGATAAATGTGCTTAAACTGAACGAACTGATCTGGAAACAAACCACGAGGTTCCATCACTTATTAGAAATGTTGACGCTCTCGTTTTTGCTGTCTGCATGTTTCCCCCCACTAAGTACACTGTTTTAAATGCAGTGCTCTTATCTTAATGTAATTACTGCTATGACGGAACAAAACATGGCTTCACAAAAAGAAAGAACTTAAAGAAAGAAAAGAAAGAAGAATTACATCATGAAGGTTCAATTCTAATGGGAACTTGAAAAGCTTTATATTAATTGGGCATAAAATATTATAAAGTGAATTGTTCAAGGACGTGCAGCATTTCCTTAGAAAATTATTTACAACTTTCACTGCGAGAAAAAGTCTACAACCTCACAATGGAATCTTCTGAACTGCACCGCGAACTTAAAACGTTTTTGATGAACTCGATGCTGCTCACAGACCAACGGCACACAAAACGCCAGTCAGATGTGGTTTCTTGTCTCAAGAGTTCCTCTACGGAAGCAGAGCCTGCACACGAGCCGCCGCCGGTCAGGTGAGCCGGTGGCGAGCGCAGGTCAGCTGCACAGTTCTGCTGATCACACTTCCTCGTACAGTATCTGGTCGGGGCAAGTGTCCCCAAAAAAGGAAATCAGCAGAGTTGAATGATGAGCGGCTCCGACAGACAGGAAATAGAGGAAGTGGGTCGAGTTGAAAGTTGGCGGTGCGTTTCCTGCTTCAGAACCGCCGAGTCAACAAAATCTCACCAAGTGTGGAAGTGCTGACGGGAACCTTCTGTCTTTTGAATGGTTTATGTGTTCTACAACGCTTGTTTATCGACAAGACTTGAAAAATACTCACGTTATGAGTCAAAATACTATAAACTATAACTGAAACGTCCCTTAAATTAACACCAATGACTTAAATATTTACAGGAATGTTTAATTTGAATTAATAAAATGATAAACCCATAATAGTGTTTCACATTGGCCAAAATGTAGTTCAGAGAAACACTTCTGTATTTATCGGCATAAATTTTCAAAACATTTTTTTACTAATATTTTTTCCCACATCTCATTTCACATATTTCTTTCAAAGCAATTTGACCCAATTTCTTCTTTTTCAACCCAACATATTTGGACTATATTTCTCATTCTGAATCATTCTTATTAAATACAGTTTGGGACTATATCTATTTATCTTGACTTGCACTGACGTCTGTCTGCTCAATAAATATTTTGTATGCATTTTGTATGCAATTCCTGTCATTTTGTCTTTTTATATAATGTAGATCATCAGGTTTCATGTATTATCTTAAGCTCTTTGAATCAGCTTGCATCGTTTTATCTCCCGTTTGTGGTCAAATCAACGGCTGCTAACTCACTCAACCAAGCAACACGTGGTGCCTCGTCAGCCTAATGGGCAGACTGGTTTTGTGGTTCAGTCGAACTGCAAAGATACGTGAAGAACTCAAACTGCTGTCGCAAAACCAAACGAATTGTTTCATTTTCACTTTAATTCAGTGTTATTCCAATGAGCAAGAAAAAAACAACATGTAAACAGTGGTGTGTGTGTGTGGGTGTGTGTGTGTGTGTGGGGCGCGCTTCCCATTTGTCAATGATATGCAACAATAAATGATGTGCAACAACAAAAAATACAATTAAATTATAAACCAGAAATGTATAAAAATTAAATAGACACTCAATGACAATACTAAATATGATGTATGACGAGTTCATTCTTGAAATTTCATCAGAACTTGTTTAGTACAAAATCTACGTCAGGATGGAAAACATCCTTCTGTCTCAAAACATACTTATATTAATAAAAAGCTTAAATGTACAGTTCAATAATACTGCGTCATTAATTACAATGTGCAAGAAGTAAAATGTTCAGAGAGCAGATTGTGCCGAGCAGCGGGGTGTGTGTGTGTGTGTGTGTGTGTGTGTGTGTACGCTACTTGAATCGACCTCCATCACAATCAGACTGTGCAAACGTAAAAAAGAAATTTGGTTTTAAGAGCAACTTAACATAAATAACATCAGAAATCAGACAGCTTTGGAGTCGTTGGTGAGCGGATTACTGGTTTGTTTGATGACAACCGGCTAGTAGTTTCCCCCAGCTTCCAGTCTTTGTGCTAAGCTAGGCTAACGACGTCCTGGCCCTATACTTGTGCTGGACAGAGGAGACATCGTCTCATACGACTCTGAAGAGGACAAAGAACAGGAGGATTTACAAGAAATTCGTTTTAAGGTATTGATTCAAGACTAGTGTAACGATCATCTGCGGCGCCCCCTGCTGTGCGACTACGGTCCGTCTTTTAGCAAAGCACTCAAAAAAAAAAAAAAAATCTGTGAAACTCATCGTTGAAAAAGACTCGTTGGAAAGACTCCTTTCAAGAAAAGTGAGGTTGGGCCAGAAACTCCCATTGTTTCGGCTCAGTGTGTCTGCAGAGTCCAATTGTTGTTATTCTTTAATAACAGACAATCAAACGGTGTGATTCTCCCTTTCAAACAAAGTCAAACTAAAGGACCCATGGGTGCTTCGAACAAAGTGCTCCTCCGATGCAACCGGCCACACCCACTTTGCGGCCAGGTGATTGGCCAGGTGTGTGCAGGTATGAGAGCAACCAGGTCTTACAAACACCATTTACTTCACTGCCGACGCGACTGCTTCGGTCTCTTTTCATGTGAACAACAGAGCAAATGGGGTCTTTAAGGGGGCGTTGTCGTCGTCCCCATTTGACCAGGATAAAACGTTTGATGCATACAGACTCTGCATGTCTACTTAAAATAAAGATCAGATTTAAATAAGGGTGCTAAGCAGAGACCGGTGTTCAGCTTGGCCACGTAAATATTAGGCTGTAATGCTGCGTGCTGAGCCAGTCACCCCGTGAGCTCCACAGGAAGCTCCCGGCTGCACAGCGCCTCCCACTGGCGGGCGAGGAGGGAGATGAGCCTCTCTCTGCTCTCGGCTTCCGGGACGAAGACGCACCACTGCACCTCTCCCTCCGCGCCGCTGCTGGCTCCGCCCCCCCCTCTGGGCAGGGCCTCCTCCCCCTCCCCCGCCGCGGTGGCAAAGTGGTCCATGGTGAGGTGGCAGAGCAGGTCGGGGCCGGGCAGGTCGTCGAAGACCAGGGTGAGAGCCTGGGGGTAAGTCTGGTACCCCAGCAGGACCCGGTCCAGGTCCCGGATCCTCCGGGCCTCCCGGAGCTGGTAGCGGTCCCTGCAGGAGGACATGAAGAGGAAGACCACGATGAGGAGGACGACAAATCATTCTAATCTCAACTCAAAAGGCCCGGTGCTTTTGTGTTGTCATGGTTACGTCTGCTATTGTGGATGAAGGCTGAGTTACATTTCCCTCAGGTGGATCCTTTGCTTTGCTCTGACTAAATAGTCAACACACACACACACACACACACACACACACACGCCTCTTTCCCTGCAGCAGACACAAAATAGGGAGCAGTTTTTGTGTCATTTAGCTTTGTCCCAAATTAGTACACTGCCACATTAAGGGCGACGTGTTGGACCGCTTAATGTTTGTCGCTCTGCCTCCACTAGGAATGGGATTAGGTGACCCCCCCCTCCTCAGATAAAGACGTACAACAGTTTTTAAAAAAGATGGTGGAGGCGCGCCGGGCTTCCACTGTGCTCACCTGGAAGGTGGTTCTTTGGCGAAATCCGGCAGAGGATAGCTGACGTAGTCTTCCTCCAGCAGGAACACGTCGGTGCTGGTCAGGATCAGAGTCCTGGGCTGGAGCACCGGCGACGGACCGGAGCCGGAAACCGAGGGGGAGGGGCCTGAGAGGGTGGAGCCGTGGCTGGGAAGACCGCCGGGCATTTGGACCTGGAGGAACGAATAATTAAGAGTTAGAACAGCGAAGACCTCACACAACGCAGAGTGGCGTCTCCACTAAAAACACCACCGCCCACGTCGGGGTGTCGTTTCTCGATGTCACTGTTAAGACACCACATTCCCCATGAAACCGAAAACTGGTTATTAATTAGTCCTTCTCCCAAGCAGTTCGGATTAGGAGCCAAACTTGCCCCTGCACCTTAGTGTTGAACAGCGGAGCCCCCCAGGGAAGTGTCCTCGGCCCCCCTCATCTTCACGCTGTACACCCAAGACTGTAACCCGAGCATGGCGAGAAGTCTGCTGGGGAGGTTCTCCAATGACCGTACAGGTCACCGGACGGACTATAAACAACGTTTAGACTAATAGTCCAAAAAATATTGGAAATTTGACACCAAAACATGTCAATCAATGCGCCGACGTGGGAGAGAATGCACAGAAGGTCCGTGAGGACGGAGACGTCGATGCTCGTCTGGAAATAGTTAAAGCTCGTCGACGCCCCGTAAAATGACAAATTACAAAAAAGGAAGAGGCGCCGACCTGGAAGACCAGCAGGTACAGCAGGACGTTGAAGGAGCGAGAGGAGGAGGACGGCGCGCTGCCTGCAGCCTTCCTCTCAGCCACGATGAAGGTCAGGTCTCCCATCTCTTCCTCACTCGGGTAAATGAACTTCACCTTGCTGCTGTGGACCAACTCGTAGTTCTGCATCTTTCCTGCAGGTCGAGACAAAAAAAAAAAAATCAGATCGGTCGTGTTTGGACAAACATCCGGGTCGATCTTTGTTTTTATTTGCACACGCCTCCACAAAATGGCGCCCAAGCGACGATCAGGCACGAAGGCGTTTATGCTCGGAGAGCTGCGCTGTAGCGGGAGAACGAACAGTGAAGTTTGAAGAAGCAAAAAGGCAACAAGTTCTTAAAACGACTCAAGCTTTAAAATGCATTGAAACAAAAAAGGTTGAATATCCTGGAAACAATTTATAATTGAGATATTTAGTGTTTTATTGCTTCTCTGTAGACCTCAATGTGAACTCTGCAAAGGACAGATAAATATTCTCAGCCCAACCTTTTGATCTCATTTGTTCCCGCAGGCGAAACTACACTATTTAAACCTGATAGTTTTCTTTTAGGACTAGACACTCTTCTCTGTGTCACACAGTACTGGATTATAGTTTTTGGCAGGTTGTTTAATTTCTGTATATTTCCTATTAAAAACAAACAATGTTAAACATCTTCACCATATTTTCCTTCCAAATATATTTCCTACGGAATAAGCAGATGCAAAGGGATGATGTTGGTCGCTGAGTTTCTGTTATTTCCTCCACCGAATATTATTCCCACTACAAACGTTTGGTCGGACGTCGTGGGACCCGGTTCCCTCTCGGCGTGCTTACCGGTGCTGGTGTCGGTGAACTGGGAGTAGAAGTCCTGATCCGACGGCTCCGGAGGGGGAAGCTGCTGCTGCAGCAGACTGAGGGCCGACATGAGCTCCCGGAGGAAGACGCCCGTCCCGTAGCTGTCCCGGCTGAGACAGCACACGATGTGGTGGGCCGACCGGCCCACGACTCTGAAGTGCTGGTCGAACAGTCCCACGTTGACCGACAGCAGGTCGGACAGTCCGACGGACAGACAGCAGCACAGACGGACGTCCGCGTCCCCGGAGTCCATCGTGTCCAACACTGAAGGACAGAAAGAGGAGATTCCACACGGATTAAAGTCTCCGGAGACACTTCTGCCTCTTTCACTGAGCCAATCACTTCGCTTCGTCCTACCCGGGTGATGATCCAGTGTGGAGGCGGAGTCTTCCAGCAGGAAGTAGATTGTATCCGTGGAGAGCAGCAGACAGCAGGTGAGCTCAGAGCCTGGAGACTTGTAGAGAACCACAGACAGCCAGAGGACCTGTCTCACCTCCTCCGCCTCAGACTGACACACAAAATAAAAAAAGGTAACAAAGACGCCGTAGCACGAGTCTCTTTCTGAACACGCACGCAAAATAAAATTAAGTAATCTCATTTTTGTTGCCGCGCGTGCGTCCTACCATTGCTATATATCTGTGGAAGTAGGTGAGGAGCTGCTCCCCTCTGAGCCCGGCCAGGAGCTTCAGTCCCGGGGAGAGACCTGGGTGGAGGTGAAGGGAGGGCTGGTTCTCCTCCACCTGACAGCTGAGAAGAGAGAAATATCAACAGCAATGAATCATCTCTCGTGAGTCCTTGGTAAAGAGTTTGTGATTCTGCTTCATTACATCTTCTTTCAATGAAAGGCTGAAATGTGAAGGCGCTTTGACCGTCAACTCGCAGAATCAGTTTTTTTGTGTTTTACATTTGCAATATCCCCAAATAGCTCATCAAGGATAAGATAATAAGCAAATAAGATCATCTAGGCCATAAAAATCAATGTAATTGTTCCAATTCTTGGGATTAAGGATTTTCTCCGCATCACATTCTGTTTAATATAAATAATCATAGATTAATGAGCGGCCAGATAAGGTACATTATGTTTACATAATTGGTGCAGTACGAGACTGGAACACACTGTCTGGCCTTAACGTCTGATATCAGCACATGGCTATAAATAAAAAGGCACAAGAAGAAGAATGACACAAAGAGGAACACACAAGTACTTTGGAAGTCTACCTGCTGTTGGAGTCCCTCGAACTGGAACCACAGCACTGGTCTCTGGATCTGAGCCGGCCTGAAGACAAACACACACGCGGTAGAAACCAGCAGGAGCAGAACTAAACGAAGCGACCGGCTGAGCTCCCTTCTCGGTGCGGTTGTGGTCTTCACCTTGCCGGGCACAGGGCCTGCAGGTCTGGGGCAGGGCCACCATCTTCAGCCCCTCCAGGGAGGCTCTCCTCTGGCTCAGCAGCCCCAGGAAGGAGCTCCTGTTCTGGGCCAGAGGGAAGAGCAGCAGCAGCCTGTGACCAGCCAGCAGCAGCTCCACCGCGTGACGCCTCCTGGTTACAGCACAGATAACGGACATATTTAAAGAGCTAACGGTCTAAATAATGAGCATAAAATGGAAGAATCCACTTGATCAGCCTGTTTCACAAAGAGACATTTATAGTATCGAGCAGTAGACCTGATACTTATTCAAATAAGCGTACATGTGATTGGTGCACTAATAATTCCAATGGGAAGTCAACACAGAATGAAAACAGTAGAAGACAAAAATTTAAATTGTAAATTAGAAAAGGACAGAAGAAATGTTGGTAATGCCGTATCTTTTGAGATTGGGTTTGAATATTGATGATTCAGTTAAATATGGAGACTGAAATAACTTAATTCCGGGAACTTCAATTTGTCCTCATTTCACGAGCATCAGACATTATTTTAGAGCAAAAAAGCAACATTATCTATTACTACATCACTAAATATACTAACTTAGCTGATAGTGAAGTTGAACCAGGAAACCCGATGCCGTGAACACCAAAACTTTAAAATTCAAACTGTGTCCGTTTGAAAAAAACAAAAACGTGTGAACATCTGATCGCAGCCGCTCTACCTGTGGGGGTGCTTTGGGTCGGGGCAGGAGGGGTTGCTGGTTCCAGCCCCCACCTGAGAAGCTCTCTCTCTGGGGTGAAGCACCACGGAGCCGAGGGGAACGCGGACCAGCCTGCACCCAGAAGAGGAAAAGGAGGAGGGGTGAAGGTCCTCGCTGCTCCTCTCTCTCTCTGCCAGCTCTCTGAAGTCCATCTTCAGCACCCAGAGGTGTCTGTGGGTGAGGAAGAGGAGGCCGGCGTCCTTCCTCTCTGAGAGGAGGTCTGACAGGAGCGGGTGGGTCCCCGGGGGGGAGGAGGAGGAGGAGCAAAGGAGAAGGAAGGCAGGATAGCCTCCCTGGGCTCCCCGACTCTCCTCCAGCTCCCAGGAGCTGAGGAGCGATGGGGGGAGGAGCCGAGGAGAGTCGGGGGGCTTCGGCTCAGACTTCACAGCCTGGAAAAACAACAGAGGAGGTTTTGGACAAACTGCCTGTGATAAAAATAATTAAATGTCGAAGGTCTGAATTGTAAACATTTTAAACAGTATTTTTTGAATTTCAAAATGATTTAATATTAGATTTCTTTTAACTGTGCAGGAGTGGAAAAAGCCTCCGCTGCTCTCTGACCTCCATCAGCACCGTCAGCTCCGCCCTGGTGCGCCGCAGCTCCTCCCCCTCGGAGAAGAGGTACCAGCGGGTCGGACCGGAGCGGAGGGCGAAGGAGAGGCAGGAGCCGGGGAGGTCGGGGCTGCGGGAGAGGAGCAGCTGGGGGTACGGCAGCAGGAGGTCCACCTGTAGGCTGGACAGCACCTCCTCCACCAGCGGCCTCTGCTCCTGGTCTGAGGAGCAGAGAACAGATCGCTCAAAGGATTTAAAAAAGAAGAATCATCTCTGCATCACAAATCCACCGAGCTTCATGTCACTCGCTGTAAACTGGGGCTGTGATTGTGTTTAAAAATGACTCAATCTCAACGTCGCTCATTTGAAGATGTTCAGTTCACGTAGAAATCTTTAAATATGTCTGGTTCTCCAGAACATGATGAGACCATTTTGCACTCAGCATGTCGTGCTCAAAGTGCCAAAAAGAATACATTTAAAAAACACAGAAGCAAAAACTATGATTTCGGTTTCTGTGCGTAATCCACAGACTTCGTTGTCAGCGGTTTCATGAAGGATGGATTTTCTTATTGTGCGTTTACCTGCGTCCTGATTGGTCCGTTTGAAGTCAGGTGACAGGTACAAGAGGCCCAACAGCCGGTCAGTCAGCACCAGGCACGCCTCCTTCTGCTCCACCTCCTCCTTCACCTGAAGACAGTAGCACCACAAAACCCTGGTGACCTGCCCCGCCTCCTCCTCCTCCTCCTCCTCGCCACACAGGTCCCCCCGGCGGCCCCCGGGCTCCTCCGCGGGAAGAAGAGCGAGAGACGTGGAGGAAGAGGAGCCGACAGACTCCTCCACCGAGTCGTTCAGACCCATCTCGAAGTAGCCGTCCACGGAGCCTGGACTGGAATAACACGTTTTTCACATGTCAATAAAAAGCAAATCGCCAAACTCAGAAACTGATTTACAACCCAAAACTCTGTGTGAAAATTATTGGATGTCAGGATCACAGGGATCTTACAAAAAAATTCAATCAATCCATTTTAGGAGATCTCAGACACCAGTGGGACCTTCAAGAGATCTCAGCAATCAGTCAGATCCCAACATTTCTTCAGGGGATCTCAAACCCAACTGCGACTCCCAGAAGTTAGCCTAAATTTTAGAAGATCTCAGAAACAATTGGGAAGGTCTCTGGTTAATTCACCTTGGACTTTCCACCTGGGTGTCCTCCACATTGGACTGAACTTCCAATTCAGACACATTCTGTTCCTCCCTCTGTTCCTTCCTCTGTTCCTCCTCATCATCCTCCTCCTCCTCCTCATTGTTCGTCTCCCTCTTCTGCTCCTTCAGGGTGGCGCTGAGGCGCTGGGAGAGCTGGGTGATAAAGTCTTTGTTGGAGGAGGAGAGGGAGAGCAGGTGAGAAGGAAGCAGAGGAAACGAGGCAGCGCTGCAGGAGGAGCACCTGGTTTCAGGTGGTTTTGGGGAGGAAGAGCAGCAGAGACAACTGGGGGAGAAAACGACAGCGATGGAGATCGTTTTATAGTTTACACAATGTTTAGATCACTTAAATAAATGAAATATGAAAAATGGAACTGCACTACATCATTATGTTCAATGTTTGAGTGTTAATCTTTTGCAGGTCAACAAAGTTTAAGAGAAAGAAAACAAAATGTAAAAATAAGTACAATAAATGTGGGAGAAGGAACAGCAGCAGCAGCACCTCCTAATGGACACCTCCAGATCTACATCAGGTCCTCCACCCTTAAACCCCAGTAGCGTGCAGTCGAGTGAACTCAGTGCCGTGCTGCTCTCTTTATCTTTTCTAACACTTTCTGTTGTAAGTAATTATCAATGCTCAACACAGTGCGACTGCAAACTTTCTTTGTTTCACTTTGAAAGTTAAAAATACTTGAGGCCGGGGAAAGCGCTCACTGGAACACATGGTTATATCCAATAAGTAACTCAAATAATGATTAGATACTGACCTGAAGTGATTGGTAGCAGGAGCTCCACAGAGTGTTTGTTCAGACAGACTGACAGCAGCTTGTTGGACCTGAAGACAAAACACACAAAGCAACAATACATTTACATCGAATGTATTTACATTATTGTATCAAGACGTGTTTGTTGATAAACTGTCACACTCATAATTTTGTTTATTCATCGACAAATAAGTACATTAAAAAACCGCCTCTCTAACTGATAACTGCACTGGTTGTCACGGTAACAACCCAACAGGCCTCCTGTCTCCTCACCGGTGTCTCAGGTGAGTCTCACCTGAGCGGCGGCAGCAGTCAGGAGGCGTGTTTTAGTGTCAGTGCTCGCGGGGGGAGGAGCAGCGTCCCCAGGAGGGACGACAGCGCCGGGAACGTCGTCTTCTTCTTCTCTGCTCGTCACTTCTGGAAGAGGAAACCAAACCGCAGTGAGGGCGCCAGGCGAGGACGACGCTCCGCTGGTCAACAGCGCAACATCTTCAAAGAGACGTTTCTCTGTACGTTTTCACTAACTCAAACCAAATTGTGGTCAGAATAGTATAATTATATTGTAATATAATTATTTGATTTACTTCTGCTTCTTAATTATGAATATAGAACGTTTGTGTTTTTTTATTCTGGGTCTAAAAAGGTGAAGCCAAGCGAATATCTTAAACTTGCCTTTTCTCTCCTGACTGGCAGGGGTACAAATACAAATTAATACAAATATTACAATATTATAGAAGTTCAGTGAGATCAACAAGGTGTCACACAACCTACAGCCAAACATCAGTGAAGTCTGTGATGAGAAATTAACTCCAACGTATCTTTGGTATTTCTGCACTGAAGGTTGTTTTTAATTGATAATGATAATAATCACAACTTGAGCTGGATGTGAATCAGTTGTTTTACTTTCCAGTCAAAGAGCAGAAAAAAATGCCCCCCACCCCCCTCAGCTCTGCACAGCCTGATACATACATGATTACCTTGGCTGGGGCAGGCAGGCTGCTGGGCCAGACAGGAAGAGGAGGAGGAGGAGGAGGAGGAGGAGGAGGAGGAGGAGACAGCGGGAGCAGCAACAGCAGAGGAGCAGCGGGAGGAAGAGGAGGGGGGAGGAGAGGGGTGAGCAGGTGCAGCAGCAGCAGACAGCTTGGTCTCCTCACTGATCTGACGAGAGGACAAAGACGGAAGCCTTCAGAGAGTCGATCAGAGCACATCATGTGACCTGCAGCTCTGCGGTAGCACTTCATACATGAGAAAATATGAATGATTTGAACTCTTTCTGAACGTATAAATGGAAGCAGGCACGATGGAGGATCTTACCTTCTTGTCGCTGCTGCTCATCCGGTCTTTGACTTCTTTGGCTTTCTGAATTGCTTTCAACACTTCCACCGTGTCCAGCTCCTTCTCCGAGGTCACCGCACCGTCCAGACAAACCTGAAGACAAAGAATAAATAGAAAACATGTGTCAACACACACACACACAGACAATTGATTGAATTTTTTGTTTTAATAGTAATAGCTGTAAGTAAAGAGCAGCAGTAATATTGGTGAAGTACTGCTTGAAGTCGATCGGATCCTGGTAGTAGTAGTGGTACTTGTAGGGACAGTAATGTTAAAGAGGATGGTAGGGATGTCTTAAGAGGGATTTATATTTAGTCACTATCATCTACAGCTGAAATACCCTCACAGGAGGAAAAGGCAATGAACCACTGTGATGGAGGTGAAAATTCATTCAGACACCACAGAGAAGGTTCCCCTCACGTGTAGACTGTGGTCAGCATGTTTTGACCGCATCATTTCATCTTCAGACGAGGAACTGAAAGAGAAACGTGACCAGCCCCCCTCCAGAGCCACCGGCCTTCATTGACAAAACCAAAATACATGGGCTGCACTTTCTGATATTAAGCCGTGATTCAGCCATTCTAGATATAGCACATAATTCAACCGGCATTGATTTTATTTGGCTGCTGCCCTCGTCCACAGCAGTCCTCGTTCTGCTTCTACAAACTGTTGACATCCAGACCGTCACGGAGGGAAAATAAAACACAGACTGCGAATAAGAACTAGAACAGAAGTAATATTAACGGTGTGGCGTACCTCTGCTGCGCGGTCTCCAAACTGGGTCAGCACTTTGGTTCTGTAGTCCGGGATGATGCACATGGGGTTACTGGACAGGTTGAGTTTCTCCAGACACGGCAGCGATCCGATGCTCCTGATCTCCTCCAACTGGAAATAAACAATCAGGTCACAGGCCTGTGACATTGTGGATACTTCACAGCGCTACGTCGCTCTTTGGGTTGTTTTCTCACTAAGTGTGTGCGGGAGAATCGATAGTAAAGAGAAAATGAGCAGAGCGAAAGACGAGGGTCGAACTAGTGTGATCATTTACACCTCGAGGATGATCATTTAAAGTCACGACAAGCAGCTTATTCATTACGTCGCTTTTTGTGGCCGCTGAAGACAAATGTTGAGTCTAAAACTCAAGGCTTTTGTGAACCTGCACCAATAACAAAAACACCGTGATTAGTCCTCTCCTTTTTTGGTATTAGCCTACTTTGGGTTTCCTTTATTTTAATTCAAAAAAGGCTAAGAAGCAAAACTTTCCCGATGCACAGTAAGGTGTATAAAGACGGGTTTTGTGACTACCTGGGCCAGCTGGTTGTGGCTGAGGTCCAGGTTGACCAGCGAGTACAGCTTGCTGAGGCCGCTCAGTCGGTCCAGCTGGTTTCCGGCCAGGCTCAGAGTCTTGATGTTGCCCAGACGGGTGTGAGCCGCTTCCAGGACCCGCAGGCTGTTGTAGGACAGATCCACGTGGACCAGATTGTACAGGTGCTGCAAACACAGCGCAGTTACCTACGTGCTGCCGTTGAGGACACGCCACACCTCTGTAGGGGCATCAAACTGCATCCCCCTGGCTATTTAACCTTTTACGCTGACACTCTAGAAATGAGACGGATCGGAAAGGACAACAGAGCTGCCGTGTTCTCCGTCGGGTTGTCACGTACCTGCAGGTTTTCCACGGTGGACAGCTGGTTGTGGCTCAGATCCAGAAACTCCACCTTTGGAATCAGTTTCTGCAGCAGATGAAAACATCGTCGGCACAAGGAAATGTTGAGTGGGAACTATGAACCTTCCTGGAAAGGTATAGTTTTATATAATATTTTGGACTTCATCATCGTTTCATTAAAATGTTTATTTCCAGACCTGAAAAAAGCAATAATTTGCCTACATGGTGTTGTATTAAAATCCCCCCGACCTCAATGTCAAAATCAGGTCATGACTTTTAAACTCAGCTCTGCGCGTCTCACCACCGAGTCGTCGATGGTGCTGATGCCGTTGTGGCTCATGTCCAGCGTGGTCAGGTTCCTCCACACGGGAATGACAGCGGTGACCGGACAGCCAGACTCCGCCCCCTCAGCCTCCCACTGCGAGAACTCGCTGGCCTCCGGGACCAGGATGGACTGGAGGCGGCCAGAAACGACACGCGCATTAGAAACGCGACGTGCTAGAGGCAGAGGAATACTTGCTGGTGATTCACCATCATGGTTTCCGTGGAGTGGTGGAGACTCAGAGTGGCCAGACTCGACCTCAGAGACGACAGACCTCGAATCTGCTGAGAGCTGCACTCACTGATCTGGAGACGGAAAGAAACAGACGTAATCATCCAAGTATTGGCAACAGTTAAGAGTGAAAATACCGCAGAGAAGATGACTTGATTACACAGTAAACTGAGCACCGATACTTCAGCTACATTGTGGCAGTTAACTGCGCCGACGGCCTTAACCTGCTTTAAAAACTTTATGTGATTATACATCTAATTCTACATGTCCACGACCCGATTGTACCCCGCAGAGACGGACGGGCCGTCACCTCTATCTGGAGTAGTGCTTTGAAGACGGACAGGTCGTAGGGGAGGCTGCTCTCGTGGATGTTACTGGTTCCCACTGGGCCTCGGGTTCCCGAAACCTGACCAACAAAGACACAACCAGTGAGAACAATGAATACACGCGCGCTCCTGAGAGGAGCACACGGCACCGCACCCAGCGATGGGGCATTTGAGTGGAGTAACAGACGTGCGGGACCTTGAGGTATCGCAGCCTGCAGGTGAAGTCCAGGATGTGTCCCAGGTCGGTTTTGGCGTCTCCGTTGCAGCAGGTCGGCTTGGCCAGACGGAGCTGCTGGGAGACGGAGTAAAGCTGCAGCGGTCTGAGGGAGAACACCTCGCCGGCCTGCAGCAACATCTCGCCTACAACACACATGCAGCGGCGTGATTCTGTGCACAGCGTGCTGTTACACAAGACGTCCTCATGCAATCAAAGTAACCACTCAGCATTGATCAGAACTCAACGTCAGGTTCAAAGAAGCTGATGAGTAAAGAGGTCAGAGGTCAGAAGGGAAGCTAACCTTTATGAAACAACTCCTCAGCCAGCGCGGCTGTGATGCCGTTGATCTCCTGAAAGACAAAGACTTTCGTTAGACTTGATTCATTGCACAACAAAAGGTTGACGCTTGACGACGTTGTTAAATAATCTTATTCATTTACTGCTCAGCAGACAGATGGACATCGTTCAACCGTCTCACCATAAAGTAGTCATGTGCTGCGTTGATGCAGCTGAAAAATAGACGATGCAACTGTTTTCTAACTCATCTGCGAAAAGTCACATGTTGCTCATTTCGAATCACGAGTGTTATTATCTTCTTTTAACCCTGCAGCCCGGAGGATTCAGAGAACAACGGTCTGTTGTATCGACATCATCACATGAGCACAGTCGCTGCCATCTCACAAATGCCTTAAACATCGACAGAGACGCACGTCTCACCAACAAATCTTTATTTTATCTCTTGACATATCAAACACCTTTCAGCTCGTTATCGACTTTTGACGAAACCACAGTGTGTTTACGAGATGAGTCAGTGCTTCTGGAACAGCATTTAAGAACAGAACAGGTTGGAGGAGTCTCAAGCGAACTCACGTAGAGGTGAAAGTGCAAGAAGGAGGCGAGCGCAGTCGGCGAGGAGTGCGGGAACTGCAGCAGGAGCGTCTGCAGGTAGAGCTCCAGCTCCTTCTGCCGCCGCTCCACCAGACTCTTTGAGTTCTTCCCCAGCATCTTCTTTGGAGGAAGCAGCCCTCGGTCCACTTTCTTCTCCGCCGTCAACTGCAGCGAAAACACAGAGCAGAAAGAAACATTCAGCTAAGAAGCAAAAAATGCCAGAAATTATCCCGGCGCAGCTTCTCTCGCAGAGCCAAGTGATCAGTTTAAAGTTTAGTCAATTGTTCTTGAGAAGAACCGTCTTGTGTTACTGACATATTGCTAAATATATCTATGGCCACTATATAATGTCCTGAAAAAAAAGAAATCAATGAATCAATGTGCAGAAGAGGAGCCTTTCCTCCTAAGAGCCATGTGAAAATGCATTAATATCAAATACATTGCAGAATCAAGTAGGACGTCGGTAGAAGCAGACGTCGCTCACCTTCTCGTGGAGATCGTGGAAGTCGCTGTAGCGGTGCTTCACGGTCCATCTGTGCTCCCCATCCGACACCTCGATGACGTAGACCTGGAACCGCACGCGGGGATTACAGATCGGCCCAAACACCAAAAAAAGCAAAGATCAAACACCTCCTGAGGCAGGTGGTGACACACCGTCACTATGACAGCTCCGTCCAACAAGGACAAGCACAGCATGCAGGCTGCAGACTACATGTCAAAATCGAAAGGTCAAAAAGGTCAGGTTCACTTTACCAGTTTAAAGCTTATTTACTGGTCATATGCCTCAAGAAAAAAGAACAACTCTTTTTTTATTTTCAAATGGCTTTGTGTGTACTGACGTCTCGACAGTGTTTAAACGACTTTTATTATTCATGTTTAAACTGCTTTGTTTAAACGCCCATCTCGCTTTGTCTCTTCACAACGTGTTACAGCAAAGACAGCGATTCTAAACACTAATATCGTTCACAGAGACGACCCGTGTTTTTCACCGCCATGTCCGCGATTGTCTACCAACAATAAATGTTAAGTATTAATACTGAACGTTGCAGTTAACGTCAGGTCGATTAGCACGGCGGTTAGCTCGTCAGCTCCGTGGTTCATTTCAGTCCAGCCCCGGGCGGATAAAGACATACGCGTCAGCCTGGTGGAAAATACATTAGAAGTCAACATGTTATTCATGAGCTGCTCCAACCAATGTCTTTAACAATGACGTTTACCGCACTGTCACTTTGGCAGAGCCGAAGCTAATGGCGGCACCGAGCTAGCAGAGCTAGCAGAGCTAACGGGCGCTGTGCTCGGGGAACCCGGATGCAGCTTACAGTGTAGTTTTCCACCAGCTCCGACCCGACGACACACACTTTTCTCTCCGAAAGCTCTTCTGGAAAAGAGGCGGGTTCCATCTCGAGATCGCGAAGAAGCAGCGGTTGTCCGTCATGAAGTGATAGCACTGTGAATCAAAGGGCTTGAGAGGATCTCCAGCTCCTCTCCTCGGTTAGCCGCCTCTGGGCGCCATGTTTGTTGTGGTGCTGAACGAAGCAGCTGAGCGCCTTCAAAACCCTCGAACTTTATGTGTAGTTTTACTCTGACAAGAATGTCAACGTCTCTCATTTGAAGGAAAGCATATTTTACCAATATGAGATACAGCTGTTATTCTTCACTATAGTGAGAAAAATAATGCTGCAAAAAGTAAAACAAATATTCAAAATCTGAAGTTGAAAAGTTTGACGTCTTTTCACAGTCTCTTCATCAAAGTACAAGAGCTATATATAACTTTACTCCTTTTAATTTCCATGGCTGTGCTTAACATTTGTCATGTTTGTTGTACTTTCATCGACATTTGACCAATAAAGATCATTGAAAATAGTTTTATTTTTGAGAATCCAGGACAAACGATGGGGGGTCAGAATCTAGGAATAGCAAATGAGACCCTGCTAATCCATCCAACAATTTTGCTGGATGGATTACATTGAACACCGAGAACCCCCCCCCCCCCCCAAAGGGCTCTATGTAATACACATCACGGCCACGCGGGGTCACCGGTGCAGCTGCAAACATTCCGGTGCGTTATGTCATCCCTGCATTGTTGAATTGAGATGACCTACATATGTTTGAAACGAACTGGAATGTCATTTAAGTGACGTAGCGGCTAAATTTATTGCTCATTATATTTTACATTAAGGCGTCATTACTTTTTTTCGAAAATGTCCTTAATGAATAATTACGTCATCTTGTTTGATGATTGCTTTGACCCAGATGCTAATGTAACCATAACATGGACTCGAAGACAATGCTAACATGTGGATGTTTTCATGCAAACGTTTGCCATGTAAGCATTAAACACCAAAGCACAGATGAGGCTGGTTGTCATGGATTTTGCAAGAATTTGCTAAAAATGCCATAATATAAAGTTTGACCTGATGATGGCGCTAGATGAAAAGTCGATGGATCACAAAGTTGGACGTACGTTTGTATTCAACAATTGTTGAGACTGCTCACTGATCCCACAAATGTAAACCTTAGAGACACCACAGGCTAAATTAATTCAGTCGATTAACTAAATCTGTGGGATGGACAATCCCACTCGATTTGGACAATCGATGTCTGTATTTAATGTAATGTTGTATTTAAATAACGTATTGTCATTAGCACATGTCCACGTACGTTGCGCACTCGTATGCCGCGGACACAATAACTAACTATAGTGCTATTTACAGTGACCACCACCGTCCTCGCGTCCCGGCGCTGCTGCCTGTTGTTTCCGTCTCTGACGTCAGAGGGGCGGGGAGTAGCAGCAGCGGATCAGATTTCCGCTGCTCGACCTGAAGCGGAGTGAACCATCTAGCTGCGGGGAGGGGGGAGCGGGGGTTATGCTTATGCTTATCGCCACCACGCTAAACCTGAGGCACAAGTAGACTGACACGTATGTGTTATTACATAAATATTAGATTGTCATAGGTAACATGAATGAGTCTTAATACAATATTAATAATTGGTAGAGGATACGCTGGTTAACGGTGACCCCTTCCTCCTGTTAAACCTGTGAATGGATCATTCCAGCTCTTTATTCCGGCTGTGATGGGAAGACAGAGCCACAGTCTGTGCTGGTCTGTGCTGAGTACACTACTTGCTGGCCTTTAAACTGAGAAAAAAAAAGCTTTAAATCAACTAGAAGACGCTGAAAACACCCTTTTAGCAGCTCATTTCAGTTAATTAATTACAGCTGTAAGGGAGCTATTTAAGACTTTCAGAGAGGTGAAGAAGAGATATTTAAACAGACATAGGAGGGCGTGACAGGGAGCAAACCGAGCAGGCAAGCTGCTGCCGCAAGGGGAGGAAGAGCAGGCGATGCATCAGCCAAAGCCAGAGGTCAAGAAAAAAAGCGACAGGATAGTGAAAAGGTAGACTCAAAGGGAGAGGAGGGTCATTTTGTGATCTGAGCCAGAAACCAGCCTCTCTTTGTTGTTGTTGTTGTGTGGGGCCAACCGAGCCAGGAGGAGGATGTGAAGCAGAGCAGCAGGGAGAAAGGAAGGCGACTGCAAGAAAGACAAGACAAATGCTCGCAGAGATGATGTGCAGGAGGAGCTGTCTGCAGCAGCAGCAGCAGCAGCAGGAGGGCAAAGGGCCTCCGCAGAGGGACCCTTCCAGCCGCAGGAAGCACGGCTGGTCCAAAAGCTGCAGGGGGCGCCAGCAGGGGCGCAGGACAGGAGGGGGTGGAGGGTGGCCAAGAGGGCGCAATCACCAGCAGCACCCTCAACGTCATCAACCCCATCACCATCAATATCACCATGCACCCCGACACTTCCCGAGGCCGGTGGGGTCCCTCCGGCCCGTCAACGTCAAAGGGAACAGAGCGAAGGGGATGCGGGCCCCCAAGAACACCAACCAGTTTCTGATGCACGAGAAGTACCAGATGCTGCACATGCGCTCCGACTCGGTCGGGAGCGACAGCGGCAGCGGCTCCGACAGCGACGTGGAGCTCAGAGACCTGTACTCTTACCTGAGCGCCCTGGAGAATGCGAGGGGAGCCCTCCTGGACAGTACCGACCCACACGGCCCCGTGCCGCCTGCAGGACAGATGGTGGTACTGCAGGAGGACAGCCTGCGTCCGCAGGAGGACAGCATGCAGTATTTCCCTTCCGAAGATGACCTGATTAAGAGCCAGAATTTCATGCAGAGGGACTTTGTCGAGTTCTGTGACATCCTGACACCCTGAAGGGACCTTCAGGGGGAATTTCGTTCTCAGCAGCGTGAAACTCAAACCTCTGACGGAGCGGGGTCAGGTTTGTTGCTTCATGCACACAGGAAATTTAAAAAGACATTTAAAATCTCATCCATCTTTTCAAGTTATTTAGACTTACATTTTGAGACTCTGATTGCCAGATGAGACGATTCCTGCGAAATTGAACTTTTTTCAATCAACTGTAACTTTCTTAATACTCATGCAGTTATTGGCCTTAGTTCATCTTTTTTGAAGATGCTGGTTTAAAAAATGTCAAATGATCTCACCGTGTTGGTATTTTTCTAGATTTAAGACAAAAACTTGAATGCGAATGTAGATGACATTATTAAGAAAGATGTTTTTTACTTTTCATATTTGATTCATCGTGTTCAATGTGCCCTGGTGCTGTTACAGTGCTGCCTTTCGGTTGTTGTTTGTTGCACACAAAGGGAGAAGGGGCGGGTGGTGGGAGTCGGCCCAAACAACCAATCGGCATCGACCTGGCTGGATTAGGCTGCAGGTGATTGGCTGATGCAGAGTGTCATTTACCAAAAAGCCATTCAGTGTATAATAAAGAAAAAAACAACAACGGGAAAATCTACAAATAAATATCTGATGTAATCTGGGCTGATTGATGACTGATACTAATGATTTGAAATTTGTTTTTGTTTTTTTTATATCCAAATGTAATATTTTTCAGTCAATTTGTCACTAAGTCACTGTCTAATGTACAGTTAATCAATTTATAAAAAAGTAAATATTGAGAGTTGCTCATTAGAACAAAAGGTGACATGACAATATGTGAGAGGAGCAGGAAGAACAGACAGGAAAAACAAAAGTAAAGAAATAATCATATAGGGAACATTTTATTTTCCTGTTCACACATGTTTAGTCAGCCATTGAAGCAGGAAGACAGCAGATCGATGTGAGGTGGACTACGTGAGGTGAAGCTGGTCACACCCGCGCACACAAGCCTCTTTGCGTTGGTGCGTCATAAACTCAACGGTAACGGGTCAAGTGAGCGGCAACCACACAAAAAAAGTGTTCAAAGGAGACTCATGATGCTCATTTCCAGGCTCATAGTTATTTGGGGTCTCTGGTAGAACATGAGAGTTTTAACTTGAGAGCTAAAAACTCTGTTTTCCTTAACTGGCCAGTCTGTGCTCATCTGTGATCCCCCTCCACCATGATCGCTCAGTATTTGGCTCATCAAAATGGAATTGTGTCACTAGGCAACAGCTTTAGAATGTGTTTACTTCCTGTCAGCTGATGTCATTCCCACTGAATGTTCCCAGTCTTAGTGCTAAACTGGATCAAATGAATGCATCTGTAGCGCCGTCACTTCATGCATTTTTAATCCAATTATTCAACCAGTCAGTGGGATAGATGCAATATAATGCAGCATATGTAAGGGAGAAATACCGTAGCCTTTCTACAAACCAAATAAAAATGCAGTTTGAGGAAGAGATGGCAGTTACTGCCAAACATTCAAGCTAGGCTAGTTAGCCTTTAGCAAGTCTAGTTTAGGTATTAGTTTAGTTATTTTTTAATTATCATTTTTCACTAGATTTAGCTACTGTCTCATTTAGTTGCATGATAACAACCCAATGAACTATATGGATGTTATAGTGGGAGGGTATTTTTTAATCTTATTCAGTGTGGAAAGCTAATATAGCTTTAGCAAGCTAACAATGGCAATCCCGGTTTAAACTAGAGTTACTTGACGTTAGCTACGACTCTTTCTCGTTGGCTGCGTAATTTATCTTTATGCCCGTGCTTCTCCAAATATCTTTGCAAAGTGTATGGAGTCCATAAAGGAGACACGCCAGCTCCCGAATTCATCTGTGTCACTTAGGTTTCACCACTGACCCACTGACCCCCCCAGGAGCTTAGTGGCCGAGCAGCAGGTCCCGAGTCTATGAGCTCCGGGGGGACAGTGAACACACTCGTACGTATTAACTATAAATAATATACATGTAAAGCAAGCTTAACTCGGACGTACAGTCCTGCTCCGTCCTTATTGGTGCCTACAATAACAATAAAAACATCACTTATAAACAAATACGACTTCCACTCACATATAATTACAGTTTGTTTTAGGTACCTGCAGAGTCCTTCAACAGAAAATTTACACAGGTTTAATTTTGTTTATTGAATGATGCATTTTTCCCAGACCTGTTTCTATAAACACTTTGTCTGCTCGGTTTACCCAGTTTTGGATGATTTAAAATATTCATATCACCATAGTAACTCATACGGTCCTGTGCCAGTAAAAATCCTGCATCACAATGAAGACTGAGAATAAACACACGCGGTAAGAGGTGACGTCATTTCAGCAGCAGGTCAAAGCTACTGAGACTGACCTTTGACCCGCAGATCAGATGAGCAGCTCAGTGAAATGTAGAGTTGAACTCTACAAACCGAGGTTGTTTTAACCAAGATGACACGCACACAGCGACTCTAACCTGTTCCTTATCCTAACATCGGTGTGGTGCCTTGCCCCGGGACACGGTGGCAGGTCACAGCTCTGCTGTCTCTATTGTGTCCTCCGTAGCTTGTATTTGTAAATATTTATAAATATTTACGCAGAGGATTACAAAAAAAAAAAAGAATCAGAAGATAATTAGTTACGCTTAAACATTTTCAATTGGAGTCTTGGTTACTACTAAACTACATTACAGTGTGTGTGTGCGTGTGTGTGTGTGTGCATGAGAATGTCAGTGATCTTTCTAAATGTCATTCATTCTGTAACTCTGTCCGTACTTGTTGGATGACTGATCCCTTCACCAACCATCCACACTACTCAATGTGTGTGAACCATTGTGAGGACTTTTAGGGGGGGAAATAGTTTTCACAGCATTAACGTAGTAGTGACGCAGTATTGTGTTTGGGTCTGTGGTAGATGCCTGATCTCTGGACACAGATTTAGACATTTATGTGCACATTTTAATACCTGAAGTGTTCTAGTTTGTGTAGTCAGAGTAGTATTGGTCCATTTGAATACGTAGACTGTGGTTTTGCCGTCTTGAGTTCAGTACTTTGGCGGTGGCCATCTTGTGGAGGAGTGGACTTCAGACGCATAAACAGAGCTGTCAATCACAAGGTTCTCCTGCCCCAAAGCCCCCTCTTTGTGCTTTATGGTGTATTTGATTTGTAAATGGACCCGATTTACTAAATGAACACCATGCTGTATAAAAGAAGACTTTAAACTGAAGGTTGTGACCATAAACTCATGTTTACAATGTTTGCTGAGGGAATAAATCAGGAGAGAAGCAGTCATTTTCTCACTGACTTCTATACAGTCGCCCCTGGTGGTCATTAGAGAGAATGCAGCCGGTGGGTTTCCTGACCGACGGACCCGAGACCTGCAGCAGGAGTTACCAGACCCGATTAGACTGAACCCAGCAGTAGCTGTAAACCCACCCAGTTTATCTCTGCAACGTGTAACCCTAGGACACCCGAGCACGTGCGAAACACCATAACTGTACACACGAGATATGAGACGGGCCTGACTGAGGTCGAGGGTCAGGTCTCCATTACTGATGACCAAGTTGGACTCACGAAAACCTCTAATGCAGCTGAAGTAAAGTTCACATGTGGCAGGGTGAAATCTTTAGTGACTGGAATGTCATGCTGTGGGTTTGCCGGGTGTTTGTCCTCACAGGTCACATGACGGGAAAAATACCAAAAATAAAACAAATCAATTATTGTCACATGAAAATAAATATCTGCAGTGAAATCACATTGAAGCACAGCACAGCATACTGGGTCACGTCTTCCTACCAGAACCAGGACCTAATGTCAGTTGTTGTGGTTCTGTATAGAAGTTACCTCAGTGTGTGTGTGTGTGTGTGCGATTGGGGAGGGGGAGGTGTGTGTTATGAATAGATGAAGGGAAGGAGGGTGGAGGTGAAGGGGGAGTGGAGGTAGTTGGATGCTAAAACTCAGTTTGGAGTGGAAAAGTACAGCCATCCGCTGGGGAGGCGGAGACTTCCCCCGTTGAGCACACAAGCCAGCCAATCAGAGCACAGAAAAACACATTGACTGACAGCAGCGTGACGAACCAGGAGCGAGGCTCCTTTTGTGAACTCTGTCTCCATTTAAAGATTAGCTTTACACTTTGGATGAGAAGCTTGATATTCAAAGATTCTCAGTGGTGATGTTTCTCTTCTTGAGCCAACGAGGCTGAGACGTGAAAATGTCAAAGCAACTTCATCAAAACAGTAGAAAAAAACATTATTCAACATTGTATTTAATACGGATACCTTTTTGAAGGAATGTTCAATAACAAGAGGACCTTCTTGTGTTGGGATCATATCAAACGCTGTGCCAAAATGACCCAGGGCCGTACACTGTGTGTGTGTGTGTGTGTGCGCGCGAGGGGAATGTGTGTCATTCATATTCCCGAGCCGCACTTCCTCACTCAGACCTCATAAACGCCTGTAAAGTTACGGAAAAAACAACACCGGCTTCTACCGCTGCCAACGAGAAGACAGTGAAAGGCGTCACTAAAGCTCCGCCCCCCCAAATACTTACATATCGACTAGTTTCCTTTCATTTCAGAGGCTCAAGTTAATCTGAGCCAAAATACAACAACAGAATAATATATAATATTATCAAGCACAAGCCAAAATTAGTACCACTTTGTGCTACAACCTCAGTGAAGCTTACTTATCCCTTATTATTATCCAGGAAATATAACATACCAGCCATTTTCTGCATTCTGCTTTAAAAACTATTTATTGTACGTATTATTTTACACATGTAAAAATGTTGACACTGTGGTAATACTCATTTCATAGAGGTAAAAATATCCATGTGGGCTAAACAAATTTATTCAATATTAATCTTCTTGCATATGTACAACACACAGACAAAACCTCTCAATAAACCAGCGTTGAATCTTCATGAAATCTGACCTTTTTTACATGCAATGTCTTTGAGGCGAACCACTGTGTGTGTAATCTGTTTGCTGCTGCTCTACTGAACTGACACACACACACACACACACACACACACACACAGGATCTCAATTCAACAGAGAGAGAGAGAGAGAGAGGGGGAGTAGATCTCCTTTCAGCAGTGTGGTGAATGTTTCACTGGACTGATAATCCTCTAAAAGTTGCACACACACGCACGCATGCACGCACACACACACACACACACACACACACACACACAGATTCCTTTGGCCGTGTGTGATCGGCTTGGACTGGGAGCAGCAGGGCGATAGACTCCGTGCAGGTTGAGGCCTCGTTTAGCAGGGTGAGACAGTGGATGATTTGATCGGTGATGGATAACAAAATAGAGTACAAACATTTGCATGACACCTCGTGCGCTTAACGCACGTTTTGCATGTGAGTTTAAAAGAAAGCACACGCACTTGGACAGCGAATGCACTCAAAGTGTGTGCAGCACGATAACAACACGTCCGTTGGTGTGCGGGACACGTCTCACACGTAGTGTAGGCCAACGTGTGTGTGTGTGTCTATGCAGAGGATACACACAAGGAAGTGAAATAGGAGACGTCCGCCTCTGATTGGCTGGCCGGGAGACACAGACCCGCCCACTCGGTCGAATCGACAGTGACGTCGTCGCCCGTCCGCTCCACACAGGCCGTCTTTCTTTTCCTGCCTGTCTTCACCCTCCAATGAACAAAGAAATGCTGCCGGCCGTTTCTGGAGTTTCTCCTCTGACTAGAACTTCAGGGTTGAAAGCGACAGGAAGCAGCAGGACGAACCGGGACGTCACGCCTCAAAAACAACAGCAGAGGCCTCGAATGGAGCCGGTCCTCTGACGCCGATCTGTTCTCGTTTTCATCTCACAGATGGTTGAATTAAAGAGGAAGGCTGACTTCCTACTTTAAGAGGAAGTCAAATTACTTCAGAAGCACAGAGCTAACGGCTAATTATAACTTAAATGTTTCCTCCGTGACTTGAATCTGACCTTGTGTGTCGAGGTGGAAAAACTGATAAAGAAACACCTGATCAGCGCAGACAAACACACACGCGCACTCACACGTAGCCCGGTTTATTCCTCATCTGCTATAAGCTGAACAGAGTAGATAAGAAACCACAAAATGTTCCTCTGAGCTCCACTCAGGGGAACATTGTAGTGACACAGGTTTCTTTCCTCGAGTCACTTAAAGTCAGAAACGGGTTTTACGTTCAGTTAACCTTTTCAAACTGTCCTCACTAATCGTACTTCCCCAGAACTTAAACTTTTAAAGAAATAAAGGTTACCAAAACTATCATTTCAAAAACAGTCCTCACTTTGAGAAAAAAAAGGTCTTAACTATAAACCACATGGACCGAAGAGCAAAAGACACACACACACAGTTAGTTCCTGGTTTTATCTTCAGTCTCACTCACTTGTCTAACGTTTGAAGGCCTGATCTCTGTGCTCACATGAAGCTGCTTCCATCAGAAACGAGCTCAATTCATCAGAACTTAAACTCAAAAAAAGTTAACAGGGAACAAAAACCAAAATTTACACCGAAGCTCAGATGATTCGACTTATGCCGTTGTCACATTGTCAGGTGCTAAATGCTCATTCTTTCGTTTTGAGGTGCGTTCCTGCTGGTTGCAGAGCAGAGAAGTGACTCCGCCCCCCTGTGGGCGCCGAGCGTCACTGCACACCGACGCTCATCAGACACCAGACACCTTTGTCCTTCATAATCTATTATTAAAATGAAAGTTATTTGTAAGTTGTTGAAATTGGTCTGACATAAGTCGCATCGCAACATATTTCTTTCCCGCTGGTGCTTTTGCACACAGGAGGAAAACAACAACAACAACAACCTTGGAGAGGAGGGAACTTCAACAGATGGTGAAGCATCAAGATTTTCCCTCACAACTTTATTTCAGGCCCCCGACAGGCAGATAAGTTGCAAAATCCTTTACTGAAGCTTCCTGTGAGAGACATAAAAACCCTCGTCCTCTTCTCACGTCATTCCCCACCTTCACTTCAACCGTTGCAGTGATGTCACTTCCTCTTTGGGACCAGCTGGAGGACGTCACTGAAGCCTGGTGGCTCTTTGTGAATAAAGCACATTTAACTCTCAGATTCAGCGGACGAAGCCACGTCTTAAAACAGGCTTCACCGCGTTAGTCCATCGTCCTGTCCTTTGTCCGTCCCCGGTGCGTCACTCTTCTTCTTCTCCTCCTCCTGTCTCATCTCCTCCTGCTCCTTCTCCAGCTCCTCCTGCTCCTTGACGTCGGCCTCTTTCAGTTTCACCTCCACGTCCTCGGGGATGTCCACCTCCATCAGGTTCTCCATCCCCTGCTCCGGCTCGTCTCCTATCAGCACCTGGAGGGAGACGGAGGACGGACAACAGGCCAGTGTCTTAGGTCACGGTCAAAAGTCATGTGGTTCCTCGTTAGTTAATGAATTCACAAAACAGATCATGGTTCAATTATTGTCCGTGTTTAAAAAAACATCTGTCATCTCGCATTTATTTATTTATTTGTGGGACATCTGACTGTAATAAGGACATGAATGAGATTTGTCCCACCTGGACCAGTTTCTCGCAGGCTGCAGTGACGTGGACGTCCTTCTCCCAGCGGTGGAACTCTCTCATGATGGGATACACGCTCTTGTCTTTAAGCGCGTTCCGGCCGCCTCCGGTCGCCGTCAGCTGCAGGAGAGAAACGCGAGCAAAGCGTTCAGCGCGAGAGAGACGAGCCCGTCGTGACTTTGCGTCTTTGCGTTCGGTGCGCTGACCAATAACAGAGTCTCCAGCAGCATCTTCCTGATGTCGGGGTCGTCTTCTCTCTTCTTGTCCTCCGGGAGGTACTGCAGGTCCACAGGCAGACCTGAAGACCACATCGACGTCTGTTAAGAGGCATGGCCGGGTGCCCCAATACTCCACCCCCCCAGAGTAATTCTCTCAAACAAGAAACACTCAATTACCCCAAATGAGTTGACTGTTAGAAACACACCTTCGTTCTCTTCCTCCGTCAGCTCCTCTGGACCGGCCAGTGGCAGCAGGAGGAAGGGCAGGATGTCCACGGCGTCGCTTAGCAACCACTCATGACGTGCTGCACACATGGAGGAGAGGATTGGGATTATATGACTGGAAGTGATGAAGGACTAGCGAGGACACGACTAACACCCGATTTCACCCGATTTCAGAGCAGCAGTTGAAACAAAAGGACGGACGCTGTGGAGCAGCAAAGGTAAACTTCCCATCCGGCCCGCCGAGGGTTTCAGAAATCCATATTTAGGGTATGGAAATTAAAAACCCATGTATTCTTTCTGAGTGGTGTGAAGGAGGCTTCCACGCGTCTCACCGTGGTCAAAGCAACAGTTGCGCAGCGTCCCTACGACTCCTCCTCTCCTCACCACCGACGCCTGGTACTGCGTGAAGGGTAACAACCTCTGGATTACACACCTGCAAACACACACAGATAAATACAGCAGGTTCGCCGCAGGGCCGAATGATGTCGAGACTTTGACGGACTCAACTGGGAATGTTTGGGTCGTGGTTGTTCAGAATGCTCCTTGAACCAAACGTTACCATCGACTCAGACTAAAACACTGACTGAAGCCGCTTGTTGGCGCCTGTGTCCGCTCGTGACGCGTTCAGCGACATTATTTTGCTTTGGAAAGCAGAGCTCATGTTTGTCCTACGTTGTCAACTAAAGCTTGCCTTGTTTTGGAAATATACACTTTCTCTAAAGAATGAGCAGAACTGCGCGACCTAGACCTCCCCTCTGTTCTTTCCCCTCACCTGTCCTTATCCATCATGTAGTCTCGGGCCTCGGGCAGCTGCGTCAGGTTGGACAGCAGCGGACCCAGATAGTGGAAATTTGCCTTCTTGTTGTAGCCTTCGGTGCAGAAGATGGTCACTAGCTGAGACAGGCCGGCCTCCTCCTGGAGGACCTGGAACAGCGGGGAGACACGCAGGGCTCAGCCAGGAGTGCTTGTTTTAATGACCCGAGAGGCTGCGTGGACCCGTGTGCAGCTCACGGAACCCACCTTCAGCACGGTCTTGCAGGTCTTGGTGTGGCGGGTCAGGTTGGATAGGATGCTGCAGATCTGATCAGCGAACACGTACTCTGGATCCAGAAGCTTCTTTAACAAGACGGGAAGAACTTTGACATCCGCCACCAAAACCTGGATGAGAGACGACCGATAATGTTGTACTGTCAGCGCTAAATGTAAATTAAGACGGCAATCTGCGGATGAATCAGGACTGATTACCTGGTGCAGAGTCTCGTCAGCCGACAGGTTGATGAGGATGTGGTAACAGTCCTTCACGATGGCAATAGAGGGGTCAGAGGTCAGAGCAAACACAGCATGCAGCAAGTCAGCTTTAGAGCGGAGGAAGCGGCAGCCGTCCCTGAAAACAAACACACACCCAAAAAAGAGAGACTGAGTTACTGGAAATTAGAAACAGTTTCTTTATTATGTATGATCACCGTCTTGACATTTTCTTATTTTGAGGGATATCTTTCTTTTCTTTCAGGCCAGTTTCTAGCTCATACAATCCTTCTTTATAAATAATTATTATCAACGTGGATATTATGACCTCATCATCATCCGTCACTGTACCGGTTTCCAGACATCCCCAGGATGTACTCTGTGGTTTGACCTTTGACATCGGGGCGCGTTTCGGGGCTCAGGAAGGAGAGCAGCTCTGCAGCCTCGGTTTCACTCAGCATCTTCCAACAGAGTCTGGAAACAACGAACAACCTTCAGGTCAGTAAACTACTGACATGCACATATAAGTGCTTTAAAGACTGATCTGAAACAAACAAACAAAAAAGTATTTTAATATAATCCATTATTGTTGCTGACCCGTGTCATCAAAAAAACCTGTACCGTTATCTGCTTTTATCTTAAACGTTTAAATGCCTCACATCATAAATAACGCAACTTGTGTATTTGCTGTTGTTTACAGTCGACATTGTGATATTAACGTGCAACGTTCCACGGCGACAATAAAGTATCATAACTGTAAGTAACATATCTGTCTTAACGTTACTAAAGTAAACAGCAGCCGGGACGTTAAGTACGTTTGGTGCCATGTTGGATGAATTACATGATTTATTAACGCAATAAGAACATCAGTAAAGTGAACACGAAAGGAACATTTGACCAACTCCTGATTTCAACTATGAATATATACAGATAGCTTACCTTTAACAAGCTACAGAACTAATCAACTTTTCAATTCACGGTTTCATCTCTTTGTAAGTATCTCCTGATATTAAACAACATGCGTACATGTGGAGCCGACAGAGGAAACACTTCCGGGTTTTCTTCTTCGTTGTCTCCTTTTCCCGCAGCGTGGTGAGTGACGACACTGCTCCCTGGTGTTCGCCGCGGGTAGCGGCCTCCGAAGCTCACAGCTTGATGTCGTTGAAGCTGGATCTCAACATTCATTAAAGAACAGAACTTGGACCAGTGAAATGAGACAAAAACAACAATGAAAGTATAGTATTAGTATTTTAAAATTAAGGAGACATCCCACCTATTGTTTTATTGTATACTCAAAAGAAAAAGTATTAGAAACAGATAAAGGCCCCCTCAGGTATTTATTGAGGGAACCGTGAACTTTTAATATAATTACTTTCCCATTGTTTAGCTATGATGCAAAGAAGCGTGTAGACTACGCTGGGTTTAAAATAAGCACGACATCATTTGAGAAATGTGCGTGTTTGTTCGACTTCAAGGAGTAACATGACTTCACACGGACATTTTCAATCTTCAAAACTACTTTATTGATATATATATATATCAGAAAAACAAAAACACATTAGACTTTCACATAGCTTCGATTCATCAGCAACAGCTCCCATTCACTACACATGTTGCATTGAAATGCTGATATTGCATATAAACGTTCACTAATGTTGTCCTGCACCGCAGCTCAATGTTCACCGTCTGATTAAAAAAGGCACAGCTCAACCTTCACCGACCGAACAGTCCAGACAACATCGGGAACTTTTCTTCTTAGACAAAACCATCCACGGAGCAAATGCTGCGGAATGTTTTTTTAAATCTTTAGGTAACAAAAAGTAAACATTTTTTTAAAAGCTCCAGCGCAGCATTTTGACGCTATACACATAAGGAAAAACAATAATAACAACAACAACAACAACAGCAACATCAACAGCGTCGCTATGGAAAAGACCTAAGCCCGGTATTTGAGATTGTGTCTGCAGACATTTCAGAGAAGTGTTCCGACTTAGAGCCTCTAGGGCGCTGGGTGAAGAAACATGCCGGGGCTCGTCCAGAAGGTCTGAAGAAGGTCAGTAGACTGAAGAACGTCACCGATCCATCCATCCGTTCAAAAACAAAAACATCTGTGGTTCTCTCAACACGTTCTATACTTGTTGCATACATTTCAATAGTACTTTGATACCATCAAGGTTAAAACAGCACTTTAAATCTGGAAACATGTCACTAAATATGTGAATGGTTTATATTTGGAAAGGACTGAGGAGAAGGAGAAGGAGAAGACCCTCAGTCCGGACTGTAAACAGAAATATTCAGCCAGCTTTGTTTGGCCCGCCCAGAGCCGGGGGCTCACTCCCAGACGTAGAACCCCCCCCTCCCTCCCCCCTCCCAGAGTCAGACAACCAACTCTTTCTGAAGCGTTTCGGTGAGTCGGCAATGTGGTGGCACCGTGGTTGCCGTGGTAACGCAGTACTAGAGAATCTTTCGGTGCTGAACGTGGTGTATTTGCATCAAAGTCCGGCTCTCTGAACGGTGGCAAGAATCGCATGTTGAAGACCGAGAGTAGGCATCAGAAGGCACAGTGGAGTTTGATTGGCAGACTGAGATCAGCTGACAGTCTCTCCTCGTTGGTCTTTATCATCATCATCATCATCATCATGATCAAACCTCCTCCCGCCCCCCCCCCCCTCTTCACTCAGCCTTGTCTTTCTTTTTGGATGTGAACGGGACTTTGCTGGCGACAGTCGAGCCCACCGAGGAGACGCCGCCGGCCACGGCGGAGACCCCGCCCTTCACAAGCCCCACCCCCATGGCGGGCACGGTGGTCACGGCCGACTTGGTGAGCTCCAGGCTTTTGCCGCCCACCCAGGCCACCCCGCCCACAGCGGCGCCCACGACTCCTTTGGTGACGTTGAAGAGGCCGCCGGTGACCCGCCACATCATGCCGGGCGCCGCCACCACGTGGTCCTTACCGGAATCTGGGAACGGATCAAAGCACACGTGAGGCAACGGTGGAACGTTTTTGACAAACAAAAGAACAAAGAACCATGATGGGGAACCACGGTGCTCCGTTTGCCCGGTGGGGAGGGAAATGAAAACAAAGAACCTATAAATAAAAACGTGGTGTTCCCTGTGGACAGAAGCCGTAGTGTTTCCAAGCGCCGGACTCCCTGAAGAAAACCTCACAGTCTACAGGGGCAAATGTTAACTTGCTTAAGCTACTTAAACAGGTTAACATTTGCCGATGCAAAGTACAGTAGAGGCTCATGGGAAATGTTGTTGTGTAGCCATTAGGTGGTAAACATAGACCTGACGGTGGTAGATAAAGAGTGTATTATGTGCTGAAATGAGGCCGATTCTTCTGCCTCTTAGTGGTGGTGAAGTGCTAGTTGACGTAGCGATGTGGTCACAATGTGGGGTGTAATTGGTGCTGTGGTGTCTTTCTAAACAACCCCCTTGACCTCCACATTACACCTGAGGGTGTGAACCGAAAACAGAATAAGCAAAGGATCAGCAAAGTTGACTGTGAGTAGCAGCTCTTACACAAACACACAGACTCCCCAGGGCGAAAACCAAACGTTCCGAAATAGCAGCAGGCAACGTGCGAGCACAGATTGCATCATATTCCGCCCCCTTGGTGATGCAGCGTTTAGCCACATCCCTTCCCCCACCGGGACCCCCACCGCTCACCCTCGGGGGGCTGGTTGTCGGCGGGTTCGGCCTCGTCCGGGGCCATGCTGGTCCCCGGCTGCGGCTCCGCGATGGCGCTGTTCACATTCTGGAAAACGAGGGGAAAAAAAAGAGAAGAAGACTTTCTTCACTCAAAATTGTTTTCATCATCAAATATCAACCTCAGAAATCTGTGATATTTCCTCTTTTAAATTTACAGTTTTATAAATTTGAAACATAATCTAATTAACTTAGACATCTAAAAAAGCTGCATCAAGTCAGTTAAATAACCCTGATGATGCTAAAAGACGGCGATAGCACACACGTTGCTCTTTCAGCGTTCTGTAGTTCTATTCAGTGAAATGTTTACCATTACTGTGGTATCAAATTCACTGATTTTTCCTGTTTTCTGTAAACTTCTGGTACTGTGACAATGTGCAGGGAAAAGCATCATATCGAAACTACGCTCAAAAGGCAACTTATTGGATAATCCTTGTCCCTCAGTGAAAGAAAATTAACTATTTCAACTCCACATCAGGTAAAAAAAAAGGGAAAACCTTGGTCATGATGATCATATTTAAACATGTGACACACTTACTACGCTATAAAGATGACGTTGAGACGTGGAGGCCATTTTATTTATTCCAGCCTTATTTATTTGACCTTTGTTAAATATGTATGTGTCACTGAAGACAGAACAAGATGTCTTGGGAGTTTTGTGTCCCCCTGACTGGCGTCCAGGCCTCTGTGGGTCAGTGGTCTTAACCCTTGACCTTTTAAAATGAAGCCTCCATCTCAACACAGGCCAGAAGCTGTGACGCTTGGGTTATGAAAACGACACGTAGAGGCTTCAAACCAAAGTGCATTTCGCACCTCAAACTCAGCGAGCGGTTCCGACATTATGACCCCGCACGCGGATCGTAGTTTGGGAAACATTTGCAGGAAGCGGTGACGTCACACTTAAATTCTGCTCTACAGAAGAAGAACGAACACAGAACTCTTCTCGGGGAGAACCGAGGCCACGTTCCACTGACCCGCACGCAAATAAAACCACATCCAAACCCCACACAGCCGCGTCGGGACGTCCGTCAGCGAAGCGCGTTATGAAACATTAACGAGGAGACTGGTTAGTTTTACCTTCACCATTGTTCCCACAGCCTGCTGCCTCCAACACACCTGGCAGGGAAACTTGAGACAGCGTTGAGCCCCCGAAACAGAACTGTGCTCTCAAACGCTGCGGTTTGTCTCTCGGTCACTGCAACCTTCCTCTTCTTCTTCCTCCTCCTCCTCCTCTTCTTCCTCTTCCTCGTCCTCGTCCTATCGCATTAAAAACTAACGTCAAAACGAACCGCGTCTGCGGGGCTTCTCTCTCGGCGTGAGGCTGAGCTACGCAGCTCTCTTTTCAGCCTGCTGGTTCTGCCGACGTGGCGCCCTCAACAGACACACACACACACACAAACACGCACGCACGCAGACACGCACGCACACGCCGTCAAAGTACACGCGACAACGCCTTAGATTTCCGTTCGACCCCTTCAAATTAAAACTCCCCTCGGTGACGAGGTGGACCACTCGGTATTGTTTATATTATATTATAGTTTATAGTATTTCCCCTTATTCCGGCCAGTGTTATTTATTAGTCTAATAATACGTATGCTATTTTATTGAAGACATTTCCTTGATATGATAACTGAGACATCTTGGGAAGGAGAGAAGACAAAAATTTTCTGCCAGAAAAAATCTGAGTGGAAAAAAGAGTTTTCTGTGGAGAGAATCAAAGTTGAGAACTATTCAGGGCATTTACACAGTGCCTAAATAGCTCAAACATGATCAGAAGAACAGTTCAGATATTTCGTTATTGAGTCTACTTTATAGAAGAAATATAAAGTAAGTATATAATTGGCTGCTGTTTGATATCACAGCGAATCATCACTTTGTCACTTGTCACTTTGTCTCTTGTCTGTTACTTGTTTGTTAGTGCACTTTATGCTTAATACTTTTCTTTAACTTTTTAATATTTAACATTTTTTAACTTTATTCCCTTGTTTTATACTAACCCATAGCCTTAGCCTTATTCTACTAACCCATTGCACTAGCATTTCATTCCACTTTATTTTATTACTTGTGCACTGTTGTCTTGTCTGTCTACTGTCGCGCACTAACCGCCAAGACAAATTCCTTGTATGTTTGACATATTTTGGCTAATAAATGTTTCCTGATTCCTGATTCCTGAAAGTTGTTTGTCGTTTTCACTCCTTAAGGCAAAGTTGTTTGGGGCTTTTATTACAAAAACCGGAAGTTGTTTGTGGGCAGCTCACACAGCGCCAGCGCCAAATCCAGCTGCGGTAGCATCGCTACAACCTCCAGTGGCTGATCTGTACCTCCTGTTTAATTATGTACATTTAAAAAAAGGAAGACTAACATGCAAACTGACATGTGCTGCACGCAAACACACACACACACACACACACGCGCGCGCGTATTGATTTCCATGCACCTGTAGATTCAGTTCTGTGTAGTGACGACATATACTTTCATTCATTCAGAAATAGAATAGAACATGGCACCTGGGCCACAAACACATTATAAGGTCGACACACAAGACTCTAAATCCCGAAATAAATCCTCTGAATCGTCAAATAAAGGAATCAGTTCTTTACGTCATGCCAGAAATGTGCAACAGAAAGAAAGACACGAGAGAGGCAAATCAGATTGAATTCAGTCTTGAAAACAAGGCGGTTATTTGAGTTTAGTATTGAGTTTAATTGTTGGTAACCAGTCAGTTAAATGTCGTTGAGTAGAAGTATAAACCAGCGTAAGATGAAAAATACTCAAACGAGTAGTACCCAACCTCCAGAAGAAGACGCTTTTATTTTGTTCAGGCATATTGTCGGACGCATTGTTTGGGGTCCTCACTGGAGGCTCCGCGCCAGTCTCCCCGGTCGGCAGAACAGAAGTAAATACGAGTGTAATTTAGGGAGAAATCTGTGAAACCAAGTCGTTGAGCGGCCAGTCGTCCAACAATGAACCTAGATCTGCTCGGTAATGATCCTTCTTTGTTTACGATGAAGCGGACTTCTCTCACGTAGCTAACACTGTACTTGTTGTGGTTAGCATTGTACGTTAGCCTAGCGTGCTACCATCAACCGAAACGACGAGTCAAAGAAAATAATTTAAATACTTGTATTAGTAGATCCACCCTGCTGACGTATGTTCAAGTTTACCTATTTTTCGAATGGTTCGTCTGCGTTTATTAAAATATCTATATATATAACGCTATATATATATGTAACTTGAATAATTGATAAGATGTAGCAGTTGGGCTAACGTTAGCATCACACTTTGTTTCTCATTCTAGCGTTATTTGAATGAAATGTTAAGTTATGTGAAAGTACAGACCCCTGCCTTTCGTCCTCTTGTGGTTTTCTCCATATTCATTATTATTGATCCATTGCTTTTTTGCCTTTATTGGGTTAATGTGATGATAAATGCAACACCGGCTGGTCCACACGACAGCGAGCAGTTAGTTACCTGTTTCTGTGGAGGAAAGTGATGATGAAAAAAAGAAGCTATGCAATTGATATAAAAACAACTAAATGGAAACTAAGTTTTCTGTTTGAAATTAAGTTTTAAATAAACCAGCATGAATGTTCATCTTATCCAGGTTTGATGTCTGTAATGTTTTTCATTTTCATCTACAGCCAGAAGGAGGAAAAACCGTGGGATCAATTTTCTGAGTCAGAAATAGAATACAATCTAAATCAGGGTTTTAAACATTCTTGTTGTCGGTGTTTAGGCTAAACACTATTATTTTATCTTACCACAAAAGTTACTCATTTACTTATGTGAGAAACTATGTGATATTAATCTGAAATAAAACTGTTGGTACAATCCCTGCCGTCTGTCATCTTTATAAATGAAAGAGCAGGAAATCCACAGAGAAATACTCTAATTTCTCTAACGGCATCTTAAAACTTTTCGATGAAAACTTAACAAAACTTAAATTAATATTTGTAGATGAAGAAATTTCAGTATATCTGTAGGATACGTTTTTCTGTTTGTCTTGTTAATGTTCTGCTTCACCCGATTTGTTGGGGAATTCTTTAATGTAAAAATGAGTAAATGTTTTTTTTTTCCTTGTAAATGTCCACACAGTTCTTTCTTATGAATTACTGGCTCAGACTTTGGATTAAACTTCAGGATTTCTCTCACTTTACTCATGGATAATTTCCTGCTACTTTCTGGTGAATATTCAACTTAATTGTTTAAAATTTGTTGTAAAAGTTTTGAACTTACTCATTTGTGTTTCCCTTGAGCCTTTGAGATTGATATATTACTTTAATTTAAGATTACTAAATGTTTTCTCTGTAAAAATAAATCAACTCTACTGCCATTCCCTGTACTCTGCCGCCCCACACAGAATATCTGTACAGCCTCTATGAATGAACTTTGTCTCTTGTTTCTCATCACTTTTTTCTCTCGTATTTCTCTCATAGAGTCGTTCGGGCAGAACTACCCAGAGGTAAGAGCTCTTTCTCAAGTTTATTGAAAATCTGGTTCCAATCTTTTAATACGCACAAAGTTTAATCTTTTTATTCAGGAAACGTCCTGATGGGAAGCTCCCCTACTGATGCAAATTCTCTGGCTGTTTTATTGTTTAATTGCGGCTGTTTCTAGGAGGCAGATGGCACCCTGGACTGTATCAGTATGGCCCTCACCTGCACCTTCAACCGCTGGGGCACCCTGCTGGCCGTGGGCTGCAACGACGGGCGCATCGTCATCTGGGACTTCCTCACACGGGGCATCGCCAAGATCATCAGCGCACACATCCACCCCGTCTGCTCTCTGTGGTGAGACACGCAGCCACCCGGTACCCGTGTTAGACTGCACGCAATATAACGGTAACATTTTAACGAGGATTTGGATGAATGTGTGCAGCTGGAGTCGTGACGGTCACAAGCTGGTGAGCGCCTCCACCGACAACATTGTCTCGCAGTGGGACGTCCTGTCCGGAGATTGTGACCAGAGGTTCCGCTTCCCCTCACCCATCCTGAAACTGCAGTGCCACCCCAGAGACATGTGAGTGACGCCATGGCGCCCGCTTGCCCGTCACTTTCCCCCCGATGGGTTTAACCGCCACAACAGAACTAACCGGACGCTATGCTCGGGTCTCAGGGACAAGGTGCTGGTGTGTCCCATGAAGTCGGCCCCGGTCCTGCTCACGTTGTCCGACTCCAAACACGTCGTCCTGCCCGTGGACGACGACTCGGACCTGAACGTGGTGGCGGCCTTTGACAGGAGGGGGGAGTTCATCTACACTGGCAACGCCAAGGGAAAGGTCAGACAACACAAAACCCTTGAATTTTACACTCTGAACTGTTTTTGTGTTTCTGAAGTGTTTATCTTCCCTCACCTCTCCCCCTGTCTCCTGTTGTAGATTCTGGTGTTGAACACAAACACTCAGGAGCTGGTGGCTTCCTTCAGAGTGACAACTGGCACCAGCAACACCACGGCCATCAAGTCTATTGAATTTGCACGCAAGGGCAGGTGAGGGGCGGCAGGAAGTCTTTCTGTAGACCCTCTATGGGTGAAGATCTGGACGTTAGCTGTGATGACATTCGAATGTGCTGTTAATAAGTGAAACAGACAGCTCGGTGCACTGTGCCTTATTTTCCAGCAGAGGGCGCTCTGAGCATTCACTACCACCTCGCTGGGCACATCAAGATTTTTGGGAACCATGATTCACAATCTAACGCAATCCATGTTGGTTATAATTAGACTTATTAGAGATGACTTATTAGCCCCCCACTCTCCCCCCCGTAACTCCTTTTCTGGTTCACCTATCTGGTTTTCTACGCAGTTGCTTCCTCATAAACACAGCAGACCGGATCATCAGGGTGTACGATGGCAGGGAGATACTGACGTGTGGCCGAGACGGGGAGCCTGAACCCATGCAGAAGCTACAGGACCTGGTGAACAGGTATGTTGACGCGGCTGCAGAATTGCCAAGCTCCGTGGCGTTGTCTCCATCCTTCCCTCTGATCTCCTTCGGCCCGCTACCTGTGTTCAGGACTCCCTGGAAGCGATGCTGTTTCTCTGGCGACGGCGAGTACATCGTGGCCGGTTCAGCCAGGCAGCACGCCCTCTACATCTGGGAGAAGAGCATCGGCAACCTGGTGAAGATCCTGCATGGGACCAGAGGAGAGCTGCTGCTGGGATGTGGCTGTAAGAACGTCAAATATTGAGAAATGTACAACACTGCCTAGAGATTTAAACAATGACACAAGACAATGTATTTTATAATCTGATAATTCACCCGTCTCACCTTTTGATCCCCAGTGGCATCCTGTCCGTCCGATTATCGCCTCCATCTCCAGTGGAGTGGTGTCCATCTGGGCTCAGAACCAAGTGGTGTGTAGACGTGACGGTAGAAGCTGAGTGAACTTTGTCGTGTTGGATTCTCGCTCTCTCTCTCTCTCGCTGGCTCCATCAACATGCGACTCATTGCTTTTTTTTTCTACAGGAAAACTGGAGCGCTTTCGCTCCGGACTTCAAAGAGCTGGACGAGAACGTGGAGTACGAAGAACGAGAGTCAGAGTTCGACATCGAGGACGAAGACAAGAGTGAACCCGAGCAGACAGGTAGGGGGACACGTGCCGGCTTTTAATCTGGAAACAAACTGCTCATTCAAAGGAATAACAAATCATTGGAAACGAGGCTGGTAACAAAAAGTCTTAACTGTTTGCATGCTACTATTTCTATGTATGTACTTTCCCTCACAATCCATGTGCTGGTCTCACTGGTTCTCTCCTTTGCTGCTGTTACAGGCGCAGACGCCGCCGAGGATGAAGAGGTGGACGTCACCACTGTCGACCCCATCGTGGCTTTCTGCAGCAGGTGAGACCCCCGTCCCCCCGTCCCACCTTCACCCGAACCCTCCAGAGTCACGTCTCATGACTGGAAATGTTGATTCTCGCCCCTGTGCTGCAGCGATGAGGAGCTGGAGGACTACAAGGCCCTGCTGTACCTGCCCATCGCCCCCGAGGTGGAGGATCCGGAGGAGAACCCCTTCGGCCCCCCGCCGGACGCCTCGGTGCAGCCCGCCGCCCCCGAGGAGGCGCTGGCCGGCAGCGACAAGAAGAAGCTCTCGTCTGAGGGGGGCCCGACCAAGAAGAAGGCTCGCACCACCACCATCGAGCTGCAGGGGGTCCCCAGCGACGGTGAGGGGGCGGAGCAACAGACACAGAGGGTTTAAGTCAGCGTACAGACACTAATCCTGATGTGATTCCCTGTCGTTTTTATTGTCCCTCTCAGAGGTGCACCCCCTGCTGGGAGTGAAGGGGGACGGCAAGTCCAAGAAGAAGACAGCCGGCCGGCCCAAAGGCTCCAAAGGTAAAGACAAAGACTTCCCCTTCAGGCCCAAGCCCTACAGCGGCGAACGGCCCTCCTCCCCCGTGGAGGCCCTGGGCAGCTCTGCCCCTGGAGGAGGAGGAGGTGGAGGAGGAGGAGGAGGGATGAAGGGCAGGGCAGAGGGGGGCCTAGGCACAGGTAAGCTCTCCACCCGCCCCGCTGCCGCTCTGTCTGGCAGCTCCGCTCAGTCTGACTGACGCCTCCACGCCTCGGCCTGTCTCCCGTACTGCTTCCTCCCCAACACCCCCCCCCCCTCACTGACCCGCATGATGTAAAGCCACAGTCTGGAGGACAAAACGCAACACCTGCAGCGTTCCATTAAATGACATCCGGTCCCGTTAACGGCAGCTTCTTCAAAAACCTCCACGAAGTTACGAGGAAATGATGAGACACGATGGATGGAGCCAAAATATGATATATTGCAAGATTTTTTGGCTAATATTTATGCAATATTAAATGGTTAAATTGTTTTTTCTTCATGTTAAAAGGAAAGTAATAGATTTGTTCTCTGTCTCACAATCTACAAGATAAAAGTTCTGTTTTTCCACTATTTTGTTTTTCTTCTTCTTGCTGAGACATTTTGATTCTCTCTGAGGACAAATACCTCGAGTGAAGCCAATATTTCCCCCCCATGTGTGGGCTGTGTGTTTGAAGGCCGCTGTGTGTACCGACACAAAGACGCCGCCTCAGAAGCAGCGATGGACGCATCGAAGCTAATTCCAGTCCTTGAAGTTATGTAATTACAGCCATAAAACCGTCCAAGATTTCAGCCGCTTCCTTTTTCGTGCTCAGATTACAGTTTATAGCTTCTAACGTTTCAGACTAAATGGACTAAACCAGAGTGGTGTTTAAAGTGAAGCGCTCTCGTCCTCACACGTGAAGGACCTGTTTGCCAAAATATTAAATCAAACACATTAAAGAGGGAGAGAAACATTATTTCCTGATGGTGTGATGAGGATTCCACAGGAGGCGAATCTACAGCGGCGACTTTCTCCCCCCCCCCCAGACTGTGGCTTTACGACCTCTGCTGACCTTCTGCTGACCTCAGCCTCGCGCCGACTGCCTCGCCGCCACTCCAGCTCGACGGAAGTCGGTCTGTAGTTGGCGGCTGGGTGCTGACGGTGTGGGTGGTGCAGCTCGTTTCCCACCGTGGGCTAGCTGGCTAGTCTACGTCTGCTTCCTGCTTGACCTTTGACCCTCCTGCTCTCACCTCGCTCCCTGTGCTTGTTGTGTGTGTCTGTGTGTTTATGTCTGAACTAAGTACAGAAAAGACCAAATATAAAAATATCGGTCATTATGAACAGAACTGCATTTAAAATAAGACCAACCTCTCAACACAACGCTGCGCTCTGTCTGCTTCAAATGAACAAATACAATTTAATCAACTGTATAACTATTTAATAAATCTGAGGACTGCAAAAACAACACGAGCCATGTAATGTAAATTATTTACAAAAGAATAATTTAACATTTTGGAGAATCTGCTCATCTGTGGGATTTCCCTGTTGGATGGTACCGAATACGGCAAAATCACTATGACAACGAGATGCGGTTGTTTGTCATTCATGTACAACATCAACAAAGACCCAATGTTAGTTGTGAGCTTTCCAAGTGTGTGCAGGTGAACAGAGGCAAGCTGGCGCTTTCCCCCGACTTCCTGCCTTTATGCTAAGCTAGGCTAACCACCTCCTGACTCCAGCTCCTCACCATTACACACAGACGCGAGTTCATATCCATCCAAAATGTTAAACTATTGGTTTAATAAAATCTTTTAAAGAACCACTATTTAAACTTTTAAACTTCTTTCTGTCAAGCAGATTTTCAATAAAAACACAACACGTCCTGCACAGATTTTTCACATTAAAAGCATTTCAAGGAGCTTCAAACATTTGCAGGAAGAGTCACGTTTTATGAATCGCAGCATAACAGCGGCCGCAGACATCGGTGCAGCTGAAGTTATTAGAATGAATGAATAAAATAAATAGTGTCTGAAGCTGAGTGGTGAGTATGATATTCCTCTGTTGTTCCTCCAGCCCTTATTGAAATACATTCTTTCACTTGATAATTGCCCGTCAATCAGAAGAAAGTTGTGTAACCGGCGTGTTCCTCCGCAGGAAGCCTGGTGTCGCAATCGTACAAACAGCACGACATGGGCGGGATGGACTGACCACGGCCGTGTGCGCTTTTTGCGAAGGAGCCTCCGATCAGGCTGAAACTAAGAGACACAAAGTCCTGATGTGCAAAGCGTCCACATGTCCCCATGTCCCCCTCTGGCGGTGTAGGATTCTGTATGTAGGAAGCCCTCGTCCTGATGTGTCTGTGAGTCGTATTGTTTTTATACGTATTAAAACATTTGGTTTATACGTAACCGTGTGGTTCCTGAGTCAGATTTGCCGACACTCCAGATTCATGCAGTTAAACAATGTGAAGTAAATTAAAGGTTTGTTTGCTTTTTGTTAACTGTTTTCGAACTAAATTGTATCTTATAAGACAAACAACTATAAATCTCAAGGTACATATCATATGTTTACTCTACAATATTTCAGACAGTAATATTGCTCTTTTTACTGCACTTTGTTAATTAGCCATTTACTAGTCACATTATCAGTAGGAAATGTGATCCGTTGTTACAGATTAAACTAGGAAAAATACATGAAGTACAAATAGCTCCACTGTAGTTAGCGACAACAGCTTAATCCATAATAATGATAGAATTACATAGTCGTATATCACATTTTGGATTAAGTGTGTACGTTTGTGTAGAGTACATTTTGAAAGCAGGACTTGTAGTGAAGTATTTTTAACGGTTGTATTTCGGGCCTCCGTGGACAGTGGTTAAAGGAAGCGCGAATCAACTTGTCAAACAGCCAGTTGTGGTGGAGAGAGTTAACGATCATATAACCACAAAAGACTGTCTCCTCACAGCAAGAAGGTCCTGAGGTCGATTCCACTCAGCGGCCTTCCGTGCATGTTCTCCCCGTGTCTGCGTGGGTTCTCTCCCGGTACTCCGTCTTCCTCCCACCCTGGGCATCAGGCTAATTGGAGACTCTAAATTGCCCGTAGGTGTGTGGATGTGAGTGTGACGGTTTGTTTATCTCTGTGTTATAACGTTTGAATTGAGGTTAGGAAGTGAAGGTGAACTACTTGCAACCGCAATATTTTGTCAATATTTTAGTCTCAACATTGAAGCTTTTCTCTTAAAAATATTATTTTTACTTTATGTAACACTAGAAATGTTATAGTTATAATACAACTTTTCTCCCAGCATATTATCAAAATTATGAGCTTTATTAAAAAAAACAGACGTTTTCTTATGACTTCTTCTTGGTGTATGACACAAGATTACTTTTTTATAACTTTCTTGTAAGCCTTATAAAATGGCATTTTTCTTGATAATACAACTGTATTCTGTATTATTTAGCTGTTGTGTAAAGGCTTTAGACTCATAACATTTGAATGCACCCCCCTCAAAAATATATCAACTTTCTTAAAAGTCCAACCTTTATTTTGAAGCCCTAATCGGAAGTAGTATGTCTGTGACAGCCACTCGGACAGCAGCAGCAGCCGCAGAAGAAGGAGGAGAAGAAGAAGAAGAAGAAGAAGAAGTAGTCAGTCGGTCCTGCAGTACTTCCGAAGTGTTGCTAATAGCGAGTAGTACCGGGCGGCGTACTTTCTGTGACGTTTCGTGTTAACTTTCTGACCGTTAACCGGAACTCAGTTTGTCGTCGTTGGTGTGATGGAACTGGACAAAATGGACGAGAACGACTGGAAGTATCACGGAGAGGGAAACAAGAGTCTGGTGGTCTCACACGTACAGGTGAGGGCTAGGCTAACATGAAGCAAGTCCAAGTTTGGCTAAAGCAGATGCTGACTTAAAATAAGCTTTTATAGAGACACCCCGCCCGCTTCACACTTTACGTTAAACTAACTCTTCAGCTGAGTGTTGGTGGGAAGTTTTCAAAGGGATCATCTGAGATATGTTTAAAACGGGAGGGGGGGGGGTGAAATGTCAACTGGCAGGACTTCATGTTCGCTATCACCACTAGCCGGTGGTTGCTAGCTTAGCCCGCTTGCTAGCAAACAACTAGTTGTGACTTCAAAGAGTACAAGCTATCAAAGAAAGGTCGTGCTGAGCGACTACGCTCAGAGCCACGAACAATGGCCACCAATCGCTTATGGATTCATGTCAGGTCGCAGTGACGCACCGACCGGGAGGTCACTAACGTTAAATGCAAGATCCCAACGGGCTGCCGGGGAGCTAGCTTAGCCGTTAGCATCCTCCCCAGGTTTCCCCGCAGTGACGCTGGTGGAAGTCAGCGCTTTGCTGCCCAACGGGACCTGCGGAGGGTCCGGTCGACTTGTTATTGAGCAACCGGTGACGTGTTATGGTGTATGACGTCATGGAGATGGAACCAGAAACGGAACTGTTCGTACATACATGATGTTTGGGTCCACTGGACCAGCGGCAAATAAGTGGTATTTGTAGGTCCTAATGTACGTTCAGTCTGATGGAGGACACCATCAAAACACCTCTGAGCTCCCCAATATTCACCCTACTTGCTGTTCATTTTTTTTCACACAAGAATGAACCTCATACAAGGGTTGAGATTACAGCTCTGTTCTACAACCTCATTTTTCCTGCTGAACTAATGAGTAAAATAATGACCGAAAACAGGCGGCCAGAAAGAAAGTTTATTAAAAATTAAGATCAGAAACTAAAGTTTTTGATCAATATAGATTCATTGAAGTTGGTATAAAACATGTTAGAGTCCAAAATCAAAATATGTTCAACATCCGCTATACTTAAAATAATGGCGTCAATAAGAAGTCCGATTTACAGTATAAATCCCTCTAGCAGTTCCCACGTTGCATTACAACATCGCCTGCTTTCCCGCATTACCTGCTTTCCTTGATCAATGTCGTAGATACTCACTGCTAAAGTTTCCCGACACTTATAATTTCATCATAATCCCAGGTATTTGTATGTTCTTTACTCACACACACCCAAATGCTGACAGAATTACTCACTGCCATTTATTGTCATTGCTATTCATACAGATCTTCTAGTTTTTCTTTATGCAATTTGAGTCACACATTCCAACCGCAGACTGTATGTAAGATGTAGACGTGGTCACTGTGATTCTAGGTGTTATTTAACTTTAAAACACGTGTTCTGCAGTCACCTTCACTTGCTTAATCAGATGCCAGCGCAGTAGCGACCTGTCAATCACAGTAGCCCCGCCCTAAAGGATACCCTGCTTTAGGGTCTGTTTAGCGTTAAATGAAGAGACGTGCGCTCGGTGCCAATCTGCCCCTTTATGCACTGACTTTGAGGCGCGCTCCGCTAACTCAGGGAGGGTTTGGGTTCCTTTGTTTGTCAAATGCGTTTTAAGACTCCGGTACATATTTTAAACACGCTTTATGAACTTGTAGAGTGATTTTATCATCGACTTTACAACCAAAGGAGTCGCCCCCCTGCTGGCCAGTACAAAGAATGTAATTAAAATCCATTGTAAGACTCCAGTTGCACTGTTTAAAAATGTACTTTGACCCAGCGCATGAATCTCTGGGAGATGATCCTGGTGGACCCGGTCCAGGTCTGAGTCCGGGTTTAAGCGAGGCTCCGCTAACTGCGCTTTTCTTCTGTTCTTGTAGCTTTCCAGAGTCCTACGCCTGCTCAAGTATCCGGCCGAGGACTCTGAAAACCCACCACAGGTAAACATGAGCGTGTGTGCGTGTGTGTGTGTGTGTCAGGGGTTTCTGAACTTAAACCGCTGCACAGTGACATTTTGAGGTCACATGGATGGTTGTGTTAATCTTTACCATAGGAACTTCTATTCTTTCTGACAGACTTTACAGAGTTAAATTATCTAATCTGAGTGGTTGTCGCCACAAATTCGAGGGCCTAATTTACAGCTTTTTATTATTTGGAGAGGTGCTTTACATGGAGGGGCTGAGTCACACTTACATCCAGCTCGCACTTCACATCCACCCGTCTGCAGCACTTTTCTTCCTACTTCTGTAAAGCAAATCAAATATTGATAAAACCTTACTGTAATTGGTGAATGAATGAAATCAATCAGCTGTCACTCACACCCGGCTACAGGAGAAACCGCCCCGTTTAGTCACAGCTTTGTTTGTTGTCGGCCGCTCATCTTGCATCCTGGTCAGATTAATCCACATGTAAACTAAAGCGCAGCTCTGCCCAACCCCGAAATTCAAATTTTTCTTTGGCTCGTCGGCTGCCATCACTTTGAACACGGCTGTTAGCCGAGCTGAAGCTCTTATTGACATTGTGATGCAGTTAGATTATTTTTACGTGAGAACAAAAGTGTGAAATACAAATGTATGCATTTCTGTTCTAGGGAGAGTTCTTGACAAATGCTCAATTGTAGATTGTGTGACAGGTCTGAACTGTGATGAGTGAAGAGTCAAAGAGTGTTTGTCCAGAATCGCACACTGCTTTGCGGTTTGGTGAAGATCCACAACAACAACAACAACAACAATAAGGCTCTTTAGAGGCTGAGTTTTTAGAAAGTGACTCACTGCAGTGCGAGCGGCCCTTCAGCATTCATCAGGAATCAGGAATCGGGAAACATTTATTAGCCAAAATATGTCAAACATACAAGGAATTTGTCTTGGCGGTTAGTGCGCAACAGTAGACAGACAAGACAACAGTGCACAAGTAATAAAATAAAGTGGAATGAAATGCTAATGCAATGGGTTAGTAGAATAAGGCTAAGGCTATGGGTTAGTATAAAACAAGGGAATAAAGTTAAACATTTTTAAATATTAAAAAGTTAAAAAGAAAAATATTAAGCATAAAGTGCACTAACAAACAAGTAACAGACAAGAGACAAAGTGACAAAGTGATGGATTGCAGTTAAAGTGACATGTGCGGTATGAGGGGGAGTGACCGGTGGAGTGTTATAGTCAGGCAGTGGGGGACCGGCTCTGTTGATGAGCCCGACTGCCGACGGGAAGAAACTGTTGGTGTGGCGGGAGGTCTTAGTCCTGATGGACCTCAGCCTCCTGCCAGATGGAAGGGGCACAAACAGTTTTTGTCCGGGGTGGGAGGGGTCGGCCGCGATCTTTTTAGCTCGCTTCAGAGACCAAACACGTAGCCGTTCTCGAAGGAGCACAGAGGTTCTCATTCACGCTCAGACGCAGACACTCTTCTCTAATCGAAGGTTATTATCAGCGGCAAGACGCACGTGACCGAGCTCTCTGACGGTTACATTTGCTCTTTTGTGCGGAACTGATCTGTGACTCTGATCCGAACCGTGAGTTTTATGATGCGTTCCACAGAGCGTTTCTTACCCAAAGGCCGTTGCCATACAGACAACAAATAACTCGCACAGTCACAGTGTCAACACTGTTCAAGTCTGTCGAGTTTGAGAGCGTGTGTGTGCAAGACGGGAACTTCACCCAAAGAGACGAAACCCCCTGGAATCTGTTGGCGAGTAAGGAACAGGATTTTCTACCGCACCCGGCCCAGTGGCTAACGAAAAGTGTATGTGTGTGTGTGTGTGTTGCAGACAGTGGAGCAGGCCTTCAGGCAGATTCAGAACATTGTGGACTTCAGCTCCAACGTGATGAGCTGCCTGCTGGGAGAGAAGTTCATCCACAGCGGGGTGAGGCGCTTTCTTTGCTTTGTTTTTCACATCCAGGTTTGAAACCATAAAACGTTTAGGCTACGCAGCGCTGGTTTGTCGTCACAGGGGGCAGGAGGGGCGACCTTCAGGGTCTGGCTGGATCACCACCTTCTAATACATTTGATCACTTTCGGTATTGAAGACAATTAATCTAAATGTGTCATTTTGTAATAAAAACTAAAGCCTGGAGTCTGTCGTCATGACGCAACCCCTGCTGCCTCAGAACATCCGTTACATAAGTGACGGCCTCCATGACTACTCACCCGGCGCTCTGACTTCGTCCCGCGCTCCCCTTGTTGTTGTTGCGTTGTCCTCTACTCTGTTTCACTGTTTCATCAGTGACTCGGCAAATGTGTGTGATTAGTTTTTTGTAGATTAATCAATATTGGATCCGTTTTTCGTCGGTCAGCTGAAATTCACAGAAAACGACTGATGGGTTCAGCACATGAGAACTTTGCTACAGTGACCGTCCTCCTTCTCTCCACAGGAAGTGGTCAAGTTGCCGCTGGAGTTTGTGCGACAGCTGTCAATCAAAGTGCAACATCAGAGACCAGGTAAAACCGTATGAAAGGATTTCTCTGGGGGACATCTGGTATTTAAGAGACATGTTGGGACGGTTAGATGAGAAGTGAGTGTGTGTGTCTCTCAGCGTGGCGCTGTGATAAGGTGATGGACATCTACAGCGGCTGTGCTCTCTGTCTGCCCAACCTGACGTCTCCAGTCCTCCACCTGTCAACACACACTGCTCCACTCTGCATTGAGATCAAGGTACACACACTTTCATTTAAGTAACTTTTGTTCACTTGTTTGTTTGTTTAATCTGAAATGTATAATCTCATAAAATAAATAATGTTGTTCCTCCTGAGAAGCTGCCACAGTTTCAGAAATCTTTGCCTGTGAATCACTCTGACAAAGGGGTCATGAATCACATGAGTCTAAGTGTGTGTCACTCAGCTGTCTTTGTGTTTGTTTTGTTATCAGCCAAAATGTGGTTTCCTGCCGTCCTCCAAACACGTCAGCAAAGACATAAAGACCAAAGTGTGCCGCTTCTGCATGCACCAGCACTACAAGGTAACGACACCACCTCCACCGACCGCAGCGAAAGTTCACTGACTGCAGCGCCGCTGCACCGACCACAACTGCACCGACCGCAATGGAAGAGTTACGTTCACAGGTCCTTTATTGTCCGGTACATATTTAACCAATATTTAGGTATGTAGAAAATTCGAATTGGACTTCTGGAATGAAAAGTAAACCGCTCCGACTTCACCCAAATCAGGGTTACTGAAGGTCAGAAAGTCGTCCTCACTGGGGACCCACAGGGTCTGGGCGTATTCACGGCCCCACCGGGGAAACTGGTTCAGTGCTCCTTTGTGCCGGCTGTCTGCGTGTGGAGCCGTGAAGCCCCGCCCAGGGGCCGAAAACCAGAACAGTGTGTTGGTTTATTACTTCTGTGACGTTTCTTCCTCCAACACTGTTTCCTGTCTCTCGCCAGGTGGCCAATGGGAAGTGGAAGAGGCCGAGTCTGTACTGTCCTCTAGACCTGTTCTCAGGGTGAGATCACTGCAGAAGCTCCTCTTACCATCGACACCACTGCATTCACTGTGTGCAACTCAAATGGCCGGTTGTGCTGTGGTTTTGTGTACGGCAAGAATGCTGTATGTTTGTCATCAAGGCTCCTGCAACCGGCCTGCGTAGATCCAGCTGCTGATAATAACGCCACTTCTCTGGTTTCTCTCGATTTAGTAACCGACAGAGAATGGACTTTGCAATCAGACACCTGATTGAAGAACCTCAGAACAACTTCAAAATCTTCAAGGTGCGTCACAAGTCGACGCACAACTTCCGGTTCAACAAACAACGTAAAGTTAATGATGTGATGTTTATGACACGAGGAAGGTGAAGGGTATTTATGACTGAATGAATGAGCTCAAAATGCAGAAATACTAATGGAGAATCTTAATCTCTGCTTGAGAGCCAAGCGGCTGTAAACAAACACGAGCTGCATAATATTCTGTAATATTCACATAAATTCTTCAGGGTGGTCAGTGCATCTACAGCAGTAAGGAGGTCAGTGACGACTCGATGGACCTGAACGCTGTGCTGCAACATCTCAGACCGTACTTCATGCATGGAAACAACCGATTCAACAGTCACATGACCAGCAAAGCCGTCCTGAATGACTTGATCCAGGTAAAGCGTCGCCAAATATCTGTGGGTGTCCTTTCAGTTTAAAGTGAAGAATTGGAAACCGTGTGTGTGTGTGTGTGTGTCTCCATGAAAAGCCTCATTGTGAAACCTCTGCATGCAGGTCTTGGCGAACGCCCTGCTGAGCGGAGGAGGAGACAGGGAGGTGGTGACAGACACACGCGGAGGAGGGCGGAGCTTCTGTGAAGCAAGTCTGCTTAACAAGGAGAGGATCCGGCACGGTAAGAACTTTCTTACTGTTGTTGGTGGTTTGAGCTACACTGAGAAATAATCCGGCAGCTCAAATTACGCAGAATCACGCACCTACTTTTTCTTATGAAATTGATATTTTTGGACTTCATGTTTCCATATCTTGTCATTATTTTCTATTTGCAGGCTCTGAGGGTTTACCCAGCGACAGCGTTCTGTTCAGGATCCTTCAGACCCAGATGTTGGACACGCTGGACATCGAAGGACTTTTCCCTCTGTACCGCCGGGTGGAGCAGCACCTGCAGGACTTCCCCAAGGAGAGGTAAGGCGCTGTCAACAAGCATCAGAAGGAACCGGTGCTTATTCAGATGAATCTCATTCACCCGTCGCTTATGAAGGGGCACCGTCTGGTCTCCGGCATCACTTCCTGTCTGTGTCAGGACCCGTCTTCAGGTGGAGGGTCCGTACAACGAGGCCTTCCTGGAGAAGCTGCAGAAATGTCCGACCGAAGACGACGGCTCGGTGGAGTACGCCGTCGCCAAGGTGAGTCCGAAGGCCTCTCGTCGGGTTTCCCCGGGTCGGGTTTCCCCCCCGTGTGGCGGTCTGTTGGAGACTGTCTCACTGCTGCCTGTTTTCCCTTCAGGTCCACCAGTACCGCGTCGCCATGACGGCCAAGGACTGCTCCATCATGGTCGCTCTGGTGCCCAGAAGTGAGGAAGAGGAGGATGAAGGGTGAGTGTTGTTCACTGAGTAGAGTCCCGTTAGCCTGCAGGGACTTGAAGGATACTTTGTTTTTGTGTCTAAATTAGGCCTCCCAGTCTCTCTACTCAGAGGCGGCTCAGGGACTTCCACTCCCCCAGGCCGCCGGCGCTCTCCTACTCCGTCTCCATCCTGGATCTGGACCCGAAGTCCTTCGACAGCATCCCCAGCCAGCTGCGCCTGGACCAGAAGATCGTCTCCTGCTACCTGAGGACCGGCGGTGCCTTGCCAAAGGGCTCTCTGTCGCCGCACCCCGGGATCTTCACCGCTGCAGAGAGGGAGGACTGCACGCTGCTCTTCCACCCCGTGTAAACCCCCCCCCCGCCGCCCCCCTCTCCAGATTAACAGGGCGAACTACTGACTCGACGGCCCCCCTCGCAGATCTAGAATCCCTTCAGACCGGAGCCGCTTATCACAGACTCAGAGCACCTTTCTTACTCGGCTGATAACAAAGCAAAAGCTCAACTAATCTCCACTAACTCATCCGACGATGAAGCAACTTCCAGATCAGTTCTGTTATGGATTCTGGACTCTTCTCGTCCTGTCAGGAGGGGAATCGGCGCTCCGGTCGTCCGTATACATATTTATTACAAGACCTGAGGGAAGCGTTGGTCTTCTCCTCTTTGGTGACGAAGCTGAGGCGGCGTGAAGGGAAAGGAAAGCAGGTCGATGGGTTGTTAACGTAGGTAAGATGTAATTTTCTGAATGTAGGCGGGGCCTCAGGCAGGAGGCGGAGCCGCGGCGTCACTGTGGTAACTGAAGCACCAGTTGCCATAGCTACAGCCACAGCTGGAGGCGGCTGAGAGGATGCCACGTTATTTAATGGAATGAGTTGCGGTTGAGTTTGGTTGTTTTTATAAACCTTCATCAGACTTTGAGAGCCAAATATCCGACACTTGAACTCCTGTTGGAAGAAAAGTTAAACCTTTTTGCCTGTCGGTGAAGGTCGATGTCCGTCATTTCTTTTTTATGGAGGAGTTGACAAATGTTAAAGGGGTTCACTCGAATAATGAAGAAAAAAAAAAAGCCTTTGCTTTTCCTTCCAGTGAAATATTTGCAGTTATGGTTTAATTCCTGTAGGTCGAGATATTTTTGAAATTGTGCCGTGATTTATCGTTCTCACCGCATTAAAAAACAAATCACGTGTTTTAAAAATTGACATTTAGATAATTTTCATAATCAACAAACTACATTTGTCACAGATTACTTGAAACGTGGAGAAATAAAACCCAAACAATGTGCAAGGGGACATTTCACTGGAGGGAAGAGAAATAACAATAATAACCACTCAGTGGCCACTTTAAGGTACACCGTAATCATTTAATGCAAATGAGTAGTAAATCGGCCCTGTTATTCATTTTTTACCTTTTTTTTAAACTTGTATCGTTCTGTTTATTGTCAGAGAGGTTATGTTACATGGAACGCTGCACAACAGCCTGATAGGGAGCACACGTCCGATTAACACCGGCGTATTCTGTATTGGTGACAGCTGTTGGCGTCTTAGGTCAGGCAGGGGACTGTTGTAAGGTTCCTCAAGTGGAGACGTTTGTGTCCAGTTGCCTTTTGTTATGTGTGTGTCTCATTATTTTAACTTGTTTCACATTGTTCTGGTGGAAGAGAAGCAGCATTTAAGTTGTCTAACACTCCCGTGTTCACTAACCGGGTGGATCGCGTGTTCTAAAAGTACGCTGACATCACACTTGGAATATTTGCATGTGTTTTTGTGTGTGTGCCATAAGTGGTGTTTGTCCATGTGCCTAAATGTCCTGATAGGACTGGAGGCTGGTGGTGTGCGACTGTGTTTATGTGTCAAGAAAACTGGCGTTGTTACCGTCTGCCTCTCAGGACCTCGAACCGAAGGCGTCTGATGTTTGCAAAACGACGCGTTCAGGCGGGCGCCCCGAGGCGTTTAAGTTCTTTGACCACCAGCAGATGAGTGTTGACTTTGACACTAGCGTCCAGATGTTGGTCGGGGTCATCTCGGGTCTTTTGTCAGACCTGCGATTTCCTCCTATCGGTGATGTCATCGGATAAACTGGTAACACTTGATTTCAGTTCCCGTTGTCTGCTCTCCAACCTCCGTCAGCCAATCAAATGCCTGGAAACAAATCCCACTACGACACAGGAAGTCCTTCGTGTGCTCGATGCGGCCAGAAGTTCCTCTAACCCCGGACAGTTTTTTTGTTTTTTTTCTTACGCCTTCGTTGTCCGGGCGGTGGAGGAGTTGAAGAAAGGCCGGAGGGCGGCGAGCTGAACCGGGCAGCATGGCGGGAAGCAGAGGCTCATGGGATACCGCTGAGTCACCGTGGCTTATTTTCATAATCTTAGAAGTGGCCTCAGTTTGTCTAATACTCGTTTACGTTCTCAGACGGCTGCGTAACGATAAACCTTTTAACCGTAGAACCATTATTGTAGCGTTTGGGTATCTTGAACAAACCGCTTTGGTTTCCATTTCTATTTGCTTTTTCTAGCTAATTTCAAAACTAATTGGCCAAATTGAAGCTTTCAGAATAATTTAAAGTTTTTAAACTGTCAGTAAGATACGACCTTTCACTTTCTCTCTGAACGTTGTAATTAAACAAAGTCCCATCTGTGTCTGATGAAGAGATGGGTAACTATCAACGGTCCGTTAACAACAAAGAAAACATTCAAGCTCCACTTTCTCGCTTGTTTTACACCCATCAGCAGGTGTTTAGAGTCAACGTGGAGCAGAAGTCCTACAGGAGGAAATTCAGGACCAATGTTATTCAGGTGTCATGAGATCTTAAACTGACAAACTGAGGCTCAAACGCGATTTCCTTTACGACTATGTTACAGTAATCAGGGGAAACGGTCCTGAGGCAGGTGAGCTGCGTTCTGATTGGTCTGTTGCCTGCTGCCCTGCAGAAACATCACAGCACTGTGAGACGAATACCTGTATGTGTGTGTAAATATCTGAGGAGAAAACTATTTGAAAAACACAACAGTGAAACTGCTGTCCTGCATTTGTATTTAAATTATTTATTTTTGTAGATTTTGAACAGTGAGCTCGGCTCTTACAATCGTCACAGTCGAGCTCTTTCTATTGAATAAAGATTTCTAAGAGACTAAACCGGAGCCGCGCGTCTTTACTTCAGTCAGTAAAACAAAGGAAGAATATTGTTTTTTTTTACACAAAGATGTGAGTTGTGTGTCCTATGAAAGGCTGACCGCCATGATGACGGCCTCCAGCGCCGCTTCAGCTCCCAGAATCCTCAGCAGGCTCTGAAAGGCCTCGGCGGCGCCGCCTACCGCCTGCGAGGGGAACAGCTGCAGCGCTGCAGAAAAAGAAAAAAAACACCACCTCACTCAGATCGGGGGCGGAGTAACACGCAGTCTGGTCTGTGATGTCACTAAAACTCCTGGACAACGATGGTTTTGTAATGTTCACATGACTTGAAGTCATCTGGGTACTAAGAAGACTGATGGCTTTTTGGCGGCGCGGAGTGTATTAGTCCAGCTTCCTGTCTGCAGGTGAGCGTTCAGATAAACTGTCTCACCTCTCTCGGGGATCTTTGTCAGCAGCTCGACCTTCGGCGAGACTCCGCCCTCTCTGGACACGTGCACTGACCAATGGACGAGCAGCACGCACCTGTACGCAAAAACAAATTCAGCGAAAGGGGACGGCTCCGCATCGCCTGCTAACTCCACTAGAGGACTTACCCAGGAAGCTCAGGGTGGCTCAGGTGCATGACCTCTGACCTGCAGCCCGCAGGAAGTGAGACGACTGCTGGATACTTCTCCTGGAGAGAGAGCGAGAGAGAAAATACCCGTTACAATCATATGCAAGTTATTCACACTGAATATCTTTAGTGAAAAAGAGAAAAGGTTAAACAAAGCACTGAGTGACACTACTGGTTATTTCAGCAAAATTATTACATTAAAAATAAAAGGGGGAAAAAAAGCTGGCGACACATCAGCAGTAAAGATGCATTACTGCCTCTGACCTGCGGGTGGCGCTACAACACACGTCTACTCTCACAAAATACACACGCGTGCACACGGAGCCGCAACACCAAACAGGAGCAAATACTTTGAGTGTGACATCATGTCGTCGTTTCATCGACTTCAGACGCGGAACATTGTGAAAGAAGAAACCGGCTTCAGTTGCAGTGGAACATTTACAACGTGCACTGTTCGCTGCGTTGGGTCACTGAAGCCGTTGGGGGGCGTGTCCAACAGGTGAGGGGTGTGTCCAGGTGACTCAACCACGAGGCATTTGCAGCCGCGGGTTTGTTCCTCGTGCTGTTGTTGCTTTCGTGTGAATTTCATCTGCAGTTTAGACCTTTAATTGGTTCCAGTCGTCTTTAATCCGACCGTTTGCTCGGCTCAGAATCGCACGTTTCTGTCTGTCAAACATTACGTCCTTGTGTCTTACGCCCGGAAAGGAACCGTTTACATCTTCGGTTTGAGGATCTGCTTCCTCTCTTTGTCAGAAATATTTGGAAACTGAATATTTGGTGTTTTGGATTATGGCTGGAAAAGAAAACAGGACTTTTAAAGACTTCCCTTTAACTTTTAATGACGCGTCGTAATGAAAATAGGAATCTATGAACCGAAAATATTCCGTACGTCTTAAACATTAAAGGACATTTCAAGGACTTTCCAGGTTATTAAGAATATAATATCAAAAGCCCATCCAGTGTTTCCTCACTAAATGGATTCATGACTTCATATTTTTGGTTATTCGGGCGGTTTTAGTGCTTTTAGGAGTTTTTTCCCATGAACTCTTTATTATCGCCATAGAAGTGGCATGTTTATTGCCGTGTGACCTCTGACCTCTGAGTGACTTCACCTCGTTCGGAAACCAGCCTCCATGTTCCACATTTAACTGCCTCTACTTTCTCTCATATTCTGCCGTTTGTTGGCGGCGTCCTCAGACGGGGAGACAGATGTCCGACCCGTCTCACTCCGTTATTTACTCCCCCTCCGCCTCCCAGCTGAAGAACAAATCCAGACTTTCCCCTCAAAGCTCCATCAGCTCCGTTCCACACAACTTCTCTACGATCTGAGACGCGCACACACACACACACACGCGCAGTATTATCACACACACACACACGCAGTATCATCACATACACACACCTCTCCTGGAGCTGCTGCAGAACCAGAGGAGGAGAAAAGAGGCTGGAAGAATTTGGCCCCGAGTCTCAAAGCCGCCTTCAAACTGCTGGTAAAGTACAGTCGATGTCTGTTAGTCCGTCTCCTCAACTCCTCCCCTCTCTGTCCGTCTCTGTCCGCGTGTGTCTCGGTCTTCCTTGCGATGGTTTGTCAACAGTCGCCTCTGTAGCCGTCGACGAGAGCGGATCCACATTTTATCACTTTAAAAGGTCAATGAACTCGTCGGTGCGCTTCCTGGTTTTAATGCTCTTTTGTTGGTACAAGGACCCGGTTTTCACTGTGTTTTACCCCGATGTCCCGGTTCAGAGACATTTCTCTGAACCGGGACATCTGCTTTCATAGAAAAAGGGTCAAACGAGGAAATAATGATGTCATTCAACAGTACGATACAACTTCCACAAGGGGCACGACTACCAGAACGAAACCTCCCAGAGTCCGTTTCCTCTGATCAGTTTCAAGCCCTAAAACGTGAGCGTGCTGAATCGGCGTCAGAGTGGTGGAGACGACGTCCACACGCAAGACACTCCGTCTGCCGATACCGCACAAGCATTCTGACATGTGACGAGTCTCTCTCTGGCTGGACAGTGGAGCGCTCAGCTTGTCCAGAGGTGACGCCAGGTCCTTTCAGGGGTCATGAAGACAAACTGGACGGCTGGGGACACATTTCATAGACCGGAGGACAGAAAAGACGTTGCTGCCACAAGTTTCTTTAGTGAGGACAAAATGTCATTTATTCTTGTGACTGAAAACACGCACACGTCTGAAGGAGGTCTTTAAACAACGTCCCAAAGCGCAGCGGATCAGAGGCGACTGAGGGAAGTGAAGACAAATCTCATTGGGTTATTATTGTACTTCGGTGCTGCTGTGAGTCTCTCCATCTGTTCCTGCTCCTCCAGGAACTCAAATGCTCAATACTTTCCATTTCTCTCCCCTCCCTCCTCTTTTATTCTGCTCTGTGCGTGTGCACACACACACACACACACACACTCACACACACACACTCTGAATCATTCTGGGGTCCTCTCGGCCAATTGGGTAGGAGGTGGGCGGGGCTTAGAGCTCACGTTGTGTCTGGACCCCCCTACTGAGCATCGATCACTACTCGAACCCTCCTCCCATCCAGTTTACATGTGTCTCACCCCTGAGAGCGTGAGACACAGAACACGTCTGTTCTTTGAACCAGTTTATTTACATATCTGAGAAGAATCCGTCACACAAAGTCATGGATGAAGCGCTGTTGTTCTCGTTTGGCACCGACCGTGTGCCGATTTCATTTGTGAAGTTGGTAACAACCGGAGTTGGATTACGGCCGTGATAATTACAGCAGCATGCACTGATCTGGGTCCAGTTGTTACGGTTTGATTGTTCACATTCGTGGCTTGAGGAGTGAATCGAGGGCAGAAATGAGGCTCAACGAGCAAAACATCAGCCTCCTTCTGGCTTTTGGGGAAACATCGCCCAAAAATTCATGAGCTTCGATGATTTAACACAACAGTTCCCAACAAGCAGAGGTACATTTTATTATTGTTTTTGAGGCGGATACGGAGAACTAGTTGAATGTGATGCTATTATCAGGTGTGTGAAGGTGTCTGTTAGCGCCTCTGCTTTAATAATGACAGGACTGCTGTGAATAGACTAGTCATTACACACACACACACACACACACACACACACACACACACACACACACACACACACACACACACACACACACACACACACGTAACCGACCATTAGGGCCCCAGCTGAGGGCTATATGAGGGCCTGCTACAGCGCTGACAGCTCTTTTCGTTCTGGAAGCAGCTGCAGGTAAAAACATCTGTTTGGTCCCAGTCAGTGTAAAGACTCTGCAAAGACTCATTTTTACATTTAGAACGAGGAAAAACGTTGTTTGTGATGGTTTTGATTCGGAGATGATAGCTGTTGTATTTCGGAATGTAAGGCAAAACAAAAGTCATTATCTAGAAAAGGCTTTCTGCCCCTGAATGGCGGTAAAGGTACCGTGAGGCGAACTGAACCCCGTCTCTCTGCAGACATGAGGTGCTGGCTGGTGGCGGCCAGCTTGTGGCTCCTCGTGGTCGTGACCGTCTCCAACGGCCAAACCGGAAACCAACCTCGCAACCAGGAAGGAGAAACCGCCCGGGGGAAGAGGAAGAGGGACGGACAAGGTAAGAAAAACACTCATATGTGACTGAAGGATGGCTTCTGTCTAAAGTCCTGAACCTACAGCAGGTCTACATGTTCTTGTGCTTTTCTGGCCGTCACATTTAGAATTTGCAGTCTTGTTTTGTGATGAGATCAATGTTCAGCTTGTGGAATCCCACAGGGGAGCATCTCTGGCCCCCTGCTGTTTTCATGGGAGTCTCTGCAATCAATCGAGTAAAGAATTCAGTAGGAACCAAGACAGCAAGTTGTCCTGAAACCGAAGGATCTATTCGGCCTGCCTGCCTCTAGTCACGTGGACATGCGTTGCAGGTCCTTTGCGGGCCAAAGCGGGGCGCTCCAGACCTCTAAAGATCAGACTGGTTCCTGGTCCCGGCATGCCGGTGGAGCCCGGAGAGAACCGAGCCAAGCCTTGGATCATGAAGCCCTACGAGAACCTACAAGGACAACACTCCAGCTACAACATCATCCCAGGTCAGTGAGATCAGGAACTCTGAGGAACAAACCTCCAACCGAGTCAGTGGGACCAGTAACTCCACATCAAACCAGTTCAGTGAGACAAGTACAGATGCTCTGATAAAAGCTTCTGCAAAGCTACGCGTTAGAGATGTAAAGATCTTCTTCACGTCACTCCCAAAATACATCTGGAATAATGATCATTTTCCCTATCAGTTATTTTTTCATTTAGTCCTGTAACCTGTAAAATAACAGATATGTCCAAACATGTTGTGTTACATGTTGTACGACGTGAACATGTGGCCTCATCCCGTCTTCGTGATGAGGCGAACGTTCATCACGACGAATCATCGCGTTCCAACTTGAGCTGAAGGGGAAAGCGTCTGCGCAGAGGACCGAGACTTTAGGGAAAGGATCTCAAAGCCGGTTTTAAAACAGCGAGCTCAGCGTTGTGTAATTAGAAGCGGGGGTGGTGGTCCGTGGTGGTCCGTGGTGGTGCGGAGCTGCAGGGCGAGTTTCTTTGCGTTTTCGGCCGATGTTTTGGGATCTGAGGACATGCCTCATGTGTCCAGACAAGATCGGACCGACATGAAAACAACGCACCTTTGTAAAGGTCAAGACTGTTGTGTAGTAGTTTTCTCAAACACTTTGTGTGGTGGATGATCACAGAACAAGTCACGTTTCCACCTTCTACTCTGAAGCACAAAGTACTTACTTTAAACGCTGTGTTGCTGCTTTGTGCCTCTCACCTTAACCACCGTTCACTTGAATTATACATATTTACATAATTATTCTCAGCCTTTGTTTCCTTTAGTGTCACATTATCGCACAAAAAGGATCGCCTCTTCTAATCTGAGCAATAGTCCAAAACTCAGTTGATAATGATGATATAAAACAGTGAATGATCCATAAAGTATTGGTGTGTTTTCTCTAATAATAAATGTTTCTGATTATTTAAACTGAATGAAGTACTTCTCTGCCATTAAAACACATGTAGCTATGCAGTGCAGACCAGAGGACAGTGGCGCGACAGCAGCGGCGTATTATTAGACAAAACCCCGCAATTTACCAGACAATAAAAGATATCCAACGACAGCAGGATCATTTTTACGTAGAAAAGAAAAGCTCTAAAGTATGAGTCGCCCGGCGGAGATGACAGGGCGACAGAGTCCCCGCTGGCAGGACAGCAGCACCCAGATACCAGAGACGGTATATTTAGGAGAGATGGGCTGAGCCTCTTAACTACCTGTGCGTCTGCGCACGTAACAAAGAGCATGCCATTAGAAAGGAAAGATGACAGACGGCACTCGGCTGCAGCACACGAGGCCAAAGTACAGGCTTTACCTGCGACTAGACGCACACAGAGGAAGACGAGGGCGGGACCCATCAAACTTATCAAATCTTGTAGTCATGAGATAGTTAACTTTCCATCACATGTCTGTTGTTGCAGGTAAGCAGGGCCACTGTGTGTTCCAGGGTCTGACCATGTTCCACCAGGCCGTCTGGGCTCCAAAGCCCTGTGTGACTTGCCTGTGTACCGGCGGGCGGGTGGTCTGCGACGAGATCACCTGTCCCACAATGCACTGCGACTTCCCCTTCACCCCCGCCGGGGAGTGCTGCCCCGTCTGCATGGAGTCAGGTAGAAGCACAACGTGTGGCAACGCCATGGTGCCACTGCAGGAGGCAACAGGGACGAGCAGTGGCTCTCACAATCAGGGATTTTTAAGAAACATTTTACGAATAGTTTCTAATTTGATCAAAAGGAAAACATCTGCTTTTGTGCTCAGACTCTGGGTGACGCACCTCGTATTACTAGTTTCCATCTCTGAGGCCTCGACATGTTGCTTCCTGTTCCCATCACGGCTTTAAAAAATGTGCTCTGCACATTTTGGCTCAGTACAACACACATGTTGTAAAGGTTTTAACATGTCTGTATTTTGGGAGATGCCACATGTTCAGGACTGGTTTCAACTTTCTGTCCATTCCTGTGTGAGGTTCCAGGTAAAAGTAGTCGAGTTGACAGGAACTAACTCGATGCTGTCAGTCATGCACTGCACCTTCACTGTGTGCATGCATGGAAAGCCGCTCAAAGTCGTGTTGTCCATGACTCGTGTGTAGATTAATATAGCATTAAAATAAAGGTGGTAACCATAGAAACGTGTACCTGTCAGTAGAAGTACACTATCCCTCCGCGTGGAGGTACCGTGTAGGAAAAAACACTGTAAGCTGTTTCATACTACAAAAGTGTTGTTAACGTGGCCGAGATACTCTCAGATAAAGTGTTGGACGACATCTTCATCACTTTCGGCGTGTCGTCTCCATAGCAACCATCATTAGCCGGTTGTAAGCTCTAACTCTGAACTGTTCAGTTAAATCCAACATTTCTAGAGTTTTGCTGGGGTTGGAAATCACTGAAAAAGTAAAGATTTAACAACCATTGATAAATTACCACAGCTTTACAAAATGTACAGACATTTATTTAGTAAAATTTCCAAGCTGGAGGTCTCTGTTGACACGGTTTTATGACTATAAAACAGCATTATGTGTTAGATTTGTGGTTGGTCTAAATGATTTATCCTCTAATATCATTCCAATGACTGTACTTGCCAAACTTCAAGTAGCTGGATATGATATAAATGAAAGGATGAGCTGACCGAGGTGAAAGAAGAGTTATTAATGGGATGTGGTCCAGACGGGTCTACAGCAGCTCTCTGCTCTGTAGCTACCAGCATCTGTACCCGTCTGTCTGTCTGTCTACACCACTAACACACGGCCGTCTGTCTGTCTGTCTCCATCCTTTATCTTCTCTTTTAGTTTCCTTTACTTTTTCCTCCCCTTCTTTTCACATTTCTCCTTTCCTATTTTTATCCTTTCCTTCCTTCCTTCTTTCTATCCTTGTCACCTTTTTCTTTCCTCTTGCCCACCTCGTGGCCTCCGATTGGCTGCCCCGGCCCTCCCTACATCCACCCAAGACCCTGACCTCAGCCTTGACCTTTCTGGTGACTCCCCAGTTCCAAACGACCACAGCGACCCTGTGACCCCTCTGACCCAGGAGGAGATCCAGCGTATCCTCTGGCGGGAGGAAGAGGAGCACCGCGAAGAGGAGGAACGCCTGAAAAAGAAGGATGAGGCGAGGAAAAAGAGGAGGAAGCAGAGGAAGGAGCAGGCGGAGAAACAAAGAAAGATAGTTGAGGTGAAGAGGAGGGAGGAGGAGGAGGCACTGAGGCTGCAGGTGGAGAAGGAGGAGGAGGAGTGGAGGAGGCATATGGAGGAGGAGGAGAGGAGGAGGGAGGAGGTGAAGAGGTGGAGACAGGATGAGGAGGATAGGAAGCGGAAGGAGGCAGCAGAGAGAGAAGCAAGGGAGAATGAAAGGAAGCTAGAGGAGGAGCGGTGGAGACACGAGGAGATGCTGAGGGAGGAACTCCTGGGTCTGGTGGAGGAGAAAGAGGAAGAGCAGGAAAAAGTAGAGGAGGAGGTGTGGCTGAGAGGAGATGTGTTTGAGATGCCCCCAAAAGAACCTGAGGAACCCGAGCGCCTCCCCGCCCCGATACCACAACCTCCTGCTGCGACCGAGCTGAAGGAGATGGAAGCAGAAGTGGAGGAGGCAGAAGAGGAGGCGGAGGTGGGGTCACACAACAGAGGAGGCCTCCCTCCAGGCTGCGACATCTCCGATGTCACTCTGACATGTGATCACGCCAGGCTCACCTACTTCCCTCCTCTGTCCATCCCTGAGCTCAAGTCCCTCAGTCTGGAGGGTAAGGACACGTCTACGTGACACACGATGATTACTAAATTACTGAAGCTGAAGTTTGAATAAACATTGAACGAGTAAACGGTCTTAAAAGTTGAATCCTTTTAGAACATTTTTTAAGTTGGAGTTTTGACTCCAGGAACTGATTCGACAAGATCAGCGGAACGTGTCAAATTGCTCATTAATCTGATAATAGAAACTCTTCTGACCTGCAGGCAACAACATCAGCAGCATCCCTGCAGAAGCCTTCAACGGCATCCCGAACCTGGAGTGGATCAACCTTAAGAAAAACCAACTCACCTCCAACAGCATCGATGTCAAAGCCTTCAAAGTAAGAGCCTCAAAGTAAAGCAATTTGCCAACCGGAAATAAAAGAAATATGGGAGAATTTTTGTGACACAATATTCTCAAAGACCTTTAGGCGTCAAATAGACCAGCAAGCAATAACAAATCAAGCTGACTTACAGATTGGCTTGTTTAAAAATGGGCCTTATTTGTATGCAGTGGTGCAGTCAACCTCCCAGTATCACCAGTACTCTGTGTGTGTGTGTGTGTGTGTGTGTGTGTGTGTGTGTGTGTGTGTGTGTGTGTGTGTGTGTGTGTGTGTGTGTGTGTGTGTGTCAGACTCTGAAGACGCTGACGCGTCTGTACTTGGAAGGGAACCTTCTGGAAGCCACGCCCGCTGACCTTCCCCCGACCCTGCAGGAGCTGAAGATCAGCGAGAACCGACTGAGCAGAATCCATGAAAACAGCTTCCGCGGTAACCGACGCGATATCCCATAATGCACCTCCCCCCCTATCACAAAGCACTCTTCTGTTGGTACAGTTTCCTGTAGCTCCACAGACATCCGATGGGTTTCATCTTGAGGCTCGGCCAGCTCTACACACGCTACACACAGAGAAATGAGAATCTGCTATTCTGCTGCTGTGGCCCGAGACAGATTTCCAGTTCCCTGCGACGTTTATCTGTTTGTGTTTATATCCTGAAGGTCTGAGCAGCCTGGTGATTCTGGAGTTGGAGGGGAACCTGCTGAGTGAGGGGAATGTAGATCCTCTGGCATTCGCTCCCCTCGTCCAGCTCTCGTACCTGCGACTGGGTCGGAACCACTTCCGCACCATACCACAGGGCCTCCCCGCTTCTTTGCTGGTATGTGTTACCTCGCATCAGGGTTAAGAGCTCTGGCTTTAATGAAATCTACTGGGTTCCAAATGGCAAACGGCTGCTGTGGTGTAATGGTGCGAACAGAAAACAGACCCCAGTCAACAGCACTCAATCCTCAATGGTTCAGTATGTTTGTACAGTTGGTAGAAACAGGTACAGTACCTGAAGGAAAAAATTGTAAATATAAATGGAATATTTCCAACATTAAGTCCATTTTTCTTAGGGCTTCGGGGCAATTTAGGTTTGCTGACGCATCAGTATTTCTTTCCTCCGCTCTAATGTTTAAAACTCCTCCGCTGAGTAAACTCGGCTTCTACCTGTGGGAAACACGTCCGCCACTCAACCTGTACTTATGGCTTTTGGTTAACCACCAACAAGGCTGCTCAAAATCCACCTTAAAACCAACCTCGCTCTCTGCAGATCCACAACCCCGTCCTTCCCCTGGCCCCGATCTACCTTTAACCTCGGTTGTTTTCTAATTAGCTCCCTGATTCCAGGATTTAACCATCATGATTCAAGGATGATGTATAGAAACTAATAGCGGGACTGTGTTTGGTGATCAGTTGATCAGGTTGTCAGGTTTTTCCAGAGAAGCCCTGAGTGGACGAACCAAACACTGACCACAGAGGGCCCTTAACATTTCATGTCACCACTAGATCCTACAAACTGCTCCTTTAGGAATGTAGGTAGGACAAAGGAGAATTTGCTTTGAGGATGGATTTTGAACCTAAACCAAAACAATCCCAACAAACCACAGACCTGTCGGCCAAGATCTGTGAACCAAAAGCTTTCAGTAAACACAACAGTTTAATGACCAACTGGCTCTGACAAAACTGAGTAATTCTTCTCATGTTTCCAGGAAAGTGTTTTCCTTCCCGATACCGTTGATGTTGAACATCTGCTTCATTTTTTCACTTTTTCTGTCGTTCAGGAGCTTTACTTGGAGAACAACCTGATTGAGGAAATCTCAGAGGCCGTTTTCAATCAGACCCAAAGTCTGAACGTGGTTTCTCTGAGACACAACCGGCTGGATGAGACCCGGATCGCCCCGCTGGCCTGGATCAACCACAGGTCTGACCGGAGGAGACCCTCACCATCACCCTCCAACCCCCGGGCTCGCTGGGATTTACATCTAACTCCCTTCCTCCCCTCATCTTCCTCCTCCGCAGAAATCTGGAGTCCATTGACCTTTCGCATAATGACCTTTACCTGGTTCCATCATACCTGCCCAGATCTCTGGTCCACCTGGTGCTGGTGGGAAACAAAATAGAGAGAATACCCGGTAGGTGCAACGTGGGGCACCGTGGTGTCAAGTATGCTGCCTCACAGGCTTTAGAAACTATCTGCCGGACATATAAATGCGCAAAATGTGAAATAAAATCAATAAAGATATTCACCATCGCTGTCTTTTGGAATAAGACTTATAGACATAATGACTCGATCAAAGCCCCCATTTCACAGTCGCCCATAGTTACGTTGTCTCCTTCCAACGCCTCCACAGGCTTCGTCTTCGCGCACATGGACCCCGGCATCGAGTACCTGTACCTCTCCTACAACAGACTGGACGGGGAGGCCATCGAGCCCGAGTCGTTCTTCGGCTCGTACCAGTCCATGGTGGAGCTGTGTCTGGACCACAACCAGCTGCTCTCCGTCCCGTCCGGCATCAACGAGATGACCAGCCTACACTTTCTCCGACTCAACGACAACGACATCCGGTATGAAGCCAGTGGCCACAAATCTCTAGCGAGAGGCTGGTCGGTCCTATTCATCTGCAGCAGGATGGAAATGGAGATTCTTTTATTTCTACTAGAACTACAACTACAAAAATGTTGTTGTAGGAGAAGCTGAAGGAAAAAGTCTAAACGCAATAGAGTCCTTTGAGAGCAATAACAAAGAGCCAAACAACAGACCAGATGGTGACCACGGACTGACTCACAGGACAACGTTAACGCAGCGTCGTCTAGACAACAACAAACAAAACAGTTGCAGCGTGTTTCCACCTGAGAGGCACCCTGAATCACCTCGTTACTCATCCCCAGGGTCCATGAACCAAACACACACTTAGTCCAGACTGCAGGTTGGTCTCAGAGAGACATTTCAAACTCCACAATCTGCTTCACTGCCAACATTGGATGCAGGATTCTCGATTGACTACAACCGCAACAGTAACGTTTTAATCTAACGTGTAGGATTAATGACCTTATAGTTTAAAATGCCAACCAGATCTCTTGATGATGATGATGAAGCTAATGTGCCTGCTTGCTGACACGTAGGAACAAACTCATTTATTACTTTACTTTACTAATTTTTCAAACCGAAATAGAGAATAATCTACTCTAATCTCTTGTCCGTATCTACTGAGGCTGCTTCTGACTGCTTCCTGCTCCCGTCTCTCAGGAGCGTCCCCGACGAAGGAATCTGTGACCCGCACCACAGCGGAGACTCCACCCTGGTGGCCGTGAGGCTGGAAAACAACCGCCTGGACCCCCAGAAGATCTCCCCCACAGCCTTCTCCTGCGTCCGCTCCTCCTCCAGCGTGGTCCTAAAACCGCAGAAAACCAAGCGGCCGCACTAAACGCTAAAAAGAGACACTCGCCTCATTGTGCCGACACAGATTTGGGTTTTGACGTTCGAAGAGAGGCTTTCCCTCCCTTAGGTCCCTCTGCACGCTAGTGAAATGACACCAAAAACAAAGAAATTGCGCATAAAAAAAAAGATTCTCTCACGTGATTTACAGGTTGAACATGGGGAAAATAAATTGAACCGTGACGTTATCTTCCTCATTGGAACGTCATTGTGTCTGAAGCATTGGACTGAACCAGTTGCATTGAAATGAAATTCTCTTCTTCTTTGGCTCTAATGCAGCGTTTCCTGCCCGACCTCAACGTGGTGTGAAGAAGACAGAGCGAAATCAAAACACATCTGTCTCTCAGTAAAACGTCAAACTCTGTAAAAGGGAAAGAACCCCCCCTCACAGTAAAACGAAAGGCTAATAAAGAGATGGAAAGAATTTCGATGAAATGAGGCCGCAAGCCCAGCAACATTAGTTTTAACAACCTCGCCACCTTCCCGTTCCGTCCCTCCCAAAGCTTCGTTCATAAAAACCCGAACATGGGAAGGAGGAGGGCGGTCGAGTGAGAGACGAACCCTCCGAGCTCTTTGTGTAAAAGATGAGGAGCCGCATTAAAGCTAATAAACAGCTGATGTTAATGACCGATAAAGACACAGCAGAGGCAAAGTTATGTGGAATGTTTGAGGAAACAAACAAATGCCTTTTGGGACGGAACCATTGACAGTAAATTAGAAATTTCAACTCTTGTACACTTTGCTTTTGGCTGGCCAACATGCATAAATCATACAACAAAATGTGTATTTAATGTGTCAACAATCATACAGTAAAAGGTTGACATAGTGTCAGAATGGAGAATCCAAATAAACTGGACAATGTTCACACCACTGCCTGATTGATTCTTCACTACGTCCCATAAAGAAGATGACATAATGATTACGAGAGCAGCTTTCCTCATTCACAAAATACTTAAACCGAGATGCTTAAACACACCGTGGGGAGAAGTATTTGAAACACTGCCGATTTAGCTAGTTTTCCCACTTAAAGCATGTAGGAGACGGTCATTTTTATCATAGGTCTTCAGCCGTGAGTGACGAAAATCCAGAAAATCACATTGTATGATTTAAAAAATATATAATTTGCAGAGCCAGGGCAACTAAGGAGAGGCTCCGTGAGAAGCATCTCAAGGTCCTGGAGTGGCCCAGCCGGTCCCCAGACCTGAAACCCAGTGATGCCAAAGGGTCAAAGGCAACGTCTGCTGGTGACCGTGTGCAGGACTCAGTGACATAAAGGCAACGGATCGGGGGACCAGACTAATGTTAAGATGTGAAAACAAATCTGGGGGTTGATTTAAGGGCTCGATAGGACTCTGTAGACCTCCAGGGATTCTTTCGTTGACACTCAATACAAATACTCACGATCCCAATGAGAAGTTGTGCTGTAAGTCGACTCATTTCCAAACTGTCGGCACATCCAGCGCATTGAGGAGAGGAATCATTTCCACTGGCGTTATCGAATGAACACCTCCGGCCTCGGGGACGAGGCGGAGCCACGACGGCCGCCGCGGAACCAGTGATAAAAACCCAGTGATTTTCATCACATGTCTTCTCCCCTCATGCAACACACGAGTAATTATCAGAGCTGAGAGCCAAATTCATCATTTTTTCCTCTGAAAGCCTGAGGATCATTTACAGCAGCAGCAGACGGATGGAAGGGATTATTGGAAAGGAAAAGCAAAAAATGTGAGGGGGGGGAAACCTCAGCTCCCTGCTTTGGTAAAAGAAGAGACGACATATCATTAGAGGCAGACGATCATAAATCTACTTTGGATTAAAACAACGATGGTCACTCTGACTCGTCTCCTCACTCATGGAAAACTCTAAACTCAAAGGTCAGAGATCAAACGTTTTTCCCGTTGCAACGAGGATTCTTCTGGTCCGCCAGCGTTCAGCAGCTGCTGCCTCCATCAGCCTCCTGGAACCTGGAATAACAGCCGCTGGTCACATGACCTCCTCAGGTTCTGACTGAGAATACAACCTGATTCAGGGGGTGGACCTTTGTTCAGCAATAACAGGATGGATCTGGACTAGTTTAAAAGATTCCATTTTTTTTTCTAACCCACTATCGGGGCAAAACAAAATAAAAGGGAAAGCAAGATTTCAACTGGGGAACCATTTCATTTAATTATTTTAATACCAAATCATGTCCTCCTATAAAAGAGTTCTCATTGAGGCTTCCATAACTCACGGTTTAGTCTGTTTTTGAATAAACGGGAGTTTGTTTAAATCGCTTTTCCAACGACGTCAGTTTGAAGTTGGTGCTTTTTTTCGACGTGGATTCGCAGAGCAAATGAAGTCTGACTGCCAGTCACCGAAATACAAAATGAGGCACTTCACAAGAAACCGCCGAGTGACGGAAACATCGAGGGCTTCTCGAGCGGCTCAAAGGTTTTAATATCGGAACGGACTCTGAAAGTCTTACAATCGTCCTCATCTCCCCGTACGATCCTACCAGCAGTGTGGGCCCCCATGTGGGCCCCAATGGGAGCCCCCGGAGCTAATGGTGAAGGAAGACTGAGATCTGAGAGAGCGGAGACGTCCCGACCGCCCCCCTACGAGGAACATACCCCCCCCTTCATTTAATGTGCAGATTGAAGACGCCAATTCCACCAAATACGCCATGCATTTCTTCCCCACCACCACAAACCCGTCTCCCCCAACACAGCGCCCCCTCCCCCACCACCACAAACCCGTCTCCCCCAACACAGCGCCCCCTCCCCCACCACCACAAACCCGTCTCCCCCAACACAGCGCCCCCTCCCCCACCACCACAAACCCGTCTCCCCCAACACAGCGCCCCCTCCCCCACCACCACAAACCCGTCTCTCCAGAGTCAGCTGAGATCCTCCACAGGAGATAACAGCGCGACAAAAACAAAAGAAAAACACTATTTCTTTATTTTTAAAGGTTGACTTTTGGGACGGCGGTATCCAGGCAACACGACACTCGGATAAACGGTTGGCTTTGTGGTGCTTGGATTGCAGATTAAAGCACACAAAGCAAGTTTACATCAGGTTGCAATTAGATGAATTGCAGCGTTCATGCTAAAGTCTGGCTCATGCTTTTAAAATTTTGTATTTGCTTCAATCAACGGTATTTAAGCCGGAAGGGATTCATTTTGATTACTTTCCGCTGTGTCCAGACAGCAGCAGTCAACAATAACACAAAGAAACACGCTAATAAAGTAAAATATATGGATCGATTGTACATACAATATTTGAAAAAGATCACATGCTATATGCCCAAAGTAGCTGCATGATATCCATAAACACATCCTAGACCACCTCAGATGTCGTCCCACAGGATAAATCTGCTTTAGTATTTATGAATTACTTTGAAGAAATGGACACAGGCTTCTTCTTCTTCTTCGGTGAGATGATCATTTCTCCAGATCTCTGGAGGATGGGAGAACGGTTTGGGTTGAATCAGAGCCCCCCCCTTCAGGTTTGTCTGGGAGCCAAACCGGGGCATACTTGGTCGCGAGTCAGAGCTCAGCTCAGCAGAAAATACCGGCGCCCTGAATGGAAAAAGGCGTCGTGTAACATGTGAACCCGAGGAGGAGCTCCTGGGATCTTTTTTCCATCCCTGGGAGGTATTTCTCATTCCTACGTTGGATGTGAAAGGTTGTAGAATTACACGGTGTCTTCTTTCTCAATATATAATGCGTATAATATCATGAAACAGTTGTGACTGAGGACACTAAAACCACTTTAAGTCAAGAAAACACAGCATCACTCAGGCATTAAAGCAGTTTTAAAGATGAGAGCTTTGATTTGTTAACCTGTAACATTGCGCCTCCTGAAACAAGGCTCTGAGGAACGGCGAGGAAATGAGGAGGTGAGGTACTGAGGAGGGGAGGTGTGGTCCTGAGATGCTGAGGAGGTGAGGTTCTGAAGTATGGAGACGGTGAGGGACTGAGGAGGTGAGGTACTGAGGAGGTGTGGTCCTGAGATGCTGAGGAGGTGAGGTTCTGAAGTATGGAGACGGTGAGGGACTGAGGAGGTGAGGTACTGAGGAGGTGTGGTCCTGAGATGCTGAGGAGGTGAGGTTCTGAAGTATGGAGACGGTGAGGGACTGAGGAGGTGAGGTACTGAGGAGGTGTGGTCCTGAGATGCTGAGGAGGTGAGGTACTGAGAAAGTATGGAGGCGGTGAGGAACTGAGTAGGTGAGGTTCTGAGGTATGGAGGAGGTGAGGTACTGAGGAGGTGAGGTACTGAGGAGGTGAGGTACTGGGAGGTGTGGTGGTGAGGAGGAGGGGTGGTGGTGGGGGGGTGTGGTACTGGGGAGGTGAGGGACTGAGGAGGTGAGGGACCCTCCGGTGGGGTTTTCTAAAGACTTGCTGGCATCACTCCAAAGCTCCTGATGGAAAGCACATGGTGAAATCCCAGCAAAGATCACCACGGCTCCGAGCGGAGACTGAACCTCTCACCCGAGCAGTGGTTTTCCGTCGGGTAGGAAGGGGGAGGAAGGGGGAGGAGGGGGGCTGGATGTTTCTGGGGGCAGTTTTTTTACTCCTGGTTAGAGAGGGTGATGCCGTTCTCCGTTCACTGGGAACGTTTTGACTGAAGGATCCAACTCTCAGCCCTCCAGCTGGACCCTGCTGCTCCGCTCGCTGTGGGGTTTGAACCAGGACACTAACACACCTGAGGTAGGACACGCCCATTATTCACTCGCTCTGCAGCTGGTCAACGTGCCGTGGCATCTATGAGAAACAGGACGAGGCGGTTGGTCTGAACAAATATTACCAACTGAATATTTCAAATGTTCTTATTTCTGAGTGAGTTCGATTTGCTTGCAAACTTCAGAGCAGAATCTCTTTGAAGTGAACTGCATGATGGGTAGTGGATGTTTAATGGTCTGGTTCTTGTTTGAATGCCGGGGTTTCAATTAAAGTGATTCCTTTTGACAGACGTGCAAAGTAATTTTAGAGATTATTGAGAGCAGTTTATTACAAGTTATACATTAAAAAAAGGCAGACAGATGATACTTGAATGCATTATAGGATCAACAGGAATGGAGCATAATTGCCAATTATCAAAAATTATATTTAAACAGTCAAACTCTGTCATGCCAAATTGAACGAGTCACTTTGACTTCAGCTCCATTTAACTGGGATGGACGTTTTTACCTGACATTTTGTAAATGTAACCTGAGCTGCAGCCACAAATGGAGGGGACATAACGAGGGGACGCTCCACTGCTTTGGATGTTTTATGAAATGTAAGACTCATAATTCAGACTGTAAACAGAAGCCCTTTACCTTCACCGGTCTGACCGGAGAGAAGTCTCATTCATCGGATCGCCTCTTAAAAACAACACAAGTATCTCCGACTGACTGCCGATCTGTCGACGCCAAAATGTCAACAGATCGGCAGAGAAAAAAAGAGAAAAGTGCTGAATGTGCACGCGAGGAACAAAAGGAGTCCGGCTCGGCGCCGCTCCGCCGGTTTTGCTGTTGCAGCAAGATGCTCCACCGCCACATTTTTGCGGGACCACTGAAGGTTTGAAGATTCCTCGAAGCAGTAAAATAACCAACCGAGCAGGCGACCTCGGCCCCCCTCTGAGCGATGGAGGAGGACGTGTAAATCACCACGTGAAACGCCACCGACGACCCACAGAAACATTGGTTTTGGCTGCAGGAGCTGATTTCCAGGGGACGTTTTTTTTTTTTTTCACAGTTTCTTGGAAACAGTGATAGAAAAAACAGCAGCAGCCACCGAAAGAGCTCAAACATTCCCCCGATCGGGTTAATGAGAGGCCCGTGAGAGGCAAACGAGGGGACATTAGTACCGGGGAGGAGATCGGTTACTCCGGTTTTATTCAGTGTAGAATGTCGCTGGCAAACCCTATATATAAAAAACATATATAGCATTATTATATATTTGTATGTAGTTGAAATCACATCCACTTCAACAACATTCAGTGTCAGTGACTGAAGGTGTAGCCTTTATTTTTCTTTGTAAACCAATGATAAAAGTGCCACATTAAAAGGTATTCAACGCAAAGTTCTTTGTAGTTTCTGTAGTAAAATACCTAAATAATGACCAAAAAAGGATTGTTCAACTACCAGTAAGCTACTGCATTTGTTTAACTACTAGTCCAACACAAAAAATAAAGCTTTAAGGACTTTAAAGAGTTGAAGTGCACACAGAGGTGAAGGTGTCTCACTTGTAATTAGTTTAACAACTGTGAAAACAAACAAAGCATTGCGTGTTTGAAGGGGCTATTTCTTGTGTCCCGCGATGACATCACAGTCTCGTCCTGTCTGACCTAACCTCCGTCTCCTCCATCAGCTCTCCCTCCCTCTGATGGACATGAGGGTCTTCCTCCTGCTTTGCCTGCTGGCGCTAGGCAACGCCAAACCCCCCCGCTCAATCAACGCCTTGGACTTTATGAGAAACTACGACATCATGATGGCGGATTCGAGCGATGAGGACGAAGATGATGACAATGACGACGACAATGACGACGACAATGACGACGACGGTTATGAGGACAACTGTCCGGCGGGCTGCCGCTGCTCGCCCAGAGTGGTGCAGTGCTCCGACCAGGGTGAGAAGGCGCCGCCTCGTTGAGGCCAAAAGAACTCACAGAAACCGCATCAGCAGCAGAACCTATATTACTTTAAATCGCTTTCATACTTTATGTTAAAAGCTACAGTCTCACACAGTGTTATGTCGAGGACGAGATGAAAGTTCATAGAGTCTGAGTCAGGGAAAGACTCGTTGTCTCTCGTGCATCCCAGTGTTTCACACGCAAACACAGCTGCTGTGTGGTTTTGGTCCAACTTCCTGTCTGTGTTCCAGGTGAGATCTCTGTTCCAGGGAAGATCCCCGAAGACACCGTGATACTAGACCTCCAAAACAACTACATCACTGAGATAAAGGAGAACGACTTCAAAGGCCTCAACAAGCTTTACGTGAGAGAAACCAGCAGAGCGCCACTTTCTTTAAACATTAAACACAAACTACACCAGGTCGGAAGTTCAAAGTCAATCGATCCAGTCACTGTGTTAGTTGGTGTATTAGTGAGCACACGAACATGAGGATCTAATCTATGTGGTGATTTGTGTCAACCTTTCCCCCAATCAATTACATCGCCACAGTTCAGTTTGGGTTAATTTTGCTGAGTGTGGAATCAACATTTTACAAATTACAAAAAAACACCATGTGATAGGAAGGAAAGGAAGGTTCCTAAAGTATCTAGATGGATATTTATTTACTAAAAGAACATCATGCTGTATTGAAGAGGACCATAAACTCATGTTTACAATGTTTACTGAGGGAAGTAGTCATTTTATCATAGACTTCTCTTATATTACCAGAATAGTCGCCCCCTGGTGGACAGTAGAGGGAATGCAAGTTTAAGGCCTTTCAGCATTGGCTTCACTTTTTGGAACCGGATGTTGCCGCTTAAAAAACGGGAACTTTTTAACACAAATTTCATCCTGAACATCTATGAATCAATTCAGAATCATGAAGGATACGAATTGCAATCATTCCGGGGGGGTTTTTTGCCCAACATTTGCATCTTTAGAGCCAAAATCAACAACAAAATCAGCAGACATCTGTGAAAAGAACACAAACACAGCCTGTTCGCAGCCACCGTTTAGTCTACTGCCTTTGCAACGGCGTAAACACTTCAGAGCACAATAGCAGATCCAGCGGCCAACCAGTGACTTCCCGCTACAACCTCCAGCCATGAAAGGCTTTGATTTGGGTGAAACCTTTTTAAATGAGCCACATCAGACGGTACAAGTGAGCGATAACATCGTCTTTTACTTACCGGATAGGAGGTAACGGCTCCCTAATTCAGACTAAATGTAGCCCGCGGCCTCACAAGATCACATCCTTCGTCCACCTCAGGGCCTGTTTCTGATCAACAACAAGATCTCCAAGATTCACCCCAAGGCCTTCAGAGACATGGCCCACCTCAGACTGCTGTACCTCTCCTACAACCTGCTCACCGAGATCCCCGCCAACCTGCCTCCCAACGTCATCGAGCTGCGCTTTCACGAAAACAAGATCAATCGGATCCAGAAGGATGCGTTCAAAGGCCTGATGAAACTCCATGTGCTGGGTGAGACCAGGTTTCAGTGTCGCATTACGTTAGAAATAGTCTTCTCCGTGGCCGATAGGTCCCACCTTTTGTCCAAGAAAGGTCTGGAGGATCGTAATCGCATGCCTCTTTAACCAGAGAAATCTACAGGATTAACTGCTTCATCATAGTATTTATAACTGTATATTCTCCACTACAATTAGGAGGCGGATTATGGATCTTATATAAATAGATCTGATGTTTTGTGCTCGTATCAACAGAGCTGGGAGCCAACCCTCTGGCCAACAGTGGGATCGGACTTGGAGCTTTCAACGCCATGTCATCCCTGTACGTCGGCATAGCAGAGGCCAAACTGACGGCTGTGCCAAAAGGTAGATTATCACTGGCCACATGTTGGGCGTATTTCAACAAACGAATGGTAGAGGCTTCTTTCATTCACAGTCAAACACAGAACTTTGACGCTGGACAAAAGAAGAACCACCCTGCTAACGTCAGCAACTAATCCAGTAGAGTGTGTTTAATCAACCTTTTGCATTGGTTGTGTTCCGTGGTTTTGTATCTCCCAGACCTCCCGTCCTCCATCACAGAGCTGAGCCTGGACTACAACAAGATCGCTAAGGTGGAGATAGAAGACTTCATTAGATATAAAAACCTGCAGAGGTGAACACCAGCCGCATCTTATCCTCTTCTTCAAATCAAGACTCTTCTTCATCATAAAGTGAATTTGATGTGCAGATTGAAGTTGACATGCCTGTCAACAACGTTTTTGCCATATTCGCAGGGTAGGACTCGGGTTCAACCAGATCAAGTACGTGGAAAACGGCAGCTTTGCCAGCACGCCGAGCGTCCGTGAGATCCGCCTGGAGAACAACCGTCTGAAAAGGGTTCCGCCAAACCTCAGCTCCCTGCGCTACCTCCAGGTGAGACGCACACCTGCCCCAGGTTCAGTGCACCCAAGTTCATGTCAGGACTCAGAGCTGGCACCCTAAGGCAGAACTTCTCAGAGGCCGTGTGTGCTCATCAGTAATTCCATTGATACCAATCAGACCGCTGTGGAGGTAGATTCCTCAGCATGTCACGGACCCATCTGTACGGCGGAAGGCCAACGAGGTGTGTAGCAGACACCCTCCTCCAGCTCATCCCAGGGTATCTCTAGCTTCCAAAAACTCCTCACGGGGGCATCGGGTGCGGAGGTGTTTCATGACTGAAATACCTCAGCGTATTCCTGTTAATTCGTCTGCAGAGGAGAATCTGTTTCTACTCAGAGCCCCTTCCAGAGCTCTCATCTGCTTTGTAACCGCTGAGCCCAGACATCACATCATTCAGTTCATTGTCGTAGACACCTGTTTATCCTGCAATGACAGTTAGAAATGGCTGCTGTGAAAGGGGCGAACGCGGCACCGAGTTTCCACGCCAGCAGCATTAAAACAGATCTCACAATCACGGGTTGTTTATTGGCAGAGCAGAAAAAATATACTCTGAAATTGTTAATTATTTCTTCTGTTTAGGTGATTTATCTCCACGGCAACAAAATCAGCGGCGTGGGCGTCAACGACTTCTGCCCCGTGCCGGGCGGCGTGAAGAAGAACCCGTACACGGGCATCAGCCTGTTCGCCAATCCCGTCAAATACTGGGACGTCCAGCCCGCCGCCTTCCGCTGCGTGAGCGGACGGAGGGGCGTTCAGATGGGGAACTTTAGGAAGTAGGGAGAGGAAATGAAGAGCCCCCATGACGTCCTGGATGCGGCGTGAGAGAAAGAAGTTGAAAATAATCCTGATAGATAGAAACAAGATGAAACTGGATTTCTAAAGTGTTCGGAGAACGAGATAAATGACATTATAGTGATGTGCATTAGAAAGTGTAGCACATGTTGAGTTAATACAAAAAAAAGTCTCTAGCCTGGATGTTGGGGCTGAGGCAACTGTATACGGGGTGGACATAATAACAGGAACACCTGTCGGGGCATTCAGAGAGGTCCTTCTTAGCGTTTGCTCTGTAGACTTTCCCGAAATAAAGCACCTCCTTCGGGTCACTTTTTGATTAAAACCATGAAAATGACTTGATTTGAGTGGAAATACATGCCGATGCCTTTTTAACAGAAGAGATCTTTTTTTGTTATTCTTTTATAGTTTTTCCAAACCACAAAACATTTTCTTACCTTTTCCATTTTCCTTTCATACAATACTTCTGCCATTTTCCAAAGTTGTGACATGGTAATCATCACAAAATACTCGCTATACGGCCAGAGCTGTAACTTTAAAAAACACTTTCTTTTTAAGAGATTTCCCCTCCAGCAGAAGTCTGTACAGTCAATAAATTACATCATTCAGAGCAAAGAATCCCGTAGAAGCGACAGGTCCGTCTTTATGTGCACGTTTTTTAATCATCTCACTGCATGTCTGTATTGTCTTTATCAAGGAGCCGTAAACTACGCGTCAGGCCGGATTACACATGGTCCTTCATATAATCCCAAAACGTCACCTTGTTGTTTTTTATAAGATATAGCAACCGGGTGAGCTGCAGTTATTAACTAATTCATAAGCAGCTTCTTCACCAACACGTTCCTGCTCCCACCTCTCAAGTGGTGCTATATTTATTTAGAATGTCTTTAAATAAACCTGGAACACCTCTCCATGTATGTGGTAACCTTTTTTTTTTTTATCCAAACGAAAGTAAACGTTTGATGTTGTTATTTGAGCTATTTTTGTGTTTGTGATTCTACATGAATACATTTGAGTCATTTGGATAAAATAAAGTCTCTTCAAAGATCAATGTAGTGGTTGTAAGATATTAACAGAAATGCATGAACATCGTTTAAAAAAAAAGAAACTGTTGACCACTATAGATCTATAACAAATAGAGTGGTTTCTATTCTTAGAGGAGCCTCACAGTTTAATGAATTACTGGTTTAGAATAACGTAATAAATAGTTTCATTTTTGTAAAAGTAATCAAAGTTTGTAGACCAAGATTACTTCAAATCCCTTTTAATGTGCAGATCTGGTGGGTTAAAGGTTAAGAGAGTCTCCCACCTAAAACATATGACCAGTTTATAACCATCATTTTAAGTTATCACAGCTGATGCCGTTTTAATTTAGTAGCATTTAACATCTTGCTGACATATAAACTAACAGGCATCAGTTATAAACATATTACAAGTAATTTCAGAAAGGATTCTATTTATTATGAATTTGGTCTCATTTCTTTGAGAGAAACCAAAATAGTACTAACAACACTACTACTAGTATTACTACTACTACAGGTGCCCGTGCATAATACGCTCCAGCTCATCGTGGGTACTGGGACCAGTGCCGAGTCCAGTGGGACAGTTCCTTTATCAACCAGCAGGTGTCGCTGCGCTCTAGCGGGAGACGGACGCTTCTCTGGTGGAGGATATTGATGCGGAGGACTGAGGACCCCCCGGGGAGGGGTGGAGGATTTTGAAACTTGATTTAATGGAACGAGACGGCACAAAGTATCAGCTCGATCAAATTCATCAATAAAAATGTAAAAGATAAAGAGTAAAACTGGAGTCAGAAGGATGAGCTCAACATGTCGTACTGCTTGATAGTTAATATTTGTAGGCTGGGTTTGGTATTTATAGGCTTTTAAGTATTGAGTGACATTTGTATTGTTGTGTATTTGTAAAATCGTGGATTGGCAGCGCTGCTCGTCCATCCCGGTCTTCCATTCATCCTGATTATGAACATGCACTATGGATTTGAACACAGATGTGAGGTCCAGCAGGTCTTTTACGTTACTCGTCCTCCATCACGTATCGTGTGAAGATGCTGAACTTTGACGCCGGAAACAGAACGTTCTTCATTCCCGCCACGCTGACAAAAAAACATTATGACTTTTAAAAACACACGCGCAGGAATGATGGACGTGATGACGTGGAAACGGGAGCGTGTGTTTTCTTTGCCCTCTCGTCAAACAGCAGCCAGCCGGCAGGAACCAGACACCCGCCTTCCTCAGATACATCTCCACCCAAAACGGAGGTATCCGCCATCGGAGGGTTTCTACTTTTCAAGAAGCAAAGACTTGTTGTGCTCCGCCTGTCTCTCTTTCTCTCTCCAGGAAACATATGGAACAGATCTGCCGGTTGGCCGGGCCTCGTCCTGCCACGTCTCACAGACACACAAAGAATGGTCCCAACATCAGGCCCTTTTCACCCTCTGCTTCTCCTCCATCTTCTACCTTGTCTCCTAACTCCACTCTGGACTTTACCAGCTTTACACCTCAAAGACGGGTCTTTCAACGGGAAAGAAGAAATCCGCCAATGGAGAATGTGCGGATGGACAATGTGCGGATGCCCTGCGTGTTCGTTGCGTGCCGATCGGCTCGTCCGCCTCCTTCAGAGGATGAAGGACACGGGTCACAGCAGCTCGAGGAGGTCCGGCCCTTCCTAAAGGCTGAGAGGAAGCCCTCTTTAGAAGAGTCAGTCGCTCTCAGATTTCTATCATCAACGGTCACCCAATATGGTGATTTTGACTCGATATCTATGGATTTTGATCATTTGAGGGGTCGTTTCTAAAATAAAATATGTCAATCATATTCGGGATACTTCCGACGTCCGCAACAGGGCGACCGGGTGACTGTGACGCATGGAGTAGAGAGGGTGCGCCGGGAACCGCAGGGTTGGCGGCGTGGAAGAGTCCCCGAGCAAGACACCCAGCCCCTAAATGCTAACTGGTCCCACTGTGTCGGGGGAGTGAGGGGGGGGGGTAAATGCAGAGAACAATTTCCTGTATTTGGAAAATTATACCTGGCAATAAAAATGGCTTCTTCTTAACTAATTCTGTGTGGTTGTGATCTCTCAAACAACTTATTGGGCCTTTTCAGTAACATTTCTGAGTAAAAACCTGGGAAGATACATCAGCTGTCCGTCTTTGCACTTTTAAATCTTCAGCCTCTCTAGTATCAAACACCACAATTACAACTACTTATACATTTAAGACTTAAACAACTGCATCACCACTATGATTCAAAGTCAGAGTTTAGAGCTCTTTGAATTTAGATTGGTGTGAGCGAGCGTTCGTCTTTGGTGGACGCAGCGGGCGACTTTGAGTCTGCAGCCGCAGAGGGACCTTCGGTTTGAACTGAGGAGGTGGGCAATGCTCGAGTCGTTAAGCGCGGAGGCCGTCGCTGCCAGACGCTCTTCTGATTGATGGGGTTTTTCGAGGTTCCAATCACTTCTCGGCTGGCTGACGACTCCTGCTGATGAATCTACTTCTGATGCTTAATAACTTGTATAACTTTCCAGGAGGAAGCATGTGAACGTTTTTAAACGACTCAACAATCAAATCCATCCAGACAAGTCAACGGTGATTTAAATCTCTCACAGACATCTTGGCCCTGTGAAATGTTTCCCTTATCGATCCCTTTATTTCAACACAAATCATATTTTTGCTTGAGGCAGAAATAATAATGTTTACTGATGTAATATACAAAGTGAGAATTTGGCTCATTTGACTTATTTACGGATTTATTTTTGCAACTCGTCGCCCCCTGATGGCCATTGGGAAGAATGCAAGTCTCTGGCGATTTAACTTTTTATATTTAATATAATACGTGTTGTTAGGAGTTAGACGTGTATTTTCAAACCCTAACCAAGCAGCTTTGTTACCTAAACTAACAACGGATGTTAACCACGTGCCTCAACAACAACCTTCTGCCTCCATGTCGCACAAACCATCAACTGTACAAAATCTCCACCAGCATCATCTGGGTTTCAAGTGCACAGCAAATCCTGCACGTTTATTGCAAACAAACCCAAACAACTAATGAGGAACAAAGTCTCCCCCGACTGCTGCAGACACTTTCAAGTAAAGATCACACCCTTCAAGACGCCAAAATCACAGCAAAACACGCTCTAAAGTTGGAGAAATTTGGTCATTTAGTCTGTCATTTCTCACTCAAAACACCTTTACTGTCCAAGAGAAACCACACAGACACACACACACAACTGGAACAAACAGCACCGGCTCATCCCGAGCCGTGCCAAGGCTAAATGAGGCCAATTAAATTAAAATGTTTAGAGGCAGAGACTCAAAGGCCTGTTTGTTCACGAGAGAGAATCCCAGCAGTGATGCTTTCTGTGGGGAAAACACTGACATGAAAAATGGGCAAACGAGGAGGACGAGCCAACGGCTGTCTGGCTGCGGAGTGGAAAAACCTTCCCTGTGATTAATGCGTGTGTGTGTGTGTCCGTGAGAGAGTCTAGCTGCGAGCGGCAGCATCAACACTATTAAATCAAACTGAAAGAGCAAAAGAAGTCAAACTAAATCTGCAAACTAATAAAAGTTTATTCCAAACTTACTGAAGCTTTAAATCAATTACTTATGGTTATTTCAATGCAATGAATATTGTGCGGATTCTGAAAAGTGTGAAGCGGCAAACGTTTCATCTCCACATGAACGTAGAGCAGAACTTCAGTTTGAGTGAATATGTCAACTGCCACTTGAGTTGAGACGGTTGCCTTAAGACCTTAATTCATTTCCATAAAACATTGTCTCAGTCATGGAGCATCATTGAGGGAACAACAAGATACAACATAAGTAACTATAAATCTATTTCAACAGGTCATTATAATTCGTTTTAACGATACATTTACAACAGTTCAATGCTGCTATATTAACCATCTAAATGATGTATATTGCACATTTCACATGTTGGTGTTATCTCAGCAGCCGTTAAAATCACCTAATTATTGGATGAAGCAACAATACTGATGATTTACTGATTGAATTTGGCTGACACAAAGTTGGTCATACAACCTCAACAGCGTCTAGACTACTTTCGGCAGAAATAAATGACAAACGACAATTACCATCATAGATGGAGCACAACGTGGTTCAAGGGACAAATGAGCTTTCTGGTGTGAACTTTAAGGATAAGACCGCATCAACATGTATGTTCATAAAAAGACACAGACGGGCGGTGTTATTTCAGCCAGTAGTGAAAGAAAGCGCCTTAGAAGAGCAGATTTTATCCAGATGGATTCTGCTGCTGAGGAGACGGCGGCGATCTCCTCATCGCAATTAACACAGGGGGAAACATTCGGGACCACAGCGTCCCATTAAAGAGACATAATTACATTAACATGGGAACTTCCCAGAACTCCCCGGCCTCCACAAACACATGAAAAACGCATCGACTCCAACCACCAACAATCCTGCAGATGAAGTGCAGCTGTGGAACGCAGAAGAAGGGCTACTGTACGATTCACAGACTGAAGAAATAAATAAAGACACTCGCACCAGCCTGCCCCCAAAAACCTGAGAGCCGAGACATTATTGAGACAGACGAAAGAAACATCGCCAGCAGTTGATTGATCAAAGGAAAAACCCACCGGTGACTATTTTAAGAATTGATGAATCGCCAAAACATTTTGTTCTTTCAGCTTCCTTCTTTTCTATTCCTGAGGTGCCGGGCTGATGGGGAGTCAAGGCGAGGCACCGCAGACGGCCACTTAGGGGCTTTATCGTACCTCATGTAGAACACGAAGCTGGTATGAAAAATACGTTTGGACAGACGCGGTCAATTAAGAGTTTAGTCACAGAAACCGTTGGATGGACGGTGCGATTCCCGGACCGAGCATCACATTCATTGATCCCCCGCACGTCTCTACTCAACTCGACTGGAGACCACCTGGTAAACTGTAATCTGCTACCCCCCCCCCATCCGAGAGAACTGGCCCGACTACAGGAGGTGGAGCACAAACAGCAGTTTCTACTATTCATCAATAGCAATGGAAGTGATACGATCATCC